CTAATAAAATGTTTATTTCTTATTAGGACATCTTAGGTATCTTAATTTCACATAATTTCTGTCAATTTGGTAGACTGTTTTCCTTTTCCAAAAGTATAAAAGGACCACATATTCTAATTTTATATATATACAATCTTCCTTATATAGACTTACTTTATATAACATAAAATAAACTACAAGATTATACATTTGAATATCTATAACTATGTCCGATAATTTCAACTCGAATACTAATCGTATATTCTCGATTTCAAACTTACGTTTACAAATGATATATAAAGACAAAGAATTCTGAACTTACATTCTGAGTTAGATTCTATTCGTTCTATAAATTATATATAACATAAAAAATCACTTTCAAATATAAGAAAGATATAACAAATAATATTTGCTTTATTTTAAACATTAGTATTCAGTCTACTCCTCTCTACCTAACACTACAAATAATGAACGAATCAAGATCTAACTCTATTATGTCTGCTTCAGTACTATAATGTGTTTTATATATATTGTAGTTCAGTATACCCTAATTATAATCGTATATTAGCTACCTTCTCATTCTGAGAGTTTAAGTTAATGTTAACCTCATTAGTTCAGCTGTAGTGTATTATCAATTTACTCAGAATACACTTTTTTTAAAAATAATAACGCAGTTGAAGCAAGATACCAACTTATTATAGAATCAATGTTATTTACCTACATGTAAATGTAAAACAAAATACTCTAGTAAGTCCCATAATGTTCTTCAGATGTAGTAAATTCATTTCTAATTTCTACACCAGCCACCAATAATATCCAAAAGAAGAAATAATTATAAAAATCGTGTTATTAGTAATATTTTGAAATTTATAGCCCCTATATCTGAAAATGTGTCTAGGAAACATATATCTGGTTCTTTTGACTTTAAAGGAAAATTATTAATCATTGGGTAAGCAATGATAATTACTACACAGTGGAGAATCTGTAAGAATTTGTATGTTGATAGATTTTAACTATTTTAACTGTTCAAAAACCAAATCAGCCCAGTATAAGTCATACAGGATATTAACTTCATTATTTGTTATTTCTAAACCGTTATATTTTGTTTCTTAGACTATATCACAAAGGTTATTAATGCAACCATATTTTTCAAAACAAATCTTTACAAATTTAAAACAGAGTTTTGAGTATTTTATTGGGTTATATAAATTTTCGAAGTATTCGTTAGAGTTATCCTCAGATATAATTTTTGATTCTTTTATTAAAAAGGCACTTCTTAATTTGATATTTCGAAATATAGATCTGCCCGATAAATTCATTATCTGTACCAACCTGTAGAGGGTGATACAAAACTTGATAATATTAATTCTAGGAGTTTGCATGGTCGGGTTGAAATTGTTTAGTTTTACGTTTTATAATAATATCGGAGTTGTAAAAGGTAAATTTTGAAAATGTGAGACTCAATTCCGTGATTTTCTTTGCTCTAAGTTTGTCTCAAGAAATATTGATATTTTTTCTTTATTTAACAATCATATTTATAAACTCTTAAGATTAAATCATAACTTTAAAACTTTTGGTAATGTGTTGTTTTTCCTGAAGAAAAGTCTAAAATGCATTTGTTTGAACTATTTAAAAAATTAAGACAGAAAAAATACTTTACGGAAAATCAAAAACTAGAAACATTTTTAAGAGCCAAAATACGAACAGCTAACAATTTTCATATATATATATATGTAATTTTTATGATTTAAGTATCTATTGGTTTCTTTATTTGAAGAATTACTTTCCCTTTACATTTCCCAGACTCAGCTCTGTCAATGGCTTTTTGGTAATCTTCAAAATTATAAACTGAATCAATTTGTGGTTTAAATTGCTTCTTTTCCAACATTTCATTTGCAAGAATTTCAACATCCTTATTTGGATAACACATATTGAAATAATAGTTGTATGCTCTCCATGGTTTAAATCTACGGTAAGGTTGAACCACCAGTCTCAATTTCAATAAATCCAAAGTATTTACACTTTCATAATCGAACACAGAGTCACCCACAACTGTACTATAATAGGAATTTGTTGATTTTGGTTTTAAGAAATCGTTCATAATTGGCAAGAAATCTGAAGAACCGCATGAATCAAAGATTACATCAAATTTTTCACCATCTAGTTTTGTTATCATGATCTCTTTAACGTTTTCTACTGTTTTATTGTTATTATAAGCAACCAAATAATCATAACCAAATCTTTTGTTGTATTCAATTGAATTTTCATTACAAACGCCAACAACATTTCTCACATGGAAATGATTCTTGGCAATTTGAACAAAACAGTTGGCAACTTGTGTAGAAGCACCTAACACTAAGACATTATTGATCTTAGACCAGTCTCTACCGGGATGAAATATCCCAGCATAAGCAGTACCAAATACGAGAGGCCATGACGCACTAAGATCAAATTCATTATATTCTGAAGTTGTCAGTGTTTTAGTGGCAGGTGCAATATGAGTCATTGAAGGTGTCTTTTCTGGGGTGACGATCAAATAGTTTGAGAATGTACCATGAGGTGAATATAAGTAACCAACCAAACCATTAATCTTATCACCAATCATCCATTCATCTGAGACTTTATGACCTTTTCTAATAATAACACCAGAAAAATCTCTACCGTATGCCTTTGGATTTGCAGAAGATAGTCTTGCAACAGCAGCTTTATGTAATAAAAAATCTATTGGGTTTATGGAAGCAGAATAAACTTCCACTACAATTTGGTTATCTTCGAAACAAGTATCTAGATCAATTTCTTCTATGGTGATAGAAGCAGGAGTATCCCTATTAATAAAACTTACAGTTTTCCATTTGACGACAGACATCTTTCCAAATTTAATTTTCGTCTTATCTATATGAGTGAGCTAGAATTGCAAAAATGAAGAAAAGTATATTCAAATCCTAATATCAGTGTGATTGTGTCTCACTCTCTCCCCTTTTATATTATATGTCATCTCATTGCAAGATCCTTTTTATGGTCAATCCTTTATATTTCCAGTGTATGCATAACCCCAGAAAAATGCGCCCCTTTGACATATTGCCGTGGCTGTTAGCTTAGCAAAAAAGGGCTTTTCATTGTTAATTCCATGGAGTTAAACTAATAGAAAACGACGGTGATAATGAAGCATTTGTTGCGATGGGTAAGACACTAGGTGGTGAACTACTGGAATAACAGGAATGGTTAATGTGTATTACTGTATTTAAACTATTTTTGAATTACTATTGTTACCCAAGTTCTTATATTAGTAGTAAAATATATATTGTGTCATAATAATAGTCCTTCTAAGGTTGGAAAATATATCACAATACTGTGTCAAATAGTAAGCGTGGACTCCAACATTCTATATGTATATCCACTTTATTTTATATCTAGATCACTCTTCTCGATGATCACTTTTTTCTCAAAGTTTATCACTTTGTGCTCTTTATTTACTTTAAATACATGTTTAGTGCTCTTTCTAACATATATCAAAATGATAAAAAAATATTAATAAACTTTTTTCTTCATTAGGAAATAACGAATGTTATTGGTGAGAAGGGTTATCTTAAAAGTTTACCAGGCATGTTACGTGAATGATTTTAATAGTATTATATTCAAGATATACTCATATAATGTGGTTTATTTATATACAAGTATTTTTAGTATATATTATCTCCCTCTAGATATTTTAGGTTTTAATTTTCGATTCCTCATTTCTTATTATATATCAATGTTTTGGAATATTATTCGCTCGAATCTGATAAGGAATACTGGTATTAGTTTTTTTATCCTTTGGAACTGTTTCCATTTTAGTAATTTTAATTATTTTGTAAAAATTATTATTTGTGATATTCAATATATTCGTCATAGTTTCTTTAGAACCCGAATTAAAATATGCATAAAATATTGTACAACGATATTTTGAGTTTTTACATGTCATGCCATTTATATGTGGTTGATATCTTCTCGCTTACCTATAATTTTGGGGTTGATCATAATAAAATTGACCAATTTGTGATTTCATACCGTCTTGGTCAGCAAATGATGTGATTGATAACGCAGATATTCGATTTATGGGAAAATAAATTTTATTCAAAATACGTTTGGATCTTCTTACGCACTTCATTTATTGATTAGTTGTTTTCCCATATCATATACTTGTCTCGATGGATATAGTGTATGTATAGCTTGAACTTTGACATAGTACAACATATTGAATCTGTATTTATAAATAATATAAGATTCTAACTCAATTACTTGTTGTATTCATTCTACTGTGGTGTTGTATTCAATTATATTGGTAACCATGTCATCTTTAATTATATTATCGTCTGTTCGATTCGGACCTTTCTTGTGGGTCAAACCTTATGTTCAGCGTTGGGGTTTTTTGTCCTAATCCCATCTCCATCCCGATTTGAATTGCTTTACCGGTGTAATACTCTACTTCTGGACCTAGTATATCATATTTGTTGATATATAGCTTATTAAATTTGTTTAAAATTTTAGTATCAAACTTATCTGATAATATTGTTATCACGGATTTTGCCATTTTATCAGTGCTTTGTTTTCTGGTTCATATGAGGTGGTTCCTTGATATATAATTCCTCTTGAAGGTCACCATTTAAATATACTGAGGAAAGGTCTAACTCTATTATTTAGTAATAATTATCTATAGCAAGTGCTAGATTTGTGATTAAGATCTTGTCATCGGATGGTACTTGTGCTTTATTCTTAGTGTGTACATCCAAATAACTAACATATAGTTATTTTCTTGCTCTCTATAATATAGAACCATATATATGTGATTATATCATTATATCATAGTACAAATATACCTTGATGTATAAAGTAATCCTTCACAACTAACTCCATGATACGTAAAACAAGCCCTTGTGGTTATATTAAAGTTATTCAATATTAGTATAAAAGAATATTTATGTATTTTCTTGGGAATATAGAGTGATAAAAGATAAAAAAAATAATATTTATATATATATGTATGTGTAGTATAGTTTTATTGGAAAGTTTGTATATTTTGAATTGCGCCCCTTACGATCTTAAGGATAAAAATATAGATTTTAATAATGGCCAGCCATTATCAGCTCTTACAGCGTCACCGTTTTCTTGTAGTCTTCTTAATAGATAATCCTTTGTCTCAACAGCAGGACCCCATGGAACATATTTAATAATATTTTTCACACCGTAAGTGTTAATTAAATCATGAGTGACATTATCGGCCATACCTAAAAGTTGACCAAAGATGACATTATTTTGAACGTAGTTTTTGTTTGGAGATTTTGAGTTATTAATCAAATTGGTAGCAATCAATTGAGAGTGATAGTTATGAGAGGCAATAACTAAATGACCAAAGGTAGAATTTTCACCTTTTTCTAACATATCATTAGTGACAAAAGTTGCTACTTTATTATAATGGTTATCTGTATCTAATTTAGTGTCATGAATAATGGAATCTCTTTCAGGTTCTGTATGGATGTAAGCACCTCTAACCAATTTCAATCCCAATTTATAATTACCTTCTTGAGCCAATTTTTGTTCTTCAATGATATCATTTAGAGAATCTCTTAAATATAATTGCCATGTTCCAATGCAGGAAGCAAATTTATTTTCCATCGAATTAAATTTCTGGAATAAAATTCTTTGTAATTCATAAACCCCATTCTTTTGTAAATCATATTTTTCCGCATCAATAGTGGAAACAAAAAATGGAGATTTTCTATTTGGATATCTTTCTAAGAGAGTCTTATTTAATTGGCAAATCTCTTCGGTGATCTTTGAACAGTTATCTATCAAAGTTTGTCTTTGTTCATTCCAATGTGGGTCCGAAGAACGTCCGAAATTCAATAATACTTCGGATGGGTTCTTTACTAGTGCTGAAGGCTTCAAAGCGATATAACCAGGTGCGATATCATTAATATTTGAAGCAGTAGCATCTAATTGTGATAAAAAGTTTGGTAATAAAATCTTATGGATAGAAGTGATTGTTTCTTTAACAATGTGATTAATATCAATATTTTTAGTGCCTTCAGCGTCTTCGATGGTTAAAGACAGCATCATATTCGAGATACCTCTCTTTTGTAGTTGTCTACCACATTGCAACACTTCATCCATTGTTTCACCGCCACAATATAAATCGGAAATGAATACTTTCATGACTGGGATTGGGACGTAAGGAAACAATTTAATACAAGTATCTAAGAAGAACTTGTTCATTGTGACAATACCTATCATTGATAAAGAAAACAACTGATTATTTGGCAGAGTCTTTAGATAGGTCATAGACGCTGGGGCTGCAATATCGTATATTCTATCCCAGCTGGGTTCTTGAATAGCTGAAGTTGTATCCATAGTAGACATGGTACCTGGAATAGTAACAGTACTGATGTTAGTGTTAACAGCTGGTACAGATGCAGCTTCTGCAGCAGCAGCAGAAGAATCTAATATACCCGAAGGGTCGAAGTACATCGTAGTTTCATTCTTCTTAGTATTAGTCTTTGAGACGTAGAGTCTCTTAGTATTATAGAGGATAGGCCTACTCTTTTGAGAGATATTAGTAGAGCGCAATAAATTAGAAGCAGGAGATCTTAAAACAGATAGTCTCATTAAAATGTTTAGGAATAAGTGGTTGTATAATTATTTATATTTATATAGATGTATATAAGAGAAGTAAGACTTAAAAAATAATAACTATAACAAAATATCAAGAAACAAGAAAAAAAACAAACTAAAAATCAGAGAATAAGAACTAATATACTTTATTTTAATCAAAGCTTCCCTTATATACGTTTTCCATTCGTCGATCCATATTTATTCTTCCCCCCAAAAACATAACAATATATAGATATATTTATAGATATATATCGTTATTATGCTGATAACTTTAATCATGTTCCTCAAAAATTATGATAATCAATGTTATAAAATGTTATTTACTTTTCAGCTTATCTTATCGACTCAAAATGAGTTGGACAATGCTGCGATTTAATGCTCGCCGATTTTCTGTCCAGCATCAATCTCTTACAGCCGGTGAGGGGTAGGGTACCCTTCCGCTTGCTCGTTTCTTTCTTTTTTGCGTTCCCGCGGAGAAATCGGCGTAGCAATGCTTGTTAATCAATTTTATCCGAGTTCGGGATTGGCTCTCCGACTCCATTTTAGGTAGAAAGAGAGACATACATTTTGGTTGGAGTTTGCACAGCCGCACAGCCGGTTAAAACGACATTTTCTGTTGTTGCTTCGGCGATCGGTTCCCGAAGGTGAGAGAGAGGAGAGAAATCGCGTTTTCTGTTTTTGATAGGCGAAAGGAACGTGAGGGGGAAGGGCCCACGTTGGCCGGGAAGCCAACGCCGACCTTCCCAAGCAGCTAAGCTTTATTTCCTCGTTGCTGCAGCTGTAAAATGGATTTCTTTAAGACGAACGAATAGATTGCTTGGCAAACCTGCGAGGAGAGCTCGGTGTCACGTGCGTCGGTGACTGCGTCGAGCTCGTCGTCACGTGCCTCGCGGTTCTCTGATGGGATAGCGTACATTTTAGTGTATTCCAATTCGATGTTGTCGAGATTGGGTCCTGTGGGAGTTCGAAACTCGGTCAATCCAGGCTCTGTCGTATTGCTGTTGATGGCCGTAGTTAGAGAGGTAGTCTGATGTACCATCTCTGGGATGATACTTTCACGGACACTACGTTTTCTGAAAATGTTACCATCGATAGGTCGGTAATGGATTTCGTATTTGTTAATTGTATCCATAACACTTTCACCTAACGTCTGGGTATGCTTGGTGTTGCGTTCGTTCTTCATAACGGTTATGGCTTTGTCTACTTCTGCAGAAGTGATGACTGTTGGATAAAACGGGGTGTGATCTTCATTAATAGCAATATTCTTCTTCTTCTTCTTCTTGTGAGAATGGTGAATTTCGACAACTTCTTCCTCTTCTTCCTCTTTTTCAGTTTTGCTGTTCGGCTCTTGTGTCCTTTGTCTTTTATGTTCCTTGGGATCATCTTTTATAAGCAATGCTCTTAAAGATCGTTTGGAGATTCGTTTATGTTGGAGTTCTGGTAACACTGTATACCATAATAATCGACGCAATTGTTGTCTTACTAAATCCTCCATATATCGAACACTAGCAATATCAATTGATACTACTTCTCGCCTTACTTCTTGCACTTCTTCAAGATGACTCTTACTATATATTGAATTCCACCTTTTCTTCCAATTATCTATATCAATTAATTCACTACTGACAGGTTTAATAGTATCTTTCATCGTTATAGTCTTTTTTGTTGGTTTCGTACTCATGTATTCTTCCATCTCTATAAATTGTTCATCCATATCGTATGCTATATCCATATCTGCAATTTTCACTAATCCCTTGAATTTTTGTCTACGTAATTGCCTTAAATTGCTTCGCAAAATCTTATAATATTCCATGATTTCAAAGATCGACTTCTCATGAAGAACATGACTCCATTCACTGACACGATGTATACTATACCTTGACAACAATTTGAAAAATAGACGTTTTTCATGACCCGTCCAATAACTTCCAACGGTATCATCCTCATCCTCATCCTCGTCCTCATTGCCTGAGTCCAATTCTTCTTCTCTATCCAGCGATTTCGTATCGTCGTCCCTTAAATCCTGCGCACGTTCCACATAGCTTACCTGACTGGCATAATGTACTCTGGAGGAACGTATAGTATAGTCCCAAGTTTGACCTATTTGAAAGAATTCATTCACTTCTTGATTGTACATATCATAATATCGTTTAATTGCCTCCTTTTGGAGGAATTGAATTGAATTCATGCTTGCATATGTGAGGATCCACCCTTTTTCTCGTTATGGTAGCGATGACTTTACCTATATCTGATTTTAGATCGGTTTGTTGTTGTTGTTGTAATTGTTGTTCATCTAACTTGCATCACTATTTAAGCACGTACTTTTTTTTATTCTTCCGGTGAATTTTTCATTTTTTTCCAACCCTTCGAGCTTATTATAATGGTGAAAATCAGTTTTTTCTTAAATAGATAAAACAACAATTAAATATATATATACATACACTCACGATTCAATACGGATGCAACAGCGTTTAGTTATAAAAAACACATAACGGGACGCTTTTAATACTTCGTTAAAGAGGAGGATAAGCACAACTGCAAACGATAGGATTGAGGGGTTTTTGTAGTCCATTATCTCGCCTTACACACTTTCCAGTAGTTAGGAAATGAAACAATATAACTTGGTACAGTTCATTAGACTGTACTCAACTAGAGGTAAAAAATTAAAACCAACAAAACCTCAAATTGTCGTGTTGAATCCAGAACAAGCTGGTTTGCTCACCCATCGTCATAGAAGAAATACAGGTACAAACAACAATGGTAAAGAGAGATATATGAAATCACACCACGATCATCTTAGAGCAGAAAAAAATTCTTTATTTGAGGGTATTGAATTGGAACCAACATGGGTGAAAAAGGGTAGAAATATAATGGGATCTGATTTAATTAAAGATACAGAAAATTTATTGAAATTTCAAAAAAAGGCCTCTGTAGAGCAGCTGTTCCATTCTATAGACTCCCTAAAACCTACATTGACAAATATTTCACAAGAAAATTATACACAATTGCAAAAACAATTAACTGATTCTTTTACAATCAAACAATTACGTGAATATATTAATACATTAGATCCCCAACATGAACTGATCACATCGAATAGATTGGTGAAACATAAGTTAATAGAACAGATATTTACAAAATTATGGAGTGGTCAAATTTCTCAAAATCTGTTAGATTTACAAACTAAAACAATCAAATTAACCCAAAGACATTCAAAATTACTTCTACTAACTCAAAATGGGAAAATTCTGAAGAATTTAACACGTTTGAATCCTCATTTGTTTATTCAATTAAATTTATCTCAAAACGAATTAAGGATAACATCCACAGTGAATATCCTCGAATTTATAGAAATTTCTTTAAATAATATCCTGAACAACGTATGTGCCACAGATTGGTCACCTACAACAACTTTATCGGAATCTCAATTAAATTTAATTACAAGAATATGTGGTGTAGATATATATAATAATGAAGTTGCTGCATTTGGTTGGAAAAGAATAGAATTAGCAAAAAGATTAGTTAGGTGGATAATATCAAAAGAAGATTCTTTACATAAGGAAGCCAAATTTGAAAAATGGCTATTATCTGAAGATAATGGAGACAATGACAACATTAAGTGGTTCCCATTTAATGACCTTGATTGCTTAGATTGGCTTGACAAGGATGAAACCTGGGGAAGACTCCAGAAAATAGAACCAATAGCGGAAGATAATACAAATATAGAATCATCAGCAATTAAACCTAGTAATTTGTTATGCGACGAAAAGATTGATGAAATATATAATTTCTTCAAGGATTCTAGCTTGAACAAAAGTAACTCTGGTATATCATCTGCTGTATCAAATATTGTCAGCATATCTTTTGGTTCAATACTGGAAACCAAGACGAATAATAAAAGAATCTTTCAACCGAGAGTCTCAAAAATTTCCGAAAAAGTGTTAGCACTGCCTCCAGATTCAGGAGATACTGATACTGAACCAAGTTATTATTTGGAGTTGAATTTTACTCCATCATCTAAGAACCTGAAAAAATTCCCCCCACTTAAATTGTTAATCCAATTAGACGAAAAAAATAATATCATATATGAAACAATTCAATGCCTAACATGTCTATCATCCAGCGACTATTATCCACAGACACCACAACTACAACACGATTATAAAATATCCCATGATAAACTATCTGATATATTTGTGTATGATAATAACGGAGAATTAACGAACCAACCTGGTATTGATAAATTCCTGAACGTATTTAAATACACACCACAAATCCCCTATGTGAATTCCACTGATACTGTTTCGTTTAATCTACCAATAGAGATATCTGAAGCTTCCAATGTTGACTACGAATTTGTCTCTATGAATCATCATTCCGTCAGAAGATTTCAATACCTCGACAAGTATTCAGTTCAATTTTCAAATGTGAACGGAGGTTCTCTAGGTGGTTGCTACACCCAAGTTGAATTTGTTAATGATGATAACGCAACTGAATTACCTAGTAGAGAAGATTTTGGTAAATTCTTAAAAGATATTTTCAAATTTGATTAACAGAAGTCACCTTGTAAATAACCCCTACATAAAAAGATGATACTTTTCAGTAACATTTTTTAACATACATATGTAATAAATAAATATCTTGCATTCCTTTAATAGATGAAATATTTTTTCTGTTTTATGCGTTTACTAATAAAGAATATAAAATATATATTAGAAATATTGTATTTTTTAATGCTATTATGTGAAGATATTAAATCTCTATTCATCGATTTAGAAAATAACAATCCGTTTCGGAGAAGATGCTTAGACTAATGACTATGCAGTTACTAATTTGATCATTTCTTTAAGTTGAACTTCTTAACTATTGAGCTCTTTAAATTTTGGGCTCTATTTCCAGCTCTTTCTCTACTACCACCTGTTGGTGTAGGTTCTTCTTCTTCATCATCGTCACTACCTTCTACTGATTCATTCGTCAGACCTAATGCATTCAAACGTCTCTGTCTTTCAAACTCCGTCTCAGATTCATCATCAGACGCATCACTGGTATCATATTCATAGTCGTCATTTGTTTCACCTGCGTCATCATCGTATCCCATGCTATCACTTTCACCACTTGTGTAATCACTATCAGATCCAGATTCCTTATCCATATTAACACGACCTGATGCATACATTTGGGTTGGAGCTGGTGTAAGAATTCTGTTGGTTGCTGATTGTTTTACCTTATTCATGCCAGGTTTCGAAATAGATTGTTTTTTAGTACTTCCATCTCTAACTGGAGGACGTGGAACGGAAGAAGCCGCACGACTTCTTAGACCAACAGCAGATAGAGCCTTAGAAACAACACCAGTGCCATTATTATTCCCGTTTTCATTGCCTTCTTCGTCTGCATGTGGATTGATTCTGTATCTTCTAACGACATCACCTTCGTCATTTTCTATAATTAACAAATTATCAATCTTATATGCGTGATATTTGTGTTTGGTCTCACCATCTGATGAGCCGATGGAGATTCCACCAATACTTGAACGTCTACTTGCCGTCTTCTTTATAGCATTACCAACAATGGAAGGAACACTTGTTAAGGAAGCTGGTGAAACTATATGTTTCAAAGCTCTCAGACTTGAACCAGAATCATGAGATGTTACACCAACGAGTGGAGAACCCCCCTCATATTCTTTTATGCTACCTTCTATGTCATCTGGTGGGATATTTAATTTGGCTTGGTCTAGAATTTCACCATGTTTATTTTCAATAATAATTTGATCACCTTCTGTGTATGCAACTTTACCAGTATTTTCAGCTTCCTCTATCTCCTTTTGTCTCTGCTTCTCATTTGAAGTCATAGATGTATCACTAGATGTTCTTTGTTTTTCACTATATTGAGCATCTGAATCATAAGGCACATTATTTGGTGAGTCCGTTGAATGCAATCTGTTTGAGTAAGCATCACTTTCAGGATGATCTCTAATGCGTTGTTTATCGTCCTCGTTTTCATCGTAAAGTTCATGATCTGATTCAAATGCAGGATACGTTGGCAATTCTTGAACGTTAGGACTCATCAATTGACTAGTTTGGGATATAGAACCATTATCACCAGCGGTACCATTCGACAATGCTGATGATGTCGCACTGAATCTACTCTGTAAACTATTACTAGCTATAGTAGATTCTTGTTCCTCATGTTGAGGTGCCACCGAGGAACTCAATGCAAATGTAGCTGCACGAGCTTCTTTCTCACGTTGCAATCTTTCTCTTCCTAAATCGTTTAATTCATCATCATATTCATTCCTTTGAGATTTGGAACGGAAGATTTCACGAGGTAAATGCCTATGCCTCAATTTGCTATGCTTTCTACCATGTTTCTTATGTCTCCGTCTTGTCATCCCACCTGCATGTCTCACTGGAACACCACTTGTCTCCACTGTACTTGTCCTTGACATTGCTTTACCTTCTCTTCCTGGGATCATCTTACCTGTAGTGTCGACTCTTTGTAAAGAGAAAGATCTACCAGCTTTATCCAATGATGGTAATCTTTGCATCCAAGAACTCTTCCCACCACCGCCCCCAAAGGTTTGAGTAGTAAAAGTTTTTGTCAAAGTAATTGTATTCAAATGACGTCCCAAAGTAATGATTGCCACGGAAGAACCATGCACAATAATGGATGTGACAATAAAGAAACATACGATTGGCCAAATACATGCAATCAATTGATAATGCTTTGAACCTTCAGTAGGTAGATGTCTTAAAGGTGTCTCTTCTTCAGAGACACTTGCCTCCAATTCCGATCTAGACAAGATTGCGGCGAAGATGGCACCAACACCAATAGGGCCAAAATGTCCTACAAAGAGTGCTTCACGCCATGATTTAATATCTGGAATAAATCTTCTCATAGCTAACACTGCAGGGATTCTTCTTAAGAAGATCACTACGAATGCTAAAATGATTAATCTCCAAACGTTACAGCCAATTGCACCATTATTAAATTGTTTCCAAGGTACGATTGCACCAAAATAGATAAAATAGGCGTAGTTTAATAACAGATCAATCACTGTAGATACTTTACTTTCTTCTGTTCTCTTAGAGAACCAACCATCCCATGCAAAAGTTGCACCAGCTGCGAATGAAACTAAAAGATCATCTACTCCAAGGATGGAACCGAAACCTGCACAACAGAAGGATAGGACCACATAGAATGCTAAAAAGGATTCTCTATCGATAATATTTTTTTCTTCTGCAAATTTGATTGCACGTTTCCCTACATAACCAATGAATATACCTAGAATTGCTCCAAATAGACATTCATAAAGGATTGTAACACAAATCCAATCTTTAACGATTTCTCTAGCGTTACCTGGATATAAAATCAAGTTCAATGATAAATAAATGAAGGGGAACGCCATACCATCATTACAACCAGATTCTGCAGATAATAAGTTTCTTAAATGCCCTGGAACTCTTTGAGCGAACTTACCTGACACAACTGATTGAGCCAAAATAGGATCTGTTGCGGTAATACATGCAGAGACTAACAAACTTGCAGAAAAATTCAAACCTGGAATTAAAATCCAAATAAACAAACCTATAATCAACCAACCGACGGTCATTACCGGAAGCAATAACATAACTATCGAAAGCCAATGTTTTAACATATATTTTCTTGGTAATTCTACGGCCACAGCAAAAATTTGTAAACATAATACGATACGTGTAATTTCCAAAGTAATAGAATCTGAATTCCCCCAATCTAATGGATTGAACCAATCTAAACATACTGGTCCTACGATAATACCAAATATCCCTGCCACAGTGGATTCACCAATATATAATTTTTCCTTAATAAAGAGGGATACTAATGAGAAGATGGAAGAAAAAACCCCTACACATGCATACGCCACATGAGCTTTGGATACTTCCAGATGTTCCCATACAGCCATCTTTATTTTAATGTTGATGACACTACCAAACACGAAGAGTTATCTATTTTCAATATATTGCGTTTCTTCTCTGATTTATACAGAAAGATGAAAATGAAGTTATGAATAATAATAATAGTAATAGTATAACGAAGAAGATATGAAACAAACAAACAGATAAATATATATGAAATTTATAATGATGGGTTTATATTCTTTTTCGTTTACCACAAACAAGCTTTCTTTTATGTTTTGCGTTGCGTAAATCTACTTTCTTTCCTTGTATTTAAAGCTTTATTGTTCTCTTTCTCTCTTTATTTTTCCCTCTCTCTTCTAACAGTAGCTAAAGAACCAAAATATTGTATATTGCTTTATAATACACAAAACACAGGCTTAAAAAGTAACAGCTAGTATACTGCTATGCCAAATAAAGAATTAGTAGTGATAACGTCAAAAAACGTATATATATATCTATAGGTAACTAATTCCTTTATTGTATCGTTCGACAGATATAAGCTAAATGAAAAAACAAAACAACTAAGAATCGTAGTTCATCTGTCAAGTTATATAATCAAGTTATATAAGCCGTAAATCACTAAAGCCTATTGTGATAAACAAACTCTCTTCCAGTGGCTCCCACTTCAGCAATCGATGCCATGAAACTATCATTTCCAGTCCCATTCCCAAATGGAGGGGGGCCACTGCACTGCACCGAACTAATCTCTCTTTCTCTTTCTCTTTCTCTCTGCCTCCCCTCTCAAAACGAGTGAAAAAAGTTCCTCTCCCACAACAAATTTTGCGAATGAGCAGCAGATCTCTCTGCTTCCCGCTCTCTCTGGTTCGCTTCGTCTGCTAAATACGATGAACGTGGCTGAACAAAACACACAAAAACTGCGTGGAGCGAACCATTTGTTTGATATTTCTGTGCTTCTTTGCATAACAATAACAATAACAATATGAACACTATGATTCCACGGGATATATTGATGCTCGGAAGGGGGGAATTGAAACCGCAGATGGTATACCATCACTACTAGATCAGGTAGATGGCATATCTGGACGCATCAAGAGCATTATCTGCAATACTGTATACAGACAATTCATGGTTGATGACAGCTTGCTCGAGGAATTGCGTGACTATGTCTTGTGATCTTAAATGGACGCCAATAAGGCATCGCACATTTGGTGGTGTTGTCCTCTGTTTGTCTGCATCTGAGAAAAAGCTTCTTAGGTTTATAATTGTAGTTAGAAACGGTTCTATCAGGTACTCGTTGTATATTACATCCATGGCAACTATATAGACAGTGTCACAATTGTCCTTAACTTGAGTTAAATATGGATGGTTAACTTTGGGATCGAATTTCTCCCAATTCAATTCTTCAACTTCTATAGATACCGTTGCTGAGTTTCTTGAAGACTTGCTATTGATAGATCCTCGCTTATTACTATTATCTTCTTGTTCTGTTGTCTCCAAGGTAGACTCGACCTCACGACGTTCTATTCCTAACGATTTAGATATACATTCACGTCTTGTCACTTGAGATACATTTTCTTTAATATTTTGTTTCAATTTGTTCAATATACCTCTTTGATCCGTACATACATAATGGTCAACATGGTTTGATAATATAACAGCCATTAGAGGCGAGATACCTGTACCTAATTCAATTATACCGACTCGCGAATTCTCATTTCTCACACTATATAAAGGTGGAATCTCCACATTTTGTTCATTATCATCATCATCATCATCATCACCCAGACTACGATTATTAGTTACTTCTACAGCGTCACACAGGAAACGGAACGGCTTCGATTCGTCACTATATAACAACCATCTTATGAAGAAAGGAGTACTTGACCAAAGAACATACCCAGTAGTAGAATTATTATTCGAGACACTAGAATTTAAATCACTTAGAGACTGTTCTACCACAACATTATACAACTCTGCATCTGCTCGACGTTCATTTTGTCTCTTCTTCCGTTTCTTTTTCTCGAGTACTACTGGTGGTGGTTCGATATCGATCTCTATAGTAGTAGCAGTTCGGGATTGGATCCCTAGATCCTGCTTTAGATTGGCAGAATTTCGCTCTAATTCAACATACCTTTCAAAGATATGCTCATATAATGTATCTTCATTGAGTGGCGCTAATTGGAATACCATTCTGATCCTTCTCCAGTTGTTATTGTTCTGCAATCGTCCCTGTTCTATTATATACAGAGAGAACAAATCTTCTTCATTTTTATTTTTCACTACTATTCTGGGAGATGAGCGATGGGCATCGCTGAAAAATATTAAATTAACTGAATTCAATCACCTAATACACAGTGAAGAAAAAACAGTTTAACATATTTCTTTGATTCATTCCAATGAATCATATGTTGTTTCTATATTCGTATCTATCTATCTATCTATGTATCTATCTATATTATAATGTCCTTATTCTTGAATTCTTAACTACGTTTAAGACTGACTCCATTAGCATCCGCCCAGCTCTGTATTGTTGACTCATCTATCAGGTTCACTAAGGGATCCAACTCGTTCAATTCATACATAAATTCTTCCAGTAATATAGGTTGAAAAGTTTGTATTCTCTCTAATAGTGATGGTTCATTCTTAATCAATTTTGTTAGATGATCATATAACACTTGTCTTGTACTAAAATTGCCTGCAACACCAGTAGTTCCAAGAATTTGTGATGCACTCTCTAATGAGCTAATCATCTCACTTTTAGTTCGAACAGGCCTTAATCCAATTTCCTTCATTTGTCTTCTAAGGTCCTGAGCAGAGGATTGTGATACTATTACATTTTCTACTCTTTTAGACTCAGATACTAGCTCTATAGGGGGCTCTGATGTCTCTAGTTGTATTTCTTGTTTTGCAGAATATTTTAATTCAAATATATTACGTTCTTTATCTTCATCACAATTGAGATTTTTATAATTATAAACGTCCGAGTCGTATATTATAGTATCATCAGAATTAACAATAGAGTTCGAATTTGAATCATTTGGGAATTTGAAAGGTAATTCTCCGTTACGTACCCTTTCACAAGCCACGTTCGATAATCTAGCATTAACTATATATTCATCTCGCGAAACGTTATACAATTTATCACTATATGATAATGTTGGGGCTCGCGTGGCAGGTACCTGAATTGTACCGGTGACACTAGTCTGATCGCCTACTTTTCTAGGTGTGCTCTCTTTTGGAATCACAGTCTCAGGTTTAATTGGAGAAATTAACTCATTCGAGACAGTGAATGATGCCTGTGTTAAATCAATCTCATCATCTTTATAATCTTTGGTAGGTTTGGTCAAGGTCTCATTTAATGGTATTAATGTCGGTGATGGTGGTACAAAATTAAACTGATTCAATTTATGTTGTTCCACAGTAGGGAATTCAACCCTCATTTCATCCATACTATCATAAAATATTATATCTTCATCGCAATTCGAGTCATGCTCATTAACTCTTGTTGGATTTGAAACTACATTATCGTCCATCTCAGAAATACTATTAGATTCGATTTCAATAGCATCGGTTTTCTTGTTGGGTGGTTGTACTTCAGCTTCAGTTTTATCTTCATCCAAATTTTTATCGGGAATGTCAACTACTGAGTCGTGGCTAAAATTCCTCAAATCGATACCGTCTCCATGTACAGTATTTTCTTGAGTTATATAAAAGCTTTGTTCGTCACACGAATTTATATTTTCAGCGACATTTTCATCAACAATCAACAGGCTCTTTTCGTGATCTGTTGTATCTTCCATAACTTGTGATAAGGATAATAATTTCATCATATCTGTGCTACTTGCAGAATCATTCTTTTTATTCTGGGTTAGATGCAATTTATTTGGTTGGTACTGTGACATCAACTCTTCAGGTGGCTTCTGAGAGGACCCCCACATATCTAGTGCATCACAATCACCATACAAATAGCAAAAGATATCCTTGACATCTTGGGTATTACTTCTCGGAAAATTCTTCAATATTTGGCAACTAATATTTTTCCATTCTTCAGCATTATATACATCAAACGACTTAGAAGGCTGCAACTGTATTTTACCTCTAGGCTTCTTTTTATCTGCCTCTTGCTGTCCCTTTAATATATCACGAACTTTTCTATGCTTACCAGATAGTTTTTTTAAAAGATCTTGGGCTCTGGTTAATTTAGTAACTTCCTTCTTTTTTACACAAGTTCTAATCTTCTTTTGTTTGGGTTCATCAATCATAGATGATCCAGAGGTCAGTCTACTACTGTTATTTATCGTTGCTGTGTTGCCACCAGAGGTGGATTCAGTATTATTATTTGTAGCATATCTGAATTGACTCAGTTTGCCTTTCATTTCAGAATCACGATTAACTATATCCAATCGACTTTGAATTTGTGTACTAATCAGAAAGTTATCATCTTGTACTATATCATCACTCTTAGCTAGTTCTATACGTGAAACATCGTTGCTCTTAACTTCGACATCTCTAGATTTTAGAACGGATTTGCCATCTCCCACAGGTATATCATTATCGTTCTTGTCATCATTAATAACAATATTCTCAGTTCCTTCAACCTCTATAGGTACTGATGTGTGTTTATCCTCATCATTTACTTCTGGAATAATATTAGACTCAACAGCTATCAATCCCATGGGCTTCACCGGGGAACTTATTCTACTACTACTATATATCCTCCTGTTATCTTCAGGACTTGATGCTGATGACTGTGAAAACTTTAGGGACGGAACCTGTGTACTAATTAGAGCCTCCTCTTCTGGATGTCTTTCTTTTTCTTGAAGTTCTGTAGTCTCTTTCAAATCATTATCAATATTATTACCATTTACTAACTGCAAATTTCGTTGAGCTCTTCTATAATCCATTTTAGATATATTTGTAATATCAAGAAGAGTGACCAAGTTCCATTCGGTTTTATGACTAAAACTATAATTTTGTTATTTTGTATTAATACTGATTATTTTATTAAGATGATATCAATATTTTATAATTAGCTAATTCTCGGTACGCGATTTGTTATATTAATAACGCGATTAAAATTGTAGTACACAATAATATTATTACTAATATAGATACGTGTTGCAATATAGACAAGGAATTTCTCAACACATCTATTATACAATATATACTTTTGTTTAAAATGTGTGACGTAATATGTTATCAAGTAGAAATGTATATTTCTCTGATCTGCTTAGATCATTGTGATATCCAATGCATTCAAATGCGTAATAGTACAATCGGTCTCATCGATGATCCCTAAACCGACCAGATCAGACCAGAACACAGCTATTTTGTCGCTACAATATTTAATATAGTCGAAAGTATCAACATTGACACCATCATCGTCATCATTATCACCATCTTCACCATCGACAACAACTGGTTGGACGGCGTCTTCTGTTCCTTCTGTCTTAATTATATATATCTCACCATTTGGCCCGACTGATTCTTGAAGAGGTTCCTCTTTCTCTGGTTCAAAAGTACCACTTTGTAAAATACCCCATATTGACCAAAATAGCTGTACGGTTGCTCTCCATCTAATTATTGAGTTATAAAAGTACCTAACTTCATTATCAATGATAGTCTTCCTATTTTCCTTATCACCACCTTGTAAATGGGACACATACGAGTATAAAAAGTTTAATATTTGTTCTTTATTTGGGAAAGCATCTGAATTACATCTGTAAGGATAAGCACCGCTGTAATCATGCATCCATTCACTCAAATGGTTAGCAAGATCATAAGCTGCAGGGTTGGGACCGGCATATTCAAAATCAATGACTACAAGTTTTGAATCTTGGCTTTGCTCTAATTTAGTTGGGTTAATAATCTTTTCAACAGAGACGCCAGAAGAAGTTGGAAACAATGAGGAGTTAGAAGTGGCCGAACTAATCGAAGCAGCACTACTATCTATAGAATTTACCATATCTGTACTTTCTACAACTGGTGCAGTAAAAAGTAGATTACCATATTGTGCATCATTGTGGCAAAATACCAAGTGCGGTTTTGTTCTTTCCTGCTTATATAGCCAATCGTGATATTTGTGAATCATTTTTTTAAAATGTTCCCAATTATCACATCTGAATGCTTCTTTTATGTTTTCATCGTTGGTTACCCACTCTTTACCTCTCGTTTCAAGAATGGTTAACCATTTCAATAATTTATTCCAACTTGCAGGTCCACTTTCTATTTCTGAACGTAACAAAGGAACTCCTGAATGTAACTCTTTCATTCGTCTTGCAATTCTTTGCGATGTTTTCCAATCTCTAATATTATCACGTCCTAAAGTACTTGAATTTTCCAGATATTGTTCGAATCTACCGTTTTCAAAACAACCATATAGAGAGGGTCCGATACTTCTAATAGATAACCTTGCTAAAATCTGTAATTCATACTCTCTATCAATGATAGCATCATTATTTTTCCCGTAGACTCTCAATAGAAGGGATGGAATTTTAGGATATTCTACTTTAAATATAGAATTTGTCATTGCACCAGATATCTTGGTTAATGTTAACAAATCAGGGTTTAATTTCGATTCTAAAGAATTTTTAGAATGCCATTTTCTAATGCATAAAATATGAGCAACATTTAGAAGATCTTTCTTCAAATATTCAATAGGTAAAGTACTATCCAAAGTCGCCTTGACGTAGGGAATCTCTATATATTCATTCTTTGATGGGTTTTTGGGATTCATGGAACTAACCGCCACTTTTAACCCACTTAAAATGGGTAGTTTTGATTCTGTGTTTCCATTTGGTTTTGAACTATCATTCAATTCCTCTATATTCAATTTTTGCAAAGAGTCGTTCACTTTGTTTAAATCTAATTCACTATCGCTAAAATCAATAGCAACCTCTTCATTCCTATCGATACTAATCGTCCTAATAAGTCTCTGGGAAGATCTGCTTCTCGTTAGAGAAGACCTTCTCGAGCTGGAAGTTGAACCTGATCTTGAATGATGACCTGTATGCGGTCTCGAATATATTTCACCAGTTGGCATTTTATTGAAAGAATATAAAGCTATATATGAGCGTCTAAGTGCCGGAAATGGATTACTATCTTTCCTGCTGGCTGATTTAAGGGAAATTCAACTTCAATTGTCAAATACGGGTATACTCTTTTCTACAATGAGATAAAGATAACTAAAAACGCAAACAAACTTATGATCACAGGAAGCTCTATCCTTTTATAGATTATACGTCTACTTGACCTTATCTAAACCGTGTGATTAAGTGGAAAGTCCTCTAGTTTAATTTCAATAAGCATGTGAATATTTCTCATGTCAAATTTAGCGAGGATACACTTGACCCACAAGTTTTCGCGATGTCGCGTGGGAAGTGACAGTAAAAACCGAAAACTTAACGAGAAGTGAGTTGTGTGTGGGGAGAGTTAGCGATAGTGTGATGGTAGTAGTAGTAGTAGTAGTAGTCTTCGATGAGGCCAGATCATAGAACCGATATGACGCTTACCAAACAGGGATTGGCTATACGAGATGACTTATTTATAATTTCTTTTTTCATTCAGATAATTAGCAGCTGAAGCTTCCAGAAACTTGAATAACGGAAGTTAACTGAATTAATCGATTGCTTGTTTGATGATTAGATGAATCTATTAAAAGATAGTTATAACTCATCATCAGAGGAAGAAATCAATTTGGCCACTGAGGAGTTACCGATTGTTCCGAATTCTATTTTGAACAAATACCATATTGCTCCGAGTACTAATATTGATAATAATAAGATGAATCGCGGCTCATCGTCTGCTACATTATGGAATACATTTATATATCTCGAGTGGAGACCGAGCGTGAAGGATCGAAGATATTTAGACAAAATATTGAGGTATTATGATAATGTTATGAATCAGAATGGTATCCGTTTAAAATTGGATCCATTATATTGGACAGAACTAGGGTCACCCTGTCCTCTGCATATTTCATTATCACCAAATATACGTCTCAGAGATGTAGCAGATAGAGACAGGCTATTTAAGAGAATGGAACTAGCCATTGAAAGGAGCAAATTGACACCATTTGAAGTCAAATTCGATACTGTACCTAAGTGCGTCAGATCTCTAACAAACCCCAAATCATGTTTCCTAACGTTACCAGTCAATAGAACAACGCGAATGGGTCCAATTACAGAACTTTTCAAGATGATAGAAGAGAGTGAAAAAGGTTTAAATTTGGATATACCCTTCGATTTGAAAATAGCAATGACACATATGTCAATTAGTCAAATGAACCCAGAGAATGGCACCACATTAGAAATGTCGACAATAAACGAAGTCATACAACGTAACGTTTCTAACTTTGATATACCTTCGGTTACTATAAACTCTATCAATATAGATAAGAATAGACAATCACTCTCAATAAGGTTTCCTAATAATTAACACAGATTAATTCACTTATTAAATGATTCCATCTCTCATAATCACGTGACCAAAAATATCATTTTTTTATTTTTCGATCAACTCGTTCCTTTTTGCCTAATACGGTAACTCGTAAATACACGGATTAGGTAAAAAATTAAAGTACTCATTCCTTGAGAAATACATTCTGTTATCGTTTTGAATGGAACTTAGAGAAATATAGATAAATTGGGTAACATATTGGAGTTGGTACGAATAATAAAGAAGAAATAATGTGTTGATTGATAGAAATTAATACATGAAAGCGAATGTAATATTTTTTTCTTGAATTAAAAATCAACAACTCCTTGTTACGTTCAACGTTTATAATAACAACAAACAACAATACTTCTTTTATTCATTTATTTACCACTAACATCCGTTTGTTAAAATAAAGTTATACCCTTAATAACAACCACCTACCATTCAGCTAATATAACTATAAATATTATAATTCTATTAGTGAGTTGTGTTCCATTCATTTAATATATATTTCATTACAAGAGACCTAATAAATAATAATAATAAAAGGATATTGCTCTACAATAGTTCAAGCTTATTGATATAACAAAACATAGTATCCCAAGTATATTTTTTTGTTAACCTTTTTAATCATTCAGGAGAGATTATAAAATACCCATTTTCCCCACCAAAATCGTACCCAAACCCACAGATACATCCGTGAACCATATCAATTTCATATACGATTGAGTAAAACAAATAAGCGATGGATTCTGAAATAAGCTCGTGGCTAATTAATCCACAAAATGTTTTCAACGATAATATTAAAACAAATAGTCGAAACGACGATAGTTTCCAACCACCAAACTTCATGCAAGGGGTCAATGATGAATCATTCTTAAACACTAGTAATAATGCAAGCGGGTTTGACTTGCAAGGGTTCTCAAAACCTTTAGAGTTTCAAGATTCTGCAAAGGGTAATTTAAATCCAACAATGGATAACAATTTTGATTTACAATATAGTGATATAGATAACTTGTTAACCCAAGAATTAAAGGATCTAGATATTCCTATGGCACCTTCTCCAAGTGGCAACGAATTTGATTGGAGGCAAAAAAACATTATTACTACCCCTCAACAAGTTGGATTACAACATAGTAAGAAACCTTCAATGGCTCATAAGAGAGGAATGAGTGGTACTGCAATTTTTGGATTTGCCAACCATAATAAAACATTAAGTATATCAAGTATTCAAAAGACTATCCGTGATATTTCAAAGGATCCAAATCTTAATAGCATTATCAATAATTACAACTCCAATAGTCCAGAGTCGATGGAAATATCAAATTATAATACTTTTTCTGCAAACCCTGTCGATATCATTAAAAATAATAAAAATAGTAACTCTACTAATGAACAATTGAGTCAAATGATTTTGAATCAACAGGAGACATTAAGATTAGAGTTAGAGAAACAAAAAGAGATGAACAAAAAATTAGAGTTACAATTGAGGGAGAATCAATTGCAACAGGAAAAATTACAACAAGTATTACATGAACAAGAGGTCACTACCCAACAACAGCAACAACTGAATAAAGGTATGTCATCTAATTCAGGGTCACCGCTTCGTTCACAAATTGTACCACAAATGATTCGCACCCCAGCTAAGTCACAGAGAGGTCATGGTGAGGATGATCCATTGATTGTCACTAGTAATTCTGCCATGGGAACGTATCAATTCCCGCCTCCACAATCATCTGCGACCTCTCAACAAATGCTGTCTTCACCTACTCTTTCGAACAATATAATCAACGGCTCACCTTCAAAAGGTTACAGCGTAGGACGGACACGTAAGGGTCTCATTCCGAACTTACAATTAGAAGATGGCGAAGATTTTGTCAGAAGTAGTTCAGGAATTCCATCAGCTCCTCCTGCACCAGTCTTTAACACATTTAAGAGTCCCTCCAGATCACCCAATAACGACAACAATATCAGGGATAAATTCGGATCTCCTGAATATTTTGGTGGAATGAAGTCCAGGGATCGTGATATGACTCCATTTACTCCACCATCTATGAACGGATCTACAGAGGGCCGTTTACATACAAAGAAGGAATCTGTATTATCGAGTGCGTCAACCATCCCACAACAGGAAGCATATGACAACCGATCGAAGAATAATAGTAACAACGGACTTCTAGGTCTGGGGATCTCTATGCCCACAATACCAGGTTCTAAAGAGACTACACCAGTCAAATGCAAACTCCCACAAAAACACACTTTCCAGCATACACCAGTGAAAAAAGGTGTAGAGACGTCAAATGGAAGTCCATTAGCAAAACAAATGGCCATTCCTATGATAGAACGAACACCAGAGGTATATACTAGATTACCAGATCCAGTCGAGTTTACACCAAGTCCGAAGAAGATCACTAAGAAACCTACAACGTTACCTCCTGGGTCCATTGACAAATATGTTAAGGAGTTACCGGAGAAACTGTTCCAATGTTTATACCCAGGATGTGGTAAGGCATTCAAACGTCGTTATAACGTTAGATCCCACATTCAAACACATCTACAGGATAGACCTTATCAATGTGACTATGATGGTTGTGGCAAAGCGTTTGTTAGAAACCATGATCTTGTCAGACACAAGAGAACTCACGAAGCAAAAATATATGGATGTCCCTGTGGTAAACGTTTTAGTAAAGAAAGCAGTCTTTTAAATCATAGAGGTAAAATGATATGTAGTGGGGGTAAAAAATTCGATACATGTATTACTAAATCGTCGTCACCATCCAAACGTTATGACTATGATGAGAACAATGTTAATAGTAACTATGGTGCTGAGCACCAGAGTCCCGTCAAGACAAACATCGAGAGAGACAAGCGTGGCTACGTTCTGGCAAAGATGGATGAACAATTGTCGAAGGATATTGAGAAATATGGTTTGTTAAACCCTCCACAGGAAGTAATATCCCGCTCCACGCCAACCAAAATGCGTGCAATGGCTGGCAATATGTTTGTGACAACCCCACCATCCAGTTTCAGTGACTTGGAATCTCCATAGTTTCCTCAAAAAACAACAACAAACAAACTAAAACTGAACGCACTCACTCAAATATTATATATACTCCACGCCCTAAGTAAAGTATATTTTAAATATATTCCTTTGAAAATCTTGAATTACTAATAGTTAAAACAATTCCTCCTTCGATGATATATTCAGTATTATTCAAAATCTGGATGAGCACGTGACACTTACCTCCCCAGATCATACCACACGGCGCCCACCCACCCTATCCGTCATGACCTCGACGGTCCCCGTTTTCCATTCAAATTTTTCGCTCAAAGGACCTCCATGACCTCGACGGTAAAACGAAGAAATCCTGGTTGCTTTCCGCTAAGCACAGAGGATCAGCGCACGAGTGAGGGGGCGGCGAATACCAAAAGCGTTCCAAGGGATAAAGAAAATTAGAGTCCCCATGGCTCTCTTAATCTCTCACACTGTTTGTGTTTATTTGCTTTGGGAAAATTGATGCGCAAAGGAAATCTGCTTAGCTGATGTCGCTAATTTATGCTGTTGCCACTATGTGAGGCCCTCTGTAAATCAAACTACCGTCGTGAAATTTCAAAGTTGCACTAAGCAGACCAGTTCAAGCCAACGTTGGAAAATACATACAGGAAAGGAATTAGGTAATCCGATTTAAATATATATCTATATATATATAATTGAATTGACAATATTGTTCTTGACATTTGGAATCGACATCGAAGTGGTTAAACGTTCTAAGGGCTTTTGGCTATTACTTACATTTTATATTAGTTTCTGAAAGATACATACATATAATCTCAAATATCCAATTCAATTTATAATATAACATAAACTCCCACATCTATATGATAGATTTAATCATTAGGGATTCACCCACAGATACATGTCAAACAGTAAGTGAATACAATGGCCATCAAAATATACGGATCCTTGCCGTCTTCATAATTATGATATCATCGGGCCTCGGGGTCTATTTCCCAATCCTTTCCTCTACATATTCATTCATACGACTTCCTGATTGGTGTTTCTTTATCGCAAAATTTTTCGGTTCAGGAGTCATCGTAGCCACTGCTTTTATTCATTTATTACAACCGGCATCGGAAGCTCTAGGGAATGATTGTCTAGGTGGAACTTTCGAAGAGTATCCCTGGGCTTTTGGGATTTGTTTGATGTCTTTATTCTTATTATTCTTCACGGAAATCGTCACACATTATTACGTGACGAAAGCAATGGGTGGAGATCCTCATGATCATGATGGAATAATGGAAAAAGACGATAATGATTCGAGTTTATCTCATGATGATAGTTTAGACATTTCAACTTCATCGAATCTTAATAATATGACTAATGAAAATAACAGTAATAATAACAACATAGAAGTCTTCTACAATAGAGAAGTAAGTAATATCGATGGAGGTATTATTAATGATACAAATAATCTCAACATTGACGATAATAACAATAACGATAATAGAAACTTTGGAGACCTGAGTATATTGAAGAAAGAGCAATATACCGAACATAACTATGAATATAACCAGAACGTAGATAGAGAAACTGGATACTTTGACGATTATAAATTGGATCTGGAGTCTGGAATGAATATCCCAACTAGAGCCACTCAAAAACCATTGAGTAAATTGGTCTCTGTTCCCGGCCAGGATCACTATGGCCATGACGAAGACCATCAGGATGTATCCCAGATTGGTACACCAGTGAACCAAAAGGAGAGAGAACAATATCTGAATCAGATCTTCTCAGTGACAATTTTGGAATTTGGTATCATTTTCCATTCTGTCTTTGTTGGTCTGTCACTTTCTGTCTCTGGTGAAGAGTTTGAAACATTGTTCATCGTGTTAACATTTCATCAAATGTTCGAAGGGCTAGGTCTAGGGACTAGAATTGCAGAGACTCCCTGGCCTGCAAGTAAAAGACTCACACCTTGGTTCATGGGTCTTGCATTTACGTTAACATCACCAATCGCGGCTGCGATTGGTATCGGTGTTCGTAACTCCTTTTTACCAGGTTCAAGAACAGCTTTGATTACAAACGGTATCTTTGATTCAATTTCTTCTGGTATTTTAATCTACACTGGTCTTGTGGAACTAATGGCTCACGAATTCTTATATTCAAACCAATTTAAAGGTCCTGAAGGTTTTAAAAGAATGCTCTGTGCTTATTTTATTATGTGCTGCGGTGCAGCACTAATGGCACTATTAGGTAAATGGGCATAACCATTACCATTACATTTTAACGAATTCCCCTCCCTCCAAAAACAACAACATCAAATTATAAACAGATATACACATATTCCCATTTCCAATTTTCTTTTATGATCACTATATTACTATTTTATACATATGCATTCATCCTATTTATTTAACTTCATACATATCTTTTTTTTATGTACACATCATGTTAATGAAATTATTTTATTTATTATCTTTTATTATTTTTTTTTTGAATTATGCACTAGTATATTTATATATATATATGTATAAATATTTATAATATTTTTCTTATTTTAATGAAACTACACCAAAGTCTCAAAGACTCTCTTCTTCTTACCCTTTTCTTCTTCCTTTCTTTGTTCATACTCATCAACGAACTCAAAGTTATGTCTCAAGTTCCATTGTTGTTTCACAAATTTCAAACCTTGAACATTGAAGCCTAAATTGTCCTCGTTCTCTTGTAATTTGTTTCTCAATTGTGTTTTCACTCTAGTGATTTGTAATTTCAAAGTTTCATTCTTTTGGGCCACCAATTCTTTTTGGTTATATCTTATCACAAAGAATAAATTCTTACAGATTAATGGTAGATGATTACTGCTTAATCTAGGATCAGCTAATGCAATATCGATAAATTGTAAAAATTTCAAAGTGTAGGAAAATGGGAACACTAACAAAGCATCTTCCATTTGCGAAGGTTTAATTCTTACCAAAGTATCCATAATATATTCTGTTGGAGATTTCTTTATTGCCAACAATATAGCATTAGCCTGTGGAGAAATTGGTGCTTCACCAGCTTTCTTCTTTTTCCATTTTTTCATCTCCCTATCATATGTTTTCTTCTTTTCAATTTCAGATATACCTAGATCAAGAGCCTCCATCAGTCTTTCACTGGCCTTTAAGGACTCAATTGTTTGTTTGTGGACGTCAGATGATTCATCGTCTTGAGCATCACCAGAATCTTTATTAAAGGCGGCATCACCATGACCTTCTTCTAATGAATTTAATAACGTTTCTTCATATTGTTCTTCCATCTCTTTGTCTCTTTCTTCCTCTAAGAAAACTTCATCTTCGGTTTCAGCCCATACTCTAATACTATGATCATGAGAAGTCGATACCACGAACGATGCATCATTTGCCATAGCCAAAGCCCACACTTCACTTTGATGACCAGCCAATTTTTGAATACATTCAAACTTATCACCATCCCAATACTTGACTAAACCATCCTTGGAACAACTAAAGAAGTTGTGGGACTCAGGAACAAATTTGACATTCATAATAGAATCTTGATGTGCGAAAAGAGATTTGTGACAATCACCAAAATCCAGACCCCAAATCTTAATATTTTTATCAGCAGAAGATGTAATCACTAATTTGGAATCAAATGAAATATCAATTGACAACACAGGTAATTTATGACCGTATAAACTTAAGAAAAATTTCATAGTATCCATGAAGAAAATCTTCACTGTGTTATCTAATAATGAAACTGCCAAATATTTATCATCTGGAGATAATTTAATATTTAAGATATCATCATTTAATTCCATAGTGGTATCGTGATGCAATTTTAATGCGTTGACAAACTTGTCTGTGGTCCCCGGAATAAGCTGTTGATCTAATTTAAATTCCCAGAATTTCACTGTTTTATCAGCAGATCCAGTGACAAGTTTCTTACCATCATTAGTAATATCTAAGGACCAGATGGCAGCATCATGTGCATCTTCAATATTTTCCAGTTGGGTAGAAGTAGCAAGATCATATAGTTGTAACTCACCATTTCTAGTACCAACCATGACTAATAAACCACCTGGTAAAAACTTACATGTTAATGCAAATCCACATTCAAAGGTCCTTATGCATAGTTTAGTTTTTATATTCCAAATTTTCAATAGACCATTAGAAGCTGTTGCCAACAATTTTGTATCATCACTAATATCAATTGCTCTAATATCAGTTCGTAGACCTTGTAATTCTATGGAATGTAGTTTAATTGGTGCTGGTTGGGTTGGATCCCTCTTTTCATAAGGAATGGAATAATATTCGATAGTATTACTAGATGTTGTGACCACCAAGTCCAACTTTGAATGAGTTGTGTATGTCCAACAAGCTGATTTCACCTTAAATAATGATCTTACAATTTGGAATGGATGCATTAACAAGGAAACATATGAGTTTTTAATATTTAATGAAATTTCTTCTTCTGCCATTCCCTTTTCTAGTAATCTCTTTTCTCTTTTTTTCAATGCTCTTGCAATTTCTTCGTCCTTTCTAATTCTAAACACTTCAATTGTCTTGTCAGCATTTTGGATGAAGAAGAATGTAACACCATCAGTGGTAGTCTTGAATTGAATATCCAAACCTCTTTGTTTACTTTGCTTTTCATGAATACCTTTCTCCAATAGCATCATACCATTATTCCCTTCTAAGTTTAATTGCCAGATTTTTACTTGGGAATCAGAACCTGTTGTGACAACCAAATCGTTGTGAATACCCAGACTCCAACATTCACCTGTATGTGCGATATGTGTTTCAACACATTGTTGAATCTTTAAATCCCAGATTTTGATCAAACCGTCCTTAGAGGTACTAATCAACCAATTTTCATCTTTACACCACAAACCTGTTATATTATCTTTATGAGATCTCAATTTATAAAGACCAACTTCACTAACCAAATCCCATACAATAATATTAGAATCTCTGGAACCAGATATCAACCTGGTACCAGTAACGTCAAATTCTAATGCCGTAATAGCAGACTTGTGACCATTGAAACTCAACAAGACAGATTTTGACATCAAATCCCATACTTTGATAACACCATCAGCATAACCAGTGGCTAACAAATTCGTGTCCTTATGATATTTCAAATATGTGACTTCTGCAGGTTTGGTAGACTTAGCATCGATAGAACCTAATGGAATACCATCGGTTAAGAAGCTATCCAGTTCACCAGTTTTAATGTTCCATATGTTTATATTTTCTAGAGCACTGGTAATAATTTTACCTGGATTGGTAGATCTTTCGGTAGACGTAGGTGGAATCCAAACGGAGTTAGCGTTAGAGTCAATAACACCAAATACGGAATCCTGTTCGAAACGCTGGTAAGATTTAACCATCTTAGCACAGTGTGTAGTTCTTGGGTTGGATATATGTTATTTTTATGTCTAAAGAGTCGTTCCAATTATAATTAAACATTCAATATCTCGTATTTTATGTGTGTCTCTCTACTAAGTATTTTAACTTTATTTTTGCGATGAGCTTCGATTCAAAATTTCACTTTTAATTTTTTCAGCGACGAAAAATTTTCAGAAGGAGTTACCCGGGGATATGCATTACTGGTCATGTGATGGAAACCCAGAAAAGTAGTATTGTTGTAATGCCTATTATAGTAAAATCATTATCCTAACCTAATAACCCATTAAAGCCATTAATTTTTCAATAATACATATAATAATTACTGGAATTATGGATAAAGAACCGACAAATATGAAAAAAGGAATAAATTCTATAAGATATATATATACATATAAATGTTGGCAAACCAATTTTCTATATTCCTTTTGTTTCTTGAAGGTATTCATAAAATTCGTCAAATATGTATGGCCAAGGATCATTCTCATCATAGTCTTCTGCAACTGAATCAACAGTAGGATATCTTTTAAAGAATTCCAAGAGCATCATCCAGCAATCTTTGGTGATATCATTTTGATTTTCTGTCTCCAAGAATATCACCCAGTCGGCAAATAATTTTGGATCTATCTTTAGTACAGCATTTCTCTCTAAATCCTGACAAAAATATAATTTCCAATATTCAATTGCAGTATTAAGATCCAACATTTTTGCATCATCGTCAATAATCAAATCAAATGTATAATTATATATCTCAGCAAGATACTTTGAATCAGAAACTAATTTATTCTTCAAATCTTGCATTACTATTTTCATTTCGTCTATGCGTGAACATCCTTGCACATACCAATTAGATAAAAACTGGTCCTTAGTAATTGGATCAGTCAATTTATTCCAATCAAGTAACTTGGCCAAACATATTGTTACTATATCTTCAAGTTTCAGTCCCAAATCAGTAATAAATGCCATCACACCTTCAATGTCGATTTCATCTCCATTTGGTGAATATTTATTAAACATATCTATCAACTCTTGAGGATATTTGACATCCTTTGGTATGGTGTCGACAAATCCGCCCAATTCTGAATCATAAAAATCATTCAGTGCATAATCAATTTGCCATTGATTCCTTTGTAAATATTTTTTGGCCAATTTAGGTGTGCACTCAGTTAAAGATATGAATCTCTGAATTTTGTTTTCCTCATGTGAGCTTTTCTAATTTGACAACATTCTATTTAGGACCCCTGTTATAATGGGTTATCTCTTGGCTGTTAGTATTGATATTGTTCTTAAGTGAAGGAAGTTTTGTCATTAAACGTGTATACCATCATGGTACATACCATATTATATCATAGATATTAGTTGTTGGCTTCCTGGTTTTGAGTACCTTCATAACATTCCTATGATTTAACTGGAGACTTTACCTGTTCTTTAGTCTCTTATGCATTGTGTGACATTTGTTAGTTAATCTCATCCTCTTTGTTTTTTTTTCCCTTTTTCTTCCGTTATAATAATTAGTAAATAATTGATTTTAGTACACATAAACTTCAAAAAGAAAATTAATAAAAGGTAAGAAGTTCATTAACGCCAGCATCCCTAAAACATTACTCTAACGAGATATAATTTTAAATTAGGTAGAAGTTCTGTAATTGAATAATGAAATAAGAGAAGCTAATGTCTCTTGAACAATTGCTCTACAAATTTCTTCCGTCCGACGAATATAACGATGATCTGGACACGTTACTGATGTGGCTACAGCCACAGGGTCATCAAAATCGACCACCGTCATTAAGGGTGAAACAATGCATTAGAAAAATATCCGAGGTACATTCACCCGAATTTCCAAAAGTATTAAATGAATACTACATGAATATTGTACGATCTGAATATTTGAAAATGATAGATATGACTGGAACAGATCCTCTGTTGAAATTTAATTCGATTTTATCATTAGAAAAAAACCTTAGCTATCCTTGCACATACATAATGATGTTTCAACAGGAATTTGTACAAGTGTTAAATGCTCTGCGACATTATATTGTGGATAATTACCCAACCTTTCGTAAATCACTAATATCTAATATTCGGCAACTTAGTTTGAATGATGATTTCGATTTAGTGGAGAGTTATGTTGATTGGATTGATGCATCACATGCAATTTGTCTGTCATCTAAGGATGTTATACTCGATGTGATTGTTGAGAAAATATATATCATGTGTGAAAGATACATCAAGGGCAAATGGACCAATCGATATCTGGTGATGGAGACGTTTAATAAATTTATAGAGACATATTGGAGTCATTTCACAAAATTACTGGATTGTTCTGAGAATGATCACAATCTTACGACAACCGTTTTTAATTGTTTTGAAAATACGTTTATAAGTATAAGGACAGATGAAATTTATGACATATTTATTAACTCATATCCATCTTCCAAACCAACTATTTTAGAACTCAAGAAAACTCTGCGGAATAATAATAACAAAATGAAGAACCATAACAAGATAATACAACAATATTTAAAGAATTTCAATAAAAATATATTGAACCCAAGTGTCACTACGGTAGATGCCTTGTTAGCATATATTAGGAGTATAGAATGCTTCTCAATATTAGATCCGTCAAACAGATATTTAAAAACGTTGAAAAATTTCATTAGGCCAAATCTACAACAAAGGAAGGATTTGATCAACATATTGTTATATGCTATATTAAACCTCGAAGAGTCTGAATTCAAAGATTTAGGGATAGTCTATGTAAAGGATATTGATAAATTGACAAAGGAGTTATCCAGTAATCATCAAAGAAATATTGATAATTTTGATCGGACTGATCAAATATACAATGAACAAAAGAGGAATTCTACTGATTATATTCAAAGAACTGGCATTAGTTTAGGAGATACCCAAGAAATCTATGACGATATACATTCCAACATTAACGATAATGACAAAAATAATAATGGTAAACTAATATATGAAAATATATTGAAACAATTTTTAATATGGGTACCTGAACCTAATAATATTGAAGGAAACTCAGCAAATAATGCTAATAATGAAAATAATGACATTGATGATAATACAGATGGCAATATTTCGATGCTCAGTACGAATGATGATTCACAGATGCTAAGTGCATCATCCAAAGACGGTTCATCACATTTACTAGACATATTGCTAGAATTATGTGAAAGTAGAGAGTTATTTATTTCGGAGTTTTTAAAAATAGTCACTAAAAAATTATTGACTTTAAAATCGTATCGTTTGGATTCTAAATGGATGAAATGTTTACAAATGATTAGAGACAAGTATGCAGTGAATAGTTCAAACATTATTTCTGAAGAGGAAATTGGAGCGTTCGGTACAAATTCTAACGATAACGGAAATAATATTGATAATGGCAACAGGGGAAGAAACACTAATGGATACATTGATGATTTTACATCTAACTTGAATAAGATTGGTGTCATGATATATGATATGCAAATGAGTCAACGCATATATAATAAGATTCAACTTACAAATACGATACCTCATAACGAAAACTATATGATATTTCCTAAATTCATCACTCCATTATACTGGGAGCCAGAAAATGTTGCCATCGAAGATCAAATAGATAATAGATTAACTTCAAATAAATTTCCATACAATTCAGAAGTCCAGGATGAAATATTAAAATATGCATATGAATTTTCAAGATTGGAACCTGACAAAGCTTTGCATTTGTGTAGAGATAAAGGCATTATGACAATAGAGATTGATCTTGTGGGCAAAGGGAAAATTCCTCTAACAGTCACAATGCCTCAATATTCTGTAATTAACAAATTTGACGGAAACAACGGTGTTACAGGGTTATCTCTCGAACAATTGATTGAGGAGACACGTATATCCAAGGATGAACTCCTCACGATATTACGTTTCTGGGTCGAAAGGCATGTCTTGCTGTACGATATACACACAGAGAAGTATGTGACGAATGAAACCTGATAGAACAATGGCTAATGATCGAACGAACACAGGTGAACAATATAAATATACATGGGGGTAAGTATATACAATTTATGACAAATATTGTCTTATTGTTTCTTCATCGATTGGTACTTTCATCCCTGCTTATCTTTATGTTGACGGGAAACAAAAAGTGGAAAAAAAAGCAAATGAAAGAATGGCTTACAGAGAAGAAGCGAAGAAAAGAAAGTGTCAATTTCCATTAGCGATCGATTAACCAAGACACCTTGAAAAGTTTTTGCTTATCAAATGAACAATATATAAACAAACAATATATAAATGATAGCTCGACGCATGAAATAAGAATTGAAATCAAAATTTTCTTCTTTACAATTTGACAAATTCAATTGTAAATTAAATAAGACCGCTAAACAATGACTACTTCCCATAAGAAAATTGCGATTTTCTATACTGATCATGACGACGAATGGACTGATCCCTATGGTAATTTCGTGGACATGGCTCAGAAATTGTTAAATGAGACCAAGGATCATCCATCAGATGTTGAATATAAGATGTTCCACATTTATAACAACGAATTTCCAACGTTAGAAGAATTAGGTAGTGTGGATGAGATGGGAGACAGTAATTATATTGGGATATTCATTACAGGATCTCGTTATGATTCCTTCGATCAAACCACCGAATGGATCATTAAATTCAGAACAATGTTGGATCATCTATTGAATGATAATGATGAAAATAATCCATACCCACCTATTGTTGGTATCTGTTTCGGCCACCAAGCCATTGCTAAGACATTAGGTTGTAATGTCGATAGAAACCCGTTGGGATTCGAAGGTGGTGTGGTTCCTATCGATCTTAATGAAACAGGCCAAACGATCTTTGGAACAACCCAATTACACCTCTCTGAAGTTCATAATGATATAGTATTTGATGCGCCAAAGGAGAAGGGATACATGAATTGGGGTTCTTCCGACAAATGTAAGATTCAAGGTTTATACAAGGAACACAAATTATTAACATTCCAGGGACATCCTGAGTTTGTCAATGAGATAGCTGCGAAGGGTGTAGAGAAGACAAGAGCTAAATTGAAAGGTAGTGATACAAAGGGTATCAACACAGATGCTCAGTTAGATGAAATGGTTGCAAATACCAAAAAATATCAGAACGATGGAAAACTAGCCTCTAGTAAAATATGGCAACTGTTCTCGCAAATATTATAGTCCTCGTCATGCAAGGTTCCAAAGCCTAAAGCCTAAAACTAAACCTCACGCTCGCTGGTGCGTTACCTACATAAATAAACATCATTACATATCATAATAAACGTAATATAATATAAAAATACCATAATAACTAGACAATCTCACCACTGCACTCTTTCCGACCTCTGATTTGTCACTTCCACAACTACCACCACTTCTACTATCACTAATATTAATAGTATTATTAATCAATTTACCCACCAAATCTACTCAGTTTCTGTTTCAATTAGTTTACCTTTTATGGTAAATTATGAAAAGTGATAAAAAGTGCTCTCCCTTTCTCTTGCGCCGCGTTGTTTTTGCTTACTGCCAGTTACAATATTTCAAAGGGCGGCGGAGCTTCTAATGCCTCTTTTTTTCTTTCGAATTTAATTTCTCAGTATATAAAGGGAAAGGTTCTGGAAAGGGGAAGGTGAAAGGAATGCGAAAGGCAATGGAAGAAGGGTTACTTTCTGTAAGAATTTTGCAAGTTCTATAATAACATTTAGTTAGTTTAGTTATAAAATCATCGTTATTCTCGTTTTTTCATTGAAGTTATGACGAAAATTGCTAATTTGTTAGTTTGGTTAGCTGCCGCAGCCAATGAGGCGCAGGGTTTTAATATACCTAAGAATTCTGTTCATAGAGGAGATGTCAACCCCGTGAAACAACAGCATTCTAAGAGAGGTTATGTTGGTTTGGAGTTCACCAAATCGTATGGTGATACATTTGAAGGTTCTAATTCAGAGAATACACCCGAACTATATTTGCACAAGAGAAGTGATGGTTCTGAATCGATAGAGATCACTAATCAAGGTACTTTTTATTCTGTCAGTCTGGAGATTGGTACACCTGAACAGAACATTACTGTTCTTGTTGATACCGGTTCTTCTGATCTGTGGGTATCCAACTCCAACAATCCATATTGTCAAAGTAACTACCAGTCCACCAGTGGGATCACTTATGCTGATACCATCGATTGCACCGACTACGGTACTTTTGACCCTGATTCCTCAAGTAGTTGGTCATCTAATAGTACTTCATTCAGTATTAAGTATGGTGATTCGACTTTTGCTAGTGGTGTATGGGGTCAAGATAGATTACATTTAGAGGATCTGAACGTTACTGGACTATCCTTTGCTGTGGCCAACAGATCAAATTCAACAGTTGGTGTTCTAGGTATTGGTCTACCGGGACTTGAAGTCACATATACTGGTTCTGCCTCCAAAGCATACCAATACGATAATTTCCCTATGGTGTTGAAGAGAAGTGGTGCCATTGAATCAAATGTCTATTCGTTGTATTTGAATGAACTAGATGCTACTCATGGTACTGTATTGTTTGGTGCTGTGGACCATTCCAAATATGAGGCTCCATTGTATACCATCCCGTTAATTAACACATTGAGAGCGAACGGATTTGGATCAGCGGTGCAATTCGATGTCACATTACAAGGTCTAGGTATGACTTTCGAAAATGGTACTGCTGATAAGACTTTGACCACTACTGCTATTCCTGCATTGTTAGACTCAGGGACTACATTGACATATTTGCCTGGTTCATTAGTTACAATTATTGCAAACCAAGTTGGTGCCACATACTCCTCTAGATTAGGTTATTATACTGTGGCCTGTCCAAGTAGTATGTCATCATCGTCATCGTCATCCTCTTCTTCTACTTTAGATGGAATAAACTTAATTTTTGATTTCGGTGGATTCCATATTAATGCTACATTGGAAGACTTCTTAATACAACCATCTGCCAATATATGCCTGTTGGGTATTGTTCCACAGACTGCTCATAGTGCGTTACTTGGTGATTCTTTCCTAAGTCATGCTTATGTCGTATACGATCTGGAAAACAAAGAAATCTCTATGGCTCAAGCCAAATATGACGTTGACTCTTCTGATATCGAAGTTGTCTCTTCTGGTGCATCATCCATTCCTAGTGCCATTAAAGCTCCTGGTTATTCCCAAACATGGTCATCAAGTGTTGCATCTATCGGCACTACTGGTAATATTTTCACCCTTGTAACACAATCTACGGTTGACAACTCAGGTACTGAAACTACATCAGCTACTTCAAACGCTGGCAGTAGCAGCAGTTATTCCACCACTGGAACATCATCTTCCTCCAAGACAACCTCTAAGAAATCATCTTCATCAGGTACATCCACCAGGACAACAACTACAGGGTCGACCAATCGTAAAAACGGTGCATTCAAAGTTACTACTTTCCACCCAATGAGCGTATTATCGCTAATTGCATTCTATTTAATGATGATGGTGTAGATTCCAGAGAACATATCTACGTCATACCGTTTGATATCTCAACTTCTTTTTACATTAACGATATTAAACGATTTTTCTATCAAATTGAACAGGAATATTGCTGGTTATGAATATTCTTACACATACATATATACTCACAAATACACATATTTACGTAAAGCTTCATTTTAAACATTCCATTATTATTATTCGCTATTACCGACGATTCTTAATCGTTATATGAACATGTCATGTCGTAAGTTGTGATAGTAGTGTTCCAAATTCGGTATTCGACTTTTTCTGGCGGAGCGGTCTCAAATCATTTCTTTGAGTCTGTATTACATAATACTAATAATACGTAAATTTTATATTTTTCAGTTTGCGAGATGGCAGTACTGATTAAGAGATTTAGTGTTTGGAACAAACTAGAATTCTGGACGACATCACTAACATTAGCACAAAAGTTATCTATTGATATTATAACGTGCAAAGATATCTGGAAAGGAATAGTCTCGTAATTAAGGTATTCAGTTATAGATATAAAGAGACATTGTTCCAGTGAGAAGCTTAAGAGAAAACTAAAACCAAATTTCTTTATCCGTCATATACATCTTCTCATTATGAGTGGACCAGATCCCTCCAATAATAATGGTAATGATTCAGGCGATGGTCTTCCTGCCAATAATAATAGACATAATCAAAATAATAATGATAATAATACAAGCAACAATGAGACTACACCTGCACCACATTCGAATAACATAACACTCTCCATACAATACACATATTTACCGATCGATGGCACGAATGGCCAACCTATTGAAACAGCTGGCACAAACGATGATAGGCCGTCTGGTATCAATGGCTCTGCTGCCACTACAGGTAGTGGTAATGTTACCGGATTGGGAGTTAACAATACTGCCATGGGAACAACCTTACCGGGGCAGCCTGTTAATTTAAATGGTGTTCCAGGTGGACCATTGCCTGGCATTCAACCAAATATGCTACCTACGCCTGCTGGCGCGTTTGTTTTGTCATTTAGAGATATACCCAGCACAACACCGCAGAGTCGATTAGAATCTATAGTTGCGATTACTGCCGAGTTAGCAATGAGAAGATTCCAAGAATTGCATTCAAGACCCAAGGGAATTCCAAAGGAAGAATTTGAAAAATTACCAATTCTGACCCTCGAGGAAGTTAGAAAATTAAATAATGGTAAAAATACAGAATGTAGTATTTGTTATGAACCATACATTGAAGAACCTGTGGAAGATAAAACTGAAACAGATAAAAATAGTAATAATAGGAAACGTAGTAGGTCGGGATCAGATAGCCAAGCAAGTGCTCAAATTGATAGAATTAAGAGACAAAGGGTAAATGCTGATTCAAATTCTGCGCCAACACCAGCATCTTCGGCTCCTACAAGTGCTGGTGACCAATCATCTACTAATGCACCTACCTCTCAAGAAGGAAATCCAGATCCAACAGCTGAGGATGAGCCAACATATCTTCATTCCCCTGTAAAATTGCCATGTAATCATGTTTTTGGTAGAGAATGTATTTATAAATGGTCAAAAAATGAGAATTCTTGTCCATTATGTAGACATAAGATCGCAGAATTAAGTGCTGATCAAATGCAAAATCAAACTAATACCAATAACGCTACTATGCACGAATTTGAAAGAATTAGAAATTTATTATACAATCCACCCGAAACTACTGAAAATGGTAATACCCAAAATACAAACAGTAATGCAACCACCCCAGCTACAACATCTACGGAATTTAATTTCCCCGTAAATGGGCCTAATATTATCTTTTTATCACCAGATGACTGGAATAATGTGTCAAATAGAGCTACTAGAACAGGAGATCCTCCAAACAGTATTCCTAATACAACAGAAGGTTCAACAACCACAACATCTGCTCAAACTAGGGGTGTAAACCCATTAAATAATGCCCAGACACCATCCAACTCTACAACACCGGTAAATGGTACCAGTACGACTCGTACAGGTCTACGTTGGATCCCAATTTCAATGAGAAATTTAAATCCTCTAACTAATGATGAGAGAACTAGAAGCAACCCTGGACCAAATGGTGTTACAAACGCTTCTACATCTACTAATGTACAACCCCAAACAACAGAAGAGGCAAGATACAGTGGACTAAGAAGACTTTTCCATACAATGTTCAGTTCTGCAGAGAGAGAGGAGGTAAATAATGCAGCAACAGGTGCAACTAGTAACACTAGTACTCTTCCAGAAAGAAACGTACCCCCAGAACTTGCTAATCATCTTCGTAACATAGATAGTGCCCTTGCAGGTAATACACAGACCCCTGCTAGTTTATTCAGTACTGGTGTGGCCAGTTATAGAGGCCAGAACGGTAATGTTTCCACATTTGAACTTGGGAATCATCGTACATCACATACCACAGCAAGTAGCAACCCAGTTACGGATGCATCAAATCAATCTAATGCTTCAAATGCTAACATTTCATCTAATCCAGCATCAAATACAGACACTAATAATGACGAGACTGAGGAAACTCAACCACGAAACCAAAATAATGAGAACAACGAACCTTCACAGAGTAATGAACATAATGATAATCATTAAAGGCGTATAAGCCTTTCGTAATTCTTATTATTATAATAAATTTTTTTATTATGTAAAAACATACCATGTGGATCAAGTCCAAGTTATACATATACTAGTTAGATATTTTATAAATAAATATGCATTCATTTTTCTTATTATGAACAAAAAGGTCTAAAATAACGTTCAATCTATTTTTTCAATGGACCTTGGTTATTCCAAGTCGACATTATCTCTTTATTCAAATGATAATTAGTCCTCGCATTAATGTAGCGGTACAACACATCATCCAAATCAAGTTTTTCGGGTGTTGCTTCCTTAGCTATTATAGTAGTCTCAATTTTATTACTTTCAATCTCAAAATGAGACACCTTTTCATTTAGTTTGGACTTTAAGGTATTTTCACTGTATTGTCTATTTACAGTTTGGTTGAGATCTTGCCAAAGTTTAGTATATCGAGAGTTTAAAATACGAAGACTATCTAAGTCAGCATTTGTAGAGTCTATATTCTTCTGAAGCTCTATAAATTTCTCTCGGAGTTCCAATAATAAATCCTTATCACTATTTAATTCATTCTGTAGTTTTTCCACTGATTGAAATTGAGATATGTATAGTTGAAGCTTATCGGAGTGCACCTTTATTAAACTGAGTAACTCACTATTTGAAAGGAGATTCGCAGATTCTGGAAGTGGAATCATATGTACATGTAATTCAGTTGATGCAATTAATTTATTATAATGTATATTTAGGTGGGGAATCGTATTGTCTATCGACTTTTTACTACTGGAATATGTAAGCCAGAAGGGCCTTTTTACCTTTATATTTTCTGATACCTTCACGACAAAAAATGAATGGAGTATATATATCTGAATAAGGGCAAAAAGAGGCATCCGGCATAAAACAATAAAACAATTGATTTTGCTACATGTCACATTTTAAAAGAATGTACACCATCAACCTATTTACTACATTCTAATAATTGTACAATGGCACCAACCGATAGAAGAACAAATAAAACGAGGTTCTTAGCGTATGGTGTTGCATTGACTGTAGCAGTCGGTACGTCTGCATGGTTATTATGGAAGTCGTCAAGGGAAGAAGATGACATCAAGGCAACAGAACCTACACACAAATATAAATCTAAATGTATTATAATGACAAAGACGATATCAGAATTGCAGGATATAAAATGGGCATCAATTCTGAAAGATCCAAGCGTTGTGGTAATTGTTGTACCACAAGCAGATTTTCCACAATTGGCCTATCCAAACCAGATAATCGATAGCGAAGATCTATTTAAGATAATCCATTGCGATACTGACGGGGGAGTATGGGCCTGTGTAAAAAGTTTAAAGAAGGATGAACTAGTTTTGGTTTCACGAGATTTGGAACACGAAATTCCGGAGGATATAATACGCTATGTGAAACATATCAAGGACATTAAAGATACATCTGAAATTGTATCATATTTGAATAATTATATATCGTAGTATGTAACAAATATTTTGAGAACATGAATTAATTAACTTTATAATTAATGGTATGTTGTGTTATATAAAGTTTATATGCATTGTAGAATCACAGGATATTCCTTCTTTGGCCGAATACAATACCTTCAGAACCTTGGGAGGCTCCGTTCATATATCCGTATTCTAGAGTACTCCAACCACTATCACCTTTTAGGTGTTTAGGTTTCTGTTTAACTGGTGGACGTGGTTTTTTTGTAGCTATTTGAGGTCCCAGCACTGGAAATAAATCTGGATGTTTTTTGTTAGCATATCTTGATAATGATTTTAAAGCTTGATAGACTGAAGCTGGATCCTTCTCTTCGTACAGATCTACTGTTTGAAATAATTCATCTTCTGGAACTCCATATTGCCTCATGAATGTCAGGAATTGTGATATCTGTTCCATCTGAACAAATGGCATTTTACTTTCTTTCCATTTTATAATAGGCGACCCTACATCAGCTTGGGAAAGGGTATTGGCAAGTTTACAGAGAGTGACTCCACTTTTTAATGACTCTAATAAGCTTCCTTCTGGAATAGTTTCTTTAAGTACACTTGTATATATCCATCCTTGAATACTGTTAATAGAAGCTTGATCAAATTTACCTTCTCTCAGTATTTTCAAATCTTCGTCAAGGGAAGTAACATCTGGCTTGATACCGTAACTCATGATGGGGAAAATAAAGCAAACAAAGTCTTTTGATATGGTACTATGAGAGAGATTATAATGTTTCCGTCTAGAAAGTCATGACTTCCTGTTTCTTCAGTGTAAACTATATAGGAGGCTAATTCTTCTTAATTGCAGATCACTTAAAGAACGATTTCCCTTTTTTCTTCACTAAGCGATACTCTGTCATCACATCACCTATTTAACTTTTATAAGATTGTTCAGTTACTGGATGACACCTGATGCAATTAACATATATCGGGGAAGCCACTACAAATCTGTCTTGTGTTGTATACAATGTTTAAAAACAGTACTTAGGACTACCCAACGGTATTTGATATTCTTTTTTTTTTTGATTTTGTAAGTAATTGATTATCTGAAATGTTACCGCAAGAAATGTCATAAAATTTAAGGAATCATAATAGAACATAAACTTTAATTTAAAAAGAAGAATACTCTAACAAATTTCCTTAAACAAGTTTAAATTACAACCGGTACATAAAACTTAGAGTGTAAATGTTACAGAAAGTTTAAACTATTCTTTTTTTAATCGCAGCTCATTTAGAAAATGTTCAGATTTCTCTTATAGCTGTGAATGATACTTTCTCGAAATCCTGTAACATTTACTAATAGAAAAACTATAAAACATTTAAGTGTTAATATCGAGTCTTTTGGAAGTTTAGGGATTACAGATTATAATTATGATTTTACTAGACGTAATAGCTCATCATGTGAATATTATCAACTGGGGAAAATAGTGCTAAGAGAAATTATTAATGGTACACCGAGAGTTGATAATAAAATCATAGACAATTTCATTTGGTTAATAAATGGCGTGGATGAAACAACCTTAAAGAATGGGGTCTTACCAGCAAATTATTTACAATGGCATTACAAAAAACTAGATTCCAAACCAAGTGTGTTCTACGATTTATATTTTCTCATTGGTGCTTTTTTCATTACAGACATACGCTGATTCTGATGTGCATACGCTCCAGAAGACAGAGAGGAAACGAGTTACTCGTCAGAGTACTCTGTGGACCCGCTTCCTCCTTCCACTTCGACCTATTTCTAATCAAATACAATCAAATATGATCAAATATAATAATGCTAATAATACTGACAATAAGTGCTGCCATAGCCAACAATTACATAATTCACTCAAAATGTTGTTTGGTCGCCAGTTTCACGTGGTTCCGATGCAAACAGACCGATCCGCGGGGCAGCACAGCATCGGCACCGGCGGACGGACAGCCACCGAAATTGTTGTATTTGTCGCAAAAACTTACAAAGAGAGAAACATTTTGGGAATGAGAAACAGTTTGGAAACTGAGAAAAGCGCAAAACGAGAACAGCGCTGGAGGGGACCACCCAACTCCCCCCCCCCGATTCGCACTCCCCGAATCCCTCGCATGAATTATTACTCAACCCCGTCGGGGATAGGAAATAGATTATGAAAACATATTGGAATCTAAAGTGCCATTCATCATCGAAAAACTGAAAAACCTGCCAAAGGACCAATTTTATTTTCAATATTGAGACCAACCTGATATGCATTAAAGATGCAAAGTGACTACTGTAAGCTACGTGAAGTCTAACGGCACTAAATACTGGGTTGGACTATTCCAGGAATAAGAGACTAACGATATACGATATACATCTTCGTTTTTATACTTTATATTATTATTATTTTTTTATTTTGACAGCAGTTCTAGTTTGGTTAAGTGACTAGGTAGAAAGAGAAAAGAACCCTTTATACTGTGCGTTTTGCTTTGCTTTGATTTGTTTGCTTTATTTAACCGCAGTTACATATACAGATTTACTGATCTAAAATAAGTGCTTTGAAAAAATAAACATTACTATATATACATATATATATGTATATTGGATTAGATTAAATCCTAATTTTATTTTTCCACCTTTTTTCCTGTTTTACTTTGTGGTGATTTAAGAAGACTAACGTAAAATATACATTACATTACAACCTACTTTATGAGTGAGAATACTATAAAAGTGTCGAAAAAGAGAAATAGACTCTCGTTCGTCTGTCAAGCTTGCAGGCGATCGAAAACGAAATGTGACAAACTAAAACCAAGATGTTCAAGATGTAAAAATCAGGACCTTTCATGTGTATATGATATTGCGACTCAAACAAGGCCAAAATGTGCAAGCAGGAAATCTCAAATCCAGATGCTGGATAATGAACTGGATTTTTGGAAGAAAAAAACCAACCAATTAATGAAATTGCAATACAATAAAATCGTCGAATCGAAACACGCTCATCTATTTGGAGATTTGGAATTGTTACCAGAGAGGGACTTAGTGAATAACAAGAGAACAGTTAAAGATTTCTGGGATTTAAATGTGAATATTTATAGAGCCGATACAAATTTAATAATAAGCCCCATCATGAAGATTGAAGTGACTCCCTTATCGGAAAATAATATCATTGTCAATGATCACTTCATTATTACCTTGATCATATCGGTGGTGGCAACATCAAATGAAAATGTTGCAATGTTACCTGCATACGCTTCAGAACCAAATATGGCAAGATTTTGTCCCTCTGTAATTGACACAATCTTGAAAAATAAAGATATTCTAGCTCAACATTGCCAAAATGCTCATGAGAAAAGTAGAATAGAATATTTTACTAATAAATTGTTACAAATCCCAATACCTCATACAGAGTCTGCAAGATTGGACTCCTTTTTGGCAGATATAAATAAAGATTTAAGTTATCCATACTTAGAGGACCATTGCACTTTAGAAGGCGGTTATTCAGAGCTTCTCGAATCATTCATCGACTCGTACGAACAATTACTTCCACCATATGACATCATATTACATTATAAAGCTCATTTCTATGAAAATATATATCCATGTCTACCATTTCTCGATAAAAATTCATTTGAAAATATGTTTAAAAGTATTGTCTTTAAGGATCCAAACAATTCAAACAAGATTAAATTAAATTTCGGTACATCAGGTTTAAGAGCAAAAATAGAAACAATGTGTCTCTTAGCTATTATCTTAAAATTATCGTATATGTCACTAATGTTCATCAATGAGAAGGATATTGATGTTAAAAATATAACTTCAGATGTCCTAAAAAAATATCCCATCAGTAACAAGACAATATCTTTGATTCAAAAATGTGCCGTTTCAGAAAATTGGATTGCTTGTCCAAATGAAAGCATTGTAGCATGTCTCTTATACCTGTGGTCATATTTAGTGTTTTCTCCCGAGGAAGGTGATTTTTTTACTGCAAATCCTACCGATGTATTATGTAACTTGATTATTATGTTGTCAACTACGATAGGTCTACATAGAGACCCTACAGATTTTAGAAATATAGATGGGGATTCAAATAGAGAATTAAGAAATCACAGACGTTTATTATGGTTATGTGTCATAGGGATGTCAGGTATTGAGATTATTTTAAAAGGTAGGCGTGGGACTTCAAAAAGCTTTATGTCATCATTTATTGATATAGATGATCCGAATGTGATGAATCAATATATACAGAGGGTTAAGAATGATATGGAGGTTCCTGATACGTTTATTCTAAAATTACATGAAAATACTTTCAAATATGCGTATTTGGTTTCTTTACATCAAAGGATAAGTGATTGTTTCCTTAAATACAGTGGAACATTTAAATTAAGAGAAATCAACGAATTGAAGGAGAAAATCGATGCTTTTATAAAGAAGGAGTTTCCTCTAGAATCTCGTGCAGAAAATCTAAAAGATTTAAATATCAATGCAACAAATGATGATATTATCAATCAATTATCAATTATTACAACAAAAAATTCAGCTAATTTTCTTTATACAGTGTTGAGTAAATTAATCATGTTGAGAGTTTCGTTAGCATTATTATTCCATTTTGAAAAATGTTGCGTTCAACAGAAAAAGGATAGGGAAGCTGAAAAGAATAAGAATTCCCAGAATACTATTGATTATTTACCATATTATTATCATTATTTGAAGGAATCTATATGCTATACTGTATTATTGGCAAACTATATAGGTTACTTTTATGATAAAGGTAATTCTAATGTCATCTCACCGTTAACCACCTATCATATGTCTAAAATCATTCAATTATCACTTTCAACTGTATTATTAACAGCTCTATCCACCGGCTTAAAAGTCCATGTGTCTATAAACGAATTATTATCAAGTTCAACATCTGTAATAATTGAAACTTCTGAAAAGATTCAACTTTTATCAGAATTGGAGGTAATAATGAGAACAGCATTGTTCAGAACATATAACCTAGTATCGGAAAACTTAAGATTTACCTATTATCCCGTGTTTAAGATGTTAGTTTTGTTCGACGTGTTTATGGTGAAATATAAAAAAGATGAGTTAATACCAAATTATTTCAAGAGCCTCGAAGCGGGACTAAAAATTGAAAGACAAGAAAAATTATTTGGGTTGACATTTAATTATAAACTCGAAAAGAATGAAAAGATGATAGATGATATCCGTAGTAGAAATCTTATTGGAAGTTTCAGTTGTGATCAATTGAGAAGTATCTTGGATAAAATCCAACAAACTAATTTAGAAATTATACCAGATAATTCAGATAATTATTCCAATGGTACTATGGCTAATATTCCACCATTACAATCACATGATAATAATAGTAATGAATTAGGTGATACCCCAATGTCAGATATTAATGAGATACAAGCCCCGGAGAAAAATTATTATTATTCTTCAGAGGTTAATGAATCTTCAAGTAATAATAACAATAATGTAAACATGATCAATCAAAATTATCCAACTGCACCATTACCTAATGCGCAATTACCAAACTTTCCAACAGGTCAAAATGCTCCACAATTATCTGAAAATGTAGTAGGTATGGGGAATGCAGGTTTTAACAGCAATAACAATAAAACCGGTAACACCAATAAACCAGAAGATTATAATGAATTTCAGAATCCAGTTACACTTGCATCTGAAGATACTTTAGAATTTGCTAATCTATTCGGTGATGTGGATATATTTGGATATGATTTCTTCTTTGGTACTGATTAAATCAAATGAGAACCACAAATATAAAAAAAATTAAACAAACAAACAAACAAATTATAATTATTAATAATGCTAATATGGGGCAATAAACATACATCATATACTAAATAGAACAATGTATCTATTATTTTATTTTTGAATTAGGTTAAAAAGACTTTTTTATATAAATCTATCAATATATTTTTTTTATTTCTTTTGAGATAAATGATCGAACCAGTAAACTTGATCATAAAAAGCCTTTTCCTTAGCATAAAGGACTTGTGGGTCAGACAAATCACCTCTAACTGCAAACCCATGCGAAGTACCACTAAATAAATCTATTTGATACCTAGAACCAATTTCTTTCAATTTTTCTTCTGTTAATTTTCTTAATTCTGGGGCGAAAACAGGATCAGTCTCAGCTGCGGAAATCAATAGAGGTCTCTTACCAATTGCAGCAACTTCCTCAATTGTAACAAATGAAGGGTGAGCAATAGCAGCTGCATTTGCTGTACCAGTGTTTTCATGGATTTGCTGAATGGCATACTTAGCACCGAAACAATAACCTAGGACACCCAAGAAACCTGGATTAATTTCCTTTTTGAATGAAGCCATAAATTTGTCCACCATTGGTTTAGTTCTTATCTCATTATGGGCACTTAACCATTTTTGAAGATCTAAATTTTCGACATTATTAGGATCAACAGCATCACCAAATAAAATATCAGGGATGTATACCTTGTAACCTTTAGCAGATAATTGATCTGCGATCAATAAGGAGTTATTGAAATGAATACCGAAATAATCAGTGAACAAAATTAATACTTTATCATTAGAATATTGTTCACCGATTACATAAGTTTCGATACCGAATACATCGGTGTATCTTCCTTTAGCGGTACCCTCATGGTAAAAACCTTCGAAACAACATTTTTGAGATGGATTGGAAGCCATTATTTCTATTATAAAATTGTAAAATACTTTGAATAACTTGACAGTATCCTAATCTAGATTGAAGTACAATACCAATAAATAAACAAGAACACCAATTGAATCTTTTAATAAATAAATTGTACCTCATCTCATCCCCTTTTATATGTACGACTAAATACACTTGCTATTTGAATGATTATATAATACAGATCCTTTTTTAGGCGTACAGAGGCAGTATTTCGGCCGAATCAAATTATTAATCACCTCGGAGATTAATAAAGTCCGAGGAGTTAAGCTATTGACTATGTGCAAAATCATACAGACAATAAGTATATATCGAGAGTAGGACTTGTTTGGTTTAGATCATATTGCATAGTAATGGATGTAGAAGAAGATACTGGACCTGGAAGCATACACACTTGATCAGTAGTCTCTGCTAATCTTGAAAGGGACATCAATATAAGTCGTATCCCACAATCAAAAAAACAAAAAGAGAAGGAGATTGGTCAATCTACAACAAAACTATTTTACCAAATCAGTATACTCAGAGATATAATCTCAAAGGTTCTGTTAGCCATCGAAACTGGTAAATATACAAACGGAAGAATTGTGTATATTGGTATCACTCTATACGTAGAGGGTGCACCCGGGTAACTCAATTTTCCCATCCAAAAAGATGGCCAACCGGTGGCGTTACGCATTAAACCGAATAAAGTGGGAAAATAATGAAAATACCTATATAAATTTTAGAGTTCGCAATCTCTTGAGTGGCAATATTTAATTATAAAGGGAGATTTGGTATTTTGATTTTGAGTTTGATCGAGAGATTGAAACAAAAGAAAGTCAATTGATTTCAACAAGTATACTACATTGAATCTCATTCGATTATCAAGGAAGTAATTTACAGGAACAATTTTACGTAATCTTTTGAAGAGAGAGTAAAAGCAGTTTGAACAAATTAAGCAATATTATTATAAATGACTTCTATCGGTACCGGTTACGATCTTTCTAATAGTGTTTTCTCCCCTGATGGGAGAAATTTCCAAGTGGAGTATGCAGTGAAGGCTGTTGAGAATGGTGCAACTTCCATTGGTATTAAATGTTCCGATGGTGTTGTCTTTGCTGTGGAGAAATTAATAACGTCCAAATTATTGGTGCCCCGCAAAAATGTCAAGATACAAACCATTGATCGTCACGTCGGTTGTGTCTATTCAGGGATCATCCCAGATGGTAGATATCTAGTGAACAAAGGTAGAGAAGAAGCCGCAAGTTTCAAAAGTCTGTACAGTAGACCAATCCCTGTTCCTTCTTTGGCAGACCGTATGGGTCAATATGTGGAGGCTCACACTTTATATAATAGTGTTAGACCGTTTGGTGTGACTGCTATCTTTGGTGGTATTGACTCGGATGGCCCACATTTATATATGTTAGAGCCAAGTGGTACGTATTGGGGTTATAAAGGTGCTGCTACAGGGAAAGGTAGACAAACTGCCAAAGCAGAATTAGAGAAGATATTGGATAAAGAAACAGAATTGACTACACAGGAAGCAATTAAACAAGCTGCAAAAGTTATCTATATGGCACATGAAGACAATAAGGACAAAGAGTTTGAATTGGAGTTAAGTTGGTGTTCGACTGAAGGAACTAAGGGTTTACATAAATTTGTCACTGGAGCACAATTGGAGGAAGCCATTGAGTTTGCTAAATCTGAAACCAGTGTTGCAGCTTTTAATGATAGTGATGATGACGACGACGATGCCGAAAATAATGATGCTAGTGTCTCAAGTGATGATGAAGCTATAGACCGCGATGGTGACATTAATATCGAATAGTCAAACCTTAACTTACATAATAAAGAAAAGAAAAAAAGAAGAAGTAATACACAAGCATCCCTCATATAAATATATATAACTACTACGAAATATACATATAACTGTGTATGTGTATGTGTATGTATATACCCCTTCATGCAAAACAATAACAAAATTTATCATTTTTAAAAAGTAGAGTGAGTGTTGCCTCCCTAGAAACGATAACAGGAGATGGAAGTCCAGTAAAATAAAGACATCCCAGACAACAACAGCGAATGCCAACTATTCGTCAGACATCAGTTCCTGTTCACAGTCCATAATACTTACCTTTAAGTAATATATCTTTCCAGATTTCAGAAGCACGATGAGGTTATTCGTATATATATCATCATCTGCAAAATAGTGAACTGTCACTAAAGTACTGGACCCGACGCGCGCAGTTATCTTCATTGATTGGCATTTTGCGGGCGAAAAAGTGAAGAAAAATTTTTCATTTTCAATCACGAACATTTTCATTCAATGGGCCATATGATACAAATATTTATAAAAGATAAAAAAAGATAACAGAAACCCAGTCACATTAGTTACTTACCGACAAAACACTTAGAGTCAAGAGAATAACGAACTCCATCATGTCTACTGCTCCATTTGATGATATTAAGCTAGAAGATATTCCTGTCGATGACATTAGTTTCACCGATCTAGAGAAAGAATACCAATTGGAAGATGAATTTGAATTTGACCAATATGTTGTTGTCACTGGTGCTCCAGTGATTCCAGAATCTAAGGTCCCTGTTCTACAAAAGGCCCTAACTGGTTTGTTCTCCAAGGCTGGTAAAGTCGTTAACATGGAATTCCCAATCGACCAAGACAGCAAGAAATCTAAGGGTTTCTTGTTTGTTGAATGTGCTTCCCCAGAGGACGGAAAGAAGATCATTAAGGCTTACCACGGTAAGAGACTGGATTTGAAGCATCGTCTTTTCATCTACACTATGAAGGACGTTGAAAGATACAACTCTGATTCCTTCTCTGCTGATTTCAAAGAACCAGAATTACCAGAGTTTGTTTCTTCCGGTTCTTTAACTTCTTGGTTATTAGATGAAGAAAACAGAGATCAATTTGTTGTTCAAAATGATAACGACACCACTGTCTTCTGGAACACTAGATACGAAGAAAAGATCGAAAATTCTATTGTCGAGTCCAGAAAGGACTGGTCTTCCAACTATGTTAGATTTTCTCCAAAGGGTAGTTATCTATTTTCATACCACCCACAAGGTGTCACTGCATGGGGTGGTGCTAACTTTGATCGTCTAAGAAGATTCTTTCATCCAAACGTTAGAACCTCCTCTGTGTCTCCAAACGAAAAATATTTGGTCACTTTTTCTTCTGAACCAATTGTCTTAACTGAAGACCCAGATTCTCCGTTCACTTTGAAGAATGAAGGTCATCAAATCTGTATCTGGAATATTTCTTCTGGTTTGTTGTGTGCTTCTTTCCCATTCGTTAAAGGTCCAAACACTAACTGGCCTCTTGTTAAATGGTCCTTCGACGATAACTACTGTGCCCGTATGGTTGCTGATAACTTGGTTGTTCATGATGCATCAAATAACTTCCAAGCCATGGCTAACAAGGGTTTGAAGGTTGCAGGTATTAGAGATTTCTCTTTTGCTCCAACAGGTGTCGAAGTGGCTCCATTCAGAAAGGGCGATAAACCATCTGTCCTATTGGCTTATTGGACCCCTGAAACTAACAACATGTCTTGTAAAGCCAGTGTTGTCGAAGTCCCACGTGGTAGAGTATTGAAGACTGTCAATTTTGTTCAAGTCTCTGACGTGACATTCCATTGGCAAAACAAGTCCGAATACTTGGCCTTCAATGTCACTAGACATACCAAATCTGGTAAGACCAAGTTTTCCAACTTGGATATCTGTCGTTTGACCGAAAAAGATATCCCCGTGGAAAAGATCGAATTCAAAGAACGTGTCTTTGAAGTTGAATGGGAAAATAATGGTAACAGATTCATTACTATTTCTATCGATGATGAAACTGATGATGGTAATCCATCTATTCCAAGAAATATTGTCAGTTTCTTTGCCCCAGAGAAGAAGGACGCTAAGAGCAAGTCTGCCATTGGTGTTGTCAGTAAGTGGAAGCTTGCCGCCAAGTTAACTGAGAGATTCTTGAACACTATCTCTTGGTCTCCAGCCGGTAGATTTGTTATTGTTGCGTCTATCATCAAACCAAACATGCGTAAGTGTGAATTGTTATTCTACGACATGGATTACACTGGTGAAAAGAATGCTAATGATGTTGAAGATGTTGAAGCTTCTATCAAGGAAATTGCCTCTATCAATAACGCCAGTTTCACAGATTTGACATGGGATCCATCTGGTCGTTTTGCAACTGGTTGGTCCAGTGCTTTGAAACATAAGGTTGACAATGGTTTCAAGATATATGATGTCTCCGGTACTTTACTAAAGGACGAAGATGTTCCAAACTTCAGAAACTTTATCTGGAGACCAAGACCAGAATCCAAATTATCAAATGCTGAGAAGAAGAAGGTCAGAAAGAACTTGAAGGAATGGACTGCTCAATTCAGTGAACAAGATCACATGGCTGCTGACACTGCGGTTAGAGACTTGATCTTGAAGCAACGTGCTATGTTGAAGGAATGGACCCAGTACAGAACCGAATCATGTGCTCAAACCGAACAAGAATTCGGTTACAAAACATTTGACATTGAACAGGATAACTCTGATGAGGACTACACTGTTGTTGAAGAATTCAAGGAAGAGGTTGTTTCAGAGACCTCAGAAAAGGTCACCGAATAGATCTATTCATCTATTTACGTAAGATAAAAATAATTCATTCTGTATAAAATCAAGTACTATAATATAATAATGAAGAATAATAAGATTGATGATTGTTCATATTATCACCCTTCCCCTGATCAGAGGGAGAAAGAGAGGTGACTAAAGTCTTATCATTGAGGACTGTTTCATCAGATTTCACGATTCTATTCCCAATATATATATATATAAAACCCCACGCCCCCACGCAATGCAGAACATTACAAAAACATAATAGCATAAAGGCGTGGGGTCTGCAATTCAAGAAACAAAACGTGGGATGGGCACATGACCCGTAGTGAGTGACATAGAAAAGCAACGCTAGTGTATCCCGAACAGGAAACACAGAAAAAGCAACAAAACCTCCATTCACCCGAGATACAGAGACACATTCGCACAGCTGCCCCTCGAATTTGACTTTCGAAACCTACCAAAATATTGCTTTTTCTTGCGCTCGCTCTCCGTGGTTCATTATGGAAGATTTCCCGAGTCTGCGAGGTGTTCTCTGAATAAATAAAAAAAGAAATTGTGCTCTTTCCCTCAAAATTGCTTTTTCATTCGAGGTCTTTCTCTGCGGGGATATCTCTGCCTCTTGTCACGGAAAAGAAAGAAGAATCTATGCGAAATGCTTTCTTTTTCTGCTCCCCAAAGACGTTTCCACCTTTAGCCATATTAGTTGTTAACTTTTATTGTTATTGGGATTATCCATTGCTCAATTACGAATTATTATGAAATCTTAATGTCATTCTTAAGCTTTGGGAGGAGGTGGAGGGGAAATTTGGGTCATGGGGGTACTTGTGGTTAAGCAAGGAACTGTAAGGTCTGCAAGAGACATTCTAGAGTGTAGCTTAAGTAGTTAATTAACTTCGAGCTGGATTTATTCAACAATGAGCGTGAAAGCAAGAAGGGAGAGGAGTACACAGATTCTTGTTTGGTCTCTTTTCAATCCCTTGAAAGAGTGAACAAAAAGTTTGAATTCTGCCAAGTTAACAAGTTTTAAGGCAATTAAATACATAGATTATTGAGAGTCCTAAGCACAAATTGTCTTGAAAAATAATATTTTCCGGGTCTCTCTTTCTCTATATATTTTCTGCTCTTTGCGTTCTGTTTTTCCTTTTTACACAATTGCGTAAATAATGCATATAGTTCAACAAGTTCAAGATAATAACATTCTAGGATAAACAATCCCTCGTTTTCTTATTGCTTTTGATTTTTGATTTTTATTGATAACAGTAATCCATCTATTTTGATTCATTGATATCTATATATTTATTTATTTTTCTCTGCATATGAACATTTGAATAATTTAAACAAAGAAAAAAAAGAAAAGATTTTCAAAGACAATTTTTGACTTACGAAATAATAAAAACAGGAAAAAAAAACTACAGTTATTATTTCTTTATATTTTAGCCCCTTCAAGGATTTTATTTTTCTGATTTTGTTACTTGTAACAATTATTTAAAAGTCAATTATAACATTGATTTTTTATCACTGCTTAAGATTCGTATTCTTCCTTTTCTATAGTTAGCAAAACTCATATAGCCAACCTCAAGATAATACACAAAAGCTGCAAGGATGTCAACTTTGTTTCTTATTGGAAACGTGGATATTACCGGAACTGCAACAGAATCGAACAAAAATGATGATTTCACCACTATGTTGTCTGCATTAGAAGACACGACTACCAACTACGATAATTTATTTCAAAGAAAATTGATATTACCAGATTTAGATTCTTTATTATGGAGAATTTATTCGGATAGATTATTACCTCTACCAAATAATTTGAATTATGAAACTGGGATCTCCTTAGTAGTCTATCATTCCGATAAAATATTACCGCAAATGAATATACGGCAAATGAATCATTTATTCAAACAATATTTTGCAACATTGAATATATGTTTTATAGATATTTCAATTATGGATAACTCAACAAATAATTATATGAATATATTACATGACATACAAGATGATTTAGCCATAACTAGGAACCGTGTTTTGAAAATGAACCATTGGATGAACCATTCTGCGACGTCATGCAGTTCAAGTGTTTATTCCATGATGCGTCAATTCAATGCTTATAATGATGTTTCCATAAAGGACCGTGAACCTATCCCAAGAGTCATTAGAAACATAGATTTCCAACGTTTATTAACACAACCAGATGAGTTAATCCTTGAGAATGATGAAGAAAAAAAATATTTAGATTTACTTTCAACTTGGAATTTTTCAGCATTAAACCTTAACACTATAGAATTGATTAAATGTGGATTTTATTTGATTAGAAAGCTTTCAAAACTTGCAAATGTTCCAATCACAGATAACAAACTTTATTTGTTATTGATTACTGTTGAATTATCTTACCATCAGATAAATAAATTTCATAATTTTAGACATTGTATTGATGTGATGCAAGCATGTTGGCAAATTTGTGAATATATTATCCCGGAAAATCATATGACTAAATTGTTATTAGCATTGGCGGCTACGGGTCATGATATTGGTCATCCAGGTACCAATAATTCATTGTTCATAAATTCAAACAATGAATTAACTAAAAATACATCTATTTTGGAATCATTCCATTATAATATATTTAACCATATCTTAGGAAATCATTGGTCCAAGATTAATTCTATTACTACTGCAGGATCTACCAATAATCTAATAGAAAAGGGGATTCTAGCGACAGATATGAGTCTTCATTCAAGTTATGTAGAGATATTAACACAAAAGAAGGATAAATCGGAATTTACAATGACAGAATTGATCTCAATAATTGTTAAAGCAGCAGATATCTCAAATGTTACAAGACCGTTAAATATTAGCGCTAAATGGGCTCTCTTAATCACTTTAGAATTTGGTGATTGTGCGCTTTTGCAAAATTTTTATAAAGGTGAAAATAATCCAAATAATGATGTCAATTGTTTTGAACTTTTAAAGACTCACCCTTGTAAAGAACATTTAACTAAAGCGGATAATATCGATATGGATACAGAGATTGAAATATATGAACTTTTGCATCAAATGAATTTTGATATAGATAATTTATTAAAAAAGTATCCAATGATCCCAAATGGTCAAATATTTTTCATTGATACATTCGCATACAAATTTTTCAATAAATTATCTGAAGTATTTCCAAATTTAAAATTTTTAGTTGATACAATAGTAGAAAATAAGAATTATTGGGTTCAAAAGAAAGAAGAACAAAAATAATAAATAACTTTTGATAATGGATATACTGGCATTTGTTTTCTATATATACATATTTATTTATGTAATATATTCATGTAATAATACATTCTTTTAAGCATTAAATTACGTAAAATAAAAAATGTATGTATCAAGTACGTAGATAAATCAGATATAATCTGCATTATACGTGTTCAGGTTAATTTGAATAATTTTATAAAAAAAAGTACTTATGTGTATAAACTAAATAATTAAATAGAATGCTATCTATATACTTAAATATAGATAACAGTTCCTTAAAGTGCTGTATCGAGAGAAGAAGAAGAAGAATATACCTTTCGATCTAGTAAGCATAGGTTAAGGTAAGTAGTGTTTGTTTTTTTATTCTTCTCTTGTTGCTAAATAGAATCCTGAGTTACTGAACCTGAACCACTTGGGCCAGGAGGTTCTGTATGTTTCTTTGGATCAAACGCGCTAGCATCGATTTGTCCCGCTGCTTTGTATTCTTTAACAATGGTAAAAGCCTTTAACAGCTTTCTGCGTGCACCAAGAGCTGCAACACCATGACGATCTAGGAATTCATCGCTAAGCTCAATAAGGTCTTCCCAGTAGAAATCTTGTAAGATAGTAGAATACTTGTGAAGACGTAAAGATTTCAACCATGATGGAATATCCGCCAACAATTTCGGATCAGTAAGGTTCTTAGGATTCATTGATGCGTTTGCTGGATTCTTATTATTCCCATGACCCATGTTATTGTTGTTATCATCATTTCCATGCCTATGTTTATTCTGGTGTGCTCTTGTAAAAGAATAGAAATTATTGTAAGAGTGTAAACCTGTACTTGTGTAACTGTAAGGATGGTGTTGAGGTTGAGATTGTGAATCTTGGTAATTCTTTCTTCCAGTAGAACTAACACTGTTTCCATTCATACGATTATTATGATTATTGCTATTGTTATAGGAGATTTGTTGGTGGTATAGTGTATTAGGAGAGGTACTCAAACTTTGTTGCTGTTGCTGTTGCTGTTGCTGATGTTGTTGTTGCTGTTGCTGTTGTTGTGAAACATTATAATTTTGATTGTTGTGCAAGTTTAAATGGCGAGAGTTAGATATCATTCCGTTAGAGACAGATGTTTGATAAGTTGCAGGTTCTGCAGACTTCGGTCTCTGTTGTGAAGTGTACTGTTGCTGTTGCTGTTGCTGCTGCTGCTGTTGTTGTTGTTGTTGTTGTTGTTGGTCGAGTGTAGGTTGTGGAGACCAAGGATGGTATGTACCATTCATGTTAACTGCTGCGGAACCTGCCGCTACAGGACCTGCCACAGCTGATGATCTTTGTGTATTGAACATCGAGTTCATATTAGTTATTCCATTGGAAGACGATCCGCCTGTGAGTTCGTTCAGAAGTGGTACAGACAACGGCGAGGAGATCATTGGAGGTTGCGGTGGGGATGATAAGTAACCAGAGTTCGTAAGACTATCCAGTTTCAACTTTGTGTATTGCAGTACGTCGTCCTTCAATACAGAAATTACGTTATCCATGACCATATTTTGTTGAGCACTTGACATGTTTGTAAGCCACTTGCAAATATTGTGAATGTCCTGAGTCAGGTTAATAAAACCTGAGGAGTGACCTGTGTTGTGTTGTCCCATATTCACAGCAGAGCCAGCTGCTGCTGCATGGTTGGATTCTTCAACAAGAGTACTGCTATCATTAGAGATGCTCATCCCGCCAAATGCGGATGTCAAACCCTGAGCACTCGTGTGGGAAGAACCGACACCTGACGGTTGTGGCGAAAGCAAAACTGCACCAGGGTGAGCAGCTCTGGTCGCGACACCATACGGTGAATTGTAGTCCTCGTAAGTGTCCATTTATAAAGAAAGGGAAAAAAAAAAAGGAAAAAGGGGCAATAAATCGGAAAGATTTTCCTTGTATCGATGTCTGGTACTAGAGTCAAAATGTATATATCTCTGCGTGTTCCTCTTCTCGTTCTTCTCTTTGGTTCTCTTTTATTACTTCTCCTGGTATAACTTCGGTCACGTCAAAGTTGTTCAACTTCTCTTCTTTTCTCTTCAAATATACAAATATTTATCAACAGCTCAGGGCGTCGACACACCATCGAGCGAAGCGCATTGCTTGCTGGCGACATTCCCAGGCCAGGGAGGTCGCTGTGTACGAAGCGGTGGGGGTTAGAGCAGCAGCAACAACAACAACACCTAGTTCGTTAGTAAATCGATCGACTGCTGGTGGGCTCCACATGGGCAGATGTTGGCTGGTCCACCAGATGTGTTACATTCTTCTCGAAAGGGGTCGTGTGCAGATGCGTCCCTTATAATTATCAATAATATTATTTCTTTACATAAAATATTCAATGGTGACAGTATCTATATATATGTGTGTGTGCGTATATGTGCGTGTGGGGCTTGTCATTCTTTTGCGGTACTTATTAATTACATGGATGCTGTTCATTACTCGCGAATAGAATTAGCTGTGGTTGTCTCTGTAGCTGTGGTTCCAGAGGTTGCCCCTGGCGTGATACCGGCTCTAGGCACAATGTCGATAAGGAAATCAAACATATCACTCTGTTTCAATGCATCTGCAATGTCTGCCTTCTGTAGTGTACGTCTTTTATTCTTTTCAGATATACACCAAGCACGCATCGTTAACTCCGTGATGAAGATCTCACATGCTTTAGCAAAGATAATAGGTGCCTCCGCACTGATCATCCTCACTTCCTCATCCGTCTTCATCACTTTTCTGATTCTAGCAAACGGTAGTGAATGCGATTTGAAATCGTCCTGGTGTGCAGATCCAGGTTCATTTGTTTGTTCGATCTCATTGATCAATTCTTGCCAGTATTGGATCATAATCTCTCTATAGTGACCAGACAGCCCTTGTCCAACATTTCTAAACACATCAAACTCTTCAACCAGTTCTTCCTCAGCCATGCCTTCTCCTGTACCATCCACGCCAGCACCATTAGTCAACAGTTGATCCCCATTGCTAACAGTCAGATCCTCCGCGGGACTCCCCGTGGGTTCATTCGCATGGCCCATCTGATTGATCTGTTCCAGTTGTTCCCTATTATTTTCCTCCATGTTACCTGTTTATATCGATATCCTTGTGGTCCTATCCGGTTGTCCTCCTCCTCTGTATATATCTTTATATATATCTTTTCTTATGTTCTCTCCCCTTTTAAGTTTTATATTGCTCGAATTTTGAATTTTTTAAATAAAAACTTTTTTTGAAGTCTTTAAAAGAATTCGACAACAATTTTGGGGACAACTTACAAGAAAAAGGATACTCTCTTACTACTCACATACATAGGTCCATTACATAAGACTGGACAGACAGACCAAGATGAAGCAATTCCAGTCCTTTGGTTCGACAGAGAACGCCATGCTGCCAAACAAGCATCGAAGACAAGCAGCCACAGATATGTACGCCGAACCCGAGAACTTCCTAGAGATTGAAGTGATCAACCCCAAGACACATCGAGCATCCACGGCGGGGGGTTCAGAGATGTATACGGACTATGAGATCGTGTGTCGTACGAACCTGCCATCATTTGGTACCACATCGGTCATTAGAACCCGCAGACGGTACTCTGACTTCGAGTTCTTCAAAAAGTGTCTTGTCAAGGAGATTGCACTCGCGAGTCATCCCCCAGTTACTGTGCCTAGTCTTCCTGGGAAGATTATCCTGAGTAATAGGTTCAGTGACGAAGTAATCGAAGAGAGGAGGAAGGGTCTCAACAAGTGGATGCAGTCAGTGGCAGGCCATCCCTTATTGCAATCGGGATCTCATGTTCTAGTTAGGTTCATAGAAGAACCAAAATTCATGGGTTAAGCATTTAATATTTGCCCCTCTATTCATACATACAAGCATTTATATATATATAACGAACAAAATACACGACATTCTTTCAGCAAACAATAATATTCGAGACATCATAATTCCTGGTCTTCATATAAAGTATATATCATATTCTTTCTCTTATCACTTGTATCGTCTTGATTTCAATTTTTTTGTTCGACTGTCCATTGAGAATTTCACTCAAATAAGATCAAATTCGCCTGAACACGTAATGCAAAATGGAAACAACTTCGATCTGAACTGAAAAAGGTTTTTTTACATTTTTGAAGTCCATCAATAAAAGAAGGTTTGCATATATATATATATATATTATTCTAGAGTTGTTGTTTTCTCAGACAAATTATCTACCCACTTTCTGTGTATATATTATCAGCTATCAGTAACCCATTTGGATTCATCACTTGCCATGATACTGAAGAAATCCACGTTATTATCGGTGGATGCGTTTTCCAGAGCTGAAGAAGACGTAAGGATCAGAACTAGAACCGGTGCTTTAGTAACCGTTGGTTGTTTTGTTATCACTGCAATTCTGATCATCAATGAATGGTTTCAATTCCATACAATTGTAACGAGACCTACTTTGGTGATGGATCGTCAAAGAAACGTTAAGCTTGAATTAAACTTAGATATTACATTCCCCCATATTTCCTGTGATATATTGAATTTTGATATCATCGATGATTCAGGATACCTACAATATGATGACGATATTATAGCTGACAACGGGTTTGTCAAGATTAGATTAGATGATTCAGGTAATGAATTAGAAACCATGGATTATAAACTGAAGGATCAAACCGCTCAATACCCTGTAGAGGACATAAATTATTGTGGTTCCTGTTATGATGCTTTGGACCAAACTCATAATAACGATGAAGGTATCAAATTGGAAGACCGAGTATGTTGTCAAACTTGTGAAGACGTTAGACATGCTTATATGAAGAAAGGTTGGACCATCTTTGACGGAAAATCTATTGATCAATGTGATAGAGAAGGTTTCCATGAAAAGATTAATAAACATATCAATGAAGGTTGTCGTGTGAAAGGAACTACATTCTTGAACAGAATCGGTGGTAATATCCATTTTGTTCCAGGTGAAGCATTTCAAAATGTTGCTGGTCATTACCATGATACTAAATTGTATGATATTAAGACTCAATTGAACTTCAATCACATCATTAATCATCTAAGTTTCGGGAAGCCGGTACAAAACAAACAAGAAAGTTTAAGAAGCTTGAAATTGGAGACTAATCCATTAGATGGGAAACAAGTTTTAAGAAATCATGATACTCACTCAAGAGTGTTTACATATTTTGCAAAGATTGTCCCAACAAGATACGAATATATGGATGGTGTTATTGTTGAGACGGCTCAGTTTTCAACAAAATTCCAAGAGAAACCAATTAATGGTGGTAAAGCTTATGATGATCCACAAGTGAAATTCCAAAGAGGTGGTATCCCAGGTTTATTCATATATTTGGATATGTCACCATTAAAGGTTATAAATAGAGAGCAACATGCAATCTCTTGGTCAGGTTTCCTTTTGAACTGTGTTACGAGTATTGGTGGTATTTTAGCTGTTGGTACCATCCTAGATAAAATATTATATAAGACTCAGAGAACTTTCTTCAATGGGAAGAAAGAATGATTTATCATATCTCGACGTTCCTTAAGAACAGTTATATATTGTATTATATTAAGAATAAAACTCTTTTTTTCTAAACGTTCTTGTTATGAATTAATAAATAAATAGGTTTGAAATACAGGTTAATAAATATATAAATAAGGATTATTTTGAGGGGGACTGGTCACCGTAAGTTAATGTGTCTAAGTTATAGTATACTTTGGACCGTCACCACCTTCAGGTACAGTCCAATTAATTTTTTGATTTGGAGACTTGATATCACATGTTTTGCAATGGATACAATTTTGGGAGTTAATCTTAAACTTTACACCGTATTTCGAAGATTCGTCCTTAACGAACTCATAGACACCTGCGGGACAGAATCTCTCTTCTATACCTTTATATACAGGAAATGACTCATCCGTAAATTTATCCAGGTCTTGATCCTTACCGATACGTAGATGGCATTCTTCGTTATCATCATGGAAAGTGCCTGTTCTCGATACTGATGTTAGTATATCAAAAGATAACACACCATCTGGCTTTGGATAATTTTTTGGTTGAAAGTCCTTAGCTGGTTTGGTTACACTAGAATCACTGTGGCCGAATTTAAAGGTCCAAGGAGCTTTACCCTTTAACAGTAAAGTGTCGATACCAGAGTACATCATACCACCGAACAATCCAGCTTTCGTATTAAAAGATGGTCTGATATTACGCACTTCGTACAATTCATCGTATACCCAGGATCTTTTTAATGAGTTCTCATAAGATTCAATATTTAATAAAGGTTCTTCTGATATATCCACATTTTCTTCGCCTTTCTCCTCAAGAACACTTTCAAAGGATGGTAATTTAGTGATCTCATCATAACAACTCTCAGCAGCAATCATTGCGCTCTTCATAGCTGTATGCGTACCTTTAATCTTAGGGACATTCATAAAACCTGCAGATGCACCGATGATAACACCACCTGGGAAATTTAATTTTGGAATAGCCTGAATACCACCCTCATTTAGTGCACGAGCACCATATGCAATACATTTACCATCCTTTAAGACGTTACTGTAAAATGGATGATGTTTTAATTTTTGGAATTCCTGATATGGAGAAACATATGGGTCCTCATAGTCTAGACCAATCACTAAACCAACACTGACTAGATTTTCTCCGAAATGATATTGGAAACCACCCCCATATAGGTCCTTGGAGAGTGGATAACCCATCGTGTGTGCTACCATTCCCTTTTTGAAATTCTCGGGTTTCACTTCCCAAACTTCCTTAAGGCCTAACCCATACGATTGGTTACCTCTTCCTTGTCGTAGATTAAATTTCTTTAAGATTTGCTTTGTAATAGAACCATGACAGCCTTCCGCTAATACTATTTGTTTAGAATGGAATTCTAATCCTCTTTCAAAAGAATCCTTTTGTTTCCCATTCTTATCAATCCCTAAATCCTTTGTAGCGACACCAATGACACCATCTTTATTCTTATTGTATATGATATCAGACACACTGACACCAGTGTAAAGCTCTACACCAAGTTCTTCTGCTTTTTCTCCAAGCCATCTCACCACGGTACTTAAGGAACCAACATAGTTTTTCCCTTTATTGGTTAACCCTGGCGTTAGAGGTAAAGGTATTGACCCGTTCGCAGTCAATAGTTTGAATTCGTCCCCATTAACAGGATCCAATATAACACCATTTTCTTTCTTATTTTCAAGACACTCTTGCTTAAAATTTGGGAATAATTCCATCATCGCACGAGGTTCCAAGATCATACCTGACAAAGTGTGAGATCCTAGATCTCCTGCTTTTTCAAGCACTACCACACGATATTTGTTTTCTTTGTCTAATTGCTTGAACTTAATAGCAGCAGTTAATCCAGCTGGTCCGGCACCAATAATACATAAATCGACGAAATCTTTCACCCTGGGTATAGCGCGTACGCTACTCATATAGCGTCTTATTACAGTTAGCTTCATTATGTTTGTTTGTGTTTAAATAATACAGTCAGTTAAAGATATTTTATTTCATTTATTGATATGGATAAATAAGCAAAAATTAAATTAAACAAGATTTGCTTAACTGAGTCCCTGAGTATTTAGATAATATATATTAGACTTGGTGCATAAATATATATATATATATTAGTTTCTTTGAATCTCCTCACCAATCTGAGAGGAGTCAAGTATTGTTGTTTCCTTTTCGTTCAATGTCCGTGAAGCGGCAGCGAACGCCGAAACATGCGATGCATCTCTCAATGAAGTAACAGGACAATTTTAAGAAAGTGATATCATTGTCACTTTAAAGAAGAAATTAGATGATATACCTAATAATCTTGAGTAGACATACGTTGATTTTAATTAAGAATATATTTAATTTAGTTTATATATAGTTCAAGTACCATTCTCAGGGCTTTATTCCGAAACTTTACGATTAATTTAACAGCTGAGAGAAATCAGCGTTGTCTATACGTTATAATACTCTATATAATGTTTTGTTTAAATAAATATCGTAATGTGTTGTTGGGAATGGATGATATTCGGTTAGAAAACTAACCGAAACAAAAAAGCGTAACCTGAAACTTTAACAAAAGAAGTCCCTTTGGTATAATGTATATATATGTGTGTACGAGAGTCCTCGAACTTACTTTGGTGGAGGAGCAGTTATTGTTCGACTTAATGTTTAGATGATACTATCCAACTCATCTAAGCTAATAGATTCTGGAGATTGAATATCCTTAGTTAAAAAACCCTCTCTCACAATCTTTAACCAAGCATTGTCTTCTGACATACCGTCCTCTGATATGCTTTCAGACTCCATCTTTGGAGAGCAAGGTGTTTGGTGGAACATAGTAACTAAACTATTGTTACCATTATGCGGAATATGATTTGAAATGTTTGACCTTATACCCGATTTTGGAAGTAATTTAGAGATCCTTGGTGCGGCTGCGACAGCAGTAATATAAGAAGATTGTTTGTGGGAAGATGCAGATACTCCAGTAGAATTAGCTGGAGTTGTGGTTGTATTATTACCGTTACTAACTCCATCTAGTAATGTTGGAGTCATGGTTGTAGAACGAGAAGAATTTACTGTAGATTCAACATTTCTATTGTTGTTGTTCATCTTTTGTTTTTTGTTCTGTGGTGTTGTTAGATTTTTGCTATTAACAACGACGTTGTTGCTATTTGATCCATTTTCATTCTTCATATTATCGTTACTCCTCTTCCTTGTGTCATTAGTATCTGTTTGTTTGTTCGTTAGGTCATTAGATTTTTGTTTGGTTGTTTTTTTCTTGTTGTTATCACTGCTCGTTATAGCAGGTTTATTTGGTGTGTTTTGATTTAGTGTTACAGACACAGGGGACGAAGAATATGGAATATTGAAACCTGGACTCAAAGTGAATCCAGTGTTGGTAGAGAGGTTAATATTTCCTTTATTCATCACATTGTCTATTGTTAGGTTGTTTGGAGAAGAGTTGACTGTGTTTCCATTAAAGAAAGAGGATTCACCCATTTGGGATTCTTGTTTTGCCTCATTTTCTTCAGCCATTTGCTGTTTTAGTTGATCTGTGACCTTCTTGGCATGTTCTTTGTAGTCTGCAGTCAAGATACCTCTGTAAATATAAAGCATCCTTCTTGGAGAAGAGTTGGACCATTCCCTAGAGATAGCATATTTCATTGTTTTTTCACCCTTTTCGATCTTCTTGACATAAGCATTTAATTTCGCAGAGATCAAGTTAGATAGTTTTGTCGATAGGTTAGACATTTCGGGATGTTTTGCAAGCAAGATATCACATAACTGTTTAACAGTCAGCCCATTTTGTTTGACGTCACTCTCCCATAGGATGACAAATACAGCAAATAGCACATCGTCGTTCAGTGGTGGTGTTCTATCCTCGGGGGCTGGTCGCTCACCTGTAACAGGAATCAATTTGGAGACCTCCAATAAAGGATTCTCCTTCTTAGATGAGACACTGTCCTTCTTTGTCTTTGTGCTATTAGATGACTTGCCACTGTTAGAACTTGTGTCATCCGCGCTACTGTTGTTTCTGTTTTTAGTAGGAGTTGCTTGGTTACCGGTAGCAATTGGGTTCATGGCAGGATTAACATCCAGTAGGTCCACTGTCTCTGAGCCAGGAAACGAAGTGATAATGTTGCTGTTGGCCGCAAGGTTTCTTGCGTTGGCATTCAGATTCAAGGCACTGAGTTGGAAAATTGGGGACGTACTGTTATGTAACATCTCATTTTCCATTGTTGGAATTTGCAACGGTCTAGAATTAGTTAGAGCCATGGTCGAATAAGATAGAGAGATAAAGGGAAATAAAGTTTAGATATCTATATTTCCTTACTCCAGCAAAGAGTTCTTGACGTATAGATTCTTTAAAGTATTATTTTTCCTTTTTCTCTTAATAATGAGGAAAATTAACTAAAATATCCCCAAAATGTATTCAAAAAGGTTTGTTTTTATTGGCTATTTATACCGATAAAATCCTTAAGATTAAATAAATAGTTCGTTGTTATGGTTATTTGTACCCTTATAAGTAAAGTGAAGAATACTATAAAGTCCCTTAAAAAATAGGTAATATTGAACGCTATATTTTAAAGGTTTTTTTTTTCACTGATGACTATTTTTATTTTTCAGAGGTGGCCCTTTAGGGGAAACTGGTGAAATAAATAAATAAAAAAAACAAAGGAAAAAAATAAGGGGAAAACGGAGTTTAACAAACGAAATAAGTATTGATACCAGTATAGTCTATCTTGGTATGTGTATTCCTATTAGGCAGCGAGCGGATATCACAACCTATGTCAAACAGTACTAGTAAAAGTTAAAAAAAAAAATTTGGATATCAGGGTTATTAAATAACTATCCTGAGATAATATCTATCACAAGTTTGATCGTAGTTGTGAAAGAGTGTAGTCTTACTTTTTACTTTTAATTTTTAAAAAGAAAAGAGGTACAAGAGTTAATACAAGAAGGGAACCTTTTTATTTAAAATTACGAAAAGAGAGAAATACTGAAATAAAGTAGGTCTTATTTACTAAGAGAAGGGTAACTGACTCTAAAGATGAATCAAATCAGACAGTTCTAAAGATATCGAGTTTGATGTTTGGTGGAATAGATGGCATCTGCCCCTAATGGGAAGTACATCATTTCAATTTTTCAGATTATTCAGTCTAAATCATTTATTGCGTCGTCGGAGTGGTATGGCACCGCGCTTTGTGCCGAAAAAAAATAAAAATTTACTCTTTTTTAAAAAATAAAAAATAAAAAATAAATTTTGAACATCCGTACATTCGCGCGCAGTCCAAAAACGATTACTCATTCTTGGTTTTTGAAGGGAACGAGAGTTTCAAATAAGCAGCCGATGGATGGTATGATCTACATTTGCTCCCAAATGAAAAGAAATAATAAATAATATTCCATACCAAATAAGACTTCAAATATATATCTGTAACTTAAATCGCTGCAAATGGATAGTATTCTTAAAATCAATATGGATATAAGTAGAATTAGATCTTAATGTCAAATGATTTGAAAACAATCAATGTATCATATTTGTAAAATAAAATTGTGTTGTAAGTAATTTTCTGTTCACAGTTCTCTTAATAAAATGTTCTCAACAAGAAGGAAAGAAAGGAAATAAAACAATAATCAATGATAGATTTAGGGTGGCAAAAGATGTGATTATAGTGAAATATGAAAGTTATGAAATATATTTCATCTCTCTTTATATATGTGCAAACGAAGACTAAAATATGAAGAGTGGGAGAACAAAAATGTAAAATGTAAAAAATGAAAAAATAAAAAGTAACATACCGCTGAAGCAAACACCCAACAATGTATTGGTAGACTATATTGATCGAGAGAGAACATGATGAAGATAATTTTGATTGTAAGATGAGCAACCAGGTGAAAAAAATAAAAAATATTTTCTTCATCGCCTAATTGCAGCCTTTCTTTTTCCGTTACTACCACCATTTCGGAACTTTCAGGGCAAGCGAGCAGAAGCACAGACACCGAGGAACTTAATATCCTCTCATCTGATGCGCCAAAAGAAAATAAAAAAAAAGAATAAAAAGAGAAACTTTTTCTCGATGGATTAATTCATCCATTGATAGATTCTGCTGCTTATTATTTGAGCAAACTTGCGGGGAGAACAGTAACAAACGTCCTTTGCTGTGGCAGCGGCGGTATAATTTTTTTTCAACAAGGCCACCATTATAAATAACTTCTTAATACAAATTTCATAGTAAAATAAAATATGTTTTTGTCTGAATTTATCGTAGAACTGAACTACCAACCAGCCAATAGCTGATCTAAGAATAACGCCTGTAGGAGCAAAGGTGAATATAAATCTTAATGTGTGTTGTGCGATAATATAATACATAAATGTAGCTTTTGGTGACGTTGATTATTCCACCCGCCTCTTTTCAACAGAATATTGCGTATCAACTAATAACATTTTTGTTTTTCTTTCTTTTTCAATATTGAACAGAAAAACGTCCGTACCAAGAAATTTCTTTTTGTGTTGCACTCTCCTTTTTTTTCTGTTCGTGACGATATGAGCGTAGGATTGTTTTAGAGAATACTCGTACAACCACCAGGAGGTGAGAAAGAGTAAAAATAAATAAAAATGGATTGCCTCTTTCCCAGAGAGGTTGGCTGACAAAACAGAAAATTAAAAAAATTTAAGAAAAACTTTTTCAACGAGTACCGCTTTTGGCACATTTTTTAAAACGCGAACGCCCCGTTTCTTTTTCTGCCTCCTTTCTTCCACGTCGTTCATTACCGCAAATTTGGACTAGTAAAATATAACGAAGAAACAGAGACAAAAATAAGGGTTCATCCTTTTCACGAAAAACATCTCCATATTTTTAGGGGTACCCCCTGAAATAGCCGCCCAACTATAAATAAGTTTCGTGTACGATGATGATCTAAAAATACACGAAAAACAAAATTCTCGAAATATTTTTAAAGCCGAGTGGACTTTTTTTTTTGTGAGCTATTTTTGCTATATAAAGTTATTTGGTGATTTACGCCTTCGAGGTTTATTTCAATTCTCTCCAACATATTTTTTTTCTTTTTTGGTCTCAATATAATGGAAGCACCTTGGGCTCTTGTATTTATCTAAGAAAGTAAAAAATTATTTGTAAGTTAATGTATTTATTATACTTATGTGCGTGTTTATTTACAAACTCGTTTGAATTCATTAGTATTTGTGTCATCAGCGACTTCCTCGTGGTACCGTTTCTTCAAATAAATTGGAGTAGTTGGTGTTAGAGGCATGATGACATCTCTGCGCGTAGTATTCTTCCTCTTTGATTTCATGTCAGGAGTGATACTTTTAGCAGACTGGTTGTGTTGGGTGGTTGATGATGATGACGATGACGATGATGATGTCTTAGGTATTGAGCTACCATCAATAGAATGTCTCTCTCCATTCTCGATGATGGATGCAATGTAATCGTTCATGATTTTTTCTTCTTTAAATCTCTTGATGAATGATATGAATTTAGTTAATTTACCGTCATCATATTTCAATTTAAAACTAGCAGGGATGATTTCATTGCCGGCAAAGACTATGTCCAATAGGGATTCTTGTTCTTTGGAGATTTTGAACCATTTTCCATTCTGAGCAAATTGTTCAATCATTAATGCAATAGTAGTAGCATCCTTAGCTAGATGTGATGATGACATTTCGTATGCTAATTCAGGTTTGAATTCACATAGTTCACAAAGCATGATGGAAAGAATCTTGATTTCGTTGACATTCAATGTCTTATCCATTAAACTTAGGGTCTTTTCGAAAAGTATCATATCGATAAAGGAATCGGCTGTTGGAGTAGCATTTATGGACCAATTTAATGATTGTAATATTTGGAATTCAGTAGCAATAAATTGTTTAGAAGTATATTGCATACAACAAAGATTCTCTAAAATTTTAGTACTTGGAATATTTTTTTTAACATCAAAGAATTTTGCACTTATCCATAGACAAGTTAAGGCAATCAATTGATAATTCGTATTCTTCAGTATGAATTTTGAAGTGTATCTATCCACTAGATTAAAAGTTTGAAACAAAGTAGAAGTAGTCAGAGATAATCTTGAATGACAACACATTAAGAATTCAAATATTAAATATCTCATATCAGAATTAATATATGGTTGAGATTTAAAACAAGATAAATTCTTACTATTATTTTGAGAAATTCGATTGGATCTCTCCAACGCATACAAATGATTGGAAAGATCTCTGTGATACTCCTTGACCGTCATTTGATGGTTCATCAGTTCTCTTTTGACGAGGTTTGGATTCATGGATTTCATATACGAGTTATGTCTTCTAATTTTTGACATTTCGTATAGATTCACCATCTTATCCAGACATGATTTGGATTCATTAGCAGGCATACTTTAAGAAAGAAAAGATAATGATATTTTGTGTGTGTGTGTGTATGTGTGTTACTTAAAACTATGGCAGTAAAGTAAAGATGCTATTTGTTGGTATAAAATATTTCTATTCTATATCTTTTTTGGAGGAGACGATAATAAAATCTTTTTTTTTTTGAAGTTTTTATGATTTTGTAAAGGGATGGAAGTAATAATAATAATGGTATATATATAGGTAAAATACTATTATTGAAGAAGAGATAAAAAAATTTGGTAGTAGGCTTTAGTTGAATATTCGTAATAAAACTGGAGTAAGTGAATATTTTAGGAATGCAAATAAAAGAAAATGTGAAAGAAAATCTCTTATAAAATATATTTGAAGAGAAGTATGCAAAGAAAAGTATGAAAATGAAAAAAGGAACCAGATATATTTGAATAAAAAGGTTCTCGATTAAAAATGCAAATTAGTATAAAATAATAAAAGTAGTTCTTGGTTTAGCAAAAAGAGAAAAAGATTATCTTTTTTTTAGTATTTTGTTATTACTTCTAAGTTAATAATAGTAAGTCAATGATGCTATAATGTAAACCAGGATAAATGTTCATAAATGGGAGAGAAAAGGTATAATGAGTGAGATATGTATTGGTAATGGCACACAAAAAAGGTTAATGAATGGAAGTGAAATTGTTCGAGGATATCTATATGCTCTTATTATTTCTCAAAATATGTATTTCCAGTAAAACCAACAAAAGAAAGAAAGAAAATTGGATATATTTCGTTAAAAGGATAGAAATGTAAACTTAATCAATCGATCGATCTGGATTGATTTAATTTAAATTAAAAAAATTGTAAATTATTATTAATTAAATTTAATTAGACATTGAAAGAAACTTCGAAAAGAAATGATTTGAAAAAACTGATTAAAATATTCTTTATATTACTTATAAATGAATCTTCCAACTAATACATTTTATTTTATTATTTTTTTTTTTTCAAAATATGATAATGATACAATATAGTTTCCCACTCGGTAGAATAATAATGAAAAATTTAATGAAACTATACTGAGTAAGGGCAAGATTAGGAAATTATCTCCTAGTATGTGTGTATGTGTGTATGTATGTCTGCAAGTTGTAAAAGAAAGAATAAGAAAAGCTCAGCCTAATAGAAACGAAAATGAAAATGAAATTGAAATTGAAATAAAATGAAAATTGAACTCTTTCATCGAACTAATTAGGTCATCAATCTCTTTCTGCCTCCCACGGTAAAAAATGAAAAATGAAATGAAAAAAATAAAGAGACCACCCTGCACTGAGCAAGCAAAAACTAGAGAGAGAAAAAATTATCTTGAGGGCGTGGAGAGACAAAAAAAGAAGATTATTATGAAGAAAACAGATAGGACAGATAGATAAACGGTAGTAAAGCAAGAAGAATTATAGAGAGATAATAAATAACTATAAGCATAAGAATAAAAATAGTACCGGGTTTTTCGTATTATGAATGAGGGAGAGGTGCTGCAAGGATATATAACGTATATACTAAAATATTATAATACGGGGCAAATAATAACAATTTGAAAGAAACTCTCCAGGTATTATTGCAAAATAGTTTGGTGGGAAGCGAGGGATATCATCGTTCTTGTTCTTGTTCTTGCTGCTTATTATTATTTAGAGGTCAAGAAGATTAAGATTTAAAAAAATAAGCAAAGAGAATATAATCAGTTTATACCGTGGTTTAAGCCTTCTACCCAATATCATCCCTAATCAATTGATAATTGTAACAGTAGCTGTAGTTGTAGTTGTAGGAAATGCAATCTAACGTATCATATCATATCATATCATATCATATCATATTGGCGTACGCTTACTAAAACAAGAAAGAAATTTTACAATACAATAAGAGAAACCTAATTTGTATAGTAGAGCGTGCAGAAATGGCATTACATATTGGGAATTACAATAGAAGAGAGAGAGACAATGAAATAAAGGGTACCCGCCATAGTAAAAACTGCTGCAAAAACGAAAAAACTTTTTCTTTCTTCGTTTGCGATGTGAGAAAAACAGAGAAAGAGAAATTAACCGAGCCGACTAAGGAAAAGGAAATGCTCACTGTAAACACGCAGTATAACCGGCAGTTTATCCCTTGTCTTTTCCATCTCTCACTATATGTGATTGTGGAGAGACAGACAGGCAGAGGGATAGAAAGAGATCAGTGGCCTTTACACACAACTTCTACTGTCTGCCTCCGGGTGCATTCAAACTAGAGAGGGATACACAGACAGGAATTGAGAACCAGTAAAATTTATTTGATTTTTTCGCTGCTCTCCTAAATAATTACTTAGTATAGATATTTTTACTCAGTGATGGGGATGAGGAGGCAAGGAAAATATCAAGACAGCAAGCTGCAAATGAATTTTCCACTTCATTTCATTTTTTTTCTATTAGGTTATGCTATATCTTTCACCATATTTGAGGTTCAATCGTTTCATATAGGTTGGAAATTTTTATATATTATTATATGTATTTGATTTGATAGCTGCTAGTATTTTAATAGAATAAGTACAATTATGCAACATTAACTGATATATATCTAATATATGTGTGTGTATTATAGCCTACCCTAACCCTTAATTTGTTATGATCAAACTTTTATTTCAGGGCTTGTCTTGTTGTTCGTTCATCGGTTGAAGAAGTACAAACGATCTCATTATTGTAATATTCAATGCTATTGTTATTATTAGAATATTTAATAGATGGTCGTCTGTTCTTTTACTATTAGGGCATTCTTTAATTTAATTACTATATAATAAACAGAAAAGAGAGATTAACTATTTGAGTTAATGGCTTAGTTGTAACTTCTATAATCAGTTGTTTTGTTTTGATTTAACTTGATTTGAATGTAAGGCCTAACATTTCTGTTATTAAGTATTATAAAAGATACAATAATGATATCCGAAGTTCCGATGATTACAGAGTCCAGAACATCGTATTATTATTATTGCTATTATGAATAAGTATATAACTACGTTGTTTAATATCCGATGGCAATAATACTGAAAAAGATTCTTCTATATTTACAGATACTATTTATTTTTAGCCTGTAAGGATAAGATTATGCAGTTTTAGGTCATTTCGTTACTAGATATGAAACATTTTATAAATAATTATATTCAAGAATTGCATTGTAATTGATTTATTCCTATGTTCGTTCGAGTATAATATCTGGTTGGCGGCAAAGATCGCATTCATCACGTGTGTGTTTTTCTCTTGACCATTTATATTCAATGTGTAGTTTATGTAGAATTGTTCAAATGTTACTGTACAATTACATTGCCATTCAAAATGTGATCAAAAGAACAAAAGGACAATCATAGTGAGACTATCTCTGTCTTTGATGATGAAAATATATATATTACATTATGTTACATGCTTTCTATCTTCTATTGTAAAATGGAATTTTCTTGCACACTCTATTTTATGTGATTCCTTTTTTTTTTCAAGTTTTTGCAGAATTAGGAAGTGTTACCGCATTTGGAATATTAGTCCTCTAGCTTGAGTGGCTTGAAGATTTTACCCAATCAGGAAACTGAGGTGGGCGTGTGTATGAAGTTCATATATGTATATCCATCCACACACACAATTTTTGATATTACTTGGTTTGTCCCCCGGGCTCCGTTTTTTTTTTGTCTGTTTTGCAAAACTTTTTTTTCCGATATTACGGCATCTAATTATAGCATTGGTGCAGTTGTTTCTGCGTGCTCCCCTATTTTAATTGAGCTTCATTTGTTTGATTTGTCGTGTCAAAGAAGAAGAAATGCTTATTTTGTTCTTTAACGGCCAATTAAAATTTGTTGTTATCGGTTTGAGCTGAGAAAGACTGGGTGAAGAAATATGAAGGCTGTTGAAGAATCCGTGGAGTCAGGCAGAAGAAACTCAAGATGATAGTAAGACTTGACTCTCTCTCTCTCCCACCCCACCATTTACGCACTATTATTATTGTTATCATATTTTAGATAGCAATAAGAGTTTGTTGTTGAGTTTCGCAGTATTTACTATCATAATTCCGTAAAGAATCACAATATACATACATAGATAGCTATAACATGTTCTTGTCTGTTTCTCTTTTGGAAAATTCTTTCAATATGTTGATAAGAGAACATAATATATATCGTTGATGTATGTCACTAATAGAAACTTATTGTTAATGGGCATGTCCATTGTTTTTTCTCCTGGTGAGTGGATGACACACGCTTTTATTATACTTTTATTGATTAAGTCGAAAATATGAGTCGTCCATCATCACTTTGCCGATGCAACGAATTCGGTATACTGTATCTTCAGTTTAGATAACACATATATACGTCGTAGCATCTTCTGTAGTCTCATTGCCTTATCTTCAGCATTATTTAAGAATGCATGTAGTGTGAGTTGGTAAATCTCCTTCTATTGTTATACATATTTAGTAAAATTCTTTTAATATCCTCTGTCTCTCTCTCTCTTTAAGCGTGTCCAGATTATTATTATGTTTGTCTTTCCCTTCTTCCCCCGATACCATTTACAAATGGTAACATCGAGGACTCTGTGCACTGTGTTGGCCGATAAGAAGAAACCCGTCTCAATTAATGTTCCCAATTATGATTATGATTACCTCGATGGGTGATGAAGGATGGCCTGGAAGGTAACTATTATGGTAATACACCTTATTCAAGCATGGTGGGTTGTTTTTTTGCCTATATTGTTGCCACGAGTACGATTGTGTACCTCGCTGTTGGAGGTTACTTCAAACCTTGCATCTTATTGAACAGTTTTTGTATTGCAATACCAGCACGATTCAAACGCCTACACGTTCAAAGTATATCTGGCAGAGGGTGTTAGTTTTCAGCTTTCTTTGGTTACGGCCACTGCAATCTGACAACGTCACTGATGTAATTGAGCATTTATAATGAGAACAAAGTATGTGAATCCCGGTATATTTCATTAAAGGAATGGTGATGTTGACCTTACGTAAGGTAGTAATTATGATTGTTACAAGGTTTTTTTAAGACCGATAAAAAGAACTAATTATCATAAGTTGTTGACTATATTGTGCTTATGATAGCTTCTACCTTATCCAAAGAAGTGATCTATTTGCTCATTCGTAACTAACTATATCAGCCAGCTGAAGGTTGTATTTGAACCTTCTGCATCGAATTCAAACTAGTCGTTTTTATCTCTTAGTTAAAAACCCCAATCTAGACTTCAGAAGGGAATTCGTCAAGCTACTTTTTGAAAAACAGAATTGTCTTCCATGCAATATGTGTTGTTATCATTAAAAGGGTCTATATTTCAAATTCATGTCGTCTTGATTCAGTCAGGTATTTACTGTCGTTTTAGAGTTGCTCCCCGTGGAATGTGATCTTACATTGGACTTAGACACTCCCACCAAAATGAGAGTTATGTTTGCTCCGAAAAAGCGCGCTCTCGACAAAAGAAAGCCAATAAGGTCAGAAATTTTAAACATTAAGGAAGTCAAGATAGGACTGTGTGAGGGACTAAGAACGCTTCTATTGCAGAAAGCAATAATAGATACTCGCAGTGACATCAGGAACCATAAGTAATTTCATACATTAAACTTAGCATTACTTTGGTAGAATTGTACAACATATATATATATATATATTCATAGTTAAACGAGATTCCCCAGGAGAATAAACAAGACTTGATACGTTATGTTAAATAGAACAGGACTATTCAAGAATTCTTTGAGGCAGTTCTCATCTTCAGTACGAAACCTGCAGACTGCAAATAGCTCAGGTTTGCCTTTTAATTACAATGAAAATGAATTAGTCGAAGAAAAGACAACGGAGACCCTAGAACAACGGAGACCAGTCCATCCTCTTTCAGAGCTAGGGGATAGACTTAATCAAGAATTAAAAGATCAGAAAGATATTAGTACTGTGTATACGGATTTTAAGGATGGTATTATGAAATTTAAGAAATCTAACTTTGCAGAATCGAGATTACAGAGATCGTTCGGGTTAAATAGTGTGATCTCGAGATTGATTCATTCCTCCATTACCAGCAATGATTCTAAGATTGACCCATATGAAATTTTGACTAATGTTTGTGATTCCCATCTCGCAAGACCACAACATTTCGAAATTGTTATGGAGCACTTCTTGTCACACAAATTACCCCAGGACGTAATGAGTCTGTGGATCAAATATTTGTCCCTAATTACTGAAAACCCTGATGTTACTGTTGCGTTCCGTGGTAGAGATCCACATAAGAATATTGTTGCGTTAACTACGGTAGCATATTTGTTGCTACCAAATAATGTTCCAGATATGTCTGTCTTAAACCAGATTTTACAGGCTAAGGACCCTAAGGATGTGACTGGTAATGTGACCACCACCACATTCGATAATAGTATTCCAATCGATTTAATAACTTCGATTATCATGCAACGAGTCAATGAAAAGGATCAATCTACGGCATTAAAGAATTTTGAGATATTATTTATGAAATATGTTAGTAACAATACAGAATGGTTGGCCAAAGAATTAGATAATTCTTTTAATTTAAGAATGATTCAAAATTATTATAACATATACAAGAATAGTATCGGTAATATTGAAAATAATGAGTTTAACTCTGAAGTTGTAGCAAAGTTTATGAATACTTTTGTTATGTTAAGGAGACCTAATCAATCAATTAAGTGTTACAATGATTTTAAGCCAATTTTTAAAGATGATTTAGAAGGTATGACGAAATTGAATAATGCTTTGTTGGTCACCGTGGCAGAATTACCTGCAAACTCCAAGATTTATAAATTGACTAGAATTCAAGCTATTTGGAATTCATTAGTAAAAGTCAATGAGGATATCGCAGCTAGTTCTTATGTTGCATTATTTGAAGCATTGTTACAGTCCAAGAACCTCGAGGAATTAGAAACTGTTTGGGAAAACGATGTTCCAGAAGCTATGAAAAAAGATCAAGATGTCATGGAAGCTTATTTGGATTCTGTATTGAGATTGAAGAATTCTGTGACACTTAATGAAATTACACAAAAATTGCCAAAGGATATCAGAAATATTAATTTGATTAATAGTGTCCTTTTGAAGAATGTACAATCTCCAGAATTCAAAGTAGATGTGTTTGATAGCATCTATGATAAATATTTTGGTATAGGTAAAACGGCTAATGGTGTTCCAAAGCAATTACCAAACACAGAAACTCTTGCCATTAAGATGTTAGCCTCTTACACAGCCTCTAATGACAAACCAAGCTTCGATTTTATTAAATCCATTAATATTGACCAAAGATCAGACTTCAATAGATTCCTTAAAGTTGTAGAAGATTTCATTAGAGTGTCGCCCAATATTACACCTGTACGTGCATTGTTTGCTGAGATACAACAACCTTTGAACTCCAAAAAATATAAGTTGTTTATAGCAGCTGAATTTATGAAGAAAGAAGGTTCATCAACGGAAGCCGAACAACTATTGAGATATTATTTGGATAAAGCGGAGATTAAAAAGGACGGTAAGTCTTCTATTAAAGCACAGTTTATTAGAGAATTATTGGATTCTCTTGCTGTTGGATTTTGTCAACTTTCCTTAAGGAAAAAGAGTTTCCAATTTGTACCAAAGATCAACGAATACTATAGATCATTGAAGGAAGTAAATCAATCTGTCAGTAATTCTACATTAGTAACCATCCTCCATACGTATGCTATGTTATGTCGTTATTCTAAACAGAAACTGAGTCCGGAGGAGATAACAATTATTCAAACTTTCTTGGGGGATTTACAAAAACAGAATTTCCACGTAAATCAATCTGATATTAGAATCCTAACCTCAGCAGGAATCAAAGTTCCTGAAAAACTAGTCAAGGCAAGACCACCAAAGAAAAGTTCAGAGGAGAACGAAACCACATCTGCAGAAGAAGTTAATTCGAACACCCAGGCCACTACTATATAGAAATTTTATTCGTAAATAAACCCATGTAAATATATCATTACTTTTAACTAAGAAGCGTAAATTAATATAGGAAATGACAATTGTTATTTGCTAATATAGTAGGTTCCAGTTACAAAAATATGAACTCGATGGGCCTTTGGTTTTACGCTGTAATCATGGCAACAAGGTCAAGCTGTCAAGGAAAGGGTGAGTTCCCCCCACTAAATATGATTGCAAAAATTAGCCATTCCTATCTCGGTGTTTGCTCAACATAACCGCAGATAGAGAACGACGGCAAAATTATTTTTCTAAATTTTATTGGTTTGTTGATGCGCTAACTTACACGCTTAAATTTTCGGCGGTGTTGATTCTTTGAAAGTTTTTTTTTGAATCAAAGACACTGGAGGGATGTCATAAATTTGTTACAAATTGTTAAAAACTTGGTCATCAATGAATATCTGTGACAACCAATATTCTGAACAAGGTGAGGTATCCAGGAGTCAGATATATAACCCGACATCTAAAAGTAATAGCTTCGAGAGGAGTTCATATACTTTCCGCCTACACAAACGTTTGTTGTCTGTTTCAGTTTTATTTCTTTTTTTAGGATCTATCAATCAACACTCAAACTGAAAATTTTTGATCCTTCATACAGTTACTAGTAATAGAAACATCAAGCGTGGGTAATATCATTAAGGTGTAATTAATTCGTTTTGAACTGGTACATCATTTATAAAATCCAATACCTGTCATTTATTATTACTAGGATATTGACAACTAGAAAGTTAAACAGTTAGCCAAAATGATGCCATCAGTAATGAATCCAACCATTGATAGCAATCGTAAACATTCAACAGATATCCCTAAATTAGAAAGGTTGATAGCGAAAGAACTGGCTAAACAAGAATCATCCGGAACCAGCCAGTCTACTATTAAATTAGTCGGCCTTGACATCAAGACCATCACAAGTGATGATATACAACAGATACAAAATGTAGATAGGCTCTCGTTAAGAAAGAACCAGTTAGTGGCTCTCCCTAAATGCTTTGCAAATTTGAAGAATTTACGCTATTTGGATCTTAATTCGAACAACCTGAGAGATATACCGCATATTTTACAACAATGTCCACAGTTAGAGATTCTGGATTTATCCTGTAATAAAATTAAGACGTTACCATTAGACATATCTTCTCATTGGAATCAAAACCTAAAAGTCTTATCATTGAAAAATAATAGACTGACTTCCATAAATGATTTACGAATAATTTTAGCACTTCCGAAACTTAATGTTCTGGAAATTGAAGGTAATAACATTCCTAAAGAAGAATTAGACATGGTTCAAGCATACACACCTATAACAACAACGATACCGAAGGACGAATATTGGGCTGTAGCACTTCGAAGATACTTCGAAGATCATCCTGAGAGAAATATTCTCCCTAATTCGTCATCAAATCAACAAAATAATCAGGATTCTAGCAGCAAACTTTCCAGAGCATCAAAGAGAATGGGATTCATAAACACTACTAGAAACGGATCGATTTCGTCCCCGTTACAACATTCTCCTAAAAATTCATCGAATGAAATAACTAATGCATCATATCAACCCGTCGATACTATACAACCAAGCCGAAGAACACACCATATAGGTTATAATGAGGATAATAACCTTAAGAGTAATAATAGTAATATTAATAATAGCAACAGTACAAATACATTGAACGTACCTACCACATCTGCATCGACATCAATGTTAAGTCATTCTCCTAATCCATCCCATGGACAAACCGGTAGTGGGACTGAATTGTACAACCACACAAAATACAATGATTATTTCAAAAGATTATCTATTTTACCTGAGGAAACAATGGTTAATGAAGAAACAAGAATTTCACAGGCAGAATTAGTGGCTGCTTGTAGGAAGTTACTCTTTGGATTCACTGAATGTCAACAAGCTGTAAGAAAAATTGCATCGTTTTGTAAAGATGCTTCCATCGCTGTCAATATTGTATCTTTGTTGTATTCTGTTAGAACTCATATAGATAATCTAGTAGAGATATTGGAACAGATTGAAAATGATGAATCCCCAAGTGATCAAGGTTTAATAAAAATTTGCGTTACTATCATCTCGTCGTTTAAACAAATTATCACAGTACTACACAAAAATTTTACAACCTTTTTTGAAGAGGATGACTTATGTTTTATTCGTATGTTCTATATGACACTATTATGTTCATACACCGAAATATACAATGCGTGGAGTTTTATTAGTCCCGAATTCCACACGAGAAGTTCAAAACAACAAAGAAGAAAATATCCATTAAAGAAAGAAGATTCTTCTTCGGCATTATCATTTGTCGCATCTTCCTCTTACAAGCCTAATCCTACTAATACAAGCATTAACGAAGAAAAGAATCCATTTGAACAAAATTTAGCAAACTTCAATAACTCAAAACATAGCATAGCTCGGGTTCGTAGTAATACTTTACAGAATAAAATAGTATCAAACTTACCATCTACCTTAGCACATACAAATTCTTCTAATAGTGATAGTTCTTTCAACAGTAGTACGATTCATGAATTATCGTCACTCAATGCAGATCCTCCAAATACGCAACTTAAAAATATGTCGGCTAGCCTAACACATAATGAGGGTATCTCTAGAGAAAGGTCCAACGACAATTCTCCAAGTTCGCAGCATAATATACACAGTCAAGAGATGTCTCGATCTACGTCTATTAATAAGGTTCAAATGTCAGACAGTGTTGTAGAAAGAGAGAGATCATCATCGTCCTCGGCAGGTAGTACCATTTTGCGTACAGCATCTGTAAGCTCTCAACACGTTTCTATGATGAAATCTTCAAGTAGCTCTATACAGGTTAATAAAGATGCACCATTTCGAAATAAGACAGATGTTGCTGGTGAGCCCGTCACAGAACAAAATGACAAGAGTTCATCTGACATAGATAGATCACAAACAACTTCTGGTAATGAAATAGACAAAAACACGAATGTTGGATCCGTTTTAGTGCAAAGGAGTGATAGTATTGATAAGACAATGGAGGTCACAGAAAGAAGAAGCCAAGATTCCAGTACGCATAGTAACAATCAAACAACAGTTGAAGCAACTACTATAGGTGAGACAGAACAGAATATTGATCGTCAACTATATGAAATGTTAATCAATGTAACACGAATGGTGAGTGTGGTCTATGACCAGTTAACCAACGAGATCTCGAGAATTGCAATGGCTAGTACAACAGGTCAACAAAAGTTAACAGATGAATTATTGTTAAGAATTCGTGGTCTAACTGATACTTGTTGTCAGGCATTAGATTTATCAAAGACACTGAATGAAAGATTACAATTATTGGTCAATGATGATCCAAAGATTGTTGAACCTTATTTAAGTGATAATGAGAAATTAATTACTTGGGAGAATATTAATGCATTTTTGAAATCCATCATATCTATCCTGGGAAGTACAAAGGTAGTTATGACTGATTTACCTAATCTGAATGAAATTAGACCACATTTGGCTTCCTTGGCTAAAATCACAAAGGATGTTACAGTTATCTTAGATTTGAGTTCATATAAGGCCGTCTCAGTTACAGCCTCTCAATTACAAAAACAACAGCAAGTGCAAATCCAGCAGCAGCAGCAATTACACCAGCAGCAGCAGCAACAGTTGCAACAGCAACAACAACAAATTAATAGTCATACCCATGTTCCTCTGTTGACACCACAACCAGTACCTAACAATGGACAGAACAGTTATCCCTTTGAGTAATTCTTTTGAGGATCTTCTTAAAATCTCATGATTGGTTGTATGACTATACGTATTGGTATATATTTTAAATAATGAAGAATGAAGATTTCGCTAATGATGATTTTTAAAAGATTATTTGTTTATTTAGAGAACTAAAATGCAGATGAGGTTTATATACAAATGACTATACAAAAGGAGTGGATGGTATTTATTGTTACAATGCTATTAATGAAGGGTTGGAATGATGATTTAATAAAAATAAAATAAAAGATATTAGTGTATTATGAAAGTATTATTATTGTTAGTATGCACAATAATCAAGACTTTGTTCATAGATTTTACTCAATTCGAAATGATAACCGTGTATTTTATTTTTTTCGAAATATTGAGGTAATCTCATTCTTGTCCTTTCTGCAATACCCATGAATCTAATTCTATCAGTTGAGTTCAAAATAATTTTATTTTCATTTTGTCCTGCGATTAATGACCTGAATATACGGTCTAAGATATAAAACAATTTAAAAATCTTTGGGATTGTATCGGCGTCAGGATCATCATCCTCTAATGGATCATCACTAATATCAAATTTCTCTATATAATCCATCAAGTCATCAGCAATCCTGATAATGAATGAAGCTTGACCAAAATTATGCGCTTCTGAAGTATGCGATTTTTCATTTTTAATCTCAGTGTCTCCCTCGAGCATATTCTCTAAGTCTTCGAACTTTTCTAATTGTAAAAGATAATCAGTATGTGGTATATTATCAATAGAATACCAAATAAAATCTAATAATGATTTAATATCATGTAATAATGTTGATAGTGACGGATAACCCTTTTCACTATTTAGACCTCTAGATTGCACAAATTTTCTTTGAATTTCCATTAATCTTGCATCAACATAAGTAATAAATTTAGATTGTTGAGTCATCGATAATTTTCTATGTTTCTTTACGTCATTAAGTGGAACCTCGATTGTTGAGGAAGTATCCTTTTTTATTGAATCATCAGAACTTAAAAATGGTGATTTAAAATTAATACGTGGTTGATAATCATGAGCGCTATCAAAATCCACTTGTTGTTGATTTTCTAATTTTTCAGTGGTAAAATCTTCATCTTCTTCTGATATTAAAGTTCTCTTACGTGATAAAGTGTCAGCTGCCACGGCAGCACAAACCATTTCACGAGGAATATTGGTAAAAGATGGAGTTTCATCAATCCCTGGATCTAAATTCAAATCATCAATTTCTTTTTCGTCCAATTCGATCAAATTATCCAAATCCATGTTAGCATCTGGTCCCTCATGTAATGGTGTTTCGGGTTCAGGTAATGTAGTAGACATCTCTGTAAATGTTTCTGAATGTATGTGCTTATGTGTGTGTTTATTCCAATGTAGTTTAGTACGAATTTTATTTTTTCTATTTATTTATAGTTAGTTTTATTTATTAATTTAAGGTTACTTAGGGAATATATAGGCATCACCAAAAATGCTAAAATTATTCTCATTTTGTTTATATATGAAATTTTCCAAAATTAATGAAATTTGTCATTCTTTGGTGTGCTTTGTGTGGTGAAGCAAGGCGCTCATAGAAGAAGAAAGGACCGATATTGTGTGGTAGTGTACACTTTGGGTGCGCGATACACTGTGCAAGCCTGGAAAGAAAGAAAGAAAAAGGGGGGGCGGGAAGAGAGGAGAGGAGAAGCGACGGGAGGGGTCAGGAAAAAAGGGAGAAAAACTGAAAATAATTTACCCTATAGGGTTTGAATAGGGTTACGTGTAGGGTTTATAGTATAGGGTTCGGGAATTGTAGGGTTTCGTTGAAGGGTTTGACAGGGTTTAATAGTAGGGTTTAATGATTGGTTTCGTGAGTAGTGATGATGGTACTGATTGTGAGTATTCGTGTGGGGAAATGGGGGAGTGGGATATTTACAGTAAGATAGACGACGTAAAGAGTAATGTTAATAATAGACACAAAATGTTTGAGAGGAGTATATGTGACAGTACTAACATTAGACTTAAAGTACTAACTGTATGTAGTTACGAGTATATATATATGTGCTGTGAAGGTCTGTTCTCTAACAAAATTGGGGTAATGTAGTTAGTGATAAACTAAAGTGTACTGAGGCTTTTTAAGAATTTTATATAAGGATATATACATGTATATATATGCTGTGTGACATTACCCTCCTTTTATGTTCTATTTTTTGGGGGGAAGGGTGGACCTCCAAAACGTGAGGAAGTTCAAAAGGTGTTTTTGATGGCGGTTAAGAACATCGGCGGCTAAAAATTAATAGCACCCTTAAAATACTTTTCCAAAACAAGGTATACAATTAATAACTTTCAAAAGCTAGTATACACATAAGGAAAGCAACTCATTACATATTATACTGTGTTAGATTTTTGTTGGTCTGATTTATTTAGGAAAATATATATATATATTCTGTTATGACTAAAATACTTGGGTGTCTGGAACTGCTGGAGACACAATCGTTAGAGTTATCAAGGTTGAACGATGTAGATGGTATCACTGAGGATGACATTCTGAGCCGCATTATTCCAATAAAATCTCACCGCATTATTAAATTAGGTAGGAACAATAAAGAGGCACATCTTGTTATCGATCATCCAGTAGTTTCAGCTATTCATTGTATCATTTGGTGCGTCCTCTTTGATGAAGAAAGTTTCCCAATGTGTTATATTAAGGACGTCTCTTTGAATGGAACTAAGATTAATGGTGAAGTTTTGTTGAAAGATGCAAGTTATTTGTTAAAGGATAAAGATATCATCAGTATTGAATGTGATTCAGGTATAATCTGTTCATTGAAATTTGTAGATACTATAGCTAGAAAACCAAATACTGATTTGTTAAAACAATTGAATGTGGAACGTTATGTTGACGGTTGGGAAATTTCAACTAGGGTCGTCGGTAACGGTACTTTTGGTCATGTCCTTGTTTGTGGGAATAAAAATATTGACAATAAAAGTCAAAAGAATGATGATACTTTACAAAAAAATTACGCTGTTAAGATTATTAAGTTAAAACCAAATAAATTAAACAAGGAGGCTAAGATATTATTGCAATTAAATCATCCAAACATTATTAAAGTATATTATACTCATATGGATTTAAATAATAACTTGTTCATATTTCAAGATTTGATATCTGGGGGTGATTTATTCTCATATTTAGCTAAAACTGATTGCCTTACTGCGATACCAGAGACTGAGTCTCTATTAATAGTTTATCAAATTCTCTTGGCTCTCAGATATTTACATAAGAGAGGTGTGGTTCACAGAGATCTTAAATTGGATAATATTCTATTGGCATCCCCAGAACCTTGCACAAAGATTACTCTCGCAGACTTCGGTATCGCTAAACATTTGACCTCTACAAAGACTAGAATGCATACTGTGGTAGGTACTCCAGAGTATTGTGCACCAGAGGTGGGTTTCAAAGCCAATAGAGAGATGTATCAAACTTTTTCTAGGGCAGCAACTTTATCAGACAGAGATATTGGTTACAGCAATAAATGTGATCTATGGTCTCTGGGGGTTATTACACATATTATGCTTACTGGTATATCTCCATTTTATGGTGATGGAACAGAAAAATCAATTATTGAAAGTGCGATGAGAGGTAATATTAATTATAACATTAGACATTGGGAAAAAATAAGTTCAACGGCAAAGGAGTTTGTGAAAAACTTATTACAAGTAGACGTTCGAGAAAGGTTTGATAGCAATCAAGCAATTAATCATCCCTGGATTAAAGTCCATCGGAATCAATTGGATCAAATTTATCAGAAAAAAATATTACAACAAGGTACAACAAGTACACCAATAACCTCTCTTTCAAATTCTGGGAACCTTGCAAAAGCTATCTTGGTTCAGGATACAGGAAACCTCATTGAAAAGTCTAAAATGAATTGGAAGCGTAAATTGCCGAAGACTATTGTGGTCTCCAATAAAAAGATGAAATTGAACACATTGCATAAATACACTAGTAAACAAAAAATATAATTTCAAAAAGGGTTTTTTATATGGCGAATGTACCATTTATGTACTCATTGTACATAAAACCAAACACAATGGTCCACGTCTTAGTTGTTTTCAAAGGATGGTGTCAGCGACTTTTGTTTTGCACATTTATTTTATATGTATTTGGCATATTATATTCAAATCGTTGGCTGCGGAAATCGTCAATACCGAAAAAAGGATTGATACTAATAATCTCAATACAAATATAATAACCAAAAAGATTATATTGATGAGCGCTGAAGAGAACAATATCCAAACAAGATATTCTAACCTGATCTAGCTAGCCAAAGTTCAATTAGGAGATCATCAGCTTTTTAAATTATAAAAAGGTATTATCTATAATATTAAAATTACAAATAACTGACCCATTGATCTGTTTATTTTGTCCTCTCATCTTTTCGAATGGATATGATATGAATAGAATTATAAAGCGATATATAACAGGTAACTTAGAAAAGACCTTATATGATGCATTTGTGGCGGATACTAGGTCATTAAATAAGTCATCTAAATTATATAGCCCTCAAGATATATTTAATGGCAAACGCGAAGGTGCACATAACCCAAAGATTCACCAAAAGAATCGTACAATTACAGATAAATGGTTACAAGATGCTTTGAATACAAAAGTAGAAACCAAGCTACCTAAAATTATATCATTACAATTACCACTTATATTAAAAACATTACAAAGATTGAGAGCCACGAATAATACACATTTCTATTTTAAATTAATGAAGAAATTAAATTCGACCAAGATCCATTGGGTAACAACGAGCCATGCTACATCTGTTAATGAATTCGAAGATATCGTACCGCCTGAATTTTACCACGAATTATCGAATATGCTCTATAAACTTAGTTTAAGAATGAAATCTTTTAAGAATGAAGATGAAATTGATGCACTATCTAAGTTTACATTAAAATTAATTTCTCAATATTTGGAATTATTGGAAAAAACAAAATCAAAAACAAAGTGTAATAGTAGTTTTTGGAGAAATGTTATATCTGTTGTGTTGAAATCTAAATCTTTGGTATACAAGGAGCAGGTATTGACATTGATTGATAAATTGAATGTAGTGTCCGGAGATGCCAATCTGTGCGAAATATTGAAGGATTATACTAATTTGCATTTTTATTTAGAAACGGACCAGTTATTAAAATTAGAACATTATATCCAAAGTTGTTTGACTCTAAATAAACCAGGCAAATCAAAAAAAACTGAGGAGATACAATTAAAGCTGTTTTGTCCATTACTAGTTCGAACGTTACAAAAGTATATTATGTGCGGGATGGTGGACTCGTATGATCATTTGGCAAAATTGATGGTTTTGGACTACCCTAGCATCTTAGATGAGCATGATATTGCGACAATCGATAATTTATGTGAGAGTAATGCACTTACTACGCTTTCTACTTACTTGGGATTATCTTCTCTAGCTAATGAAGATATAGCTTTCAATAACTTAAGAGCGTCCCTTTTAAAACAGGATATATCGTTCCTGGACATATTACAGAAGTTAAAGGATAATAACATTGATCCGTATAGTACCATGTATGTAGGAAAATTGGATTTTGCAATATTTAAAGTCGAAGGTAACAAATGGCCAAACCTTAAATATTGGAAGCAGGAATTTCCACGCATATTAAATCATTTCAAAGAAAATAAAATGCCTCTTCCAGTTCAAATATTCTTTGTAAACACTTTGATGAAGAATTTGGTTGGTGATAGATATGTTGGTTATGTCATTGATGTACTACAAATGCTTTACGTCGACTTTAAATTTGATCTCCCTCTTGGTGATTGCCAGAAAGATTGTGCAATGACTACAACTGGGTATCATCCTTTATTTAAAATGGTGGAATATGGTACCAGCGCCATCATGTGCTCATTTGAACTGTTTGAACATATGCTTAAACTCAAAAAAAGAGGGCAATTTGAATTCTTCCCAGAGGACTTTAGTTATCTTTTGACTATTGCTGGTCGCTTAAATGATAATATGTTATTTAACTATTACTTTATGAAATATCTAGAACTATATGGACACCAAAGCTATGATGTGAAAACAAAATTATGGAGCCTCCCAGATAGATTATTATGGATTACTGGAGAGAATTTTAAATTTGGGATCAGTGAAGAATCATTGAAAACTATTGAAAATATGTATATTGAAAATGGTGGCAAACAACTGACTCGTGATAGTGGGGAGAGAGTTTTTAAATTGTTTTATAATAAAGATGATCAAACCACAGATGATGGTAATAAAAATCGTGCAGATTCATTTAAATATAAATTACAAGATGTTTTGCGTAATAAAAATTTAACTGAGGAGGGATATTCTGCACAAACAGATTTCTACTACGCAGATCTATTAGTTAGCTTGTTAGAGTACATGGAAACAGCCCATAATCCAACGTCAAGAGACTAGACTGTGTGAAAGTTTTATGTTTCGTAAAGATATTGTTGTTTTTTCGTTCTATATTCTATAAAGAGGTTTAATAAATAAATAAAAAGAATTATGCATGTATATAATAATTTGAAACATTTAAATTGTCCTTAGAAAATTTTGACTTTATAAGCGTTTTCAAACATTCAATTCGAACGAAGTCATCATATTCCAAATATATCTGCGTCAGTGATTGAAGTGTAATCCTTAATATTGAGGAAGTATCTTTCTTTTGTCGATATTTTTTAACAACATTAAATAATTTATCAATAACGCTATTGGTAAACGCGATATCAGCATTATTTTCATTGGCATTTGAATATGCTATTACTAAATACGGAAGAAACTTTATGACTGTACTCTTCAGCATTGAAGAGCCATTTATTATCAATAAATTGTGCATTTTTATTAAGATACCATTCCAATTACTAGTATCGAAGATTACGTTTGAAGATATCAATCTTATAATAAAATTAAAACACAGTAGTGTCGTTTTGATAATTTTAGATCTTTCCACATCATTTTGCTCTATAATAATGATTGCTGCTGACGGGATTGAGTGGATAAGTTCATGAAATATTGAAATTTTATTGTCTGTGGATTTTGCAGTTTGGTCGTACCAAGTAATAAAAGCATCTATAGAAGAAGTTATTTGTTGATCTGTTGAATGGAAAGCTCCACCTCTGGCAGCATAGTGTTGCCAGAATTTTATCTTTTCATTTTTAAATGAAGTAGATTCAAGGGATTCTCTTGTGAAAAATCTTTCTCGCAATAGAAGTATATTCAAATTATGCCTTTCCTTATGGTATTCGAATTGTGGTATAACATTTTCTTGTAGTATTTTTAATGATAATAAGCTGATCTCTTCAGATGGTTCTGCAAGTAAGTATAAAAGTTGGAGCGCAAAGCGTTCTTGTATACAACTTTGAAATTCATTGAAATGTTTATCTAATAATATGCACGCCTCTTCTCTTACCAGTCTCCCCACATCACCTTGATCAGTAGTAGTATGATCGTCCAAAAATTCATAGATCATGTCAGTAAATATGGTGTCATTTGGTGTTGATGATAATTTATAGAACATTGTTGTTGTAGTATCATTGGTAAGTGTTCTAATCAACGATGCTTTACATTGACAGGACATTGAATATTTATATTTTTCAAACAATGAAAAGAAATCCTTTGGGGGTAATGAAGGTAATGAAGCGCATACAAGTTCATTGTTAAATGACATGTATTTATGATATAGTTTAAAGAAATTTTGTTTTATATTTTCATTATTATCAAATAATGATAGATCATTAGATAAAATCTTTAAAATTTGGTTAAATAGCTCACTAAATTCGTCATACCAGATACATGAGTTTTCGGTCTGAATACTGCCAATAATTTCTTTAAATAAGAAATTTATCATTTTATCATCAAATATGATTCCATGGGGGATTTTGGTGTATAGATTCCAATATTTCATAATAGATAATAATTTAAAAAAGTCTTCATTGGTTTTCGTTATGTGACAGTTAGATGTTACGATACTGTCGTATAGGTTTATTACAATATTTCTATTGATATCCAAATATTGATTCAATTCTGTAATCAAATATAATAATCTTGAACCTTTTGGTGGATCATTTAAATAAGATTCATCCTTTAAAACATTTTTTATGATATTAGATATCATATTGTCACTATTATGGTTGATAGGTTTGATAGTTTCTATAAACAATCGTAATGATTCAATAGACAGTTTAACTATCTGATAATCTAAATTCGTAAAAATATTATAATTAATGAACCAATTAATAATTTTATTAAAAAATAGTGGTGAAGAATTGTTTGAATGGAAAATCTTATAAAGTAAGATTAGATTTTCTTTATAAGATCTATTAATATCACTAAATTTCAATTCTATCAATTTCATTATAGTAAAATTATCTAAAATTAATACTGATAATTTATGATTTGAATGATCTTCTATTTCATTAAATCCATTATAGATATAATTGATTCTACCTAAATATTCTTGTAATGCAGCATTTGATGATTTTCTAATGATAAAATCTTTATCAAATAAAGAATTCATTAATAAATTAATAAAAATATTATCATTTAGAGACTCAATTAATGAAATAAATTTTGTTTCTTTCCCATTTAATATTATAATTTTTTTAAAATTTTTATTTCTAATTAATGACCAACAAATAAAATTTGTTGCATCTTTAATTTGATTACCTCTTAATGATACAGTATTATTAGAGTTATTAGTATTACCATTCAATATTTGGAATTTAAATGTTATTGGTAAGACTGTATTAATAATATTTAGTAATTGCGATGTTGGTAAATATTCTAAAATGAAATTTGATAATTCTGCAATAATAATTAATTGACTATGTAATTGGTCAATATTAATATTATTATTATTTGAAATCATTTGATTATCTTTAATTAATTTAATTGTTTTATCGATAATTTGATTAACTAAATCAATAGCAATATAACTTTCCATATATTTTGTTATTAAGTTAATTAATTTTTGAAAAGAATGAGCAATACAAAATCTAAATTCTGTAAAATTTGAATTTAAATTTAATAAATACCATGAGATTATGTCTTCTAATGATGACCAATTTTCATAATATAATTCAATGAAAAACAATTTTGGCATAATTTTAATTACAATCATATAAAATTCTTCAACATTATCAATTTGATTATTTTTGTTTTCAATAATATTAATAATTTGATTAATTGATGAATGTATAAATGTTTCATTTTCCACTAAAAACTTTTCATTTTCGAAAGAATTAATATTTGAAATAATTTTTTTCCAAAAATAGTTTAACGATAATAAATCTATTGATGATATATTATTAGTTATTTTTGTTTTAATAATAATGTTGTTATTATTATTTTGTAGAATTAATACTTTATTTTTATAATATAATTCTGCGAGGATATTTGCCACAATTGATTGATAAACTTTATTTGAATTAAATTTTTCCAGATTAATTAAATTGATAATTTTAATATCTAAATGATCATGATCAAATTTAAATGGTGATAAAAGAATTGTATATAACCATGATAATAATAGATACTTCATATACCAAGTTTTATAATTTTTTGAATCGATTTTTAATACATTTAAAATATCATTTAATAAATGAATATCAACTTTTAAATAATATGACAATTTTTTCCAATCAAAAATTTTTGAAAAAGTGTAATAAATTTGACTTAGTGAAATGAATAGTTGATTATCATTATAATTATTTGAATTTTGTCTTATTAGAGGTATAAGTGCATCAGTCAATATGGAAATGAAAACAGGTAAATTATTATCTAATGGAGATGGATCTTGTTCGAATTTATTAATATTATTAATAATCCTAGAGAATATCTTAGAAAAAGAAGAAGTAAGTTTCTTAATATTATTATTATTATTATTATTATTATTATTATTATTATTATTATTATCCTTTTCAAGTTGTTTATCAATTGTAATTAGTTGAATCAGATCATCTTTAATTGATTGTATTATGTTTGGTATGGATACATCGTTCATGGAATATTTCTTCTTCGTTCAACGTCGATAACTTACTGTTTTTTATCCTTTTTATCCTTCTGTAGTTCGGCGGCTAAATGTGTATCATGTAGTAGTAGGTTGCAGAAATTTATTTGTTTATTTTTTGCCACCGACATAATTAATATTAAATTTAGTATATATAAAAAAATATATATGAACAGCACGGCTGAATAAAAATACACGTGATCTTCCATCGTATAGCATGACTTCCATTGGGAATCCGGGTAATATTCATGTACGTATGTCCACTCTCTTTATGCCGTTCTCGTTTTTCTCTCCTCACAAAAAATGATAAGAAAGAAAAGATTCGATAAGCACTGACCGTATCGTGGTACGTACGTATGCATGTAGTATCACGTATTAAGGTGCGGCTATTAATCTCCGTATTTTTTATCTATTTATCTATCACTTGCATTTCCGCTCGGCCGTATCAATAAAAACAATAAATTTTGTCATTTTTATCTCCATCTCTGTTTATCTAACTATCTATCTCTATCTATCTGCGGCGGTGTATTTGTGATAGAAGTTGAAGTTCCATTGGGACATGAAATGACAGAACCAGATAGTAAAATTGATTACTGGCCCTATCAATCTATATATGTATATTAACTACGTAGCTTGCCCCCCTAGTAAAGAAATCTACCCCTTCCAACGCATATAAATTTATTTTGTAGTGTCATTCAAATTGATTAATAAGTCATTTTTTTCAAGTTGGGTGAGAATCATGAAAAAAGCATTTTATCGCTTATAAGAATTGATATATTATGAATCACAGATCATCATCAAATAAAAACAATTTAATTGATGAAAAAAGGATAGTAATGATGAGGAACCTGGAATTAATTTTTGTTTAAAATTATTATTACTATTATCTTCGGAGTTGGTTTTCCTCTAACTAAACTATCTCTCGTATCAAAATTACAAGATAATGAAGACGTCTGATTATTACTATTACTATTATATATATATATATTTTGAGATAAACATTTTTAGGAGTTGGGTTTCCGAAATTATCGGTAATATCAGATATCTACACTTGTAGTTAAATGTGATATGGCTAGCAAAAAAAAACAAGAATAAGAATAAAAGAACTGTTAATTAACCCGCTCTTATTATTAAAATTGAGTATGAATAGTATGTAAGGGGTATACTCAATACAATATATTTATGCAAGGGATATATATTCATCATTGATTGATAATACTAAAAGATTAATCTTGTAAATCTAAATCTTATGTTAAAAAAAAGGAGATTACGGATATACATATATGACTGATACACGGCTTACTTTAATTATGAATATATATTTGGTTTGGTTTGGTTTTTTATTTGGAAATTGTCAGATGTATTGTCATATTTCGTAATGATTATTATAATTACTATTAGTATCAATCAGTATTATGGTCCCTTTCCCTTTCTCTTTCCCTTCTGCCCCCCCCTCTCTCTCTCTCTCTCTCGCCCTTTCCCCCGCATAATTCTTGTCTCTTTTTGGGATTTTCTATCAATTTTTTTGTTTATCTTGTTTATCTATTTCCAACTCTTTTTTCGTTTTTTTACTAAGATGTACTTCAATTTCTAGTGATTGTGTTAGAGCAAAAAGAAACGGATCAACACCTTCTTTTATTCATTTTTTTGCTACTGGGCATCAAAAAAGACGTAATTTATTCATTTTGTTTTAACGTGCAATGCCATTTCTTTAAGTAGATGATGAAGGAGAGCAGCGGACTTAAAGGGTCAAATGATAAATGACGGTCCCTAATTTTATCATTATTATTCATAATTATTATCATGGTTTTTTTAATCAGCCATATGATAAATAGGTAATTCTTCATCTATCAATTATTCATACTCCACATAATATTACAAAAGATAATACGTATATATATACATTGCTATTATCCAAATTTTGATAGCAATTTTTATGTGTTTGTTTGTTTTTTAATCTTATCTTACTTGAAAGGATTAGTTCCTTTATCAATTATTAATCTTTATTACTTTCTTTTGTTTTTTTAATTTTATTTTCCTTTCGTAACTATTTCCTTGAAGTTCGTTAATTTTACATTAATTTTGCCTAATTAAAGAATTTGAAAAAACAGAAAATAATAATAACCTGCTCAATAAGTTGATTACGAATATTTTATATTTATTTCCTTAATCTCCGTCATAACTTTATTATTAATAATATTGTTTGCATATTTTCATTCTTTTATATATATATAACGACACATATTTTAAAATAACGTTCCTTTTCCTTCCTTTTGAATATTAATAACATTGTTTAGTCCCCAACTACATATAAGATAATCCAGTAATTGTTTTATTATTTTAGAGAAAAACAAAGAACAATATGAAACGCCCTAATTTGTTCGGTCTAGTTAGCGTCCGAAGTGAAGATGACGACTCATATTCTCAAAATGGTAGTAGTAATACAGATCATTCACAAACTATTAATAAGAAAAATGATATACAGATAGATGTCACGTCATACTCAAGAGACCAGAATAATAATCGTAAAAATAGTTCCGATGACGTAATTAAATCATATAGCGATGGTGAAACACCCGAGACTATTGATTTAGAAAAATCAGATCTAGAACCAACAGAATTGGTATTACAACAAGGTCTGAGTTCAAGAGCTGTTCAATTCATCGCTTTGGGTGGTGCTATTGGTACAGGTCTTTTCGTCGGTACAAGTTCAGGTTTAACCCAATGTGGTCCCGCAGGTTTATTTACTTCCTATATTATTATGGCATCTGTGCTGTATCCTATTATGAATGCATTTGGTGAAATGGTATGCTATTTGCCTGGTGGGAGAGGTAGAAGTTCTCAAGGGTCTGCCGCTTATTTAGTCTCGAAGTACGTCGATAAATCTCTAGGTTTCGCTACAAGTTGGAATTATTATTATTGTTACGCAATCTTAGGTGCTGCTGAATGTACTGCTGCGGCAGGTGTTGTAGAATATTGGACTTTGAAGATTCCCAAGGCAGGTCTTATTTCGATATATATTTTCGTCATTGTATTATTAAATTTTGGTCCAGTTAGAATCTACGGTGAAACTGAATTTTGGTTCGCTATTACTAAGATCATTTGTATTCTAGGTTTAATCATCTTATGTTTCATCTTGTTTTGGGGTGGTGGTCCAAAACATGATAGACTGGGATTCCGTTACTGGAAAGGTGACCTAGCATGGGCTAATCATTCTGCTCCAGGTAATACAGGTAGATTTCTAGACGTGTATACTGGTATCATCAAAGCAGGTTTCGCCTATATTTTAGGACCAGAATTGGTCTCTTTAACAAGTTCTGAATGTCAGGATCAAAGAAGAAATATAGCTAAGGCCTCCAGAAGATTTGTCTACCGTTTAATCATTTTTTACTGTTGCAGTGTCCTGGGTATTAGTGTCATTGTATCTCGTAAGGATCCAACCTTGTTAACTGCTCTAAGTGCTAATAAAGCAGGGGCTGCATCATCTCCTTTTGTCATTGGTATTATTAATGCAGGTATTCCAGTTTTACCTCATATTATTAATGCTTGTATTATGTTAAGTGCATGGTCTGCTGGTAACGCCTATATGTTTGCTGCTTCCAGGTGTTTAATGACCATGGCAAACGAAGAAGGTGCCCCAAAGATCTTTGGGAAAATCAATAGATTGGGTACCCCATATGTTGCTGTCGGTTTCACCACATTATGGTTTTGTTTGGCTTATCTAAATGTCAGTTCTTCTTCTGCAGATGTCTTTGCCTGGTTATCCAATATCAGTACCATCTCTGGGTTCATCGGTTGGGGTGTCTCTTGTATCGCTTATTTGAGGTTCCGTAAAGCTATTATCTACAATGGTCTGACCGACAGATTACCATTCAGGGGACCCTGGATGCCTTATACTATTTGGTACGCTTTGATATGGGTTATCATTTTATCCTTAACTAACGGTTATCAGACATTCATGAATGGCTACTGGAGTGTCTCTGATTTCATAGCTGCTTATATTACATTGCCTGTCTTTTTTACATTACTAATCGGACATAAACTATACACTAGAACATTCTTCACATGGAAATGGTATAAACCAGTGGAACAAATTGATGTGATAACAGGTCTTGACGAGATAGAAGAAATTACAAAAGAGATCGATGAGAACAGGGTCCCACCTAATTCCTGGTGGGAAAAGGTTCTGGATTGGTTAATTTGAATTCTCTCCTCTGTTATGTTATTTTATGACTGACTACCTTTAACACGTAATGTTTTACTTTATTTCATTCCTTCATTTTTGCCAACAAGTCATCAAACTTACTTCGTTTCTTTGTTTTATCAACAAATAAACAAAAAAAATATTCTTTCATTCATGTTTCCTTAGAAATGTATGCTTTCATGACATTTAATAAAAATGTCATTGCCATTATTAATATTCAATTTATTTACACTTTATATTCTTGAATTCACGTACTAAATTACAATATCAAAAAAACCTTTTATATTTTTAACTTCGAGTATTTGGGAAAATAAAATTTATATTTTTATCAATTCGTGACACATTTGATAAGACGCTAATTGAGACATATCCGTAAACAAAAAAACAAAAGTGATTTAATTTAAGAATATACAGTTTTATTTTTTCTATATAATCGATAAATGTCCTTACATATTTTAAATATCATATTCAATGTCCAATTTTCTTTCTGTTTGGAAAGTATGTCTATTCCGGTTCATTAATGGAACAATAAACTTTAATAAGATCATTTCCCATTCCAAAAACCCTTCTCGATCTCCATATTTATGAGACATTAGATTTAAAGTGACAGAAACCATATCTGCTAATCTGAGAACTAAATGGACTCTATCAGAATCACAAAGTTTATTTAAATATTTCTTGAAAAATTGAAGATCTCTTTCATGAGGTCCCTTTTCCTTTATTGTTTCCCTAACCCAATCATTAACCATCGAACAAATTTTTTCGAAATTTGTCTCCTTCTGGAATTTTATTGGCACAAATATACTATCATTATTCATAAAATGTGAATTCATATTTTGAATTGCATTTTCTCTTTTTTGTAATTTTTCTTTCATTCTTTGTAATTTAGAACCTTTGACTTTTCGAGTAATTTCCAATTCATGTTGAACATCTTTTCTAATTTGTGTTGGTAACTCTTGAAAAAATTGTTGTTGATATGCCTGTCGTTGGTTAGATTCCAGTTGATCCTGTCTTTCTTTCACAGGGGATCGTTTTAATCTTTTATATCTCCTATGTGGGTCGGTAGACTCCCCTCGGTCATGTGGACTTTCTATCGAACGTGTCGGAGGTGTCGTTGTAGTTATAGCAGTGGAACTAGCATGACCGCTTTGAAATAATAAAGAGAGCCCCACCTTTGCATTAGGATCTACAGCATCATTAGCATCAACCAATCTATTAAATTGAATCGAAACACCTCTCAACTCCACGGGTGGCACCGGTAAAGTTCTGAACATATGCTTCAATTCCGTAGCTATAATTCCGTCATCATTTGTAGGTACACCAAGTCTACTCGACGTAGTAAATGGGTCACACCTACCCATCCCCATATATTTCGGTGGATCGATAGGGGCATCTACACAACGTTGCATCAGTTTTAAAGTAATTGATGATGTGAGCTTATTGTACTCTGCCAATTTTTGGTTCACTAGGTAATCTGAACAAACATCTAGGAATCGATCTATCTCCACCATGTCTTTAAATCTAATCCCCCAATTGATATCAATGGAAATAGATTTTCTTTGGAAGACATTGATTGGATCATATATTATCCTTGCAGATTCATCATCGTCTTTACCTCTAAGAGCAAGGCACACTTTTTCACCTAGTTTATTACCCAAAACAGACTGTAGTGAAGCCACATTCTGGCAAGATTGTCTCAGATCGTGAAGTGTCTTCACCTTTGGATATTTATCACGTATTTTCTTCAACGTTGACCTCCCGACTCCAGGCAAGTCGTCTAATTTGAAGGAACTCCAAAACTGGTTCACATCAGTTGAATCTTGACTCTCGCTGTTATTATCAAACAGGAACACTCCATTGGGCTTAGCGGTTCTCAAGGCCAGTCTAGCCAGTACCAAGGAATCACTGACACCAACACTCACTACACAACCGGAGGTCTCATGTTTAATCCTCTGTCTCAAAGCATTACATAACTGTAGCAAAGTTTGTTTATTCTCCATGGCGTCCTTTGCCATGACACATATTGCTTCATCTATGGATACTGGGAGAACACAATAAAATTGTTCGATACCTTGTAATACACTATAAAATACTTTTGATCCCTTTTCAATGTGTTCAAAATCATAAGGAAGTGTAGTCAACTTAATATCATTTGGTAACATCTTTTCAGCTGTACCTACCCACATACCATTCTTAAGACCGAATTTTCTTGCTGCGTAGTTGCAACTTGCAATGTCTGAATTCTTTACACCATGACACACGGCAATCGGATCCTTATCAAAATCCAAAGTTGGAGTCTTTCTTTTATCTCTAAACAAATATGCTACGGTGGCGAAAAAACAATCAAAATCTATATGTAATATAGTATAACTTGAATCCGAGTGTGTTAAAGGTTGGATGTCTCTATACGATTCTACGAATTTCTGTCTCAAGGAAGCCTTCCATTCCGAAAGATGATGCAATCGTGAGTGTTTAAAATAATCTACCAAGAAATTCGGATCGTTGCAATCTGGTGGTCCCGTCTTATTACCAGGTGTTGTCACAACAGAAGAAGTTTTCAGAATTGATGGCTGTTCAATATTTGATTTTAAGATGGAATATTCTTGCCAAGGTACAATTTTCTGTTGTTTAATACAATCCACCAACCATTGAGGATTTATGACTTTATAATTTTTAAATTCTATTCTTTTCTTTGGCGGTAAAGAACTAGCAATAATATGAGTTGCAGAACCCTTTGAGGATAAATGATGTAAGAAACGACCACCATTCAATACCACCATATCATGAATCTGTAGTCTACCAGGAATAGTGTGTCCATTAACATAAATTGTCAAACCTTTTAACAACTGTGATGTCTGTTTTCCTATCGTTTCATACTGTTTTCTAAATTGAATATCTTGTTCAGCTTGTTTAATTTTCTTATTATAAAAATAAGAATAACGTCCCGGAGTAGTAGTAGCAGCAGTAGTATTATCTTTAGAATTTTTAGTACTTGACATATACGTAAAAGGATGTTACTTAATCGTAATCAAAATACGTAATAATACACAAATATTAGGGAATAAACGATTTGACTAACTTTATTCACAGTGGTTTTATTGTTATGTTAATCATCAATAAATAATGTAAATTTTAACTTTAATTATTTTGTTCCGAAATTTCATTTGATCAACTAAGCGATGAGTGAAAAACAAACAAACAAATAAAGGCAGTGACAATATACAATATACAATATATCAATAAATCCCCAAACCAAGTTATTACCACTAGATAGATTGAAAGACAACAATACGTAATTGTAAAATTAACAATACCGGATGTATATATCTTTAGTGTTTCGATTAATCATTAAGAGACTTTCACGGTAACAATAACAATAGAGAGAACTAAAAAAAATAAAAAAATTACCCAGAACAAGTCAAATATCGATAATACTCCGAGTTTTACAGTAGGAGAGGTATCTTGTATTAATCTTTAATACATAATCTCCGGCCCCTATTTTCTATAGAGAATTCGCGAAAATCCTTATTAGCTAAAAAGTATGTAAATAGTTAATTACCGGAACAAATTAAGAATTAATCTTAGATCGCGTAACATCTCCTATTAAATTGATATTTTGTCAATAAACAAACAATATCATACATATCCATATATCTATCCATTGTTCTCGGCACGCTTGATAAATAACAAAATAAATAAAGATTAGAGAGTCAACAACCCTAATATAAAATCTATCATCTGCGGTTCTTGTAAATACTTTACCATTTTCTTATCTATTATAACGAGAAAAAAGACATGTATGAAAGAGGACGGCTATAACGAAAATAAAACCAAATAATTTGTGAATTCTATAATTTCTTGCACAGCCAATCCAAGTGGGGCACAACAGGAAAGTACCAATAAAAATAACAACAATAATAATAATAATAGTAATGACGGTCGGTCCGTATACAATTGATTTGTTATTGATTTAACATTGAATTTTGGGCCAAAATGGTAGAGAGACAGAGACAGAGATAGAGCCTGTGCAAGGATTTGGCCCTCTCTTATATCCCTTTTAGGAAATACTGCATAGGGGTCTTATGGTGGTCCAGAGAACTCTTGGTACAATATACAAATTTTACCAGATCATGCGTGTTCACACCACCTTTTCTACCAGTTTTGTACGAACTCTTCTTAGAATACCGTAATACATTTGTCCCATTTTGAATATTTTTGTATTGTGTTGCGTTGTTTTTTTCCCTTCTCTCTCTGTCCATTTGCGGACATTGCTTTATTGGGACAAAAATAAAAAGCGAAGAAGGGTACCGCCAGCAGTGCGGTGGCTGGGTGTATGAGTGACTTTAGATGTGTGCAATTTTCGTTCTTTCTAATAAAAATGAAAATTTGACACACGTGTCGCTTTTGTACGTCCCTTTCTCAACCAATTTTGTACACAGCCCCAAAAATAAAATACGAATTGCCTGATAGAGGCTCACCCGGGATAAATAAGAACCCAACCAAATTTTATTTGGTTGCATTTTTTTGTCCCTCGTTTTCTTCTCTCTTCCACCCGGGGAAAAAACAACAAGACATGGTTTGAGAAAGTTCTTTCTAGTACATTCCAGGGCTACGAAGGACACCTTGGCCCTCCCCCATGTGCAGTTTCTTCTCGAATAATAATGCTACATTTATGTTGGGCAAACAAACTGAAAAATAACAAGTGATGATAAAATTGTTCCGTCTAAATAACGCACCCTCCAACAGATACGACCGCAGAAATCTCACACATACGCCTAAAATTTGTTCAGTGAAAAATTCCAGAAAGAAAGAAAGAGAGGCAAGCAAGCAAGCAAGCACGGTTTCACAACAACAATTTTGATTAAATGTTCATCAAATAATGAAATAATGATTAGGGTAAGCTTAAACTCTGTTCTTTTTAACTATTCTATAAACAGTTCTTTCCTAAGTGATCTGTGTTTGTTGTACGGGTCATATCTTCACAGTTTATTATCTAAGCGGAATTGAACTTAAATGATAAAACGTTGTCTTTGAAACTGTTTCCTTTGTTGCGTTGTCGTCGTTCTTTCGTTGTACATTTTATGTTATTTTTTCTATTATTATAATTACCTCTCTCGTTTTTGCATCGTTTTTGTTTTATCTTGAATTACATTTGTTACGTATGTATTCATATATATATCTTGTACGTTTTTCTTTACTAAAGCATTTATTAAAAATATGTTTGTCTCTTTTTTTTCCCATCCCAATTTATTTATTTTTTGTCCCATGTTGTCCCTACTTCCCAATTATATATCCTTTCTTTTACTTTTATTATTCTTATACATCTCTTGCAATAACAGTAACATACCATTAACTCTTATACATCCCTATAAGAAGTAAAAAAAAAGAAAGATCAATTGAAATTTTTTTTTTTGCACACAAACATATATATACAAACGAACTATCAAATATTATTATTCCACACATCATGAACACTAGCATCAACGTTACTTCCGAAACAGCAGCTCCTTTCGACAACTGGATGCTCCTGCAGGACTCCAAACCTCAATTAGATGGTGAAGACAGTTGGTCTGCCTCTTCTGCTTCGTCCTCTACTTGGTTCGAACCATTAGAAACCTTATTATCTTCGGCTTCGTCTCCTTCAACGGATGACCAATTTAGTCCGTATTCTGCATCTAGTATGCCTGTTCTTGTTAAACAAGAAACAATGGATGATGATGACGATGTATTGTTATCAACTACTCCAACGGGTATGACAACAGCAACTACAACTACAGATGTTGCCGCTAATGCAATTTCTAAACCTGTAAAGAAAGGTAGAACTACCAGAAAGAGATTGACAGCTCATCAAAAACAGGCACATAATAAGATTGAAAAAAGATATAGAATCAATATTAATACGAAGATTGCCAGATTACAAACAATCATTCCTTGGGTGGCTACCGAACAAACTGCATTTGAAGTCTCAGAGAATGGTTCTAATAAGAATGGTACTGCAACTGCTCCGTCAACTAAATTAAATAAAAGTATGATCTTAGAGAAAGCTGTTGATTATATCTTATATTTGCAAAATAATGAACGTTTACATGATATGGAAGTCATGAGATTAAGAAATGAATTAGAAACTTTAAAAGCTGCTAAAAACTGATTCTTCTTTCTTTTTTTCACCCCATTGGAATACTATTTCTATCTTCTCCCTCTCCCTCCACCAAACTTCAAAGAACAAAACAAAAACAAAACAATTTTTTTACTGCTTTTACTATACCTTTTATTATGATACACAAGATAAACATTTTTTTACTTTCAACATTCTCTCACACAGTCTCACACATTTTCTGGCTGGTAAACCCATTCATTTTATTATTATTACCCCTTTTCTGATATTATTCCAATACAAATACAAATACAAAAACAAACGATTCCATGATTTTAACTTAACCTATATTATTATTACTATTCCCTAATTCTTTTTTCTTCTTTATTTCACAACATTTCACTAATTAATTATTATCTATTCTTTTGAAGAGAAAAAAAATCAAGTTGGGAAAAGTGATGATAATGATACGACGACATCACCAAATTACATAAATATATTTTTTTTTCTCACACAAGGGTAATTAATATAATGAGTTGCTAGATTTTTTTTTATCATTATTATTGTTGAGAATGAGAGAAGAATCGCATTATAAACACAAATTTTTTAACGAAAAAACAAACAAACAAACAATATACTATCTTATATATTCAGAGAGGTCATACGAACTGGTTTCTATTTAGATAAAATAGATTCTCTCTGAAATAAAAAAACTGCAAGAACACAGTCACACATATAAAAAAAAAAGTTGATAACACTTTTTTTTAAAACACTTTTTTTTCTTTTTCACCCACTTAATTTTGGTTTAGATAAATACCTCTTAGTTATATATTATAATATATGAACATCCTTAATTATCAACACTTCTTTATATTGAAATAACTAGTACAATTGAGTACGATCTAATCAGTCTATTGTATTAATCAGCATATCAAACAGTAGACACCCTTCATATATCACCCCATCTGTAGTATATAGTGATTATTCAGCAAACACCCTAACAAAAAATATATGTAAAACAGGTGCTGATAAATCACAATCGCCCAAACTCAGGCTTACGCTTAGACTGCGGGACCTTGCCATAAATTAATGTTTTCGTCGCTTGTGTACCCCCAAGTAACTTCTTCTTCCCACGCGAAACAAAAGAAACCAGCCCAACGCGCACACCACTTTTTCCCTTTCGGAGCGTAATTGATAAATTTCCATCTTTTTTCTTGCTTTCGCGCTTCTATGAGCTGAGTTAGGTTGATCGCTGTTCCGAAGAATCCATTCACAGTGCTTAGCAAGCAAAGCTAGTCCTTACCTAAAATTTTTCACTACTTTCTGAACAATGCTAGATCTAAATAAATGAAAACATCTATATATATACTTACGGTTCTATCTATATCTGCCATATCTTAGGTGTCATACATCCTTTATGTTGTTGTGTTCCACTGTTATATTATAATTTATTTTGATATCAGAAGATACCTAACTAACAAACTGGGCAACACAATATTTCATTTTTATCGACAATGACAGGAACTGCTGCTTTATGTTTGAATGAACCTTCAACTAATTTTATGGCAAACTATGACGCCTATTACACACAGAATCACGACCAGCCATTGGTACTAGATAGACATATCTTGTTTGGGACCGCGGATTCCATACTGAATCATCCAGATACGCTGACCGCCAATAATGTTCGTTTTTTCATCGGGATCGACATTCCAACTACTCAAATGGCAGAATTGTATGACTCCGAGATTATATCGGGCCTATATGGATCCAGGGAAGATATAGTCATGGTAAATTTTGATTCACAATTTTTGGAAGATTTCGTTGTGTCAGACTTAGAGACCCTGAATACAAATTTACAAAACGATTCACGTTTGGTGTCGTATTTATGGAATAATTCACAATTATTGAAAATGATGGCAACACAACTGGCGAAGGATACTGTTGATACTTCAAAGATACTTCACAGGTATGTGAATGTTTACAAGAGATGCAACAGTTTTGCAGTAGATCATATTGAAAAATTCCAATCGTTCAATGATTTAATGACATTGTTCAATATGACAAACTCTCAAGGGAAAGTATTTGTCTTTAGCGATTCCACCACAAATGAAAACATGCTAACTTTGCTAATATCTACTATGTTGAAGAGAGACACTTCAATGAAGGTACAGCAAGCATATCATTTCGTAACAAATCTCATGGATACTCCAGCCGACAACGTCAGGGTGGAGAGAATCTTCCTATGTAGTGGTCTAACAAACTATGTGGAGTCTGTGAAAAGGTTTAACTCAATAAATGGAAGAAGACAGCTGGTAACTAATAATTATAATTCGGCCACTTCGTCGTATGCTCATGCGAATATGTCTAAAAGATCCATGCGTTATACAGATTCTTCTAACATTGCCACCACAACTACCTCCACCACTAATGATAATGACCATGCTGGTCAGACAGCTACCGGTAAGAGAGCTCGTTCCGATTAATGATCTGATATCAAACTATATTCATTGCATCTGCACCACTAACGTTCCCCTTAAAATAACTGATTTAAGATTTAATATTTTTCATATCTTTTTTTTTTTGCACAGGGGAGGGGAGTTTTTTTTTCCCTTAAGTATATATAAACGTACATAAGTCCACTAATATGTAATAATGATCTGTACTCTAATTAATGTAAAAATATCCTGTTTTTTTGAATTAGTAAATTTATCGACCTTATAATGCCAGGTTTATCAAATGTGATGATTACTTAATTTTTATTATGGTATCGCTCTCCACGTACGTCGCGATAATTAAGTATATTTTTTCTCTCTCTTTGCCGTCTGGAAAAGTTTGAAGAGACGAAAGCAAAAAAACGATAAAAAAAATTTATTTTTGGTGGTGAAAAATTCGATCCATCGATGCCAGCTTGAAAAACAGTATTATGTTATCCTTACAATAACCTTTTAAAAAAGAGAAGGCCTTGGATCTTTTACAATTTCTATTTATTCATTCTTAAATAAGTTAAATAGATATCCCTCCGTTAAGAGTCCAATACTATTGTGAGTGTGAAGAAAATGGCTAAGAAAAATAAGAAGAACCAGGATAACTACTGGGATGAAGATTTTGAAGAAGACATGCCTCAAGGTGAAGAGGTAGGCGAATCTACTACTACTGAAAACACTCCCGCTCCAGATGACTCCAATGCTCCAACTGAAGCTGGTGCCGAAGATGTTGTTGAAGATTTTATGTCTGCTTTGAAGAGTTCCAAGAAGAAACAAGCTAAGAAAGTTGAAGATGAAGAGAACAAACCAAAATTGAAATCTAAGAAAGAAAAGGAAAAGGAAAAGAAGGAGAAAGAGAAAGAAAAAAAGAAGGAACTTGCAGCAAAGAAGAAGGCTCAACAGCAAGCTCAAAAGGAACAAAACAAGGAGTTGAACAAGAAGAACGCTGAAAAGCTTGCTGCTGAAAAAGCTGCTGAAAAGCAAAAGAAAGATGATTCTCCAACACCAACTTCTGCTCCAAAGGCTAAGAAAGGTGGTAAGAAGGTTCCAGCTGGTTTAGCTGCTTTGAAAAAACAATTAGAGTTGAAGAAGCAATTGGAAGAAGAAGATAGATTAATTAGAGAAGAAGAAGAAAGATTAGAAAAGGAAGAAGAAGATAGATTAACTAAGGAAGCCGAATCTAAAGAACAAGAACAAGCCGCAAAGAAGGAAAGAGAAAAGGCCAAGAAGGAAAGATTAAAGGCTGAAGGTAAATTATTGACTAGAAAGCAAAAAGAAGAGAAAAAACTATTGGAAAGAAGACGTGCCGCTCTATTATCTGCTGGTAATGTTAAGGTTGCAGGTTTAGCTAAGAAGGAAAATGGTGACGATTCTGCTCCAAAGCCAAAGAAGGTTGTTTATGGTAAGAAGAAAAAGAGAACCACTGATAATGACGAAACTTCTGCAAAGAGTACTACTATCACCAAGAAAGCTGAATCCACCGAAAAGGTTGCTAATGAAGAAGAAGAAGTCTTGATCGATGATTGGGAAAACCTTGATCTTGGTGAAGATGAAGAAGAAGCTCCTGAAACTAACGAAGTTACTCCTGAAACTGCCACCGAGACCGAAGCTACACTTGAAACTTCCGAATCTGTAGCTAAGAGCAATCCAGATGAAAAAATTGAAGAAATTCCAAGAGCGGTTGCAACCAAGACCAAAGAAGGTGATCTACGTTCTCCAATTTGTTGTATCTTGGGTCATGTTGATACTGGTAAGACCAAGTTATTAGATAAGATCAGACAAACTAACGTTCAAGGTGGTGAAGCAGGTGGTATTACCCAACAAATCGGTGCCACTTACTTCCCTATTGATGCTATTGAAAAAAAGACTGCAACTATGTCCAAGTATGAAAAACAAACTCTTGATGTCCCAGGTCTATTGGTTATCGATACTCCAGGTCACGAATCTTTCTCCAACTTGCGTTCCAGAGGTTCCTCTTTGTGTAACATTGCTATTTTAGTCATTGATATCATGCACGGTCTAGAACAACAAACTATTGAATCCATTAGACTTTTGAGAGATAGAAAGGCTCCATTCATTGTTGCACTAAACAAAATCGATAGATTGTACGACTGGAAAGAAATTCCAAACAATAACTTCAGAGACTCTTTCGAGAGTCAAACTAGAGCTGTTAAGGACGAATTTGAAACTAGATTGAACTCTATTCAAATTGAATTGGCTGAACAAGGTTTGAACTCTGAATTGTACTTCAAGAACAAGAATATGGCTAAATACGTTTCCATTGTTCCAACTTCTGCTGTTACTGGGGAGGGTGTTCCTGATTTATTGTGGTTGTTACTAGAATTGACCCAAAAGAGAATGTCTAAACAATTAATGTACCTATCTCACGTCGAAGCTACCGTTCTTGAAGTTAAGGTTGTTGAAGGTTTCGGTACTACTATCGATGTTATTCTATCCAATGGTTATCTAAGAGAAGGTGACAGAATTGTTCTGTGTGGTCTAAATGGCCCAATTGTTACAACTATCAGAGCCCTACTGACTCCACAACCATTACGTGAGTTACGTTTGAAATCTGAATATGTTCATCACAAGGAGGTCAAAGCTGCATTAGGTGTTAAGATTGCTGCTAATGATCTAGAAAAGGCTGTTTCTGGTTCCAGATTATTAGTTGTTGGTCCAGAAGACGATGAAGAAGAACTTTGTGACGATGTTATGGATGATATTACTGGTCTTTTGGACTCTGTTGATACATCCGGTAAGGGTGTTGTTGTTCAAGCATCGACTCTAGGTTCCTTAGAAGCTTTGTTAGATTTCTTAAAGGATATGAAGATTCCTGTTATGTCTATTGGTTTAGGTCCAGTGTATAAGCGTGATATTATGAAGGCTGGTACCATGTTGGAAAAGGCTCCAGAATATGCTGTTATGTTATGTTTCGATGTCAAGGTTGACAAGGAAGCTGAGCAATACGCTGAACAAGAAGGTATTAAGATCTTCAACGCTGATATTATTTACCACTTATTCGATGCCTTTACTGCTTACCAAGAAAAACTATTGGAACAGCGTCGTCATGATTTCCTAGATTTCGCTATTTTCCCATGTGTTTTACAAACTCTACAAATTATTAACAAGCGTGGTCCAATGATCATCGGTGTCGATGTTCTTGAAGGTACGCTGAAGGTTGGTACTCCAATTTGTGCTGTTAGATATGATCCGCAAACTAAGGAAAGAAACGTACTTATGTTAGGTAAGGTTATATCTCTAGAAATTAACCATCAACCTGCTAATGAGGTTAAGAAGGGTCAAACTTCTGCCGGTGTTGCTGTCCGTTTGGAAGACCCATCTGGCCAACAACCTATCTGGGGTAGACATGTTGACGAAAGTGATACATTATACTCTATGATCTCCAGAAGATCCATTGATACATTAAAGGATCCTGCATTCAGAGATCAAGTCCAAAGATCAGACTGGGTATTAATCAAGAAATTGAAGCCAGTTTTCGGTATTGAATGATCTAAAAATTCTAATGAGGAACATATTTTATCAATTTCTTTTGATAGAAAAAAATAATAATTCATTTTAACTACGTATATAACCCACTTAGCCTTTGTCTTTTATAACATGTATATTGGCCTTAATTTGTATATCTAATTTCAACGCATTGGGCTTTTAAGAAAGAAAATATTTGGCAAGCAAAATTTATTTATAATAATTTATATTTGATATCGCTAATTATAGTTTTAATCTCTATTAATATGAATATCAAAATGAGTGCGAAGAGGTTGTTCAATTCCATCTTTCAGTGTTAATTCTGGAATCTTATAATCACCGTAATTTTGTTTCCTGTAGTTAATCGGTTCAATATTGGCAATATTGTCCATACGTTCCAAAATATCCTTCTCAGCTTGATCATATATTTCTGTGCTTTTCGAATCTACCCTAAATATAACAACAGGTGGCAAGACAGTAAAACCAGGATAGAATAACATCCCATGATTAATCGGAAAGATTATATCGTTAATGTCACCATTGATACCTCTTTTGGAAAAATGTTGTTCCCTACCTCCTGCGGTGATTATACAAAATGCACGTTTACCAGCCATCATACCCTCACCATATCTATCACCAGATCTATTTTTATTATGTTCACCAATGTTATAGGCATATCCGCTTGTAAATACCCTATCAAACCAACCTTTCATGATCGCCGGCATAGTAAACCACCATAATGGGAATTGGAAAATAACAATATCAGCCCAATTCAATTTTCCTTGTTCTGTTAAAACATCTTCTGTTAATTGATGTTCTTCGTAAGCTATTGTAGAACTTAAAACCACTTTTAATCTAGCACCCTTCTCATGATTCAAAAAATCATCTTCATCAACAATACCCTTCCATTTCATACGATATAAATCACTAACTTTTACAATGTGTCCATTTTCTTCCAAACGTTTTACAGCAGCATTCAATAAAGAATAATTAAAAGATCTCTTATCTGGGTGTGCAAAAACAAAGAGTATTTTCATATTGTGAATGGAAACACTTTAGAATATTAATTGTAATTAATGTAAACTAATCGAGACTGAAGAAATAAACCATTTATTACTTAGTTCTAAATAATAGAAATGTATATTTTTATACATATGGTCAAATGTCACATCTCTGCAATCTCCAGTACTAGTATATTTCTACCAAAGATTGAGCAAATTAATACTGATTGTTCCCATTTGATATTCTACCTAAGTCACTTTCATTACTAATCATCTGTCAAGTAAAGTTGCGTAATTATAGTCCTAAGCATAAAGTTACCGGTAAAATGTTCTCTACGGGGTTTGTACACTATAATGCGCCGAACCTATCAAGAGAGATTTTCTAATGGGCAGATCTTTGATAATTGTTCACTTTATGACATAATGCCCCAGCTTGGTTCCATCTTATGGCAATATAAGAACCGTTAACAATACATATTCACATAGTTATAGATATGTAAATATTCAACAGCTGCAAAAGTGTAATTTTGGGTTATTTTATAGAAAACAGTTTAACATTTCACTTTACCTTTTAATTAAGAATTTATTTTATTATTTAAAAAGACGTAAAATACACATACACGCTAACAAGCGAATATCTCAATCTTTCTTGATATGAATATCAAAACGAGTTTGACCCGGTTGTTCCAAACCTTCTTTTAAAGTCATCTCAGGAATATTATAGTCACCGAAGTTTTGTCTTCTGTAATGAATTGGTTCAACAGTGGCTATATTATCCATCCGTTCTAAGACAGCCTTTTCAGCATTCGCATAGACTTCTTCACGTTTTGAATCAGTTCTGTAAGTGATTACAGGTGGCAAGACTGTAAAACCAGGATAGAATAACATACCATGATTGATTGGGAACAAAATGTCATCAATTGGACCGTTTATACCTCTTTGAGAGTAATGATCGCTGCTACCACCGGTGGTGACCATACAGAAAGCACGTTTACCTTCCATTACACCTTCACCGTACCTATCACCATAGTGAGTTTCATCATGAACACCTACACCATATGCGAAACCGCAGGCAAAGACTCTGTCAAACCAACCCTTTAAGATAGCAGGCATACTAAACCACCAAACTGGAAATTGGAAAATGACAGTGTCAGCCCATTTCAATTTTTCTTGTTCTGCTATGACATCAGTAGTTAACTTGTTATCTGAATTAGCAACAAAAGATGCTTCGGCAACTTTCAATCTGGAACCCTTTTCATGATTTAAGAAATCAGTTTCATCCACATTAGTCTTCCAGTCCATACGGTATAAGTCGCTGACTCTGACCTCATTTCCTTGTGCTTCTAATTGTTTGACAGCAGCATCCAAAAGAGAATGATTAAAGGAAGCCTTGTCTGGGTGGGCAAAAACGAATAAAATCTTCATTGAATGTTTGTATAATTTAAATTTAGAATAGTGTGTGTTGTTTTAAACTTCAATCGTATTAAAACTATTGTTGTGATTAGTTTATTGATGTCCTTTTTCAATCATAATTAAAAATAAAAATAGAAATGAAGTTAATGAGTCTTAAATTTTGTTGTTAAATTGGAAGAAAATATCATCAATATTTATATCAAACAAAATCGAACTTATCAGGTTAAGTCAATGTTTTTCATTTTTAACTATTTACGTTAACTTTAATGTTATTTCGAGAAAAGACAGGTGAGATTTGCATTTATTTTCAACCTCGATGGATTACTCGGTTGCTTACTTAATATACAAAATAGTGTTTGTACGTGTATTTATCTTAATTAGATTAGGTTAGCAAAACGGACGTAAGAAAGAGGGAGACCGTAAACCGAACCGAACCGAACCGAACCGAACCGTTCTCAACACTGTAGGGAAAATTTCAGTTCCGTGATTTTTTATATATGTTTTTGATAGAGAACAGTATTGACATATCTGTTCTTTTTATGTAATAGGGAAGAAGGTTAACCTGTGCTTATTTACTTTCCATAGCAAGACCCATATACGATGATTTAAAACTCATTTGCACATGCTAATTTACTGTGGTGGTATTAGTCTTCAACCCCATTTGGACTCCCTATCTTGCCTAACTCTATTACAAAATTTTAATAATCTCTCCACTTGTCATATATTGAATTGTAAACCAGAAAATAAATAAGAATAACGCAATTGACCTCCATAATTTGATAATGAACAACAAAATTTAAAATAGACAGTTCTATTGATTACTAATATAATGACCACATGCTAGGTTGGTTACGATCATCTTATAATCCTTACGTATTATTTTACGATCATGTGATCACCACGTGACCCGAACATTTTGGTATTGAAAATTTTTTTTTTTCAATGCAAAGTTGCGAAATTTCATAATTCAAACTGATGAGCAACGGTAGATTGACATTTAGATGTCATCACATCAGACTTATTTTGGATATGTGTTGAAGTGTAATTGAATGAGTTACCAGCTATCTTTTATTAAAATCTCTATAATACTGTGCTTAAACTGCTCAAGAAAAGAAGACAATCATTGCATTACGAAAATAACTCATTTTCAACATGTCTCAAGTTAAAAGATCTGCTGAGGACATCGCTGTCGCTAAATTCATCAAGAAACATAAAAAACAACTTAAAAACCCAGTGGAAGATGGTATTTCCAATTGCATAACCCGTGTTCCTATCACTCTATACCTATCGCTGGCTCCATTATACTTACAGAACCCTGAACAAGGTATCATGAAACAACATCTAAATCCGATGGTCATGAAATATAATAATAAAGTCAATGGTATCATTTTGGGTTACGACAATCTAGAGATAGTGGATGCTGATCCACTTGCTGAAGAGACATCAAGTACGACCAAACTTGTAAAGATTACTCCAGATACACCATATGGTTTCACTTGGTGTACCGTTGAACTTTTTGTTTGGCAACCACAGGTCGGCGATGTCCTAGAAGGTTATGTATTCATCCAATCTGCCTCCCACATTGGTCTATTAATCCATGATGCGTTCAATGCAAGTATTAAGAAGAACAATATACCATCTGACTGGACATTTATACGTAATGAGGAACAATTCACCGAAGATACTGAGAACCAAGAAGAATCGAATACTGAGGACCAACCAAAGGTGCATAAACCTCATTCTATGGGCTATTGGGTTGATGCTAATGGTGAACAAATCGATGGTAAATTGCAATTCACTGTAAGGAATATTTTTACAACAGGTAGAGTTGTATCAGTGGAAGGTACTCTTCTAGAGGATAGCTTTATGGAAAACAATGCTCATCGTTCTCAAGTCGATAATCTACCAGTTGTATCTAACAAAAAAATTGTATTTGATGAAGAAGTTGAATCTGAAAATAAAGAAAGTCACCAAGAACTAGAATTACCAGAAGTCAAGGAAAACGATGGTTCCGAGATTGTTTATGAACAAAACACAAGTTCTAGTGATGATAGTAGTGACAGTGATAGCGATTGAAAAAAAACAAATAACGATAGCAACACCAACTACTATAAGAACAACAACCTCCAATCATTTCCATTTTGTCATTATAATTAAATAACAACGATTCTGTATCATACATTTATATACATCATTTCTTTAATAGATACAAGTAAGTATATTTTTTTGACTTTAATTTCGATTAACCAAAAGACACAATTTCAATATTTAAACAAATATAACTATAGGTTTTGAAAATTACTTAAAATGAATATAAAAAATTAAAATAATGATAATAGAAAGTAGAAAAGAAAACCTGTTTACACCCAGGTGAAGCTTCATAAAAATCTAGAAAAATTCTTATCTTTTAACCAACCAACATTCTCAAACGCTGCATATAATCTTGAGGCTTTGTTCACATCAATTCTACAAGCCTTTTGAGCATCAGTTCTTCTAAATGGTAAACCTTTCTTTAGTCTGTACACTTTCTCTAAGAAGAAACGTCTCTTTGAATCCAGGTAAAGATCACAAGGCAATCTTAATACTTGCGCAAGAATCAATTCTGCGGGATGCAATTGATCCTTCAAAGGGTCAAGAGATAAATTCATTGGTGAACCTTTCCATTCAATCTTTAAACACTTCGTATTACCCTTGGGAAGAGTATCAATAGACGGAGAATAATCTGGTAGTTTCTCCCAGGACATATTAGGTGTATAATTAGAGTTTCCGACAAGAACATTAGCTGAGGCTAGGGGTGAAGATAAATGTACCTGAGGTTTCTTACGAAGGGGAGTCCTTGGTTTTGTGACTCTTGGTTCTACAAAATTATCCTTTTTATTGTGGTCAATAGAAGAATCCTCCGAGACACTAGATTCGTTTGCCACTACACATCTTGTTCTATATTTTCTCTCTACATCTGAATGTAAACGGTTTCTATGAGTCTTTCTAAATTTGGTTACATTTGAATGAGATGCAATTACCGTTGTTGTAGGGCTCTCTAACTTGAACATCTTATAACTTTGTAAAAATTTATTTATAGAATGACAGTAACGACTTGTAGTTTGAGTATCTTGCCAACTTGGTAAAACTTTAATGTTGTCTTCTAGGTCACCAATTGGTACCTGACATTTCAATTGAGGCGATTGAGGTGGTGAAGGAATTGATCTATCATCTAGTATACCATCGATATAATTATTTGAAATAACATTCCCATTACTACTGGAGCTATTACTTCCCTCTTGGAAATGAGAAAACTGATTATTATTTGAAATTTCCCTCGATGCCCATTGAACCCTTCTATTCAAAGTAATTAATAATGCATCATTTTTTGGAATCGAGTTAAAGTTTTGACTGAACTCTAAAGGTTCAGGTCTAGGTGAGTTTGATTCCATTGTCCAGTTAATACGTGATTCGTTATTAATTGAGTGAATTTTTCTTTGGTTATAAAATAGAGTTAAAAATAAAATAATCCGACTTAAGATATTATATTAATTAATTGAAGATATAAGATCTAATATATTTAGTTCTAGCCGTGTAATTATCAATATATACATACATATATAAAACAAGAAATCACATTAATTAATAAACAGAAGGTAAGTATTATTTTCTAAAAATAAAAATAAAAATAAAATAGGTATTGAATGGGTAAAATTTGCTTATATACTCTTGATTCACATTTCCTATAGAAAGAAAAGAAAGAAAAATAAAAAAATAATAAATACAATACAAAATATTACAAATAACAAAAGGCATCTTACCACATATCATTTAAAGATTATTTGTTTGTCATTTGTTGACTTTGCTCTAATGGCTCATCGCATTATTTATCCTTGCTATCGATAAGCGTCAGAAACGTCAGAAGTTCCAGACTATAATCATCAATATTATTATTCAACTAAATTTTTTTATCAAAGAATTTCTTGGTTTGCGGTAAGTCATTTCCTCTTCATTTAGCAGATATAATCAAAATGGTAATGACTGTAATGTCTGGGTTCCCATCTCATCTCATTCCATCTCATAGTCCTGGCCAGAGAAAACCGCATAGAAAGGCTCACCTCCAAAAAAGAAACGACTGCTGCAGCATGCCGAACAAAAAGAAATAACAAAAGCAATTCTCGGAATTTTATGGGCTGAGAAAGTAGTGTAGGAAGTGCATATCCGGGGAGAAGTAGTGAGGGGCTTGAATGCGATAAACGCCCCTTTGAAGAGAAAGTGCGCAGCTCATCGGGATTGAGAGGTAAAACCCTTTTTGGTTTAGTACTGCTGATATTTCTCAGAGGAAGCAGTTTATATCTGCAGGAGGAAACCTCATTGCTTTTTTTCCCTCTATCTTATTTCCAGAAACGGTTATAGTACTGATTTCTTTTTTTTTTAACACAGTAAAAGTATTATGTGCAATAAGTTAAATTGATCAAGCCAAGCAGTAGTTAGAGCAGTTTAGTTTTTCAGTTCCCAGAACGATGAAGAACCATTGGGAGAAAAGCAAAAGATAAAAAAGTCACTAATATGTAAAATAATACAAAATTAGATAGACTATATTAAACTAATGGGTTGGCAGGATTGTATGCTACGTCGAAAAAGTCCTTAATCAGATCATCGATCTCATTACTTAAGGAGAAATCGTGGGTATAGTTTGTATTAACTTGGTTGACTACTTGTGCATCCAACGGGGTTTCAGTGTCCATTTCTGCCCCATACAGTTTCTTTGGAAGTAAATACTCTGGATACATCTTGTTAAAAAAAATATCACTGAAATAATCTGCTAGTTTTGTCCAAGTATTATGCATAGCTTCACTTTTATCGTCCTTCAACTCCAGTAACTTCTTTAGACAATTAATTACCAAAAGACATGCATACAGTTGGAATAAAGTAGACCGTTCGAAATTATCAAATTTATTATTGAAATTGTCGAACAATGTCTTTAGATCAGCAATGATTTCAATCACTACTGTCTTGGACTCTAAGGAATCTTCTATGAATGGTTTATTAAAAGTTAACCTTACAATATAATAATAATACCAAAAATATGAAATAGTAGGGTCAATTGAAACATCTGGATCCTTAATAAGTTCTTGTGACCATTGCAAAAATTCCGGTAAAGATTGCCTCCAGTTGTAAACCTGTGTATTAAATTTATTCAAATATTTAATCTTAGAATTAGTGTCATCACTCTCTATAAATATCTTACTCGTGAAAATTTGAACAATTCTTGATAGAATAATAAGATTCTTTAAGGGCAACGACACTTGTAAAACATGCTTACCAACAAATCTAAACTCTTCTGTACCAACTACCTCAGGTAGTTCGTTAGATTCAGGGATCGTAGAATTACTAACACTTAATGAAGCAGTTCTACCAAGCATTAATGAGATAAAATGATCTGCAATATAACAACCCCAGTAGATACGAGAACGAATTTCAAGCTCACTAGTTGTTAACTGACCCTTTGCGTCGTCTGTATACCAGACTTTTGGATCTAATTGGAATCCCATATCATAACCAACTCTAATAGCAAGACCTGAAAAATACCATGCTTGTTGGTTTTGGCCTTTACCTAATTCGTAAAACGCCAAACAAAATAATGCTTGTACTGTAGTTATACGTGCAATACTGTTTTCATCAAAAACTAATGCCAGCAGCATGGATTTACTCTTCTCGTAGTATACTTCTGACATATTTCGCAATTCTGGGGCCAACCTGCAACCTACTGCGCACATAGCGTATATCAATTCAATGGAACAATAATGAGAGCTAGCATAGTTATCTTTAGCATCATTGAAGAACCCGTATAGAAAACTCTCTCTGTGAACGAATATAAAATGACCTGGATACAGCCATCTATAAAATTTGGAAAGAGCCTTTAGAATCATTGGATCATTATTAACCAGATTAGCATGCGTCGGATCCGAAGGTCTCTTAATTACCGTAGTCTTCAAATCAGATATACGTTGTTGGTTTCTTTGACTGGTTTCTTCAATATCTCGTGAATGTGACGATACTGAACCATCAGACGATGCAAGAGAATTGACTGACGTTAAAGACGATACAGATATTGGTTTTGTTGGTCTGTAAGTTACAGGTCCCTCTGGATAGAAACTACCTTTCACTAGTGGTTTTCTTCTTATACTATCTACATTACTATTATTACCATTTGGAAAAAGTAAGGGTGGTAACGAGGTTTTCATATCGACAAGTGAAGGTAACGTTATAGTTTTTTTTTCTATTTTGGGTAGCATATGTTGACGCTGATGTGGCTGTGAATCCCCATGAATTCCTGTTGGTACGAGAGAAGAAATAGACCTTCCATTACCATTGATTTTGATACTGTCGTTTGATGATTCATTTGTAATATCCCCCGATAATACATCATTTACCATCATGCTGCGTAACATTTGTTCATTATCAGGATATACTTTCTCAACCAATTTTTTTAGATTTGTCTCTAACGATGCAATATGAGTCTCCAACGACTTAACATATCCAGATGTATATCTTTTCTTTCTTAAATCTTCTTCATTAACGTTACATTCTATTTTCAGTCGTGAGCAACTGCTACACGGATAAGCAAGGTCACACTTCTTTCTTCTCTTTCTGCAGTTTGTGCAGGCCAATCTCTTCTTTCCAGATATGCCCATTACTACAGGTCTAATATAGCTATTATCTATGGAACTGCCGTTGTCTGTTTCCGAACTGCTGCTCTTTTCTTCAGTGTGTGGAGTCATATATCAAATATATATTTAGGGCCCTTAGTTTTGTATTCTGTTATCAACCTCCTGGTTAAATTAATCTCGATTTCTAGGAGAGTTTGACCCTGCCCTCTGAAGTGGGAATATATAATTCTAAGTCACCAATGTTATCTCCTATACGTCAATAACAAGCATATTGTTATCCCTGGCTCTCTCAGAGTTCAAATTTTTATCGATGACATTTTGAAAAATTTATGTCAACACGACTTGCTAACCGCAGCGAAATTAAAAAATTTGTATACTGTCAAAATTATGTCAAGTCATTGCAATTACTACTAAAATCGATTATATGTGTTAGTGGGAACCTATATCTATAAATGAATAACCAACCTATGTATGTCGATACTTTAGTTATAAAAAAAGAATTCAGTACATAGTTTTTTAATTGCCTGATTACAATTCATCATGCTCGAACAGCAAATCATCTTCCTCAGCCATATCGGATGTTCCTTGTTGGAAAATACCGGAATTTTCAGCATTTACTACTTTTCTTACCTTATTAAGCTCTCGTAACCAATTTACTATGTATTGGTCATCATTTTGCAAGGTAATCTTTGCTTTTCCTTTCAATGTTCCTAATGGTACTTCTATTTGCAGATTGTTTATCAAATCTTGATCTATATTTAACAACGAATTTACGTCAGTAGAAAGTCTTTGGTAATGGAGCCTCAATTTATCACCTGCATTCAATTCTCTAATACGCTTTATATTGATTACGAATATTGGTTCAATAGAGTAGAAAGAAAGTCCATTATCCTGCAACATTTTTTTCCAGTAACCTTCATTCCAATATCCATTTCCCTTCATTTTAAACAAACTAAATGGCGTCTTCTTATGTTTGACTTCTTCTAAAATTGGAATAGGATCTAGGAAAGGTCCAATAGGTGACATGTATATGACATGACTAATATTATTTGGAAATAAAACATCAATAAATAGCAATTTTGAAACTGCCATTTCTCTATCACGGAATCTCTGGGGTCTTAACCAATTAGGCCAGTCGTATTCCAGCAACTTAATGCAGGCATTTAACGCCAAGCTATTTTCATTAAAGTTAGCAACAAAATCCTTGAATGATTTGGAGAGAAATGGAGAATCGAGGACCCAGAATATTGCCTCTTTCTTGACATCATAAGAATTTACAGTAGATAAGACACTCAAGACCATTTTTTTGAATGATTCCTCCTCGCTATTACTCATCAAGACTGTAAAGATGTTGACGTTCTTATCTTCAATATTTTCAATATTTGTTTCACTCGATTTCTTAACTTTGATAAATAATTTACGAGATGAAAAATCTAGAACCTCAATCTGTGGAATAGTCTTGAAATCAGAGAAACCGTATGGTGATATGCCAATAATTTCGTAACTTGAGTCATCAGGGCTTATCCTAACAGTAAAGTTCTTCCCTAATGTAGGAAAATGGAATTGACCGTAACCAAACGTTTTCATGGTTATTGTATTATCAATGACATCACCATTTGAGTCAATAAGTTCTAAAGATACGCCACCAACACCATCTACAGTTCCCTCTGATATAGTATTCTTTTCGTCGAACACATGAACATCGAGAAGAATTTCATGAATATTATTTGTTTCTGTCAAAGAAAGAATCCTTGGGGCATCTACATCAACATCAAATGACTTCGATATTTTATCATCAACAAATCCAGAATCGACTGGATTGGTAACATATATTCTTTCGATCGGAACGATTGTTAACTTTTCAGTTGGAAATAAAACAATCTTTATTCTGATAAAGTTAAACTGTTCAAACTTCGACACCAAATTGATTAATTTCTGGCTTCTCTCTTCCAATGGATCCACTATTAATAAAAGTTCAATAACGTTTGTGTTGATATATGGAGAACCGAATATTGTAAAGTCGTTTTCTTTGAAGAAATGTGATAACTCCATCCTAGGCAAAACTGTTTCAGTAGTGTACTCAATCCCGTACTCATCCAACTGTTTCGAATGATAGTACATTTTTGTTAAAATAGAGGATATAATTTCGACAGAGTCTGCATTTATTGGGGAATCAGAAAATGATTGGAATACTTTTTCCAAGGAAGCAATAGAATCAAGCGTTCTGACAGCCTCCTTTTGAATCAAGTCATCAAATTCCATTTTAGTTATAACTTCTCCTTCCTCGAACTGAATAAATCTACCATTAACGACAAAAAAGGATCTTTTGTCCAGATATAAGGTCGGAATTTGAGGTAACCATCTTTTTAAGATATTAATATCAATATTACTGACAAGCTTAGGCTCAAGATTGGTTGATTTCTTTTCGGTCTTAGTCTTGAGTATCTTTTTCAGTAGTTCCAAGACTGGCTCCTTAGAGGACAGTTTTTTGATTTTTTTCCATTCGGTAGATTTTAGGTCACCAGTATGAATTAATCTAATTCTTACCCCTTTAAACTTCATCCTAAGAAGGTTGTATATTCTGCGTACAGTATTCTTTTTGTCAAAATCATCGACAACTGTTACAGTATGCAATACGTTGTAATCGTAGTCAAATGTATATGTGACCATTCTTTCCTGATTGATGTTGTTGAGAACCTCCAAATTTTCAGAAGAATATAAAGCATCACCATAATATTCAGGCATATATTTAAGGTGCCTACTATTAGCTGATTTCATGTGGAGAATACCTCTCACGTCGACGAACCCTGAACTACCTTTATCCCGTCTTGAAGATTGAGCATTTAGTTGCTGTCTGATAAATGCAGCATCCTTCTTCATAATGTTGGATATTAAATAATTCCATGTATTCGTCCTAAAAGGGTATACTTCACCATTAACAATCAAACTTGTCTCATATATTTGCAAATCACCTACTTGTTTAGCATAATTAGGCATTTTCATAACAGAAGCTAATGTGGGATCCTTAAATTTCAAATTTCTTCCCTTTTCTTGTAACATCTCTAAGAAGTTTGGTAGTTCAGCAATATCATAACGTTTCAAATCGTATATCTTATTAATAATCTTGGCCGTTTCACTTTCATCATCCTGTACGTTTATTGAGTCCGATTTAAAATTATGCTCAGAGTTGAATGGTAATAACCCAATTCTTTGAGGATAACCTTGACTTATAATTGTAAGTGCGCGGGTTAATCCTGCAAGTGCAGCCCTATTGTTGGGATCATCAAATTTATTAAAATCAATTACAAAGATGACTTCGTTCCAATTCTGTTTGTATTCAGGTAATTCACCAAACTTCGATTTTTCGAAAAACACCGAAACATCTTTACTCAATTCATCATACTGTTCATCATTAGCAATATCGTTGAAATATATTACTGTATTTGAGAAACCTGGAATTCTATGGAAATCAATTTTGATAGGTTGTGAGGCTTGTAAATGAGGCAACGAAACTGTTGAAAATTCATTCAATAAAAGTTTAGCATTCTTCATTGGGTATTTCGAATCAATTGATTCGATTGCTTTGGATAATTGCTGTAAACTGTTATATTCTTGGTCAATTTTGTTCAATAATGTATATTCGTTCAAAGTTGAAAGCTTTAAATGCTGACCGTTTATAAATAAACCTAAGAGGTTATAATCAATACCCTTCTTAGCTAAATCTTTGATATATGAGAGTATTTTCTCTTCTTCCTTGGTGTGTAAATCCATTTTTACTAATTGTGACGCATATAATGGGAAATTATTAATTATTGAACTAGCATATGATAATGTATCAGATACATTTTTCGTAGTATAGTAATGGTTTGCGATTAACGAAGTAACCTTTAAATCTATTTTTTCCAGATCTTTCTTTGAGAATTGCAACAATTTACCATCAGGGGAAGTAAAATATTCAGGTGTATTTAATGAGAAATGAGGATTGTCTAGTAGAAGCTTCAAATCCGAATCATCTTTTAGGGATAAAGCTAATGGAAATTCATTTTTTAATTCAGCTGAAGTATTTATTTTACAAGTAGATCTCCAAAGAAATCTAAACTTTCCATCACCGTGAACAGCTTCAGCGTATAGATTTCTATGGAAATCTTCAAACTGTTCCCCCATTGGGCAACCATATAGAATGATTAAAGGTGCATCCTTCTTCGTACCTATGATCAATTCTGTAGGGTGTTCGATTATATCTCTATCTGGAACATTTGCTTGACTTGATAAGTCCTTCGATTTCAAATAGAAAACATCATCAGGTTCACTGTATATTTTACCATTCAGTATGAAATAATTTGATCCATTCAATGTTGTCGTTAACGAGGACGCCGAGAAATCAGCAGCAACACCCATGGGATACAAATTGTAATACATTTCAAACATATTAGCTAAATCTTTTTTTTTATACATTTTATTCAGTAATTCGGAAATCGCTATATTTCCAGGTAATTCATCAATCTCTAATCCCAATGCGAATGCATCATCAACCAGATCCAGAGCATCCAAACCTGTCACAAAGGGATACAATTCATTCAGTATACGTATTCTCGAGTCATCATACCTTAATACATGTTTTAAGGCGGAGAGGATTCTGACAGAGTCAGGAACACCATAATTATGTCTCAAAGTAATACCGTTTACAATGGAAAATGAAATAACGATATATATCCATAACGTAATCAAGGAAATCTTCCTACGTAAACCACCCATACTTAAAAGATCTCTTTTGGTTTTTTGTGGGAGTTCTAGTTGTATATAACTTATTTGCTTTATTCGAGGCTGTCTCTACTTTAGTTATAGTAAATGTAAAATTTCAATCATTACTTAATTGTACAAGCGGCCCTTATTTTGTGTGGGGGGGGGGGGNGTGGGGGGGGGGGGGCTACATGAATATTTCGTAGAACAAGTAGTTCTTCAAGACTTCTTTACAGTTAAGGGAGTTAGGTTCAGATACATAGGTTATACTAACTTGCAAACTGATATCGATATAGATGAATGATTAATCTATGTTTTTCAGATGTCCCCAGTAAAGAATTTACAAGCGAATTTCACAACAAAACTGGTAAAGACTTCAGATCGAAGTGCACGTACACCTCAAAGTGAGCATCTCAACTCCTATGATATACTGTCACCGTTCCTAGAACACCCCTCTCCTTCTCTATTCCAAAGCAGCTACTTTTCTGATGCTTATTCTTGTTACTTGAATCAGCACCTTGTCTTCATATAAGGAAAGGTGATCTGTATTGCCCTTCGTCTATAGTGATATTCAATCGTCCAAGATGATTTTCCCGCGTTTTTGACAGAAAAAAAAGAAAAATTTGAGCGCATCGCATTTCTTTCTTTTTCCATCTTTTGGCGGTGATGAGTTAATTGGTGAAATAATCTCTGAAAAATTTAGTTCATCAAGTCGTTGCACAGATAATAGTCTATACATTACTTGGATACACTATACAGAATATCTCTCATTTCTGACTTTTCTTTTTTATTGTGCAGGCATATCTACTTTATCATTTCAGCGATCTGTGTATTCTATCGTGTTTCCTGGTTTGTCTTCTATCTTTTTAATACTTTTCTCTTTAAGTCAGATATTCAGTTTATTTTAATTGTTATTTGAGTTTAGAACTTTGATTATTATTATTATAATTGTTATAATTATTCTACTTTCTCTCACTTCAAGACGATTTTACAACAGTTGTTCAAGAGGTCAGATATCTCGTCCATTAACAGACTTAAGACCGTTTTCTCTACCAGACACACACATATCATGTCTTCATCTCTAGGTGACAAACAAAAGTGGACTGCTACTAACGTCCGTAACACTTTCTTGGACTACTTCAAGTCCAAGGACCATAAGTTCGTTGCTTCTTCTCCAGTGGTTCCATTCGATGATCCAACTTTACTATTCACTAATGCCGGTATGAACCAATATAAGCCAATCTTCCAAGGTACCGTCGATCCATCCTCCGATTTCTATACTTTAAAGCGTGCTTACAACTCTCAAAAATGTATTAGAGCCGGTGGTAAACATAACGATTTAGAAGATGTCGGTAAGGACTCTTATCATCATACTTTCTTTGAAATGTTGGGTAACTGGTCCTTCGGTGACTATTTCAAAGCTGAAGCCGTCGATTTTTCATGGACTCTTTTGACTGAGGTATACGGTATTCCAAAGGATAGACTATATGTTACCTATTTTGAAGGTGACGCTAAACAAGGTCTAGAACCAGATATCGAAGCTCTGGAACTATGGAAGAACGCCGGTGTACCAGAAGATCATATCCTACCAGGTAACGCCAAGGATAACTTCTGGGAAATGGGTGACCAAGGTCCATGTGGTCCATGTTCTGAAATCCATTACGATAGAATCGGTGGTAGAAATGCCGCCTCTTTGGTTAACCAAGATGACCCAGATGTGCTAGAAGTATGGAATTTGGTTTTCATGCAATACAACAGAGAAGCAGATGGCTCTCTAAAGTCTCTACCATCAAAGCATATTGATACTGGTATGGGTTTCGAAAGATTAGTTTCCGTCTTACAAGATGTTAGATCTAACTACGATACTGATGTTTTCCAACCTTTATTCACCAGAATCCAAGAGATCACTCAAGTGAGACCATATCAAGGTAAGTTTGGTGAAGAGGATACCGATAACATTGATACTGCTTACAGAGTGTTGGCTGATCATGTTCGTACTTTGACTTTTGCTCTATCAGATGGTGGTGTTCCAAACAATGAAGGTAGAGGTTACGTTTTAAGACGTATCTTAAGAAGAGGTGCTCGTTACGCTCGTAAATACATGAACTATCCAATAGGGAACTTCTTCTCCACTTTGGCCCCAACTTTGATTGACCAAGTTAAGGACATCTTCCCAGAAGTCGCCAAGGATCCATCTTTCTTGTTTGAAATTCTAGATGAAGAAGAAGCTTCTTTCGCTAAGACTTTGGACCGTGGTGAAAGATTGTTCGAGAAATACGCTAAGACTGCTTCTGAAACTGAATCAAAGACTCTAGATGGTAAGCAAGTTTGGAGACTATACGACACTTACGGTTTCCCAGTTGATTTGACCGAGTTGATGGCCGAAGAACAAGGTCTAAAGATCGATACTGTCGGTTTTGAAAAAGCTAAGCAAGAGTCCTACGAGGCTTCCAAGAGAGGTGGGAAGAAGGGTAATGATGACTTGATTAAGTTGAACGTTCACGAATTGAACGAATTGAACCAAAATAATGTTGCTAAGACTGATGACCATTTCAAGTACGGCTTTGATGACGTCGAGAGTAAGATCTTGAAGCTACATGACGGTGAGAAGTTCGTTGACAAAATCACCGAATCAGGTAAGAAGTACGGTGTCTTGCTAGACAAGACCTGTTTCTACGCCGAACAAGGTGGTCAAGAATACGATACCGGTAAGATTGTCATCGATGATGTTGCTGAATTCAATGTTGATAACGTTCAACTATATAACGGCTTTGTCTTCCACACAGGTACTCTTGAGGAAGGTAAACTATCTGTTGGTGACTCCATCATCGCCTCCTACGATGAACTACGTCGTTTCCCAATCAAGAACAACCACACAGGTACTCATATTCTAAACTTTGCTCTAGAGGCCGTTCTAGGTAATGGTGTCGACCAAAAGGGTTCCCTTGTCGCTCCAGAAAAGTTGAGATTTGATTTCTCTCACAAGAAGGCTCTAACTATGGATGAGCTACGTAATGTTGAAGAAATCTGTAACAAACAAATCAAGGACAACTTACCAGTTTATTACCAGGATGTTCCTCTAGAATTGGCCAAGTCTATTTCTTCTGTTCGTGCTGTTTTTGGTGAAACTTATCCAGATCCAGTCCGTGTCGTCTCTATTGGTAAGCCAGTTGATGATTTGTTGAAGGACCCATCAAGTGCCGAATGGAAAAACTTCTCTGTTGAATTCTGTGGTGGTACTCACGTTGCCAAGACTTCCGATATTAAATACTACATCATCTTAGAAGAAAATGGTATTGCTAAGGGTATCAGAAGAATTGTCGCTGTCACTGGTTCCGAAGCTTTCGAAGCTCAAAGAATTGCTGATGAATTTGATGCTGAATTAATTGCTGCTGAAAAATTACCATTCTCTCCTCTAAAGGAAAAAAAACTAAAGGAATTAGGTGTAAGACTAGGTCAACTATCTATTTCTGTTATCTCAAAGCATGAACTAAAGGAGAAATTCACAAAGATTGAAAAGGTTGTTAAGGATGAAGTTAAGACCAGAGCCAAGGCTGAAACAAAGCAAACTTTGGATGAAGTTAAGACTTACTTCACTGAAAACCCAGATGCCAAGTACTTTGTCAAGTTTATTGACATCCCAACAAACGCCAAGGCTATCACAGAAGCTGTTAACTACATGAAGACTTCCGCCAAGGACAAGTCTATGTACTTATTCACAGGTAACGATCCAGAAGGCAGATTGTCTCACGGTTGTTACATTTCTGATGATGCATTATCTACTGGTATTGAAGGTCCAGCTCTAGCTAAAGAAGTTTCTAACATCATTGGTGGTAAAGCTGGTGGTAAAGGTAATGTCTTCCAAGGTATGGGTGACAAACCATCTGAGGTCAACAAAGCAGTTGAAGAAGTCACAAAGTTATTGAGTGAAAAGTTATGATTATATTATCTTTCAAAATCCTTTTCATTAATTTGCTTGTATAATTTTTTCGCTTAATGTATATGTATTTAGAGCATCTTATTATGTATTAATAGATTAAAGGAAATATGCTCTAAAAATTAAAAAGGCTTTAATATGATAAATCTTTAATTATTATTATAATAGTTTTTTTCTTTTATTTATCAAATTTATAATGCAGTTTAATTAAAGAAGAGAGGTAGAGTAAATAATCCTCCTAATATGCGTTCTATGTACAATTTATATGAATATTGAATAAACGGATTTGTCGCTAAGATGTGTTTATTTCTCTTTGTCACTTGTCAACCATTTCCAAACGATATCCCTCTCTTCTTTGGTCCATATGTTGTTTTCAGTTTTTGATTTTCCAAACCATACGTAGCGACACCAATCTTTGACTCTACTCCAAGTGGAACTTCCTGTAATCTTTGTGTTAAGCTTGAAAGGTGATGATATAAGCTTCTTTCTTTTCCATATGGACTTTTGTTCTGTTACTGTCTGGGCCACTGGTTCAGCCTGGGTCTTAGCTCCATTAACCAAATCTGCAGCTTTAGTTGAGTTTAACATAGTTACGTTTGTCACAGTTTTCAAAGCTCTAAAATTTGCTTTGGTTACCAATAATGCAAATAATATAGAGAACACGACAACTCCCGCGAACCCTACGTATGATTCTTCTATAAAATTCTTTAAATTCATACCATAAAATGCAGGTAATAATGTTGCCACGGTGACACCCAATGTATATATTGTAACTTTCAACTCTAAGAGCATCAAAGAATTTCTGTTTGCATCAAGAATGATATTCACAATTTCTTCAGTCGACTTGATATCTTGGATTAAGGATTCTGAGTGTTGAACAAATTCATCACATTGGGTGTAGTATGTTTCGAGAAGCATCTCTATATCTGTAATATCTACTTCTTCAGTGGGATCATGGCTTTCCTTTTGAGGATCATGATGGTGTATATCTGAACCTTGCGTTATTGACTGTTTGTATTTCGGTCCCGATAGATACATTGCAGCCATATCTTCATCACTTTCCAATAATTCATCAAGAACATCTCTAATTAAAAATGCCTTTTGATAAAATAAAGTTAAGAATTTCGATTTAATTAAAAGATCTCTCAATTTTTCTCTATTAATTTGGTTTTCTAATTCATTTAAAACCTTAGTACATGATTCCTCTTGTTGTTTAAATTCAGTTTCCAAAGTGCTCATAACATTTATAAATATACTTTCTAATGCATTATGTTCATATGATTGTTTATATGCACTGTTTCCTGTATTTTGCGAAAGTTTTGATTCTAGATCATACATTAAGACACCTAATTTAATGGCAGACGATGGATCGGCAGTATCAAACACATATACTTTATCTTTTTCGATCAATGCCTTAATATGTAATAAATTGACTAAAATGCATGTTTCCTTCACCAGGATATTTGGAATCACATCTACTGAGGATGTATCTATCTTTCTCAAGTCTCGAGGATATAGGTTATGATCTCTAAGAAACCTCCATTTGGGGAATTTTTTAGAGACTGCAACAACTGTCCCTTTAGAATCAAAAATGGTACCAGAAACTTGGGAATCATTCGGTTTAATAGGTTGCAAAGAAAGCAATTGTCGTTGTAATTGAGGTATAGCCTGTTGTTCTTGCCACATGCGAGAAGAAAGTTGTAAATTACGCCGTATAAGGAGTGGTCCTCTTCGGAGACTCCTTTGGAAGCAGAACAACGGTAATCTGCATGGTATAAATGGCATTATCTTGATAAGTTGTTCCACTAAATTTATCCACACTTCTTGGATGATATATGTAAAGATGATTGATATTGATAAGAATGTGAACAGTTCGATCTTTGTGATGGGACGTATCGTCTTCTGTTAAATCATTGGCATAACTATATATCAATTTAAATTGTTCTGAAATTGTAGAAAAATTCCGTACGACAGCGCAGCAGCCGAGGGAAGAAAGAGTAGTGAAATGGCAATGTCATGCAAACTAAAAAAAAATACCATAGACGATATGATATACCTTGGCAATAATAATGGTTACTATACGGTGAAATAATAATGTATCTGTTTATTATGTTATATATACGTACGTATAAGTATATAAATTGTTATGATATGTGGGTTGGGTGTGTGTCTACTTCCGTTCGTTGAACAACTTATGCATTCTTTCCATATATCAAAAGGGAAAAACTGACTAATAAGGCAGAACTTTGAATTAGTTTTGAGTTAATAAAAAAAAGATTAAAGTAAACATCAAAAATGAGACGACATAATGAGGAAACGTTGTTCCTCTTGTAAAAAAACATGTTGTATCATCGAATTGTTATTAGGTAGAAAGGAAAGAAAATGTAATCTTTCTTTAAAAATTTAAGGAAAAGGGGAGCATAAACCATTACAATTCAATCAAAGAACTTTCTGGTCTTAGTGATACCGAACATTTCCAATCTGATGGCAGGTAGAGCTTCTTCACTTAGCAACTTTAATCTTTCTTCTAATGTGTTGTTCAATTCGATCTTCTTAGCAGCATCTGTGACGATAGCACCACCGATATCTTCCTTAGATAGAGTTTCATCAGTGTCGATTATAATGTTGATATCTTTCTTAGCGATCTCCTTGTATTCTTCAACCAAACTTGGAATCAATTCATTAGCCAATTGTTTGTCTTGTGGAGTGACTCTTACAAAAGCGGAGTCTTCTAGTAATTTTAAAAGACCTTCAAGTATCAAAGAATGTAGGATAGGCTTGTATTGTTGCTTGTTCTTGGTGATCTTAACCAGAGCTTCTTTGGCTTGTTCGAAGATCTCGTTTAGGGACTCTTGTCTTTGTGTCAAAACCTTTAATCTAGTCTTGTTAGCAATAGTAGATTTAGTAATCTGTTGCTTCAAATTAGCCTTCTTCAATTTATCAGCGGAGTTAGCATCAATGTTAGCGGTTTCAGAACGTACAATACTAGTCTTTTCGATTTCGTACTCTTGGTTAGCCTTCAATTCGATCTCTCTAGCTTTTTCTTCAGCTTCTTTTCTAATGAATTGTTGCATCTTGTTCAACTCATCGTTGACTTGGTTTGGAGTCAAGGAAGTAATAATAGACGAGGACATATTTTTGCTGGCTATACGTGTTTCACACTAGAACTACACTTGCAGAATGGTTGGTATGTGCTAGTAATAACAGTTCACCAAATAGTGTTATCGAAATAAACTGTAAAATAAGTTGTAATGGAAAGTTCAAGCCCTCTTTATCTATATAACTACCTTAGCAAACTGAAAATAAACTGAAAATGAAATGCAAAAAGAGGCAGCCAAATAATTCGCATTTTCGTTTTTGGCTTGGAGTTTTGCAGCCAGCGGGGTCACCCGGACTCCGCGATGTGCTTTCTCGGAAATTTGAAAGAAACCGAAATAAACAAATCAGAAAGGCCAATTTTGGCAATGTTCAGATAGATAAACAAGCAAATAAACAGATAAATATACGCTGGGTTGGAGCGTGGCGGCTATTTAGAGAGGTTTTGTGAAAGTAGAAGTAGTTAAGAAAAGAAGCTATATAAAGGAGAGGTTACTTTTGAGGGCTTATTGTGTATTATGATGAGTAGTAGTGGACTACTGCGATCACATTTGCTGTTTGGACGGTGTTGGTCGGTGGGTGTGCCGAATTTCAAGCACGGATTGTTGATACCCCTGAGGAGATATTCACAATTTATAGAGCAGCCCAGGCTTAATCCTGTCGGTATCCAGTACTTATCGAAGTCGTTGCAGAAACAGGTGTTTGGTAATGCAGATTCGAAAGTGAGTAAGATGTTGACCGGTTTGTCTGCGGAAGAGAAACAGGCGCTATTGAATATGTCAAGACAACTGTTGAAGAATCATGATCTTTTGGATAAGAAGACTACTGTAGTTGAGCCGATATCGTTTGATATTCCACAATTGCAAGGTTCGTCTCTGGATGAACATTTCCAGAAACTAGGACAGTTTGCTTCGGAACCATATAAGACCATGGCGATACAAAAATACAAAACCATAGTAAAGAGACCTGAAAAATGGATTAGACAATCAGGTTGGACGCGATATGCGCCTGGAGAGGCTCCTAAACGTGTACCGTTTCCGTTGGAGGACGTTCTAACGTTTGATGTCGAGACATTATATAAGATATCACACTATCCGACATTAGCGACAGCTTTGTCCGATAAGGCTTGGTATGCATGGTGTTCTCCATTTATATGTGAGGAGAGTAAATTATATAAACATTTGATACCTTTGGATACAATAAATAAAACACAGTTAGTGATTGGACATAATGTAAGTTATGATAGAGCTCGTGTTCTGGAAGAATATAACTTTAAACGATCAAAGGCTTTTTTCTTAGATACTCAATCCCTTCATATTGTATCATCAGGATTATCTTCAAGACAGAGGCCTACTTTTATAAAAAGGAAAAATATTATTAAAAACATGGGGAAGAAAGGGAAAGAAGACGGGGAGGACGGGGATGAAGGATTGGATAACATTAATCTCGAAAATCTTACTCTCAGTGACTTAGAGGAACAAGATCCCTGGTTGAATCTATCTACTATGAACTCATTGGCTGATGTGGCGTCGTTCCATTGTGGTATCAAGATGGATAAATCTCCAAGGGACTATTTCGATTCAACTGATAAAAACGTAATCATTGATAATTTCGAATTGTTGGTGGATTATTGTGCAACAGATGTAGAGGTGACAAGTAAAGTGTTTGATAAAGTGTTTCCACTATTCTTACAGAGGTGTCCTCATCCAGTATCATTTGGTGCATTGAGACCTCTGAGTAGTTGTATTCTACCCACTAATCATAATGATTGGAATAAATATATCAATGGTGCAGAATCGTTATATCAATCTGCAAAGCTGGATATTGAAGCTAAAATTATTCAGATCGTTGAAGAAACTGTACTACTTAGAGATTACCCAACAAATGAACAAAGTGCACAAAAAATCAATAATGATCCATGGTTGAGGCAATTAGATTGGACCATTACCCCATTAAGATTGACTAAAAAAGGTGTTCCTGTGAAAAGACAAAAATTACCTGGATATCCTGAATGGTATCGTTCTTTATTCCTCAATAATACTATGGAAAAACCAAAAATAACATTAAGATCTAGAAACATTCCAATTTTCTTTAAATTATCATGGGAATCAAAACCAGTAGTATGGACGAAAGAATCAGGATGGTGTTTCTCAGTAGACAAAAATGAATTGAAAACGTTTGAAGCTAAGAATTACATTTTGGCAGATCATGAATCAACTGATGATTATCAAACTGATTTTAAATGTCCGGATGAAATTTTATTTAAAATACCACATCCAAATGGGCCTAATTTTAACTGTACTTCGTTGGTAAGTAAACCGTTTATTCATTTTTATGAAAAAGAAGTATTGAAATCAGAATCAGACTTAGCACATAAAGCATTACAAATTAATTCTTCTGGGTCATATTGGATGTCAGCAAGGGAAAGAATAATGTCACAACATGTTGTTAAAGAACCAGATTTCCCAAAAGAATTTAAAGCTTTAGCATCCACTTCTGTAAATAATGAGGAGAATACGAATAATGTTAATGATCTTGGTATAATTTTACCAATCGTTACTCCAATGGGGACAATCACTAGAAGGGCTGTTGAAAGTACGTGGTTGACAGCATCAAATGCAAAAACAAACAGAATCGGCTCAGAATTAAAGACACAGGTGAAAGCACCGCCAGGTTATTGTTTTGTTGGAGCAGATGTAGATAGTGAAGAATTGTGGATTGCGTCGTTGGTGGGTGACTCTGTATTCAATATGCATGGTGGTACGGCGATCGGTTGGATGTGTCTAGAAGGTACAAAAAATGCAGGTACTGATCTTCATACAAAGACTGCCAATATTCTTGGTTGTTCTCGTAATGAAGCCAAGATTTTTAATTACGGGCGAATATATGGTGCAGGTGTGAAATTTGCAGGTCAACTATTAAAACAATTCAATCCATCATTGTCAGATGAAGAGGTTAAGAAAGTGGCCAATACTCTATATGAAAATACTAAGGGTAAAAAACGACGATCAAAGATATTCGAACAATTTTGGTATGGTGGATCTGAATCAGTATTGTTTAATAAATTAGAAAATATTGCCGAGCAAGATGTACCACGAACGCCCGTCTTGGGCGGTAGTATAACAACATCATTAATGAAAAAAAATTTAAAGGCTAATTCTTACTTACCTTCTAGAATTAATTGGGCTATTCAATCATCAGGTGTAGATTATTTGCATTTATTATGTTGTTCTATGCATTACTTGATAGAAAAATATTCGTTGAACGCCAGATTATGTATTACCATTCATGATGAGATACGGTATTTGGCCACCGAGGAAGATAAATATAAAGTAGCAATGGCATTACAGATTAGTAATCTATGGACAAGAGCCATATTTTGTGAACAAATGGGGATTGATGACTTACCTCAGAATTGTGCTTTCTTTTCTGCTGTTGATATTGACAAAGTGTTGCGAAAGGAAGTAGACATGGATTGCATAACACCATCTAACCCAGTAGCAATACCCCACGGTGAATCACTAGACATCCAGACTCTCTTATCTAAACCTGAAGCTGCTCTCGGAAGTGGTAAAGATGACGTTAATGTCTCTGATTATCCTTACGTAGCTCGAGAACCAGTATTCGAACAGTACAACAAGTCATATACCAAAGAATTTATCAAGTATTTCATTAGAATGCAGGTACAAACAAATAAATCAGAAGTTTCAAGATTGGAGAGGGAATATGTTAGAGAGTTAACGTCAAATCAATTCTCTAAAGATGGTCAACAAGTCGAATATGATTATAAGGATTATGCCCGTGATATTAAACAAGGTAGAAAGAAGAAAATAAATATTATGGTCAAGTCATTCAATGCAAACAGAGCTGAATTAGATTATCAGCATTCCGAATCATTAAAGACTGACCATGGTCCACCATTAAAACAAATGACCACACGATCAACTCAAGATACCTTTAAGAAAGACAATAACAACAACATCCTTCTAATAAAGAAACCACAAACTTTGGATTATTCTACACTGCATGAACTTTCCCATATGAGCAGTGATCCTGTACCCGAAAAAGATCTGATAGCAAAAACGACGCCAGCTTCTTCCAGATCTTCCAAGGGTGAGCCAAAGAAACGATTCAAGTCTTACATCGAGGGAAAGGGATATGATGCATTTTATCAATCAGTACGTCAAAATTCAAGATATCGTTCCTACTAAAAGGAAAGAAGTAAAGAAGCAATGCTACTTTTAAAACTACTAAATTACAAATTTCCAACGAGCTTTTAAAAAAATATTCTCCTCCTATGATGGAAAGAAACACTATTATTGATTATATATTCTAGGGTAGACCCCTTTGGGGGGGGTTTCTTTCATTCTCATGACATTTTCTAAGCATTTTATATAAGCATACACGTCCATATCCATGATTCCATGTATATAAAGGACAATCATCTAATAATGACATTTTATAAACAACAACGTCCACCTTTTATTGGATTTACTGTTTCCAATTAATCTGTTTATCTATCTACTATATACGTCGACGGAGTCCTAAGCGATCAGTATGTGCGATCAAAATCAGACACAGGCATAAAGATGCGTGAATGCGAAATTTGCCGTAAATATATTGAACTATATAGGAGAAAATAAGTCATTCAGGACAAAGGGTAACAAGAACTAAGGAGTTGTCAAAGCAAGAAACTAACAAAATAAAGGTATTTTACGTGTCGAATATCCTTTAACTTATATTACGTTATATATATATTGTTGTTATCTCTGATCTTTGAGGGGAATTTACGGAGTGAAAGACATTATAGATTTATCCGTTAATCTCGCAATATTCATTATAAACATTATCAGGAAACCAATACATACGTGATTGAGCTTATTTTATTCCAGCACAGTAATAGTACATAAAATTCCACAATGTCGTTTGACTGGTTGAACGTACCAGGTCTGAATATAGAGAACACAGGTGTTGATTCTAAGCAAAATGAGCCTGTAGTACCTCCCAGTGTTTCTTTTAATTTTGGTGTCCCACCTCCAATCCATAATACAGGTACAATGACACGGGAGTCCAAAAGTATAAGTGACACAGCACTCGATATGGAGGTCTCTAATAATCATAATAATTCAAATAACTCTAACAACGCATTTCTTAATGTGAATCCACCTCAGCATGCAGCTAGTAATAATGATATAGCTACAATACAAGAGCATAAAGAATTGACTAGCTATAAAGAGAGTCCAGATGACCTCAAGGTACCATTATCATTGTCACAGAATCAGTTGACACACGAAGAAATACGAACTTACTTGAGATGGTATAAATACATTCTAGCAAGGTCACATACAAAATTGGTAAGACTGCAAGATGTTTTTGTCTTTTTAGGGAATTTTACTATTAATGATGAACTGAAAGCACGTATTATGGCTATATTCAGAAGTTGTAAGAGTGCATTAAACATTGGTCAATTTTTTGCTGTACTAAGATTGATATCAAGAGCCGTGATAGAAGGGGTACTACCCTCCAGGCGTATGATTTTAGAGAAGGCTCCTATTCCTAAGCCTCGTCCTATATTATCTACTCAAGGTAATGGTGAGATATATGAAGAGGTGGAAGAGGATGAGGACCCTAGAGGGGATACTAATGGTAAAGGTAATGGATCGGTGGATTTCGATTCTTTTACATCTTTATTGCTAACAGGTAAAACGATAAGAAAAAGAGTCAGAAGAAAAATCTTGAACGCTGCATTCAGGAATAAAAGAGTTAGGTTTTCGGAGAGTATTACATTTCAAGACCCCCCTACAGATAAACCAAATAATCACGATGCTCTCCATAAAGATGACACTGCTGTAAATAATGAACCAGAGATACCTGTACCACAAGGACCTTTAGATCTTTCATTGCCTATGGATCAACTTCTAAAGCAGATGGCCAACCGCAAGCATAATAATACCGCATTGGTGTCGAAGCTACCTTCAGAACAACAAGAGACAGAGGAGGAGAAAGAAGAACTGAGGGACATGCAAGATTCTCTGTCACATTTTAAACAGATCCAAACTGTAGATGCGGTTACTGGATTGGGAAACCAATTACCTGCAGGATATGCAAATAATGGGAACGTAACAGGTACAATGGGTGTCACCAGTGAACCATTGCAACCACTGAAACCAACAGCGACTGGCTCCGCTAACCATTTCATGCGCCAAGAAGTGAATCAGGGATCCACAGGCCCATCAATGAATGAGACTAGTGGAATTTTGACACCTTTGAAGCCTACGGCGACAGGATCTGCTAATCATTTCATGCGTCAAGAGATGGATCAAGGTTATATTACAGCTCAGAATAGTGAACCAAACAATACATTACAACCACTGAAACCAACAGCAACGGGTTCTGCGAACTACTTGGTACGTAGCCACTTTGAGACAAATGAAAATATTGCACCTGCACCATCAGTGCAACCTTCATTTAATCAAAACGCTATACCAACAACAACAACAACAACAACAGCCTTATCGCCTCAGCATACTACTGAAATGCAAACGTTGAAGCCTACTGCCACTGGATCTGCCAACTATCTGATGAAGCAACAATTTTCAACTCCATTGACTGCTCCACAGGTAAATAATACACCACAGAACAATCCGAACATGGCAACTACTGGCGTAAATCCACCAGTTCCTCGATTCCAAACGACAGCTCCAACTGACCAGTTTATGAACTTTCCTCAACATCAGCAACCTCAATCAAATGTTCAATTTCGGAACGGAAATAATAATGGCAGTATATCACAGCAAAACACTTATAGTAACGCTAATGTTAGCCAAACCGCTGATAACTCTCATACTCAGCTGCACCCTCAAAATACCTATCCCCAATCGCATATCTCAAATAGTAACCAAGGTGTTCAAAATATATCTCAACAGCAGCAGCAGCAATATGGGTCTTCAAATCTATTAAACCCAGGAGCTAATGCAGCATCAAGTTATTTCCAATCTTTATTAACTGGTTCACATTCACCTTCACCTAATGCAAGTCACATACAAGTGTCCAACACAGGAAACAATGGAATAGGCATGAAACCGCAAGGAAACCAACAGGTATATGGTGGTGTTTCTATACGTCCCTCCACAAATGCCAACACCAATGGCTCTAATGGATATGGTCAGTACCAACATAGCCAGACTGCTATGTATCAAAATCAACCAATGCTGCAGCAGCAGCAGCAGCAGCAGCAGCAGCAGCAGCAACAACAACAATCACATAACACACAACCATTTTACCCTGGACAAATTCAGTCTCCACCACCAGGTTCTTATAGTTCTGCTAATCAACATCCAATACAAAACTCTATGCACACCACTAACCAAGCTTCTCTGAATGTCCAACATTATCAATTTAATGGTCAACAAAATCATGGTACTCAACCTAACCAAAACATTTTAGGCGATTATCAAGCAATGCAGAACCAGGTTAACTCGTTACAACAAACCTACAATAGACGTTAGATTAATATAGACTTAGTATAATTGTGTGTTCTACTGTGAACAACTTTGAGGTTGGAGCATACAGATTTTTCGGGTTTTTAGTAGGATACGCTGAATTTACCTGTTTGATATAATGTTTGTAAAATCTTTATACAATTTGATGCAATCTATAGATGAGACTGATATTATGAACACGCATATATAAGTAACTCGATTACTTGATGAGGTATGATTTAATAATGTTTCTTAGGATATGTATATCTATATATCTTAAAAGAAAAGGATTTTATATAATGATTAGTAATCTAGCTTCGCATTTTCATCATACGTTGGATAATCAGTATAACCTTCGGATGTTAAGATGTAGAAAGTATTTCTATTATAGTTGTTTAATAGTAAACCATTTTCCAAACTGTCAGGAAAATCAGGGTTCAGGATCCAGTATTTATCAAACCCACTCAAGGTTCTTTCATCTTTAACTAATTCTTTTGGAGTTTAGGTTTCAAGATAAAAAAATAACTTCTTTTTTATATAGTGATTAAAAATATTCAGAAACTATTCGTTATTGAAAATGTTTGGTATTTTGAATAAGCAAATCCAACTCTTCTTTCTCTCTCGATTCAATAGAGACATAGCAAACAAGTTAGCACAAGCATGGGCCAAGCAAGATACACACGTCATGCAAGCATTGTCCTTGTTGAAACACAAAATAAAATAATGTATGCAATATTTTGAAGAAACAAACAAATAGTCTTGAAATGTTCAACATTGCATTATGTACATCTATTCTGTGTCTGTAAAGGACTTCGAACATTTGATCTGTAAGAATTCTGTTATTATTTCTGCAACTTATAAACGTGCACAAAGGGAGTAGGGAAGAAATAAGGATTTGATCGTATCACCTAAGAAGATAGGTCGTATTCTAGTAAAGAGTAAAGTTTAGATGATGTTGACTAACATGAAGGAAGTTACCGTTGATTTACAAAAGTTAATGAGATTGTTCATTTGTTAGTTCGTCGGGACGATAGCTATTATTTATTCGGTACTGCCGTCTTATGCCTATTGACTTTCATTATTTAAGGAAAATAGTTGATTCAATATGAGTAATAACCTATCTAATAGATCATTTTGTAATATTGATGGATAACAATTTTTAATAACTCGAAGGGAATCTGACGAATTATCAATTCATCCAACGTTTTTAAAAATTTAGTATGATTATTCATCCATATATTACAGATGAAAGAAACGATTGTAAGTAGAAATTTCAGTAAGAATAAAACTAGACAATACTAATTCTAACAATCTCTATTTAATAGGAACCCTAAGGAAACCAAATTTGGTCTGTTGGAAATGAAGATGTATGTTTAAGTTTATAATATGGTGTAATAAGCGGTCCATAATAATTCAGTTTTCTTGTCTATATATAACAACGGTATACCCTATATTAACTTTATCATTTTACTTTTTATATGAAGTTATACATATGTATAATCTATGCATGTATCAGTTCATACTATTCATACAGAGATATCTATAATGTGTTTGAAACGAATATTTATTCTTGAATAGAAATTGAGGAAGAAAGAAATGGAAACCACTTTTTTTGTTGATTTTTGGAGGGTTAAAGGGCTAGTTTATCTGACCATGAAATATCCAAGTTGTTCTCATCCAAAATGTCATGATAAGCATCATTAGCACCAAACAATTCCCTCGTAAGTTTATCCATATTTGGTACTTTACCATCACTTAGACTGATATCTAAAATACAATTGCTAATACCTTGGAAAACTTCGGCACATTTTTTGGCAAACACCCATTTAGCCCCAAAATGTTCTAAAATCTCAACAATCTGTTGAATTTCAATCTTACTTTCAATTAAATCGATTGCCCATTGACATAAACAGTAGAGGATAGTGTTACAAATGGTCAATGTTCTAAACAAAGTAATCCAGTTTAAGGGCAATAGCTTCTTCCTGTATAACGTATAGGTGTGTTTCCATGCTTTCAGACAGAAATTACCTAGAATTGATAGGGATTCAATAGGTGGTTTAGGGATCAATGTAGATGGTCTGTATAACAAGATTTGTAATTGAGCATATCTCATTGCTAACCAAATACTGGAACTATGAAATGATATTACAGTTAAATTATCATCCTTATGTTCTGCATTTTGTTTTTGCATCTTATTTTTTTCAAACTCATAGACTTCATCCAGTTGCAATCTAATATCAGAAATGATTTTCTGTTTTTGTTCATTGGTTAGGTTCATCTTCCCACAACGGACTGCATGTACTTTTTGATAAATAAGCCCGCTCATTTTTCTTAGACTAATCATTGTATTTGTGACGTCGATTTCATCCTGTTCACCTTCATATAATGGATGTGGTAATGGAATTGTAATATCTTCATCATCGATGGCAGATATCCTACCAAGGACAGTAGCAACCAGTCTCTCAAAACAATATGCACTCCAGAACACTCTATATCTAGCCTCTGTGTCTGTCGCACTCATACTCAATTTCTTTTTTGGTGGTAGGTCTCTATTCAAGCCTAGGCCAATTGTTAATCTCATGATAATCCCACTTATGGTCCACGATGACCAACCCTTTGGTTCAAAGAACGAATATATCCCTAACAATAGATGACATTGAATGGTATCCATATTTTGTAAATAGGTTACAGCCTTGAATTTGGTCATTGCCAAATAAGCAAGATGTTCACTTAATTCTTCTTCATCTTTTAGAAGCATGCCAGCTCTACGTAACGTTGTACATCCAATAGCCAAAATCATGTAAAGCTTGAAGATATATAGGTCATCAAAATCTTGGCCCAAAGTTTCGAAATTGTATTCTTTAATCTTACATAATGTCTTGAAGAAATCAATCTTGTTAATCATTGGGAATAATCTATGATTATGTCTAAAATATGCAGCAATGAATCTATCCATTAAATTTCTATCAAGAGTCTTGAATGTTCCATTTGAGTTCAACTCGGTAGGTTTTTTCCCACCTTGGAATACTGAATTAATAGTCTCTATTTCAAAAAAAGGAGCTTGGATAGGTGTGGATTCAAGTCTTGGGATGGGTGATGGTGCACCTACGGCAGATTCCATCGCATCAAAGCCTGTAACACCAAGGGTATGATTTAATGGATCAGTCCTTGTGGTTGCATTTGTGTTAACTAACGATGAACCTTGTAGAGAGCCAGGCGTAGCACGTGGATCACTTAATAAATTTGAAATCAAAGTACTTGTCTTTGGTGAGAATCCCATCTTACTGTTATCTTCTAGCTTTAAAGGTAAAGACATAGATGATGCACTTGTGGCTAATGTATTAGCATTTGGTATTAAGGCAGGTAACTGCATATTATTATTATTATTATTATTATTATTATTGTTATTATTCGATACAGACGCAGTATTCGGTGATAACGGTAGACCCATCGGAGTCATATATTGGGTCACTGGAGCTTCCGGTGACCTAATGTCTCCGGTCGACGATTCCTGATTCAAAGGTGAGGTTTCATTAGTCTGTGGTGTAGTTGCAGAATTACCTTGCATGTTTACATGTTTGTTATCCATTGAAGATAACACTGAGATCAACGATGATACATTATCAAACTGTTGCGATGACGACGAAGGCGGCGACTTCATTATACCGATTCCTGTCGTATCACGAGGTGAGGTGTTTGTTCCAGTACCACTGTTTGATGTAGAAGTGGATCCATTTCTTGATCCTGAGAGCTTATGTCTTTTACTTGGAGTGAATTCGCCTCTCTCTTCGGCCAGTTGAAGTTGTTTCTTTGTCCTTCTGGGTGCTTTACCAGGATAGACACATTCTTTCTTAGAACGCATACAATGAGAGCATATAGGTGATTCTCTCGAGCATTTCTTCTTGAGCCTCCTGCATCTTGCACATGAGTATGATTCTAGCTGTAGGTCAGTCTCGCTTCCTGACATTGATAAAATAAATAAATAAAATGGTATATGTGTCTCTCTTGCAAGGAAACGAAAATGAATAAATAAAAGGGATGAATAGATAGTAGTCTTGTTATTCTCGTGAATGCTATAATTAAAATAGGTTTATTTCAATTCTACCCTATTTTTTAAAAATAAGGAAACGGTGTTTCAAATCAGGGTTCCAATGTAAATATTGTTTAGCCCGATACCTCTCTTCCTCTCTGTTTGCAGAATCTAATGCTGTACTTGAATAATAAAAAAGGAATATATGTATATATATCTTAAAAAGATATAAAATATCTATTATAATGTGTTAAACGTGGTCGAAATATCGCTATCGTTATTCTATCAAAACAATGAATCAAATTACACACTTGAATAAAAGAGAAAAAATAAAGTTAGATATACTATTTTTACAAAGGGTTATCGTAGTCAATAAATAAAAACACTAGGAAAGAGGCAATGTGAAACTTCCTAGTAAGAGATATAGGTCCCTCTAAATCTTTGTTTGTTTCGTTGATTACCATTGTCCATCAAGAAAGGGGACGGTTCAAAAGTTTCCCTTTACGTGATGACGATCTTTGGCTCATTTTTCGATTGTTTTTTTTTCGTTTTTTCGTCCTTTTGTTGATGGCAAAAAGCTGAATAATTGCAGTGGTGGACGGGGTTATAATCATGTGTGTAGAGACGGCGTTATAATGGAACTATACTCTAATAAGGGACTGCTGCTCATGGGTAAGCTGCTTCTACACCCTTTGGAGGAGGACCATTGACAAACTGGATCAGTTCGTATTGGTTGCCCTTTGAGCGTGCCTCCTGCGAGTACCTGTTCAATTGGGTATTTCTTTCGTATTTCTCCTGTGCAGTGATAGATCTTTCCTTGACTAAGTCCTCGTCCCAGGTTTCAGGTTGGAATTCATCTGGGTTGTTTGGATCTGAGGCACTTGCAAGGACTGATAGCAATTCATGGTAGTATTGGATCTCTTTATCAGCAGGTATGTTGTGTCCGGAGTCCAAACGGTCGAAGATAGAGTTACTTTGTTCGGGAACTTGTAATTTACCTGTGAATGCCTTGACGATCAGACTGGCTTGTAATTCAGCTAATGGGAATGGCACAACCAGTTGAGGTAATAAGGAAAATGCCAGAGTACTATCCTTAGTGTAAAAGATTTGCTCCCATAAGTTATTCACATGTGAAGTAGTAGTAGTAGTAGTAGTACTATTTGAGGAGTCATTGGTATTCAATAGATCTTGTTTCAATTTAGAGTCAAAGATACCTAGATCGTAAAGGAACCCAGTAGCATAGACCAGTTTGTCTATCTTGGTCAATACTGTGCCATCCACAAGAGTCACAGTTCTCTCTTTCCAATCAACACTTTTGATCTTGGTTACGACTTCAACGGTAGGATCCTCATCGTAGTATCTCTTATCATCTTTCCCAGATGAAACACTTTGATACACTTTTTCAGCCACGGACGCTGTTTGGTTCACAATATCTTGACCGGAACTACCATCACCTACTACAACAACACGTTTTCCCTTGGCAAACTCAGCATCATAGAAGTTTCTGGAATGGAACGCATCCTTCTGAGTAAACCATTCTTCCAAACCTGCAACATCAGATGGGACCTTTGGTGCTGAAAAATGACCAGTAGCTGCAATGACATAGTCAAACTCATCCACTCGGTAAGTATCATCATTCGCATGGTCGATTACTTCAAGAGACCATTGTGAATCCTGTTTACTGACATTTACAATTTCGCTGGATAGATGTACTTTTACGTCATCCACATCTCTGATGAATTGATTGTAGTATCTTTTCAAGTATACCCATACTTCGTGTCTTCTTGGATATTTAAACCAGTGAGGCTCGAATGGAACACCTTTGTATTGCATCACATGCTTTGGTATATTGGTCTCCAGATGGTCATACAGGACTCTGCTTGGTCTACTGTCACCATGCGGGAAATACCAGATCCCGCCAACGTTAACGTCGTTAGTAAACAGATCGATATCAAATTCACCTGGTGCATTAGCTAGAAACACACGAGCAGCAGCTAGACCACCTGGTCCACCACCGATAATTGCTAGTCTCTTCTTAGTCATTTTTGTTTTGTTTTGTTTTGTTTTGTTTTAGTTTGGTTTTTTTATTGAATATATAATAAGTTTAGCTAAATAGAATATACATATTAAAGGGGGGAAACGAAATACTGATAGACACTTGAACATCTCTGCTCTTTATATACAAGTCATATTTGCCTTATCAAGGTACATTCTTGATTTGAAGGAAACAAAGCATGGTATTGTCCTTTAAGATCGAGATAAGCAACTGTCAAAATACATTGATTAAGTCATTCTTCATCTTTTTTTTTTTTTCATTTTTGGCATTATTTGCAGTCCCTTTGACTTTCCCACAGTTTGGCCCACCACAGTTGTTCGTCCTTTCAAATTGCAAGACAAGGCCATAGTAGGAATACAGACACACAGACAGAGAGAGGCATTAAAATTCTCACCGATCCTCTTTCTCTTTTCCTTTAATGGCAAGCTAATGATCGTTGTTCCATTGGCAAAGACACCAGAGAGTCATTCCATCTATAGTATCCCAATGCAGCACCTACGACTACCGCCAGCATCAACCAACCGTTATAAGTCATGAACACTAGCATCAACATGAACGAGAACCCGACTTGGATCCCGTAATGGATGGTTCTATAGAATTTTTCACGACGTGCAATTTGACTTACACCACTACCATTCGTGGTGGTAGAGACACGATTTGAAGCTGTAGTCTCAGAGGCATATTTAACAAATCTAAACTTGAGGTATTCGTAGTATGTCGCTAAACCAACAACGATAAGACAACTAATGATGAATTGAAGTCTTGTTCTGATATGCCACCAATTGAACACCACACAAGTATCTTTATAAGACCATGTAAATAGCATGTTCATTGAACAGCTGGATTCGTGGTCTCCTTGAGGCATATCACCATGATCCATCATGGCATGATTCATTTTACTGTGATCCATTATTGAATGTATCGAGTTTTAAGGTGGTTTGAGTTGTATGTATATTTATGTAGTTGTTTTGTTCTGCCCCTCCTCCTCCCCCCTCTCTTTTTAAATAAAAACTAGGCAAGGTAAAAAAAAAGAGAAGCGAAGCAAAACTTCAACGAAGTCGGTTTTTTTAATATAGATAGATTGTATCATTTTATTAAAACCTATACATTAGAATTATATAATAATCATAAAGAGGCGTTATATTGAGGTCAAAGAGTTAATAGAAAATAAGATAAAAAGGAAATTAATTTTTCAGCAACTTAAAGAAAAATAAAACCACAGAGGTGCGGATTATTTTCATTCTTTCAGTAACTTAACGAAAAAAAAGTCTTGATATTATCAAATTTATAACTTGAAACCGTGGTGGAAGTTAGCACCAGCGTAAGTGCACTTACCAGCAAGTTCTTCTTCGATTCTCAAGATTTGGTTCAACTTAGCCAATCTTTCGGATCTGGCTGGAGCACCAGTCTTAATTTGACCAGTTCTTAGACCAACAACCAAGTCAGCGATGAAGACATCTTCAGTTTCACCAGATCTGTGGGAAACCATAACACCCCAGTTAGCGGCGTAAGAGTCTTGAGCGGCTTGGATAGATTCGGATAGAGTACCGATTTGGTTAACCTTTAGCAATAGAGCGTCAGCGGCCTTCTTTTCAATGGCGGTAGCAATTCTCTTTGGGTTGGTGACAGTCAAGTCATCAGCAACGATTTGGATACCGGCAGTGGCGTTGAAGTGAGTCCAAGCTTCCCAGTCATCTTCAGCAAATGGATCTTCAATGGAGACAATTGGGTACTTCTTCATTAGAGAGTGGTATAGGTCAGCTAGTTGGACACCGGTTAACCACTTGGATTTGTCGGATTGTGGGTTCTTGAAGTCCAAGTCGTATAGACCGTCCTTGAAGAATTCGGAAGAGGCACAATCTAGACCGATTTGAACCTTACCGTCGTGACCAGCAGCCTTGATAGCATCGACAATCAAGTCTAGAGCTTCTTCAGCAGTTTGAATGTTTGGAGCAACACCACCTTCGTCACCGACGTTACCAGCAGAAGCACCGTATCTCTTCTTGGTTAGAGACTTTAGGTTGTGGTAGACTTCGGAACCGATTCTTAGAGCTTCAGCGAAGGTCTTAGCACCAGTTGGGGCGATCATGAATTCTTGTAGAGCTAGAGCACCACCGGCGTGAGAACCACCGTTCAAGACGTTTAGGAATGGAACTGGTAGAACGTAGTCACCGGTCTTTTGGGCAGAAAGATCGGCCAAATGTTGGTACAATGGGACGTTCTTTTCAGCGGCAGCGGCTCTGGCAGCAGCCAAAGAGACACCTAGGATGGCGTTAGCACCTAGCTTGGACTTGTTTGGAGTACCATCTAGAGCGATCATGAAGTCATCTAGAGCCTTTTGGTTCTTGACATCTAGGTTGGCCTTGATCAAAGCTGGAGCAATGACGTTGTTAACGTTGGCAACAGCCTTTAGGACACCCTTACCTAACCACTTGGATTTGTCTTCATCTCTCATTTCTAGAGCTTCGTGGATACCAGTGGAGGCACCGGATGGGACCATGGCTCTGAATAAACCCTTTTCGGTGGTTAATTCAACTTCGACAGTTGGGTTACCACGGGAGTCGTAGACGGATCTAGCGTAAACTTTAGAAATAGCCATTATGATAGAATTTATATGATAATTTGCTTGGTTTTTTTTAAAATATAAGAGAAGAATAAAAATAAAAAAGAATAAGATTAAGAATTGAGAAGGAAGAAATAAACAACTAAGAAGTAATGAAAGGAATAATAGATTTAAATTAGATTGAGGATAAGTTCATGCTTATATATCAAATTTTCCCAAAAAATAAAAACCAAAAACCAAAAAAAAGAGAGGGAGATATAATTGAGGAATTAAAAATAATCAATTAAAGGAAGAGGGATTCTACTAAATGTTTTCTATAGTGAGAATAGGCAAGAAAAACTTAATTTTACATGCTACCTTAAAAAAATATCCTCAATTGCTATCCTCAATTGCCATCAAACATCATCAAACATCAAACATCAACGTGAACATCATCATATTATTATTGTTGTTGTTGTTGTTATCATAGCAAGTTGTGTCTTTTTAATGTTGCAATGTGCCTCTCTCTGTCTTTGTGCTAAGAAAATAATGCAATGCGACAAAATGAAAATTACTGAAAAATTCACTCGAGTTCGGTTTCTCAGTGTAAGTGGGCAAGCTGCGAGTGTAGTCGGCAGACAACCAACAGAGAGAGAGAGAGAGCCTCTTTGTGTGGGTGGCAGGCATTCACTCAATATACATTATAAGAATTCACGCTTCTTTCAAAGTAATATTGAGTGCGTCAATATGGCTGCTGCTGATAGATGAGAAAACATCACAATACACAATAAGAGAGAGTGGATTTTGTCTGTTTTTAGATATTTCTCTCAGTAATGGAATCAATTGGACCGTCTTGTTCTATCCCTAATTGAACTAGTTGCTGATGGTAATATTTGAGTGTTGAAATTATGTAATTCGTATTTTGTGTTGCGGGCTGCTGCTGCTGCTGCTGCTGCTGCTGGCTTCCGTTCTTGAGGGAGGGGGCTCGTTCGTTCCTTTGTATCTTCTTGTGTGTGTCTTGTCAGTCCTGTTCTGTGGGATTCCTGATTGTTGTTCTGTGGATATCGATTTCTTGCATTGCAAAAGACAAGGAGCGCGTGTCGGCGTGCAGGGTGTTCTGTGGGGTTCCAATGTCAGGCGGTGTCCTGCTCGCAGTGAAAAAAACAACACTAGAGTGAATTTACACGAATTCCTGTATATATAATTAATTACATAAGTATCTGTATACAGGAAGCCCCCCGTCCACAAGGAACAGCAAGTGGGCACGCAGGCGGGCGGGTGTGTGGGTGTGTGTGGCTTCCTCTTCTTCAAGATGTAACACGTTGTCCAATTAAGGCATTTAGTAATCTTTCATTTAACGGCCAACTATTATTATCATTATCGTTAGTATTCATATTATCCAGGTTATTATGTGAATTAATATCTAAACCCTCACAAAATGCAATAAAATGCTGTTTAAACCTAATTTGAATAGTGGTTAAAAATTGATTTAATTGACTTATTATTTCAATTGATTTATCTTCATCGTATGCTTGAATCGTCGTCGTTGTCGCTTTCTTAGCATTACTTCTTTGGGAAAGGTACCGCTCATACAGATTATAATCTAATTGACACAATTTCGATCTGGATGACGCAATAAATTTACAAAAAATTTGAATTATATCAAACATTTGTAATTGAATATCCATTAATTGTAATAAATTATTATTACCCAAAATATTACTTAATCTAATCTCTAATTCATTTTGTAAATCAATTATATTAGTAAATTTCCCATTCATTACATTCGACATCTCTTTATCAATCGATTCTCTTATAATTATCTCATTTAAACATTTAATAAAATGATTCATCTTCATATGAATTATTCTACTACGTCTAATTATCTTATAATGAACATCTGTCGAATAGCCTGTATATCGCCATATTTTGTTCTTATTAATCTCTAACCATATTTCATCTAATAATGTACTATGATATTGAATTAAATGGAAATATCTCGAAACTGTTTGATATTGCGTAATATTCACTCTATTAATAATAACATTAATTGGATAAGGTATGGATACATCAAACGTTAAATAATGTATATTACTCTTTAATTCATTGTTTGTTCTTGTTGCTGTTGTCCCCGTTGTTGTCCCCGTTGTTCCTAAAGATTTATCTTTATTAATATCTTGCAATAATGCATTGGTAAATTTATTAATGTTATTATTATTGTTATTATTGTCATGCCCTATTAATTCATTGAAATTCTCTTCAAATGAATTATATCGTTCATTTTCCTCTAACATGTTTTCTCGAAAGGAATATCTATCATAACTAACACTTAATAACGCCAAAATAATATCATCATTTGTCGTGGTGCCTTCACTAATTTGTAATTGTTTTTCATGTCTTAAAAATTGAACTAATTTATTATTACTCATTTGACGTTGTTCAATATTATGGCGTTTCGTTAATTCATTAAGGTTATTATGTAGTAATCTTTGAAAGATTTGATCATTACAATATCCAAAGAATCGACGTTGTAAACAGATCAAAATCTCTTGAATCCCATAATTACCATAGAATAATTGTAAACTTAAATCATTCGCACGTTGGTACCATCGATCTATATATAATTCAAATTTGGTACCTTCAAACATATCAATTATTGATACAGGAGTCATGATTTCATCTAATTGATTAGGCATAGGTAATTGTGACATTTGTAGACTGGTTCGAGTTAAATTTAAAAGTTTCCCCGTCATCACTATTTTAAATAACAATTCTTTATTATTCCCCATTGAAAATTTTGCCAATAATCCATCTCTCTTAACACAATATTGAGTTAACCATATCCGTTCATATTCAATAGGATTATTGATCACACCTTTGAAATGCTTCATAGTATCATTGATCATAAATTCATCATGTGGATCATTCAATATACCTTGTGTCATCCATTGATGTAACGTATCACAATAAGATCCACTGATGGCTTCCAATAATTGTTTCATGAATTGAACTGCATGGAGATCTCCAAGACAATCGTTTATCACAGAGACAATCACATTGATGATGACTCCACCTTTAGCCACAGGAAAATAGTCTCCGTCGATAAACACTGAGTATTTGTCCTCCAAAGTGTTATCCTCATTGCGCATGTTGTCAGTGGTAGAAGTTGTTGGATTTGTAGTCTCGTTGTTGATCCCTCTTAACTCAGCTAATAGGTTGGAAAACTTGATCTTATCTGGGTCAATCTTACTTCTCATATCCATCTCTTGATCAATTTTATTTTTTATATGATACAGGATTTGCATCTCTTGATGCAATTTACTATTATTCACAATCTGTTTAAATTCTCTTAATGAAAAACGACCTTTCTCCATGAATTTAGATTCTAATTCATCCAATATAAACTTCAAATAGACGTCATTCAAATAACTTCTAAGCTCAAAACCAAGACGTTGTAATACAATACCATATCGGTCCCCAGACCATTGTTCACTAGCCTTTCTTAACATGATGTAATATTTACCTAGATTCACAATCTTACTACAAAACGATTTCAATGATGCATCCATCCTTTTCACTAATCGGAACTGTGGTTCTTCACCACTATGAGGATCATAATCCTTATTGAACCGGATATAGATCCCTCCAATACCTCGCATGACACATAGTAAATCATAGACAACTAGAGCCTCTTGTGTTCTAATGTCTGGTAGTTCATTTATTGGGGAACTTTTCAATTTGGGACTGATATGGGAAAATGGTTCGTAATTGACTATCCGTGTTAGAATAGGATCTGTAGTTTTAGTTTCCTCTAGTAGAACTACATCTTCAACTTCTCGTACTTCCATAATGGCTTGGACTATTCGTTGAGTTTGTCAATGACGAGAGTGTATAACAATTTCAATGTTCCTGTAATTTCGTGATTATTTTCCTAAAATATTATATATTTCTATGGTTACGTAATTCAAGATATTCCATTATATCCATATGCAGATTCAATTCCCTTGTTTTGTTTTGTTTTGTTTTTATTTTTGCTTTGTTTACAAGTCATCTCAAAGTTTACAATACTAAACGCGCTCCATAATAGAATTTCGTGTCGGTTGAAACCACATTTCGTTCATAATGATGTTATATAGAGATAATAAGGCATATAATGATAAATAGATGAATTCATTAGAGTATTACCAAGTTTTTGTTATTACATTGATAGTTAATCGTAGACATAAGTTATAAAATATATAGTATGTAAAAAAAGTGGCCTAAAAGACTGATATTTGATTTATTTGTTTTTTGCAACATTAATATTGTCACTATCGATTTTATGTTTACTAGAGGAGTACTAATATTAGGTTTTATAATCCATTACAAACGTAAATAAATATATATCTTTCAATAAAAATTAGGAAATTTTTTTATATCTCTTCTATTTCCGAGTCATCTAAGATCCAGTTATCCATTTCTTTCTCCAAATTATCAATTTCCATCTTCACTTGTCTCAATCCACTTAGAGTATCTATATAATCTACGTCATTTAAGGATTGTTTAACAAACTCCCATTGATCCGTTCGATAAGTCTCTATAATTTTCTCAGAACATGCTGAACAATATTCATATGCTGGGGTCTTCAACTTCACAGAATTAAAAGAATGCAAAAACCCACGTATTTGATGAGGAATTTCACCTAGAATTGTTTCTTCTTGTGCTGATGCATCTACACCATTTTTACTATGAAGTAATGAAACCAGTAACTCCACAGCTTGTGATGCAGCTAACATAGCAATGCCTGGTCTTGTCACAGTACACATTTGATCTAATGTCTTATCAGTAAGACTGTCTCTGGGTACTACAACGTCTTGACAGAAATAACACCCTAATCTTTGCTTCACTTTACCATGATAGTTCCCATGTCTCATAACTAAATAACTATCAAACCCTAATGCGGCGTTTATGATAATCTTATGGTGGATATTCCCAAGAATTGTAGGCAACCACCTTGTTTCCCTAGAGTCCATCAGGAGAAATATTGCATCATGGCTTTTAAACAAATTAACCAGAGTTTCATAATCCTGTCTTTCACTTATTTCATCCAGAACGCTATGACCAATCATTGGTATACTCAACGAGATCCCTTTAGCATTTACTAATGGAAATATCTTCTTCAATGCTTTAGCGGCAGTTTCTGCTTTGGGTTTCCCACAATCACTAAATTCAAATAATGGCTGACGAACAGGATTTGAATATGATACAGTACCATTATCAACTAAGGTTATATTTCTAACCCCCCATGCTAATAATGCCCTTGAAACATAACACCCTAAAGTTCCAGCTCCCAGTATTAGTACTTTTGTATTTTTTATAATATCTAAATCGATTTCTGGAGATACTCTCCATTTCATCAATTTAAGATTTAAATCTACCGACTGTTCGGCTATAACTAAGGGGTCTATTAGAGAACTTAAGTCCATTAAACGTGGTGCTAATTTCCCTTGCGTGCTTCTTTCCCACCCAGTTACTTTAAGTAAGTCAGCATCACCTTCAATCTCTGATGTTTGCTGTAGATTATATTTCTGTCCGAAACTCTTATCATAAGGTCTTATGAAATATACTGTTACTGTTTCAGCTAATGGGTTAAGGGTCTTATAAATAGTCAGGAAATTTTTGGTTAATGTTGATGGAACTCCCTCCATATTACTCAAATCTCGCAAACATAGAATATTTGAATCTTTCCATGTGATTGAACTATAAGGTTGAATTGTGCTATCATTGTCAATAACACAAACCCATTGATCCATATGTTTGGAAAACCACTCTTTAATATCGTCACAATGGTCTACGGTCGTGATAGCGTCCCCATTGGTATGAATATTTAGACCTACCAAGGAAAAAGATGGTACGCATACCCAATAGTAAAACTTGTATTTCTTCAAATCTGCAAAACTAATAATACTAAAACTGACACATTTATTAATATCGTTAACACCTTGTTCAAATAATTCTTTCCCCCTTTCATTGAGGAACGCCATTTTATCTAAATTTTTAAACTGTTCTAATACATTGAAATTATAGATGGCACCCTTTATTGGGATACCACCCTCATCCTGCTCCCAATTGCTCTCTTTAAAACATTGTTTACTTAGGAAAAGATGAGACTTGTTGCTGCTCTGTAATGTAGACTGAATATCAATCCTCGCATACAAAGGTATGCTATCAACGTTCAATTGAGCAACATTCAGTTTAATATCGGAAAATTCCTTGAAAAAAGTTGTATCTATAAAAGATTGTAAAGGTGCTACATATTTTGACATTGTCACGCACTTGATATAATGATTGAAACTTGCCTGTCCTTATTTTTGATCCATTTTCCTTCCATGAAGAGGGTTCTCCAAGTGATGATCCCTTTAGTAATGTCCTTGCCTTGTTCTATATATATATATATGCTGTGGCTATTGAGAGGCGCAACGCGATACACATAAATTGACCCTCAGAGGTACAATATACGATTTCGGACCTTTTCCAAATGAGTATCAAACAGATAAGACAACACAAACATGTTAAAAAGAGTAATATCTAAGGGGGTTTAATGTATTTTAATATTTAATAATGTACAATATACACGGGCTTTTATTAGTCAAATAAAAATATATAAGAAACATGATGCAGAAATGTGGAAGTTAAGAAAAATATGGGGGTGTTTACTCTTCCATCGGCGTATCTTCCAAAGTCATATCGTCTAATTCATCTAGTAACTCATCAATATTAATCTCTGGAGAGTTATCGACTTCTTCTTGTGCAGGTTCAATTTGTGCAGCTGCTGGTTTTTGACTCTTGTACATGTTAATGTTTTGTCTCAATTCTTCATCTTCTTCTAATTCTTGTAAGAACAATTCATAATCCTTCTCAGCACGTTCCACTTCTTGCTTTTGAGCTCTAGCACCATAGTCTTGAGAAGCTTCGATATCTTTATGTTCTCTAGCCATTCTCTTAAGTTTCCAGTTTCTGTTCTTCTTTGTTCTTCTTTGGTAATGTTTCTTGACCAAGATAACATCTGGCACATAGTCACTTTGGAGACTGTCAAACATTGGAGAGTTATAATTAGAGTTCGCAATAAAGTAACCCATGACCACATCACCGGCATGTAGCACAGCACCAAGGTGAGATTTGATGTAGTATACTTGATCATTTACACCTAAATCTGTTGATCTTGCAATTGTAATGTCCGCAAGAACTTTATTACCTCGACTGAAACCAGTAGATTCGACATCCAATACAATAAACTCGACTAATTGTGAAATTTCGGCTAAGGATGGGAATGCATCCCTCCAGTAAACACTGGCTGAAATATCTGCTGTCTGTAAAGTACATGGATCCAAAAACTGGATACTGTTGGAAATTTTGTTACAAAGGACTAATCTGGAGATGTTACCTAAATGGGAAGCTAACTTCTTTGGTAAAACCACCAAATCATCTCTACAGATAGGGGCAATCTCCACAGAGAAAGAAAACTTGTAAGTTGATGAACCTGTGTGTGTATCTTGAGATATTAGTTCTTCAGATTTCTTGTATTTAATTGGAACAACAGCTTCCAAGAAATCGATCATCTTGGCCGCATGGTTCTTTTGAGCATAGAAGAAATCCAAACCGTCTCTAGACTCGGTGATGGAGATAGTATCAACGTGTGCATTGTGCTTCAAAATTAATTGTTCCAAGTACAAAAAGGTTCTCTTATGAGGAACTTTTTGTCTGATTTGAACGGTAGCTCTCCAGGTGTTTGTTGTGTAAGATCTAGCACAATCAGGACATTGCATAGCAATGACAATGTACTCGACTTCAAAAGTTTGTTGAATAATGGTGTTGGCCATGGCTTCACCTTGAACGGTTAGCTTGACTCTAATACGTCTGGAGTGGGGTTCAGTCCAAATAAACGATGCGTCCACTAATCTGACTTTACTCAAACCTTTTAAACGACGTAGACATATAGCCAAAAGTTCTCTGGACTCAAGATCAGCTTTAATCCATGTGGTTGGAGGTTGTAAAAATCTTTCACAATTTCTACAGAAGGAAATGTTGGCTTCTCTTGGTATACCTTCTGTGATATCAACTGTCAACTTGATACAGTCGTAACACATAACCAAACCTGCAGAACCATCTATTGGTGTACCACAGTTGCAACACAGAACAGTGGCTCCCATTTGCTGTTGTTGCTGTTGCTGCATCATCTCGTTTTGATTCTGGTAGTGAATGTGATTGTGTTGATCCATTGCGACTTGATGTAGATAATTATATTGTAGTTCCTGTTCTACTTTTTGCCAAAAACACAAATGAAGTTTTTAAAATGCTGAATAGAAGTCAATTTCAATACAACGATACTGGTAAAAGTAACTATCTAGTAGTATTAAATACATTTAGGTGGTCTTTAATGTGCAAAAATTAATTCGATGACCAGAATTTTCATTTCCATTCGGTATGCGATGAGCTCTGAAAATTTTCACACCGCCAAAAAAATAGAATAGAAAAAAGAGAGAAAGAGTACGTGACGATTCTTCATACTCTCTGTATAGCGACAAGACTACCGGGGTTGGTCCCTATTTCTATTTGATTGCTAACCGAGTACTGATCAACTTGAGATTCAAACTGTTTTTTATTATAGAAGGAGTTTAGAATGGTGGTATTGCAGTTCAATATATAATCTGTTATTTTGTTATTTTGTTATTTACATGTCTAAGAAATTATCTACGTATTGTTCTTTGCGCACCTGGCCATCTTATCTACAAGAACGTCAATGTTTTCTTCGTTTAGTGCACTGATAGGGATGCTATCCCAAGCTTGTAACTCTGCAAATTTTTGAATTTTTAAATATTTTTCCATTGATGCAGGATTATTCGCATCAATGTCTGCTTTATTACAGACAACAAGTATATTCTTGGTCCGTACTTTTTCTAATCCACCGACTTCATTGATTAATATCTTTAAAGTCCCCAAAGGATCTGGGTCGTTTAAACCGATGACAAAGACCCAGCCTTTAGACCTCTCGATATGTTTCAGAAATTCTAGACCCATACCTCTATCCAAATGGGCACCTTCGATAATACCTGGAATATCTGCCACTGTGAATGTCTTTTCTCCTGGTCCTCGCATGATCGTCCCTATGGTAGGACGTAACGTAGTAAACTCCCAACTTCCTATTCTTGGGGTAGCATTGGATATCTTGTTAAGAATGGTAGATTTACCTGCGTTGGGGAACCCGACTAATCCCAAGTCAGCAATAGATTTCAATTCAAACATGAAATAACTTTCAAGACTTTTACGACCAATTTTGGCAAACCGTGGGTTACGAATGACACTAGTTAAGAAATGCATATTCCCTAACCCACCTTTACCACCTTCTAGTAAACACACTGGCTTATCAGTGACCTCATCTAGATCAATACCGTATAATGGAATCTTGTCGTTTGAAACTTCCTCAACATCCAAACTTCTATCGTATCGTGCAACATTACGATTTAATTTCTTAAACCAATCCTTTATTTCATGGTAATCTTTTGTCTTATCCTTAAATAACCAGCCTTCCCCAGTTTCGTACTGCTCCCTAAATAACTGTATATATTTTGGTCTTTGATCTTCTTTCGACCGTCCATAACAATCAATATCGATTTTATTATCTTGTAGTATATCTTTTAATGGCTTGTTGATGTTGCTCTTCATTTCTGAGTCGACTAACGTCCTCACAGACTTAGGATCCATACACCAACGAACAACAGTCCCCTTCGGAACAGTGATCAAAATGTTTTTACCACGACTACCATCCAATTGGGTCGAAGCACCTGCTTGTCCATCACCAGCAATATATTTTGTCTTCAATTTTGATAGGGAATTCATACCTTCGACTGCCTGTACGTATACAGAACCACCGCCACCACCATCACCACCATCTGGAGGCCCTACCCTTCTGTTTGCATCTCTCAGGAACGACACACATCCAGTACCACCATTACCACTCCTACATTGAATAATCCTTACATCTACAAAGTTTCCCTGTGTATGATTATGCTTACTATATTGTCGTAGGTAATTTATTGATGTGAAATTTGCAATTGGGGATTGAACCTTTATGTATTTAGTTTCAGGTGGAGTGGAAATAATCTTTATTGGGAAACGTTCATTCTTCGTAACATGCTTGTCGAATATCGAATTCTTAGTCTCTACATTAGCATCATGGCTTAATTCTGCATTGTCATCTAAAGTACCCAACCATTCTTCATTTTCCAATAAAGTTGGTGCATTATCTGGAATGCTAGTTGACTTAAGTCTGATAAATGGAGTTCGTAGTTTACTGATCCGCCTGAGATTGATCATTACGAGATAATAACTACAGATATCGTTTCGTCTTGTTTTGACTTATTTTACTCTTGGAGTTGTTGGCATCGCAATCCTCTGTGCTCTTTTTTTTCAGTAGTTGATATATTCCTTAATTATTGAGGAAGACAAGAAAAAAGAACCCTTTGAGAGTGTTAAATACGATGCAAAATACATTACTTCAAGCAAACACCAAATTCCTTCAGACTTCACACATTTATATATTCCCTATATCATTAAAGTTAATTATTTGTACTAAACTCTACAATTTTATAAAAATCTATGCACGTTTCTTTAATTAGTTAAATGAGACGTTCGTTCATTACTGCGCAACGACAAAACTCCAAGTGTCTGAGTTATGACCACTTTCAAAGTTTCATAATACGAGAAGAGGCTCCGTATTATGCTACATCTTCTGATTTCAGTTTATTTTTTAGTGTTTCAACATTTTTCAGTACTTTTCTTATAGAATGCGGTCCTTCACCAAATAAGAGTAACTCAATATTATCCAACTCTCCCCTCCAATAGTTAGCTTCTTTATTCAATTCTGTCAGATGTCTTTGAAGCAAATATTTGTTCTCAAGAGTATACGTAGCACGAGACAATTTTATACTGTTGAAGTAGTCTTGTAAATCCCCATTCAAAGTATCAATTTTTTTGTCGTCATTATCATAATAATTATCAATAATCTTTTGTAATTCTGCTGGAGGTTTCCATTTATCAAATACAAACTCCGATACATCTGGATTCGAAATATCTACTTGTTTCACTAGTTCCACCGAAAGTTTATTAAGCAAATTGATATATTCTAGCGAATCCTGATTAATATTTTCCAGGTATGTAACATATTGTCTGAGGTCTGGCCACGACTTCGTACCTATAATGTATTCTCTATTCTCTATATCCAATTTATTCTCATTTGAAATTTGATGCTCCCTTGCTTGTAGTTTGCTATACCTTAAATCTGCGGTAGTATCCACCAATTTATAATAGGAACCATGTAGTTCCTCTAGAGATTTCAACAATACTGCATCACTTGCGCTGTCGTCTGTCAATTTCTTCAGTATCTTCATCGTATCTTGTAGTATTTCATGACTGGATTGTAGAACCTGATCCACTTCACACAGGGAGTCAAAATATGTGTTTTCTTTATCGTCAGACATAACTAATCTCTGTAGAATGCAAAAAAGAAATTGTTATGGAGTTGGTCTTAATTCGAAACCTTGGAAGATTACAACACAAATAGAATGTAGCACACCTTCAACTAAATAACAAAAGATGATTAACGCAATGGCAATTAATATTAATACGAACCCTGATTGTCCTTGGTAACAACTATACAAACAATCCTTAAACTGTGAATCTCTTGAACTTCACTCAACGTTTCTTCAGTTTCTTTCAATTTCATTTATAATTTTTTCCAGTTGAACGCTTTATGAAACTGAAGTCTCTCATAATAACAAAAAATAAAATTGATTCAACGGTGTTTATATGTATACAAAAGGCGGAAGGGAACACCACCTATCTCACTGACACAATAACATCGAGAATCTTAGAGCTCCTTTAACGCAGACAGAAAGAATTGAACTTACCTGATTGGATTGCAATTAGATCTGTGAAGGTATACGTACAGAGACACACACACATATATATACATATCGCAGGTACGATGAATGGGACTGCTAGGAGATATATGATCCAGGATGTAAAGGACTCGCTACGGAACTCATCGATCCATCTATCCCAATGGAAGTTATTGAAATCTGCCAAATGGTCAATAGAAGCATTACGAGGCATGGAAGATATACCGCTGGACAGTGGCGATATGAATGAGGATAATATGATGGATGCGAACTCGTCCAATAATCATGCAAATACTATCTTTAATGAGCATAAACGTGGAGGCATACCGAAAATGAACGAAGGTTTCACTGAAGATGAATTTGATAAATACTTATTAGCGTCGTCACTATTTGATTGCAAAGAATTTGATAGATGTGTTTATTTCTTGGCAAACGTTGATGAACCAAGACTAATGTTTTTAAAACTTTATTGTAAATATTTATCATGGGATAAGAAAACTGTGGAGAGTGTAGAGAACGTTCTTGTTACCGGGAAAGCGAGAGATTCAAACCATTGTAATGATAACTCAGAATTAGGAAGGGACAATGAACAGAATTCTGAGACAAGTGGGTTTACTAGTTATCTCAAATCAAAGAAGAATAGCGGTATACAACATATGGAAGATGGTCATCAATCTAGTGTGGCTCTTATCTTAAAAGAACTTAGAAACTACTTAAACAAGAATGAAGCTGACCTTTTACATTCCAAAGAAGGTGCATTAGGGGTGGCATTACTTTATTACCTGAAAGGTGTTCTGTTAAATCAGAATGGTAACAAACCACAAGCCCTTACTGCATATGTCACCTCACTGAGTCTATACTCCTTCAATTGGACCTGCTGGGTGGAATTGCTGGATTGTATATCTAGACCAGATGAATCGTTATTAATTTTAAAGCATTTAAATGAACAATTCGATTTGAGTGAACAAAATCATTATGGAACTCAACGAATAAATACCGAGAATATCATGCTTAAATTCTTTAAACTTTCTTTATTCCAAGAATTCAGTGGAAACATTGATGAATTCTTGGGAAACTTAGAGTTACTATTAACAATAACTCCAAATTTTGCATATCTAAAGGCTCAAAATGCTTTAGTGTATTATAACCATATGGATTACTCAAATTCTGAAAGCATATTTGATCAGATAATAAAACTGGATCCGTATAGACTAGAAGATCTGGATATATATTCCAATATTCTATATGTGATGCAGAAACAATCAAAACTGGCATATTTGGCTCAGTTTGTCTCTCAAATAGATAGATTTCGTCCAGAAACTTGTTGCATCATAGCAAATTATTACAGTGCTAGACAAGAACATGAAAAATCAATAATGTATTTCCGCAGGGCTTTAATACTAAACAAAAAATCCACAAGTGCTTGGACTTTAATGGGCCATGAATTTGTGGAATTAAAGAATTCTCATGCAGCTGTGGAATGTTACCGCCGTGCAGTCGATATAAATAACAGAGATTTTAGAGCTTGGTACGGATTAGGTCAAGCCTATGAGGTACTTGACATGCACATGTATTCATTGTACTATTTCCAAAAAGCATGCGCCTTGAAACCTTTGGATCGTCGTATGTGGCAAGCTACAGCTGAATGTTATGCCAAATTAAAATATTCTAATGGAGCAATTAAATGCTACTTGAGAGCATTACAATTATCGACAATCCCTGATCAAGAATCCTTATTATTTTACAAATTAGCTGAACAATATGAAGAAACGGCAGAACTAGACAGGTGTAAATCTTACATGATTAAATGTATGGAACTAGAGAGATCTAATGAGGGGCTTGTCACTGATGAAGCCATCAAGGCAAAACTTTGGCTGGCAAAGAATGAATTTCAAAATAAAAATTACGAAGAAGCCTATAATTACGCTATTAGCATCACAAATGGAACATCACAGGAGGTCGAGGAAGCACGCACAATTGCCAGGAATTGCAGATTGCTTCTTAAGTAAGTTATTATCTATAGTATATAATTCTATTATCCTTGAAGAACGATTTTTCGATGTCCTTTTGATATAAACATGGGCTGTATGTGGTGTACGGATTAGGTACTGAAAAAAAAATAAATCTGATTCCTTATTCAATCCTTAGCCAGATGAGTTCCTTCATATGTACACAATAGAAGAAAAATGGTACTTTTATTACAGGATTTAAACTACAATTACACTTGCTCTTTGGTAATACCATTCAAATAAATATAATCAGACAAATCAACCTTTTGCATATTAGTTTCGGCATACTCTTTGGAAAGGAATTTGAATTCATCGTGTATTAAATTCTAGGGAATGTCCGAGCTACCACCTCCACCACCACCTGGTTTTATATCCCATGAGGAAGAGAGTGATTTTGAAGCCTCTCCACCTCCACCAGATTTTGGTGAATACATAAACAATGAAGACGATACGATTCTTGCTCCTCCTCCTCCTCCTCCTCCAGGGTTTGATGATGAATTAGAATATGAACTACCGCCTCCACCACCAGGATTTGAAACACCAGACATTATCGAAACATCAGGGCATGAATTACTCCCTCCACCACCAGAATTAGAATCTGTAAATGATGAGAAACGAGGTGACTTAATTTCATACGTAGAAAACGGTATCAAGAAAAGGAGATTACTATCATCTGTTAGTAATGATAACCGCCAAATTAAAAATAGGAAAAGAATTAGAAATAGAAAGCCAAAAAGGAAAAACAACGAGGGTATTGTTGGATCTAACAAAGTAGAAATGCCACCTGAACATCTCCGAAAGATTATTGAAACACATTCTGATATGACGTCTAAGAGATTTGATACTGACAAGCGTGCGTTCCTGGGAGCTTTGAAATATTTACCACATGCTGTCTTAAAACTAGTGGAAAATATGCCTCAACCATGGGAACAAGTGAAAGAAGTAAAAGTATTATACCATGTGTCAGGCGCAATTACTTTTGTTAATGAGAGTCCTCGAGTAATTGAACCGGTATATACGTCTCAATGGTCTACGGCGTGGATTGCAATGAGAAGGGAAAAACGTGATAGAACACACTTTAAAAGGATGAGATTCCCAGCATTTGATGATGATGAACCACCTTTATCATATTTTGAAAACATTCGTCCAACTGAGCCACCAGAAGCGGTAACACTAAATCTAGATGACATCGAAGACGAGGCCGTCAAGGACTGGCTTTATGATCCAAAACCATTAATTGATAAGGATGGAAAAGTAAATGGTTCCTCTTATAAGAAATGGAACCTAGATTTTGCTGAAATGGCAAACTTATATAGACTTTCGACACCATTAAGGGATGTTGTAAATGATAAAAACTATTATTATTTATTCGATAAAAAGGCATTCCTGACGTCAAAAGCACTGAATACTGCGATTCCAGGGGGTCCAAAATTTGAACCTTTATATCCTAAGGAAGAAGAAGAAGATTACAATGAGTTTAATTCAATTGATAGGATAATATACAGGACACCAATTAGAAGTGAATACAGAATAGCATTCCCTCACCTCTATAACTCGAGGCCACGTTCGATCGAATTATCCTGGTACAGCAATCCTACTTCATGCTTAATAAATAATGATGATGACTATGACATCCCGGCATTCTACTTTGACCCTTCCTTAAACCCTATAACATTTTTCGATGTGACAACAGATATACCTGATGAAAATCATCAAGAGGATGAGGATGATCTTTTATTATCGGAATCCTTTTCACCTCTAATGGCTGATCATGAATTATCTACTTCCGTGACAAAAGATTCCATATCACTGTATAACGCACCTTTCCCATTTAACAGGAGGTCTGGGAAAATGGTCAGAGCTCAAGATGTCGCTCTCATTAAAAAATGGTACCTACAACACCCAGATGAAGAATACCCAGTTAAAGTTCGTGTGTCGTACCAAAAATTATTAAAGAACCATGTTTTCAACGAATTGAAGAAGAGAAGAGGAACGAATTCAAAGCATAATACAAAATTGCTGAAAAGTTTAAAAAATACCAAATATTTCCAACAAACCACTATAGATTGGGTCGAGGCTGGACTGCAATTGTGTAAACAGGGTCACAATATGCTAAACCTTATGATCCATAAGCGTGGGCTTACATATCTCCATTTGGATTATAACTTCAATTTAAAGCCAACCAAAACATTAACCACAAAAGAACGTAAAAAGTCGAGGTTTGGTAATGCATTTCATTTAATGAGAGAAATTCTCAAAGTTGTAAAATTATTAGTTGACGCACATATTCAGTGCAGATTGGGAAACGTCGACGCATTTCAGTTAGCCGACGGACTCTACTATATTCTGAACCATCTCGGCCAACTCACAGGTATTTATCGTTATAAGTACAAAGTAATGCATCAAATTAGGGCCTGTAAGGACTTGAAGCATGTTGTATATTACAGATTTAACAAAGTCATCGGAAAGGGACCCGGCTGTGGGTTTTGGCAACCTGCTTGGCGTGTCTGGATATTTTTCTTAAGAGGTATCATCCCACTATTGGAAAGATGGCTTGGGAATCTGTTAATCCGTCAATTCGAGGGCCGTAACAACGAGGTTGTCAAATCAACCACTAAACAAAGAACTGATGCATACTACGACTTAGAACTAAGAGCATCTGTGATGAATGATATACTGGATATGATACCAGAAGGAATAAGACAAAGTAAGGCAAGGACCATCCTTCAGCATTTAAGCGAAGCCTGGAGATGCTGGAAGGCCAACATTCCATGGGATGTACCTGGAATGCCAGAACCTATCAAAAACATAATCGAACGTTATATTAAGGCTAAGGCTGATGGGTGGGTATCTTCTGCACATTATAACCGTGAACGTATAAGAAGAGGCGTGAGGGTTGAAAAGAACGTAGTAAAGAAAAACCTGGGCAGATTGACGAGATTGTGGATAAAAAATGAGCAGGAAAGACAAAAAAATATGGAGAAAAATGGTCCTGAAATATCTCCCAGTGAAGCTACATCAATCTTCTCAGCCATGGTTGAATGGTTGGAGGCTAGAAACTTTTCTCCAGTCCCATTTCCACCATTGACGTATAAAAATGATACAAAAATATTAGTACTAGCATTAGAAAATCTAAAGGATAGTTTTGGATCCAAGGTTCATATGAATTCCAGAGAAAGGGAAGAGTTAGCTTTAATTGAAGAAGCCTATGATAATCCCCACGAAACTTTGAATAGAATCAAGAAATATTTACTTACTCAAAGAGTATTCAAACCAGTGGATGTTACTATGATTGATCATTTTCAATCGATTGCTCCGGTGTATTCTGTAGATCCTCTGGAGAAAATCACAGATGCCTACCTAGACCAATATTTATGGTATGAGGCAGACCAAAGAAAACTATTTCCAAACTGGGTAAAGCCTAGTGATGCCGAAATTCCTCCGCTTTTAGTTTATAAATGGGCCCAAGGAATCAATAATGTTTCCGACGTATGGGACGTCTCCAATGGTCAATCTACAGTCATGCTAGAGACATCTTTGGGCGAGCTATGTGAAAAAGTGGATTTTACATTACTTAATAGATTATTAAGATTAATAATAGAACCAAATATGGCGGACTACATTACTGCCAAGAATAATATCATAATAAATTTCAAAGATATGAGCTATATCAACAAATACGGTTTACTAAAAGCACATCAATTTTCCTCTTTTATATACCAATTTTATGGACTTGTAATGGATATTCTGATATTGGGCCATGATAGGGCTATGGATTTAGCTGGGCCACCAACTAGTCCAAACGAATTCATGCAGTTTAAAAGTCCAGAGATAGCAAAACGGCACCCAATTAGATTATATTCGCGTTATTTGGATAAAATTAGTATTCTATTCCATTTCGAGGAAAATGAAGCTGATGAGTTATCAGATGACTTTTTAGCTGAGAATCCTGATAATAACTTTGAGAATGCTGTGGGGTACAACAATAAAAAGTGTTGGCCAAAAGATGCTAGAATGAGACTGATGCGTCAAGATGTTAATTTGGGTAGAGCAGTCTTTTGGGAGATTCAAGGACATATTCCTAAATCAATTGTTGATATTAGTTGGGACGAATCATTTGTGTCTGTTTATAGTAAAAATAACCCAAATCTGCTATTTTCGATGTGCGGATTTGAAGTACGTATTCTTCCAAAATTGAGAACAGACGAAGTAATGACAACTACCGAAAGTGCATGGGATTTAATTGATGAAGTTTCCAAACTAAGAACTGCTAAGGCATACCTGAAAGTTTCAGATGAAGAGGTTAAGAAGTTTGAAAGTAGAATCCGTGGTATTGTTATGACAGCTGGTAACGGGGCTTTTACGAAAGTCGCAGCTAAGTGGAATACAACTGTCATCGGTTTATTCACATACTTTAGAGAGGCTATATTAACTACGGAATCATTGCTGGATATACTTGTGAAAAGTGAAACTGCTATTCAAAATCGTGTAAAACTAGGTTTGAATTCCAAAATGCCAACACGTTTCCCTCCTGCTGTTTTTTACACGCCTAAGGAGTTAGGTGGTCTTGGTATGATAAGTGCTTCACATATTTTGATACCAGCATCAGATTTGTCGTGGTCAAAACAGACAGATACAGGTATTACCCATTTCCGTGCAGGTATGACACATGACGATGATAAATCTATTCCGACCATCTTCAGATATATTACTACATGGGAAAATGAATTTCTTGATTCACAAAGGGTATGGGCTGAGTATTCAGCTAAACGTCAACTGGCATTGGAACAAAATCGTAGAATGGCCTTTGAGGAGCTAGAGGGTTCATGGGATAGAGGTATTCCACGTATAAGTACACTATTTCAGAGAGACCGTCACACTTTAGCATATGATAGGGGTCACAGAATCCGTAGAGAATTTAAGGCGAACACGATTGAAAGAATAAGTACTTTTTGGTGGACAAATGCCAACCATGATGGTAAATTATGGAATCTGAATGCTTACAGAACAGATGTAATCCAAGCCTTGGGTGGTATAGAAACGATTTTAGAACACACCCTATTTAAAGGTACTGGGTTCAACTCGTGGGAAGGTTTGTTTTGGGAAAAGGCTTCTGGTTTCGAAGATTCCATGCAATTTAAAAAACTAACAAATGCCCAACGTACAGGTTTAAGCCAAATCCCGAATCGTCGTTTCACATTATGGTGGTCACCAACTATCAATAGAGCCAATGTTTATGTAGGTTTCGTTGTTCAGCTTGATCTGACTGGTATATTCCTCCATGGTAAGATTCCAACGTTAAAAATTTCCTTAATCCAAATATTTAGAGCACATTTATGGCAAAAGATTCACGAAAGTGTTGTCTTTGATATCTGTCAAATCCTGGATGGTGAACTTGATTCTCTACAAATTGAGTCTGTCATAAAAGAAACAGTTCATCCACGTAAATCATATAAAATGAATTCCTCTGCCGCGGATGTTACAGTAGATAGTTTGTACCAGTGGGAAGTATCTAAACCATCATTACTCCATGAGGCAAATGACTCATACGATGCTACTTCTACAAACAAAATGTGGTTTGATGTTCAATTGAGATATGGTGACTACGATTCTCATGACATTTCACGTTATGTTAGAGCTAAGTTTCTGGATTACACAACGGACAACATAAGTATGTATCCATCTCCAACTGGTGTAATGATAGGTATCGACTTGGCGTACAACATGTATGATGCTTATGGTAACTGGTTCAATGGCTTGAAACCACTCGTACAGAATGGGATGAGAACTATAATGAAGGCGAATCCAGCTCTATATGTGCTACGTGAGCGTATTAGAAAGGGTCTACAAATTTATCAATCCAACATTCAAGAACCTTTCTTAAGTTCTTCAAACTATAGTGAACTTTTTAACAATGATATAAAACTATTCGTGGACGATACAAATGTGTATCGTGTTACGGTACACAAGACCGTTGAGGGTAATGTAGCTACTAAGGCTATTAACGGTTGTATTTTTATATTAAATCCTAAGACAGGTCATTTATTCCTAAAGATTATCCATACTTCCGTGTGGGCAGGTCAAAAGAGATTAAGTCAGTTGGCGAAGTGGAAATCTGCTGAAGAAGTTAGTGCCTTAGTTAGGTCACTACCTAAAGAAGAACAACCAAAACAAATTATTGTTACACGTAAGGCCATGTTAGATCCTTTAGAGGTTCACATGTTAGATTTCCCAAATATTGTCATACGTCCAACTGAATTAAGATTACCATTTGCGGCAGCTATGTCCATTGATAAATTATCCGATGTTGTTATGAAGGCCACTGAACCCCAGATGGTTCTCTTTAATATTTACGACGATTGGTTGGAAAGCATATCATCTTATACCGCTTTCTCGAGATTAATATTACTTCTTAGAGGCCTAAAAACCGACGAAGAGAAAGCCAAAAGAATTCTCTTAGGCGATCCGACTATAATTATTAAAAAACATCATTTGTGGCCGTCATTCTCTGATGAACAATGGATATCCATCGAATCGCAGGTACGTGATTTAATATTAGTAGAGTATGGTAAGAAGTACAATGTCAACATTTCTGCCCTGACTCAGACTGAAATTAAAGATCTAATTTTGGGTCAAAACATTAAAGCACCATCGGTCAAGAGACAGAAGATGGCTGAACTTGCAGCTGCAAGAGCAGATGATAAATTGGCCAGCGCTACATCAGTTATGAAGACAAAGACAGTCAACGCACAAGGTGAAGAAATTGTTGTGGTTACATCTGCAAACTATGAAAATCAAGAATTTAATTCAAAGAATGAATGGAGACAAAATGCCATTGCTAACAGTCTCCTCTATTTACGTATGAAAAATATCTATGTTGCTTCGGAAGATTTTGTGGAAGAGAAGCCAATCTATGTCTTACCAAATAATATACTAAAGAAATTTATCGAAATATCTGACGTAAAAATACAAATTGGGGCTTATTTATATGGTAAATCTGCGGAAGGTCATACAAATATTAAGGAAATCAAGACAGTTGCGTTAGTACCTCAATTAGCAGATATGAGATCTATTCAATTGGGAAGACCTCCTATCCCAGATACTAACCCAGATATTGCTGGTCTAGAACTATTAGGCTGGGTACACACACAAGGAAAAGATATAAAATTCATGTCTGCGGCTGAGATCAATACCCAGACATCTACATTTGGAAATAACAACAACAAAGATAGTCTAATTGATATCAGTATATATTCTGCTCCAGGCAATATATCACTGGCAGCATATAATCTTTCTGAAGAAGGTTATCAATGGGGTCACAATAATAAAGATGTTTTGGACGATGATGCAGAAGGGTTTGAACCAAGTTTCAGCACTTATGCACAGTTACTTCTTTCAGACCGTATAATGGGTAACTTCCTAGTGCCAACAAGTAAAGTCTGGAATTACTTATTTATGGGTACCAGTTTCAATATAGAATTAGAGTATGAGATGAAATTAGGTATTCCGATAGAATTTTACAACGAGCTACATCGTGCAACACATTTTCTACAGTTTAATAACATCGGGAACAACGAGGATTTAGAAGCAGAACAGGAGAGTTTATTAGCATGAAGTATTATATAATGGCATATGTAATTTTGCAAGAATGTATAAATCAACATTTTTTATAAAATTATTTTTCTTTTAGAGGAAATCATCTGGTTGGAGTGTTTCAGCCTTACTGTATGGGCATTTCGACATTCCGCAAGCTGCCAGAGAAAAGGACGAACCAAAAAATAAAAACTGGTGAAAATTTATAGCATACACAAATCGAATAGTCTTCATGTTTGATAGATGGTTCGATTACCATAAAGAGACCTCACGAGATATATGATATATGTTAAAGAACATGCTATATACCCATAAACTCTAATCTAACAGAATTTGAAAGAAAAATAAATACATCTATATATAAGATAGACATGAGGAGACGTTCTAGTGGAGCTTCGCGAAGGGCACGTTCCAGAGGTAGAGCCCCCAAGGCTACAGGACCAGGACCACGATCAAGAGGAGAGACACCAGTAGCATCTCCTTCATTATACGATAGATTAAATATACCAATAAAGAATACAAATATGAATAGGACATCTGAAACATCCGAAATACTGAAAGAGCTTACTCCTGAATACGAAGAAGCGGTTTATAATCTGCTAAGGAAAGGTTATACGTTTGGCGACCTCGTCTATTTGTTCGACCTCGATAGATATACACTGAGGAACGTATTTGAGAGCTTAAGTCTGAATATTATTGTTCAAAAAAGTAGTAAATCTACCAGCGACGAAGAATGTCGTACGGAAAGGACTACATTAGAGAATACTAATTCTTTTGACCCAATCTTGCGATCAAAACCGCCCCTTGGTCAATCACAGAATGACTATAATATCAGCAGGAGGAGTATAAGCGATTCCACTCTTGATACTGAAACAGCTGATTCTAATTTTACTCCTTCGAACTTATCCTCGGCAAAGAATACATGGCCATTACCTTCAGGTCCAGCCAATGAGAAACTGCTCAAACACACCAACAGATCACCTTTACAAGATACAAGCATGAATCAGATAACTGTCTCTCCTGTAGCTGTAGCTGCCAGAGATGGATTGTTATCAAATGAAATGACCACAACACAGGGATCAGAGACTAATACCATAGAGTTAACTACTAAGGAAAGTAGTCCACAAATATCAAATATTTCTCAGTTATCTTGTGTTGCTCCAGAAATTGTTACATTTCCACAACCCAAAGGATTAGCCTCAGAGGAAACAGAATCAGCAATACGAGGCGAAAATCCACAATCATCTTCCTTGCATACTCAACCATTACCATCTGAAATGACCGTGTTGTCCTCTACTAAGACATCAGAGGCGCGAACGAAAGAACTATCCCACGAAACTTTAAGTACTTCTATAGAAAATATTAAGAGATCCGACAATGGAACTGTTACAACATCCACATTACCTAGTATTCAGGCGGATAGGACAACCAATGGAGGAACGTCAACAGATGTTGATAACATTTCAAAAAAAGTAACGCTACATGATGCTTCTGCAAACCCTGCTACAGACAATCCTGCGGCTACTCCTACCGAGTATCCTGGTGAAAGTGGTATAATAGAAGAAGCACATATACCTTCTACTACACTTGCAGTTTTGGAAGGAATATCTACGTCATCTACTGAAAACTCTACAGCAGACAAAATACCTGTTGCTTTTGCTATAAATAATACAGTTGAAGGAATAGCTATATCCCCTACTGTTAACACTACAAAAGTAATAGAACCAGTGCTTGCTACCGAACATACCACTATAGAAGGAGCGTCTGCACTTCCTACTGAAGATATAGAACACGAGGTGGTTGACGATATTAACTATACTTCTAGTTTAGAAAAATATGATGATTATAATATGCATATAGAAAATTCAGCAATGGAAACGAAACCTACCACATCTTCAGACATTTTACCAGATAAGTCTCAAAGTATCTCTCAATTAAACGTCAAACATGCGGAGACAGAAACTGAAAAATTTGGAGTATTTAATTCTCCGGATCAAATGGATTCAGAATTTGAAACATCCCCATCGGAAGATTCACGAACATTTTTGATACCGGTCAACCCTCTAAGCCAACCTTTACAGGCACCATCGTATCCATCTACGGCAGTAGAGATGGATAATAACACGATAGAGCCAAAACGAGGAACAGAGGACACAGATCTGGGACAAAAACAACTAGAATCTTTAGAACCATATCAACCTTCTGACAATATTGAGGAGGTACCATTTTCAACAAATGAAAATATTATGATGACAAAGCCAGACATGGGAGCTGCTGAAATATTAGGAGCAAACGTAACTGCTGTAACTACTTTAGAAAATATGCACAATGATATACGAGAAGAACCCCCATTCAAGTTCATTAAAGCAGAACAACCTTCAAATCCCGATACTACGCAAGCATATGATAAAACATCTGCATGCATAACAACAAACGAAGAAGAGCAAAAAGAAATACGCGACAAACAAGAACTCCAGAAGGGGATCAAACATGTAATAGATACTAATCACCCTGATAGAATTAGATTTTTTAATACCACCAATAATGTACAACAACAAATGCATAGAGCACTTACGCAACTTAAACCAATATGGGCTCAAAACAAAAAAAATGTGAATTTCTTTTCAAGTAAGGATGACTTCAGACAATTTATCAACAGGTTTCGTAAGAGTGCTAGGGATATTCAAGCATTTTGCAACCAGCTAGATTTTGATTATGCTCATTTGCATAGGGAGACATATCAAAATCTGAGCGTTGTTACAGGCTCAGTCCAGAAACTATCAACTAACGTTGTACCCCAAAGGGTACAAGCCATTAAGGTTGAATCTATTAATAGTGTAAAACATAAAGCAGAGCCTGCCAAGAGACAGCTTGTCAAGGCAAAGCTTGCCAAGAACGCAAATACATATCCTTCTGATACAAATAGAGGTAGTAGATTTGAAACTAGCAGCGTTATTAATGATCCAATTGCAAAACCAGTTACAAGCAATATTGGAATAGAGAATCAAGCTGGTAAAATTAACCTTAACAAGATTCCAAATAAAATAAAAGATAATGTACACGAACCTTCAAAATCTAATATTAATAGCAACATCAAAAGTGACGTCAATGATAATATTGCATACGTTCATAACCCACTTCCAGGTATCAAACCTAAAATAAACAATGGTATGATACCAGTACAACCCCCAATTAGGCCACATGACCTACCTGGAGTAGCCCCTAGGGCTGTGGTACGATTCCCACCGAACGATGGAATTTCAAATGTTCCAAACAACAACAAAAGACGTACCAACTCAACTCTCGTGCCAAATAGTAGTTTACCTCAGCAAACTGCAAAACATTTAAGTACGTCTACACATGACACTAACCGACCTGTAATGCTGCCAATGCCAGTGCCTGTCCCAGCGCAGCGTAACAAACCCTACAGCGGCTTAAAATTACCATCTGGACCATCTTCAAAAGCTATAAAATCACAAGTGCCTTACCGTAGATCATTACAAGTAGATTCTCCAGTGCAGTTGCCACGTAAAAGATCATTTATTGACTCTCAAAATTCCATAACGGAACATGGTATATCTAGGTTACCTAAGAGACCCCACCGTGGGAATACTCAACAACCTGGGCGCGAATGGGATAATAAAGATGAATCCAAAATTGTTGATAACAGTTTTATCCAATTATCGAAAGTATGTATCAAATTGCAATATTTTCTCTCTTAAGAATTTCAATTTTGATTTATTTCACTTGTACTAACACTCCTTTTTTCTTTTTGTAAATAGTCCAAACCAAGTTCGTTCAAGCCATACCATTCAATGCTACCACGTTAAACATACATTGTACAATTTTACATCGTGGAAGTGCACAATATCATTTACTGAGAAAGACCATCTTGTCTTACTTCTTGCTAATAATCGAATCATTCATTGAAACCTTATTTATTAAATCTTTAAAAATCAGTTTTGGGAATCTGAGGGCATCGCTTAAACATTTGTACGGATGATACTGTGGTGCACAGGCGAAAAGAAGAAAAAACAGAAGAATACACCATACGAAGTTATATAAATATATAAATCAATATACAGACACAATAATAGAAATGCGTAGTATCGTAATAATAGATCAATCACATTCAACTGATTAAACTATCTTTATCAAGTAGTTGTGTAACCTATGGATACACCTAAGAAAACGAAATATTACACCCTATAAACCTAAAAGGAATATTTACTACGATTATTACCAATTTTTATATTTCGATAAAAAAAACAATCTTACGTAGTGATCGTGCATTAGTTTCATATGTCTGGGAATCAAGAGAAGAGGAGGAAAACAGAACAGAATGCTACTAATCCACTTAAAAAAACAGATGCTAAACCATCAGCGACAGTGCCAAATGATACCAATACAAAACCAAAGAAATATGCTGTGAAATACCGCTTCGAGGAGTTGAAAAGAAAACAATCCAAATATATCGAAGAACCTGTTGTCCTGAGGTCAATTCCACAATCACAAGTCTTGAATACAGCTTTTAGTAAGAATCGTAGGGATATTGATGCCCCTAAGATTTTACAACCAGCACATAAGGCCCTAAGAAAGGTACCATCTTATAAATCGAAGACTAAAGAGACTATGGATGGAGTTAAAAAGGAAAAAGAAATTGATGACATGTCAGACCATGTTATATGGAAATATAGTCCCATATATAAAGGGACCCCAGAAAGATCGGCTAATAGTTCCCCCGATCGGGATAAAGAATACGTTCCAAACCTATTGAATCCACCCTCAACGCCAACAGTTTCCAATAAGCTAAAATCTGTACTTAATTTCACATATTTAAATGATTCAAATGAAAATCTACAATTGCCAACTGAAACAGCAGAGGAGATGAGCGATATTCAAAAATCGAAACAAAATGATAAAAACTCGTCGAAAGACTTACTTCGAAATATAGACGACATCCTCACGGAAATGAGAGGGGATACAGATCTTCGATTAAATGCCGGAAGGATCAATGGATTACCATCATCTCCAGGGACTGTAGGCCATCCTGACACATTATTATTAGAAAATACCATGACAAAGATTGAGCAATCAAAAAATCAACCAACTGACGAAAGTATACAACACTACTCAAAAGATCTGCTGAAGGATGAAGAAAATGCCAGAACCGATGTTAAAAAAATATTAGACTCAGATAACACAACCAAAAGTACAGTTAAACAAACACTGAATGATGCAATTATTTCAATGACTCAACAAAAAATATCTGAAGAAAAATCTAATGTAAAACCGCTTATTGATGTACATACAGACGGAAACAACATAAATGAATTGGATGACGATGACGACGACGACATATTATTTGACATTATTTCTCAACAAAAGCCTAATGCAAAATATGATTTAAAACCACTACCAAATGAACAATCTTCTTTAGAGAGTGACGAAATGCTGGATGATTCACTTCTCGGTATATTTGATGAATTGGAACAAAATTCCCAGGTTCCCAAAACGAAACCTGATACTGATGAAACTAACACAATCCCACCAATGATCCACCCAAATAGCGATAACAGTAAAATGATTACAGAATATTCTGAAAGGGCCAAATGTGCTAAAGAGAAGAAAGGAATATGTAGATTGGTTGTTCTCTCCATACGTGAAATGACACTTCCAAAAATTGGTATTCAAAAAATTCTAACATGTGTAGATAGCAAAGGTTCTAAAGTGCCTGTAATTTTGCGTAATCCATGGGTATACCTAGATATCTATGAGGGTGATATTATCCACATCATAGAGGGCAAGAATTTTGCAAATAAACGGTTACTATCACAGGATAAAGACCCTCAAACTCTTCTCGAAAATGATAATCTATTGATTGTCCATCCTGACATATTACTTTCGGCTACTACTATCGGGTCTTCTACGAAATGTCTGAGATGCAGTGTAATCAATAACTTGTTTCAAGACGTAAGAAACGAACAAAGTATTAGTATGACAATAGGGAATATAGTGCATGAGTTATTACAAGACGCATTCAGATACAAGCTCACACATCGAAATATCACAATGGATTATTTTACAGAAAGATTGGATGAATTATTAGAGACATATTCTTTTGCTATCATAGTTTGCAACGAAGATGTTCAGGATGTGAAAAACACGATCATGGAAACACATGTCCAAAAAATATTGAGTTTTGTCAACAAATTTGTATCTTCTGATAACTATAAGAGGTATGTTCCCATTGCCAACACTAAAAAAAGCCAATCTATTTCTCTTTCAGATATTATTGATATCGAAGAAAATATATGGTCCCCCTCATTTGGGTTGAAGGGATTTCTGGATGTTACTGTCGATGCATATGTAGAAAAAATGCACGCCATTGTTCCATTAGAAATAAAAACAGGTAAATATAAAAGTCAAGCTCATGAGGTTCAAGGACTTATATATACACTTCTTCTTAGCGACAGATATGACATATTTGATGATTTCTTCCTATTAATGTACACTTGGGAAGAAGGGATGGTGAAACATAGACGACTACCTGACCCAATTAGACATATACTGATGACAAGAAATAAAATTGCAAGTTCCTTAAAACATCGTCTTTCTGAAATAAAAAGCAGAGTGCAGACCCTATTTCCTGTACCGACAGTTGAAGAGAATCCCGCAAATTGCACTCATTGTTATAATAAGGTAATATCCATGACTTTGTATAAACTCGTAGAACATGGAACTGCGGAAGGAAGCAGGATCCCTATGGAAGAATACGACGAACTTACAAGCCATTTACCAAATGATATAAAAAATTACAGAGAATTTTTCTTAAAATATAACGACCTTGTGACAAAAGAAGAATCTAGTGTTTGCGCTTCTAACCAGGATATGTTCCTAATGACAGGAGAAGCCAGGGAGTCACACAATGGTCATTGCGTACACAGCTTACGAGTATCTAGTATTAAAAAAGACGAGGTAATGGATGGTCAATATTTATATCAATTCAAGAGATGTTATAGTCCTACTCAACAGGTTTCTTCAATATTACAATCGCAAATATCTCTTGATGATAGGATAATAGTGAGTGACGAAGAAGGACACTTTTCAATAACTTCAGGGAATGTCATCGAATTAACAGAGGATTCAATAACCATCTCAACCAAACGAAAACTCCTAAATAACAAAATCTCATCTGGACCAGATCATGAACCAAGAATAGAAAGTGTGATCGACCCTACTCTAAGGGAATCTGATATCATATCGACACAAAATGCAGTCACTTATAGAATTGATAAATATGATATTCAACAACCTTTATCTGGTGCAAGATTCAATATTTTGAATCTTTTCCTGCCTCCCATTAAAAAGGGAACATTCATTCTTGACGAGAAGACAAGCGAACAAAGATTCTTAAAATTATCTGAGGGTGGTGATGAAAGAATGAAAAAATTCCTAGTCGACAATATAGCACCTCAGTTTTTGTCACTTAAGGATAAGCCCTTACTTCAAAATTATCTTCCTGAGGATTCCACATTTAATGATGACCAACATAAGGCTCTAGATCTCTGCCTTAGAGCAAAAGATTATGCTCTAATTCTTGGTATGCCAGGTACAGGTAAAACTACATTAATCGCAGAGATTATCAAAATATTAGTCAAAAATGGGAAGAAGATATTACTATCATCATATACACATTCTGCTGTAGATAATATCCTTTTGAAACTTATCGATACCGATATTAAAACTATTCGATTAGGTTCAAACGGAAAGATACATCCCGAAACTAGAAAGTATATGGTTGACTACACATTAGCCAAGAGTTATAATGAATTTTTGAATATGATTAATGAGACCTCATTAGTGGCGACTACTTGCTTAGGTATTAATGACCTACTATTTTCTTACAAAGAAAAGGATTTCGATTATGTGATTCTTGATGAAGCTAGTCAAGTTTCTATGCCTGTTGCATTGGGACCTCTTCGTTTTGGTGAGAAATTCATAATGGTTGGTGATCATAATCAATTACCACCATTAGTGAAAAATGAAAGTGCCAGACTTGATGGACTCGAGGATTCATTGTTTAAGATACTAAGTGAACGCCATCCTGAAAGTATGGCCGAATTAACTTTACAATATCGTATGTGTGGTGACATTATGAAATTATCCAATTTCTTGATATATGACGATAAATTAAAATGTGGTACTGAACAAGTTAGCAATCAACTATTAGATATTCCAAACCTTCCACTTATTTCAAAATATAAGTCGTCAACCAGCCAACAGGATTGGCTTGTTGATATAATGGACCCTCAAAGAAGAGTGCTCTTTGCAGATTATGATAGGAATACCGGTATAATTGAAAATATAGAAGGTGATAACATTATTAATAATGGTGAATGTACATTAATTGGTCAAATGGTGGATGGCCTTATTTTATCCGGTGTACCATGCAATAGGATTGGTGTTATGACGCTTTATAGAGCTCAATTAAGATTATTAAAGCGAACATTTAAAGAAGTCAAATATCATGGGTTAGAGGTTTTAACCGCAGATCAATTCCAAGGTAGAGATAAAGATTGTATTTTAATCTCTATGGTGAGAAGTAATGATGATCTAAAAGGTGGCTCTTTGTTGAAAGAAGTAAGAAGGGTCAATGTTGCAATGACAAGAGCAAAATCCAAATTAATTATATTGGGATCCAAGGATACGATTAGCTCTATCGGTGGTATAAAAGAATTTATTGGTATGCTACAGACTAATGGATGGATATACAAATTACCTGCTGATTGTCTGAAGACCTACAATTTTGAGAATATACCTGAGAAATTATATACAGTCTAATTATTTGAAACATAATGATAAATATGCATAAAAGGTATATACATATTAGAAAAAATAATATTATAAAAGGTAATAATGACTTTTAGGAGATAACACGCAATAACGTCATAAAAATTTCATTAAAATAATATATATATATATATTCATGAACTGCGTAGTTACAAATTGGTGGTGACGGTTTCAAAAGCTAGATCATCCACAAACCAGCTCACCTTCGCATCAAAGTGTTCATTGACAACAGCACATGGCATTGAGGTATCCTTCAAATCAAAGATATGATGCATAGCGTCTTGTTTGGAGGTACCCATAGTAACGAAACAAATTGCACCTGCGCCTTCCATTACAGGTAAAGTAATTGTAATTCTATCACTTGGTGGTTTTGGAGAGTCATGACACCACATAACCTGTTTAGTGGTTTCCTCAATCAAATATCTGTGATGGTCACCAGGGAACAAAGAACAAGTGTGACCATCTGGACCACATCCTAGCAACAATAAATCCAATTTCTTTGGTAATAATTCCTCATATTCAGAAGCGATCTTTTCATAAGCGGCCGACCCAGCATCCACTAGGGAGTCATCAATTGGGTACACCCTTGGTAGAACTGATAATTTGTCAAGAACAGCGTCCTTGAAGGCACAGTAGTTACTGTCTCTATGATCCAGTGGAACGATACGTTCATCGACGAAATATACATTCCATTTATCCCATTTGATCTTTGGTGCAATGGTAGGATCATCCACTAGACCCTTTTCAAGGACGTCAATCAAAGAACCACCACTGATTGCAACATTAAAGACTTGAGAATTCTTTAAGGAATCTTCCTGCTTTTGCAGGATGTATTCACCAAGCTTGTGAGGTAAATTTTCTTCGATAGAATATTTGTGGACTGAAACCATTGTTATTTAAAATTGTGAAACTTCTTCCCTGAAACGATATAATGTAGTAGTAATAGTATAAAAGGAATATGAAACCAAATAGCCTCTCGACAGTTAAATCAAGAATATATATATACTTGTAATTATTAAAATTTATAGTTAAGATGGGGATCCCTTTTGTTCTCCTTCCCCCTTCATAATTTTTCACTTCAAATTCCACTTTCACTCTTTCTCTCTCTGTTTTGGGTTTATTGTCGGTCCGTTTAAGGTTCCCTATGTAATGACAAATTTATAACCCCGTTGTTCATGAGATGGGGACAGTAGTGGAAAAGAAGATGGCTGAATTGTTGTTACATTTGTCAGATGTTTGTAATAATATACGCACACATATGCATATGTTCTGGACATTTAAATATTGTTTCTAATAGCAATCTTGAGCTTGATCTTGGTTTTTATGAGTTTTATTAGTGAAAAATGAGGATTACCCGCACATTCGCGAGAATTTTCTCCCTCTTTTCGATTTGTTTTGAATTGAGAAGAGCGATATTTGTTTACGCACACGAAGGAAGAAAGAAAGAGATGACTTTGAAGAAGGTCATAACGTGGTGGAACTGATCTATACATGGGTTTGGATATCTATAGGAGAAGTAATAAACCATACATATACGTAATATTAACTATAAAGGAGATTTCCCATTTAACTGGAAGTAAAAAAAAAGAGATAACGGAGATATTATAAGGTATGGCTGTGTGCAAAGTCTGTAAAGGTACGGAGTTTGTTCGAGACCATTCAAATGCAAACAATGATCTTGTTTGTAAGAACTGTGGTGTTGTGTCTGAAGATAACCCTATTGTGTCGGAGGTGACGTTTGGTGAGACGAGTGCTGGTGCTGCCGTGGTTCAAGGTTCGTTTATCAGTGCAGGTCAAAGTCATGCATCGTTTCTGTCCCATGGTGGGTCGAGTGCATTAGAATCTCGTGAAGCCACTTTGAATAATGCTAGAAGAAAACTAAGAGCAGTATCACATGCGCTACGGATCCCCGAGTATATTACGGACGCTGCGTTCCAATGGTATAAATTAGCGTTAGCTAATAATTTTGTTCAAGGTCGTAGATCTCAAAACGTGATAGCTACATGTTTATATGTTGCTTGTAGAAAGGAAAAGACACATCATATGTTAATTGATTTCTCATCACGGTTGCAAGTGAGTGTGTATTCGATTGGTGCTACGTTTTTGAAGATGGTGAAAAAATTACATATAACGAAATTACCGCTGGCGGATCCATCTTTATTTATACAACATTTTGCAGAAAAGTTGAATCTAGGTGATAAGATGATCAGGGTGGTGAAGGATGCAGTAAAGCTGTCACAACGGATGTCGGACGATTGGATGTTTGAAGGGAGACGTCCTGCGGGGATTGCAGGTGCATGTGTTCTATTGGCATGTCGTATGAATAATTTACGTCGTACTCATTCGGAGATCGTAGCGGTGTCGCATGTTGCAGAGAATACTATACAACAGAGATTGAATGAATTTAAGAAGAGCAAAGCGTCAAAGATGTCCATCAAGGAGTTTCGTGAGGATGCGTCGAAGGATTCGGAGTCGCGTCCCCCATCATTCCATAAGAATCGTCAGAATGAGAAAAGGATAAAGACGCAATTGGCCAAGACGAAAGCCAAAGAGACCAGTGAGGAAGCATTGAGTAGAAACCCTATCTTGTCACAGTTTATGACTGCTCAGGATCTGTCGTCGAAGGAAGTGTTGTTCTATTTGAAACAATTCACTCAGAAGAGAGAAAATACAACGAAACGAATCAAAGCCACACATGGTATTGATGATGAAGATATGTTGGTACAGGATGGAATGACAAGAAAAGTTACTCCCATGGAACATAATAGTAGTGATGATGAATCATCCAATGAATATGATGATATCTCTACATTAAACAATCGGAATCGTCGCAAGAGACGCATATTAGCAGAGGATGAGGATGTTGAAGTGAAAGAAGAAGAAGAAGATGATGATGAAGAAGAAGAAGAAGAAGAAGAAGAAACGGGTAGACGTAATTGGAGAACACGTGGACAAAAGAAATTGTTCGTAGCACAAGAAGAAGTGGAAAAGGAGAGGAGAGAACAGATCGAAGAGACTGAACTTCTTGTTGGTAGAAGTGGTCATTTCCAGGATGAAATTGATGGTTACTCATTAGAGACGGATCCTTACCGTCCACGTAATTTGCATCTGTTACCTACAACACAATCGATGTTAGACGGCGTAGCTGATGATCCCGACAACCTTGAAGATGTAGACGACGAAGAATTGAATGATGTGATCCTCGACGAAGACGCGGTCAGACTTAAAGAACGTATTTGGATTGGAATCAATGAGGATTATCTCTTAGAACAAGAAAATAAACGTTTGAAAGAGGAAGCCGATCAATTGGCAGGGAATACAAGTAATAAGAAGAGACGTACCGGTGCGGGTCGTAGTCGTAAACGTAATAATGCTCAAGATTTACCTGTTGTACATACTGCTGTTGGTGTTATGTCCCAATTAGAAGATAAATCTGGTTTACAAGCAGCGTTACGTGCGGCTGAAGAAAGTGGTGATTTAACTACAGCGGATAGTGTGAAGAATATGTTACAAAAGGCCAGTTTTTCACGTAAGATCAATTATGATGCCATAGATGGGTTATTTAACACATCTAAACCCAAATAATTATTTCAAAATATACGTATATATAGACTCAATAATACCAAAGAAGAAAAAATTACTAATTCAGAAGGATGAATAAAAGTTCCATTAATAGTTTGTACATATGTACATATATAAGTGTATATAAGTATTTAATTTGTTTTTGTTATTGTTTTATCTGCGGTACCATTAACAATATACTTACACATTTCTCCCATAGTATCACCAGACCGTATTCTAAAGTCTGCAATACGTAACAAATGGAAACCTGCAGTCATAGCCAAGAAGGCATTGACGGCGGCCAATAAGTTATTCTTTGGAGTAATCACAAACGACCAACGAGTCCAAATTGCAGCAGTAGCCAATAACGACAGATTTTGAGCACCAGAGACTTTCTCCACGGGCCTCCTTGCATCGGAGAGCCCTGCAACGACCAGCCCCCATTTCAAAGTAGGAGCCCAGAAATGGACAGTCCTTGGACCTGTCTCACTTTGCCAAAACCGTCTAAATGCAAACCGTACAGTCGACATAATTTCTTTTCTTTATATCTCTTTTGTGTATACTATTATATGTAGTTAGAAAACCGACTTTCTTTCAATTGAAATATCTAGTTTCTCGTTTCAAAAGGGGTATAAGTATATGGGATGTGATACACTGGTTATGTATATATAGATATATAGTTCTGTTGTGTTACCTGTTGAAATAACAAACCCCCCCATTGAGTTCTTCTATCGTTTACGCCAGGTCGCTTATTATATATAAATACTGAAATTATATCAGGTGTCTCTGAAATTCTTTAAATTGCTCGGCGAAGTGACAAATTTTGCGTTCCATTTTCTGTCTGCGGTTGTTTCTGTGTAATTGTGGGTGTACGTGTGACTCTTTTTCTTTTTTCCTTCGTGACACCCCTATCCTGCGGGTGTTTCTCAGAGAAAGACGAGATACGCCATGAATGCCATGGTTAGGGTTCGTGCCAAGTGACGGCGACCCACGTTAGGGTTTGCGGCTGCCACGACACGGTGCCAAGCAGCGCAATTTTGGTTTTTGGCTTTCGGTTCTTTCCATTGCAGCAAGACCAGTTTCCCACAACACACAACTATATCTATATCCATATATGATTGTGACAATGCTCTTTCTGAAACTGCGGTTGACCATCGATCAATGTACGTGCAGTCATGCAGTCTTATCCATACATACACATAAATACATTGCGTTGTGATCTGGTACGACTACCAGCTGCCTTGTACTTGAGACGACCGCGGGTAAAACCTCAGTTTACGAAATGAAGATGCAAATATATTTGAAGACACCAGCTAACTTAACTACAACCAAGTGACTTTCCATTCGGCTTTAGTTACTACTACATGGCACTTTGATATCCTGTCTCCTCAGCAACCGGTTTAGTAGACTTTACTTCCTCTATTCCAACCTGCCAGCGGCTAAATTTGCTTTCTGCCCTTCCTATTGGATAATCCACTGGTCGCAGTCGGTGGCAGGCGGTAGCGCGGCTCTCTCTCCTCTTTTGGGTTTTGCCGCTGTCGTGATGAGGCAGCTTATCACTGAGAACGGCACCACATCGCGATTGTGAAAAACGAAAAAAATTTATTTGACGAATTTTTTTAATCGTTCGCCGCCTTTCGTAAAAACCAAAGAAATCACATATAGGGGCATCCCGTAATTGACATTATGTCCACGCCAAATGGAAACTAAGATAATTTTGATTGAATTAAAGAGACCTCCCAACTCCTATACATACATATTATTTTGTCCTTTTATTTTTTAACCAAGTTAATACTGAGATATTTAACAAGTGACCGAATATTTACGATACACGGTGTACGTAACACACCATACATTATATTATCACTATTAGACTATACTTTTTTTTTTGGTTCCAACCCTTTATTTTAATAGAATGACTACTTACATGAAACTGGTGAAAGGTGCCACCAAGATTAAGATGGCCCCACCTAAACAGAAATATATTGATCCCATATTGTTAGGTACTTCACAACAACAAGATTTTTCCGAAATTGTACGAGCTTTGGGACCTCGTATTAGAGACTCTGCTTTCACCGTGGCTTATAAATCTTTAATAGTTGCTCATCTGATGATGCGTGAAGGTGATAGAGACGTTGCTATCAGATATTTCTCTAGAAATTCGGATTTCTTCGATGTTTCGAACGTTTCACGATCTGCAAGTGGTAGATTTGAAGGTCATGCAGTGGAGAAATACTGCATGTATTTAAAATTACGAGCAGATGAATTCGATGCAATTCATGTAGACTATGTTCGCGATGGCTATAGCTCGTTAAGAAGTATAATTACAGATCGTAATAACGATTCAATAGATAATGCATTGAATCACGTCGAATCCTTAGAGACTCAAATAACTGCATTGTTGAAAAATAGATATACTGTAGGAGATCTTTCAAATGATTTACTATTATTTGCGTTTAAATTATTAGTCTTTGATTTATTAGCATTATACAATGCATTGAATGAAGGTATTATCACTTTATTGGAATCATTCTTTGAATTATCACATGATAATGCAGAAAGAACACTGGACTTATATAAAAGATTTGTGGATTTAACAGAAAATGTGGTTCGTTATTTGAAGACAGGTAAAGCTGTTGGATTAAAGATTCCAGTAATTAAACATATTACTACTAAATTGGTTAGATCATTAGAAGAACATTTAAGAGAAGATAATATTACACATAATACTTTTAATGACGAAAATGTAACAACAAGTACAACTACAAATAATAATAATAATAATAACAATAATGGAGATATGTCTCCAACAAAGGGATTGGCTCAAAGAAGACTGGATGAAATCAGGGAACAGAAGAGACAATTACAAGAACAACTAGCACATCCACAATTGCTGATTAATGCAACTGGTAATACCCCGATGATGCTGCATCAGGCGGCCACTTTGCCAGCATTGCCATCAATGAATATAGCTGAGCAGCAACAGCAACTACAACAGCAACAACTACAACAGCAGCAACAACAGCAACAACTACAATTGCAACAACAGCAACAACTACAATTGCAACAACAGCAACAACAGCCGGTACCTATGATGCCTCAAGCAACTTCAAACAACCCGTTTATGAATCAAGTACAACCACTAATGCAACAACAACAACAACCACAGCTTCCATTACAAGCACCACAACAAATGACTGGTCAAATTCAACCAGAACACATGGGGCAAGCAGCTTTACAATATTCAAATACGACTCCTATGCTGATGGGACAGAATGGAATTACAACTATTAATTTACCTCAACAGACACATGTAACATTACCTCAACAAAGCTCACTACCTCAACAACAACAAGGTGGTAACAAGAACCCATTTTCAATGAATAACATCAATGACATGCAACAACCACAACCAGAACAAAATAATCCATTCTCTCAAAGAAACTACAACGAACAGACCTCAGTGACAAACAATGCTGCTACTACTGTTGCTGCCACCAATGCTATGAACAATAACCCATTCTCATTACAACCTCAGGACCATACATTACAAACTGCCATGACTGCACCTGTATCACTTCATCAAACGGGATCGCAATTTACCCAGCAGTTTAGCCCAGAACAACAGCAACCGTTTGCCCAACAATCGTTCATGCAACCACAACAACTACAGCAACAGCAACCACTCATGCAACAACAACCACAACAACAAGAGTTCAGCCTTATCGACTTCTAACGATCTGAACATTGCACATCAATGGGTATAATATACCAATCATAATTATAATATTAATTTCATATATACACAATTTCAATATACTAAATAATTACTCTCTTCTTGTAATATTAATGAACATCTTTGACACTATTCCGCTCGGCCGTCTATCCGCATGATGACTGAAATTTTTGGGGTTTAAAGCCGACCGAACGAATGGAGGGGAAAACGAACAAAGACAGAATAATTGACAGATGAAAAGATGAAAAATATATATATTTTTACCCCAAAGAGTCACCATCTTTCATATATAAGTAGACAACTGGGTACAAAGGAGAATTCAAATCGGAACAGTTGACTTCTTATGTCTTCCGTCATTATTATTTATCGTTAACTTTTGGAAGAAAAGATCGAAATTGCTATAAATGATGAACTCCGATTGTAATACGAACGTGCTAAGTAAACTAGCAGATAAGACACCATTATTCCATTTACAAAATGATGTGAATAGATCAGCTGGCACTATTCGTCAAATTAAAGACATACAATATGCTAATCACTTTCCAGAAAATTTACTTGGTCCCAGTTCTTCTTCTTCTTTCGCTTTACAAAACAATGTAATAGTGGGGAGTACGTTACAAGATATACCTTTGGACCAGTCACAGTGGGGAGATGAGTTCCTTTATGAACAGACATCTTTCTCAAATGGAGGAGTTCCCAACCTAACTCAACTGTCTTCACAACCTCCAACTAATCAACAACAACATTTGGAAATAAATTCTATGAGGTTCGGAGATAATAACGTTTCCGCGGCATCAGCGCTTCGTCCAGCCGCACCTCGAAATTATACTACTAGTACGACAACTAATCTAAAATATCAAACTTATGATTATTATAATATCGAAGATGAGTTACAACAACAACAGAAACAGATGCAAATGGAGCCTCGAAGTATGACATATCCTTCAGGTGCTTTGCAAGATGAGTTTGATGAATTGGAGAAAGAATTGGCAGACTTAGATTTGGATTCAGTCATGACCACAACAACTCCAGAGTCCCTACAGAATAATCTTCTTAACGAAAGACAACTCTTTAGAGAAACAGCAACTGAGTTATATACCTTAACTTCTGACTGTGCTGGATCTTTTTCTCAAGAAGCACAATCGAAGATAGTTAACTCAAAATTTATGAACATGATGAAATTAATAAGTAGTGGGTCTGTAAATTTAAACAATACTCAAACAGAATTATGTTCAATGACAACTAATGAGCCAATGGGTAACAAATATATAAATATTTCCGAAAATATATATAATTGATTTGAATGCATATTTATCTTATAAAAAAATGACGGTGATGTTAAGATACGTCGTCTAGATATATTTAATCCATAACTCGATAAATAATAATTATTAAATCGATTCTTAGCCGTTTAAAAATCCTTCATCTCTACATTTCGGCGAATCGACTCTTGATTATTGTCCTTTATATCGCCAATAAACTGTAATTTATTTCCTTGACTCTTTTGAGCGGTTTTAAACTGCTTCATTGTACTATTGCTAGATTGGTTTGAATAACCTCTTTCATTAGGAGATGCAACTTTCTTACTGATATTTTCATTCTCATACTCTTCATTTTCATCGATTCCAAGAAGACCAGATCTTACAGTATCGACAAAGCTCCATAAGGATTTTGATAGACTTGGATTTGCAGAAGATGAGGTATCTTCCGATACAGTGTTTGTTGGGTTAAATACATTAGCACCACGGAATCTATCTAATTTTTCTGGAGAATCATTATCTGTTTCACTATCCCAATTCAATGATTTTTCTAATTCATTCTGTAATATTTGATCAAACTGGTTGAACATGGCGAACGGTTTATTCCATGTCGATTCCTCTTCTTGTTCTGAAGGCTGAGGTTCTGCTATACTTTCTGGTGAAATAGGTATTTCTTTTGTCTTATTGATGGATGGAGTTCCATTTTTTTTTGGTCTTAATGTTCTTGTACCACGACGATATAAGCCATTTATATTATCTTTTTCCAATTTTGGAGATGTAGGATTTGTCGTATTACTGGGAATAGGTTGTTGGACGCTCGACGAATCGATTGGTGGTTTTTGTATTTGTGGTACATTTACTGGACTCGAAATGGTACTACCTGCAACATTGACATTTTCGCTTAGGTGTTTTGTAACTTGTGTTTTCAGTTGTTGTAATTCCTTAGCATGCTGGTCGTACATTTTCTGCTGTTGACTTAATTGTTTCCTTAAATCTTCAATTTTTTGTTTACTTTCAAATAAATCCATTTCTTTACTAGCCAGGCTCTTCAATAAGGTGTTGATATCTGTAGTATCCAAATTTGTAGAACTTGACGTCAAGGAACTACTTCTAGAATGAACTGAAAGTTGAACATGTTCAGGATCTATTATATTCGAATTACCGATACTGTACTTTCTGGCCGGAACATCATCACTTGGTTTTAAAATGTTATCCTCCAATACACCTGACTTGTTAATAAAATTTTCTGGAGATATTGGTGCCATAACTGGTTGTATAAGCGATCTTCGTTTGTTCAACATGACGCTTCTCCTCTTTGGGATGACACTTCTTGTAACAGGAACAGTCTCTAAAGGCCCTGTCGTAGGTATTTGTTCAGGTACTACATCTTTATTTGCTATCAATTTCAAATCTAGTTCTTTGTCAGGTATTGATCCAGAGTTCTTTAATGGATGATCAACAATTCCAGTTGGGGTTTTCTGGCGTTGCAAGTTAAACTTAGAAGTATTGTTTATTATCGGTGACTTGGGACTAGATAAGACAGAGTCAACCTTCGGGAGATCATCATCTTGATGGCTATTTGATACGGATATCTGTGTGCTTGTATCGATATTTAACTTTTTATCAGTCTCGTCTATAAACTCATCAAATTGATTCATTGCACACTCTCTTTCTTATAATGGCTGCTTATGCACTTTAAAATTCGTAATGGATTTCTAATAATAGAATATCTTAATATAAAAGGAAAGTTAAATAGAGTAACCGTCGTAATAACAATAGATTCAACCCTAATAATTCTTTAGTATTGATCAATTCATACTACCACATTACTACTAGAACGCAGCGACATTATTATACATCAAACCTCTTAACCTTTTTCTTCGCGTCAGCCAATTTGGCCTATTTTTTTTTTTGTTTCGTTAACTATAAGGGAACCTTAATGTATTCTACCAATACATCCTGATGTAGTTAAATTTACAGTGCTTTACAAGTGGGAAACATTGAGATGTTGATAGCACTTTTATAACCTGATTTTAAAAGAAATTGAACGGACTGCTTTGCCATTGGTGCTCATCAGATGTTAATAGCATGAAATTAGGGATAGGCGTCATTTCTTGTTGGAGGTCTGCAACTTGGCAGGTGTCATTAGAATCCATAATAATTTCCTGATAAGGTTCTATACCGGAAATATCGTACTGAGTATTCCCATTTAACTCACTTGTTAGTATGATCTCAGGGTGTATATCACAGTCAACATTGTTTGCATCCTTGAATTCTTCATATAACCCTTGCGGAACCAAATCAAATTTACATTTAACATCTCTTGACACCGGAGGAACAGAATCTAATTTTCGTTTTAATGTATTTGGGATATTTATTTGACTTTGTTTATTTATGCCATTTAACAACTGAAGATACTCATCTTCTTCAATCGCTTCAACGTTTTCATTAAGAATTCCCATGCTTTTCCTGTTTATATATGAGATTTTGTATCTATCACAAAAGTTACTTATAGACACAATCTCCAAACCACTAGTAGTACTCATTCTATAAGTTTCATGTTGTTCTATAAGTAGTTCTAAAAATTAATTTTAAAAGTGGTAAAAAGTTGTTATAAGATTAGCCGCTTACCCTTTTCGGGGTCATCTTTTGTTTTCGCCCTCTTGCCACTTCCCTTTGATCCCCACCATCAGAAGTATAAATATAACTCAAGGAATGTTCACAAACGAATAAAACATATCTTCTTTGTTAAATGATTCTCAAAAGCTTACCATCAACACAATAGCTGTCTAATTTATTTTATTCCCCACTATTTAATGCACCATCAATATAAATCCCTTATCTGTACTCCAAAAATCAGATGGGCCTCACTTTTAATCTTTGGAGGAATGACTGCAAGAAAGTATGTTCCATCTCTAAAGACAAAAGTTAAACATATACATCTAAGGGATGAAGATATTTTATTTATCATTGGTTTATCATTCATTTAATTCATTGGGATCGTTTATAAGTATATAATGTCATATAATTATATTTATATTTCAATGATAATAATAATATTTATTAATAGTCACTACTGCAAGATTTACCCTTATTATCCGTTCTTTCAATCCCTCGGAAGTGAATAGAACAAAACGTTTTTATTACGTTTATAATCTATATCTAACTTGAAGATACTATCTACACACCAATCCCAATTAACCACCAATATACCTTCTTCGGAATGTTGTGGGTCAGCCTCCATAACTGAATCTCTAAATTTTTTCATTTGTGAAGGTTTTGAAGCAACCAACACATACTTTGGGGGCCTGATATAAGTTCCGTTTTCTAGTTTAACTTTTCTCAAGCTCCCATTTTTAGAATCATCTTTGTGATTTATCTCAAAGTTTTGGAAACTTTTAATTGAATTATTATCCAAAATGTTGATATTTTGAATACCGTGCTCTTTCAAAATTGAAGATATCACTGCGGGACCACCTGAGATATCACGAACTATATTAATACTATAGAGTCCCGCTCTTTCGAACATCTTTTTTGGTTTATTTGCTCTGTCTAGTAATTCTCTCGAAATATCTGGTACTATATAATTATCAATATCGATGAACTGATCCCAATCAAATGGTAACTCTGCATTAACCTTCTTTAATAGACCGAAAATAAAGTCAGGCGTTACTGCATATCGAAGGTTCGGGAAACTTAATGCTTTAAGAAACTTAGATGTTCTTAATCTTTTTGGTGCAACGATACAGTTGACTAAATTTTCATTATCGCTATAATCATCTGAGAATAATGAGATACCCAGTATACTTAAAATTACCTCATCTAACAACGATAAATGGTTTAAGTCACAACCTGTACCAACAGCATATATATTGAATATATGACGTCTGACTGTTTTTCCATTATCTTCAATGTAATAATCACATCTCTCGAGCCTATCCTTAGCCTCATTTGTCATCTCTTTTCTTTCTTTAATCATAGCCTTTTCTTGGGGTAACATGGCCACCTTCCCATTTTTACCCTTTTTATGCTTTTGATATTCATTTAATGATTCCATATCACTATGCAAACGCTTAGCTGCTTGTGCAGCAGCTGCTCGTCTGCTGCCCCCACTGCCCATCAATTCAGACGACTCCCTTTGTAAAATAGGCGACAAATTAGATGACTGGCGTGATGCACCTAATACACTAATCGTCTTGGATAAGGTTGTCACTTTATTGTGCAAATCATTTTGTTTACTGCGATCAAAAGCCATAGTGGTACTACCTTGACTTGAGATTTTTGAACTTTTATCATTTTTTTTATCTTCATCAGAAGAAAGCTCCTTAAATAGATCAACTGCTTTGCTGTATTTAAGAGCCTTCTCCTTTTGTTTAATATTCGACGCATCAAGAGTTCGTTTCCCAATTAATGAAGTGTCAATTATATCACTAGCCTCAAAAAATGTTTCATTTGTGGAATTCATTGTATCATTTTTTGTTAGTTTGGTTCCTGATCCCTTTTGTGGAGGTTTATTGTTATCTTTCTCTATTTCAAATTTAGTACTAGACCCTGATAATTCCTTTAAATGTTCAGTTTCTTTTTTATTAGGACGTAGCTCCTCTGGTGGTTCTTGCGTCTGCAAAAAAGATTCATCATCAATTTCAGTATTGCTCGACTCTGAAAATGTCATCTGTCCTAGATTTAACAAAATGTCATTTTTAATCTTATCATATTCATGAAATTCTCCTTTATTTGGATCAACATTGGAATTCTGTTTATAACATTCCTCCAACCATAGATGATTTACCACTATACAATGACCCCATTTCTTAGCTGTAATAAATTTTTTACCCATGGGAAGTTGTGAGATCAAATGTGTGTTTTTGTTCGAAAGTTGTGTAGTACTTATACCACCTAATAAATTGACTAACCTTTGAATATACGTTCGTTGTTGACCAAAATAATTTGTAAATGTCATTATACAAGAATTCTTATTGAATACTTTTGATGGGAAAGGGGCAAATATTATTTTCCCAGTCTTATAATTACTTGGAATAAACTCATTTTGCGACCACATAGTGAATAACCATATCAAATTACCAACATATTTCCCTATAATCTTATGAGATGCACTAGATGACGTTAATAAATCATATTCTTTTGACTTGGTGGTATATCCAAGAAAACAATCAAAGGAATAAGAATGATGTAAGACATCCGAATCATTTAATTGATGATATATTTCGCCACCATAATTTTCTATAATTTGTTGTACAATCACATATGCATTTGATGACATCGATAGATCCATTCCAATTAAGAATTTCTTATTTTTTAAAAAGGTCTTATTCTTATTAAGATCCTCAAAAGTCATCGCACTAACACGATCCCAAACATCGGAAATTTTATCTTGATTGGTCAAAATATCTTCCATATCTATTCTGTGTTCATCACATGGAACGTTTTTAAGTTTTTTAAAACATTCAATTAGCCATGTTGGATATACAAACGCCATAGTAGAAGAAGCAGGTAATTTCTGGACAACAACAGAGACAAATTTATCTTCAGAATCGTTAGCAATTACATGTGTAGTCCTAGTGCTAATAGACTCTACATAAGTACCACCCAATACCTGGACCAACTCTGAATAGAAAAGACGTTCAGCGGGACCTCTACAACATTCCTGAGAGATAAATACTTGAGCATCTTTCAAAACATGCCTACGATCTGGTGAATATAGATTAGTTTTGATATGTCTCTTATTCTTAATGGACAGTGATAACCATCCTGTTGTCACTACTGGAATTAAAAAGTCAAACGCGGCTACATGGTAAAATGAAAAATTCTCCGTTTCACTAATAATGAAATGTATATTTTTAGTTCCATATTCCCTTACAAACCAATCCCTAGCATTATTTGTTTTGATATTAATATTAATATCGTGAAGATAAACATTTTTAGCACCATTTTCTCTCAACTGTTGGATCGATGACTCGGCAGCGGCAGAATATAACTTTCCACTACTGATAATCAGAAAATTCAGCTCATCAAAAATACCAGCCATATTATACTACACACTGTAATCTATCCTAACTGGCCTAATATCAGAAAGAAAGAAAGAGGTACAATAGTTTTACTTATTACCAATAATCTATCTATTTATCTTTAATACCAGTAGTATTTTCTTTTGTTTTCCTTTGTTTACATCTTTAATATTTTTCAGTTCTAACGCGACCGCAAACCAAAAGGCGATGATGATAGCGTGCTTTTTTCCCTTCTTTTAGGATTTCAACTTTCGCACTAAACGCGTTGCCGTTGAGGGCTGAGATTAGGGGAGAGTTGGGCGGCAATTCTCTTGATTAAGTACTAGGAAACAGTATAAAAGTTCTAGTTGCCAGTGTTATAACTCAAAATGCAAGACAGATATAACAGTTACACCATGCGAGGATCGATTAAGTATATAAATTATTACCTTTTCCATGGAGATCACTAGAAAATATAAATTGAGACGCAACTGTCTTATTGGTTGCATGCAAGATACTATTGTAATTGATGTTAATAACTCTAGTCTAACTCAGATGCTCGAACAACTTATAAACAACAACAGTGTTGATTCAGACACTAGAAATAAAGAAATAATGGAATTAATTCAGAATGAATTTATTATATTACTAGATATTTTATCTAAAGAACTCACACAAGAACATAATATTAAGATCAACATAAGTTTATTTAGTAGGGGTGTTCCACTCTGGTACTGGAACAGTATTTTAAACAAAATATTATTTCAAAACTTTGTACCTCTATTTAATCATTGCAATTTTATCATAACATTACAATCAAATATAGACAGACAATATTATCAGGATAACAGTTCAATGTTGAACCATTTTCAAACAGCTCTTGCCAGTTCAAATGTACCACAGGAGGATGACGAACAAAATGAATTATTAATAAAGCTTGCTTTACTGAATATTTGTAACGAAAATAGTTTAACAGATGAGGATATTGAACTAGTAATAACAAACTACCATTCTTTAGAAGAAATAATAAATGATTATTAAGATATATATTTATAGCTGAATATTGGGTATAAAGAATTATAAAAAATTGAAAATTGTTTTGGTCGCGAAAGAAGAAAATATCTTTAATGAATATGTGTTTTTGAAAATTTTGTTGTGATGCAAGTTGTTGTTCTTTTTGAATAGTATACATAGGATGATGTTGTTGTTTTCTTCTTGAAATTAAATTTTCTTCCTCCTTCGATTATTAAATCTCTTTTTTATTCATCTAGGTTATTGTTTTAATGCAGATTTGATAAAATTTAGAGCAAAAATTTCAAATTATTGACTTTAGAGATTAGTAATCAGAAAGGAAATTCAACATTGATTCGTCACTATCAACCTTTTTGGATTCTCCAAATGCTAATTTTGTTGGGTTTGATTTTGTAAGTAAAAATTTTGTCTTATGATCGTTTAATTTTTGAGAACATGGTGAAAGTAATGTATCAGTTGGTGATGCAAATTTATCTCTTAGTTTTAATTGGATGTTTTTTTGAGTTGCCGTCCCCTTTGAAGGCCATTGTCCCAAATTATTTTTTGATTTAAATACAGATCTATGTAGGGATCCAGATGTAAAACTTTTCCTTTTAAAATTAATCATATCTGCTTTATTAGTTCCATTGTTACCGTTAACGCTACCCTTACGTGGGGATACTTTACTTTTGAACTCATCTCTTTGGAATTTTGTAGTATTATTTGACCCATTATGTTCAGTTTTTATATCAACCATTGTAACTACTGTGGTTTCTTTAGAAAATACTGCTGAAGATGAAGATTGTGGATAAGTTGGCATTCTTAAGGAAATTTAAATAAATCAAAAAGGAGAGAATTAGTGTATATATCTATCTGTGATGACAGAATTTTAAAAAAGTACCTAAGTTTGACCTAATTTTTGATATAAATTTATTAAGGCTCTTTTATCTACAAGAAAGAAAGAAAAGTGAACTCCATCCAAATATAATTGTGAAACATGTAAAAAAGATTTTATTCTATATATCTATCTCCAATTTACACCGTTGCAAGAACACGAAACCTTTCCAAAAATACTTTGTATCGGAATGCAGATCGTTTCTCATACTAATCCTGTTGTATGTTTTTTTTTTTATTAGGTTACCTCATGCATTTTACTTTTGTGAAACTTTTTTCTTTTCTCATTAAGTCTTAAAGAAGGAATGATTGATTTTGTTTACAAATTACCTGTTTAGGAATAGTAATGAGACAAAACGATGAAAGCATAAACCCTAATCACGTGTAAAACCCTGTACTTTTTTATTAAACCCTAGGGTTCATTTTCTTTAAATTTCGAATTTTTGAATTTTCTTTTTTTTTGCTCGCATTGTCCCTTTACAGGAAGGTATAGCCAATTTAATTTTATGTTTTTGTTTTTTTAATAACCCATTTATTTATACATCACCACTAGCTCCATAAACAACAGTGAAAACCACACAGTATATTAGGCTGTAGGTTATTACATTCCATGTACATATAGAATTTATTCCATCACATATATTTATTGAAACTCCCATTCCAATATAACTCTACTGTCACTGCTTTATCAAATTTTGCTCAAGAAAGTCCACAATTTCTTTTATTCATTAGAATATATACTACATCCGATAATCAACAAGGATACACATTCAAATGTTGTTCACACGACATAGAAGAAGTACTTTATTTCTATCGATAATCCTTTGGGTCATTCAGGCGAACCTATGCTTAGGTTCTTCTTCCAATCCGTATGGAACATGGCCTGAAATTAGTATACAGGAACAAAATGCAATAAGATCCGAAAGAGACATTCAGAATAATATTACAATCGACCAATTACCATATGTAGGGGTTAATCTACAGTCAGTATTATTTAATAACCAGACTACTCAGGAGGTGTCGCAGATTGACACTACAACAAGTTTGAACGGAACTGATACCCTTAATAATTTCTCATCCTTGTTAAACCAAGGCATTGGCAGTTTTATATTAGACGTTGAAAATAAAAACCGTACATGGTACATATTGGATAGTGATATCCAAGTTAAAGATTTTCTTTCAACGTTGGATAGTTTTTTGGATCAGAGTAATAATAATTTATCTGCTAATATAATATTGTTTATGTTAAGAGTCCATGTGAATGTATCAGATAATGACGCTACCGTTACCGAAGACGATAAAACCATAATACAGGGAATTTTGAACCATACCACTTTAAATTCAACAATAAGAAAAGATGTTTCATTGGAATTTGATGAAAGTGAGAAGAAAAAGGGTAATAGTAGTGATACTCAACCTGCCAATTTAAATTTAACAGTATTAATAGAACAAAACTTAAACACGAAATATATTTATAAACCATCAGATCTTTTAGCAGACAATAATCTAACAGCATTATCAAGTATTAGCACTATATCTTCATCAGCAGTGCCATTACAATGGCCAACATTAGAACAATTCTTATACGCCAAACTAAATAGAATAGTCATTACAGAATTAAGCACAATGTTGAACAATAGCATGAATCCGTATGTATTTCCGAACACTATATTACATTTGGATAAATATAATTCGACCTTAGGATGCCCAACGAACACAGAAGAATTCAGGAATATAAGTTCCATTCAATGGAGACTTCTAGAGGCCCCTTTTGATTATAATGGCATTCAACATTATATGCATTGTGGTCTTTCCCCAATAATAACTAATAGTTTCAGCATTTTAAATATTACAACGATTACACCTTTGATAAATAGAGGCATAATATGGTCATGGAAGAAAAATGAACCAAGATTATCCAATTCTAGATTACTCATGGGTAAGGATTCCATGCAAGCATATAATTGTGCCATGTTAAAATTTACTGCATCAAATGGATCAGCTTATTTCCAAGTTGATAATTGTTATTCTACTCGAACAATGGTTTGTAAGAATAATGTTGACCCATTCACGTGGACATTATCAGAGGATAGGCATAAATATTTCACATATTATAACGACGATGACGATATGTTTTGTCCGGAGAATTATACATTTTCATTGCCAATCACTCAATTGGAACAACGGTCATTGGATCTTTATCTAGATAGTCTTGATACACCAAGTTTCAATCTATGGATAAATTTAAATTCAATTGCAGTGAGTAACTGTTGGTTAATTGGCGATAAAAGTTACATGTGTCCATATACCCGTTCGGTGTCAAAAAGAAATTTTGTGTCAATGTTAGTACCTGTAGTGGTCATCGCAGCTGCATTATTAGTCTGTGTCCTGTATTTGAGTTTGTTAGGTGTCCCTATTCATGACAATCGTAAGAATTGGAGAAAAGTTGTCAACAAGATCTCAAAATCAGAAATGGAAGGTGTACCATCGTAATATATACCAAAGCTTAAGAAAGGAGAGGATTGGAAGGAGAACCCATCCTCTTATTTTACCATTTGCATCAGTCTCCATCGCATTATATGTATATATATTTATACCCATATGAGAATATAGTTATATTTTTATTGTATTAAGAAAGAATATATAAAATAACAATTGTAACGTTAGCAAAAGAAAAGAAAAGCACAGATGTCTCATGACATTTATCAAGATAACTTTTTGAGAACACGTCTAGTTAACCTTCTTCTCTTGAATGCAGAATCTACTAAAAATTCCTTATCTAGAGACAAGTCTAAATTTCTATCTGAGGCCCAATCTCCAATATTATTATCGATTTCCCATTTACTATTTGGATCAAATAACCATTGGTCAGGTGCCTGCACCTGAGACAAATCCTTCACACCGGGAGGAGGAGTTTGAGCTCTTCTGTATTCGTCTGTGAGATTGAATAAAGATGTTGAATAAATGAAGAATTTCCATGTGGTGGGAATTAATCCTTGTCGATATATTTCGAAGATCTCCACATAACGGGCTGAGGGTTGTTGATCTAATATCACGTCATATTTCATCACTGACGTCGACGACTCTTCCTGTTTCTGTTTTTGTTTAACCTGTGAATGTGACGAACATAACTGTTTCAAACGCGGTAATAATTTCGGATGTGTCATTATGGCTCCTATCCACATTGTACCGCTACATAGTAGACTCCAATTTATGAAAGGTGATAGAGCCTTGAATGCAATACAAGAAAACAATAACCCTACTACCAATAATGTTGTAGTCCTTTCATCCTTGAACGCTGCAGTCTCATTCAAGAAATGTGAAAATGTATCCATCATATGTAATTGACTTGTAGTCAAGTTTTGGAAATCTCTTAGATTGAGGACTACTTGCATTCCATGTGTGATCTCCTGTGGAGTTGTATTTGAGTCATTACCGTTGGTATTATACGATGGATCGTTTTTAAACAAGTCGTTAAATAATGATTTACCTATTTTACCTCTGTGGGATTGTCTAGAGTGAGTACCTTCTGAATATTTCGTGTTGTATTGTTTAACGATTACCCCTAGGGATAAATATAGTAATGGTAACAATATTAGGTACATTGGATTATAACATATTTTTGTGAACAATAATAATATGAGGATCATTTGAGAGGGTTGTCTCCAAGTCAATACTCGTACTATAGTGTCTTGGAACTCAAAAACATTTTCCATTTTCTCCGACAATTTATGTACATTTGACGCTAATAACGCTACAGATATCTGTTGGTCCACTACATCAGGTAAAATATGTTCTCTTGCAGGCAAAGGCTCCGGCACCAATCTACTAATTAATTTATCAAGGAACAAAGCAACGAATGGTTTCTCACCAGCGGATTTCAAATTTATAGCTGTCTTATCTATATAATGTTGTAATTCTTCCATGGCCAAAAAATCAGCGTCTGCATCATCATCATCGTCTTCTCCTGGTTGTTGTTGTTGTTGATTTTTCAATTTAGTCAAAGAGACATTAACTAACGAGCTCGCCATCTTTGTCAGCAACTCTTTATTCCATACAGACTTGTTACTGTTACTATTCTCTTCGATATCGTCATCAACCATTGAAGTTTCATCGTTCGCAGAATCGATATCCTTAAAAGCAGCTAATAACTCTTCAGCATTAAGCATAGAATCTAATAATTCGATGTATTTCAACCTAAAGTATTCCTTCATCTATGAGTATATGTACCTATACCTAATAGTTATGTAGTCTACGTTGAAGTAAATTAACACAAGATTAGTTTGTAATGATGCTCTCCCCTTCTTCTTCTTCTCCTTGCCTGTAACGTTTTTATAAATTTAATGGCAGTCACTGAAAGGCATCGCACTCAGTTCGCTCTCTCTGCAGGGTAACCCGCTCTCGCCTCCCCCCACACACACGTACGCCCTAACTGCACAGGGCACATGGCAGAGTCCCCCCTTACATATATACACACGCCCTGATTGGGAACACGATAGAACCCTCCAACGTCCACCAACTTACGCATTCCTCATTCTAAAAGTTGATAGTTGGATGGTGGGGGTCAGTGGTCTGGTTCACCTATTGATCTGCGTTCTGCGGTACTTTCTGAGCGACGCGTCCCGCTTTTACCTCAAATTCGTTTTTATATCTGGTTTTACGCGTTACACACCCGTGCACCGCAGCCACGACGCCGGGATTTTCCCATTCGAGGCAACGAAATCCGTGAAAATTATTTTTTCTTTATATAAAGATAAGCATAACCAGCTGAAAGGAGACAGATGGCATACACTCGAGGTATATATATGTTTGTGTATTACATCAGGCGTAGTTGGAAAGTCGAAACTGACCTCTGTGTGCGTGTGTGTTATTCAGATAGTTGACCAGCAAAGAAACTGGGAAGGTTGCACCTCATATAGACATCGATATATCAAGTCCTAATTCGAGGCGTTGCAATACGGATATGTTTGCTACTCGTCTCACTAATATGGTGACATCAACAGTTACCAGCACAGGCATTACAGATCCTGCTACCACTTCATCACGATCATACCGTTACTACAAGAGAGATGATGATGATTCGTCGTCGTCTACAAGCAGCTCGAAAGATGCAAAATGTACAGGCACGAAAGCTCAATGTCAGAAGCCTGTGGATCACGATATGTCTGTGACCATCGGTGTGGCAGTGGCAGTGCCTGTCGTGGTGGTGATAGTATTTCTAGGGGTGATCCTCTATTTTGTTTATCGTCGTGGGAAGAAAGAAGCTCTCGAGGATAATGATCCGGATTTCGACGGTGATGAATATTTGCCAGGACATTATCCTGCACATTCTCAGTATGATAATCATATGGAAACAAAACAGGTATTTCACGAACAATATAACCAGACACAGTTTCAACCACAAAGTATAAACCCTTTCAATGATAACAATACTGCCAATTATAGTATTAATAATAATAATTACAATGATAATAATAATAATAATAATAATATTCAACCTTGGGAAGTCAATCCGTTCCATATCCCTGGAAGTGGCTCTGATATTCATTCGTTGAGAACATTCGCTAAGGAGATTAAAATGGATGGCGACCGTGGTTATAACTTGGCGTCGATGTCACGTCATGCGTCTCAATCGTCGTTAGATTTACTCTCATCAGCGACAAATAATACATCGCCATTAGAAAAAGAAGAAAGGATTTATTCTACACAACCATTGCCTCACGAAGAAGATGGAAATGAAGAACAGGAACGTTCAGTTTCCTTATCAGAACCTCAACTTCAACCTGAACCTATACCACTACAGGTTGCACGATTCGATGACGATGGGGAACCAATATCCCCAGCAGAAGAAGAGAATATACGTCGTATGAGAAGTATTTATAAAGTGTATTTAGATAGGAATGACACAATTATACGACAATCTCCAGAGAAATCAGTGACGATGGAACAGGACCCTGTAATGACAACAATGAATGATCCTCATATAGATGTGCAACAACAACACCTGGCTGTAATACAACAACAGCAGCAAGTTCCACAGGAAGACGAAGACCCAGCCAATAATATGAATGGCTTCAAAGATAACAGTACTAATAGTCGGGCCACGCAGTATCGAGTTGCATCATCGATTTACTCCGAATTACCAAATAAACCAGCTGATGTACAGTATCAACAACAACCATTACCTCAATATCCTCAATACATACCTCAACAGCAATACCCTCAGCAACAGATGCAATATTCTCAACAAGAAATGCAGTACATGCCTCAGCAATCATATATTCTACAACAACGTAACCATCCACAAACTTTGGAAAGTATAGGGGAATTGCCTCCACCTGCAAGATTAGCGTATAGTACTTCGTCACATTCATTAACTTCGTTCCGTCAACCTTCAAAACAAACTTTTGCATTACAGACTGCAAGGTTAAACGGGACAGCGTTAAACCCAATGGATCATCCAGAAATGTTTTATTCTCAATCTGATGAGCCATATATGTCCCAGCCACAACAACAACAATATGCTAACGATTCGCAAAGTATAGCCACGAATAATACTACCGGTACAACGTCATACATTCATCCTTACCAGTTACGTAATAGTATAGTGATGACAAACCCATCTGAATTACAATCATCATCTCGTTCCTATAGACCTGCAGGGTCTTTCAGAAAATTTAATGATCCTATGACTAATAATAATTCTAGAAATAATAGTCTTGTTACTTCAAATAATGCATACCAACAATATGTTCAATCGAGAGTAAGTGGGATTCTAGAGGAATCGGACGTTTTACAGCCTCCAAGTATCCCTGGTATTTTACCACACAGTGGTTCGAGTGAAGACTTGCGTAAACAACTAGGTTCTTCGCATAACTTTAATGTATCTATGTAGGCCAAATATAAAATATTTAGAAATGAACAATACACTTATATCATTATAATTATTAGGTATATTATATATGTACTTATGCCAAATCAAAATCATCAATGGCGTTTCTATATTTCATTACAGTACGCTTGATCTTTGAATTATCAACCCAGGTAACATAATCTTCCATGTTACGTGTAACCATATATGCAGGGTCATTGATTAAATGTGGGCCAACTCTAATATGACCTTGTTCAATATATTTAACTGCATCGGCGATCGTCTCCGCCATCTTTAATCTTTGTAATATAACAGATAAACGACGTCTGCACATTGCACTTACTGTAACTTTATTCTCTAAATCAGATATTTTAGATTTCGTTGATAATATCCCCATATTGTATAATTTCTCTAACAACAGTTTTTCTTGTTTATGACGAAATGCATCAGTTGGAGGTAATAATGATAATTTATGAGCAAGTTTACGTATATCACCACAGAGACGATTATATTTATGATAATCTTCTCTATTCTGAATGTGATATGTACCCATTACCTGGGTATCTCTATGGTTTTGATCCTGTTTCCAATCGTAGAAATCGACTTTCTTAAGTAATTTGGATTCATGATGTTTAAGTTTACGAGCCATTATGTCTGTATTTGTTTGTATGTATGGATTATTGTTATGTTCTCCTATCAGACGTTTTTATTCTCAACCTCTGTATATCTTATAGTAATGTGTTCAACGTCCACTAATTAACGATGAGGCACTTCTTCTTGTGTCGTTGTCTGTGCAGGTCAGAGTTGTATTTGGAAACCAGTGTCTGTTACCTTTTGGGCTCATCGATGACTTGAAATTTTTTTTTTCTTGAAAAATTTCAGTTTGAAAAAGTGTTACCCTCTATTCACGGTTGTGTTTTTTGAATTTTTGGCTTTGCTAGAATAGTCCTCCATATCTCCGTAACAAATAGATTTAAAACAGCATTCATAAGAACTACAACCCCATACTGCTGTAATTCATTGAAACACAATTACAACACACCTATACGTATATACACACGCATCTACACATAATGTCATTAGTGAACAAGAGGTTGTTCTCGATGACTTCAAGAGTTCGCTCTCATGTCGGAGCAGCCGTTATATATTCGAATCCTGAAACCCAAATATCCCTAACGACCCTCAACCCTCCACGATTAATTCAGAAAGGTAGAAAATTCCTTAAACTATCACAGCAAGTGACTGTACAGGGTCCCAGAGGCAAAGTTGTGATGGACGTCCCTGATTTTGCACGTATTGTTACCGATAAAGATACGCATCGTGTCCATGTATCTGTGGATGATGAGTCTACTAAGATTCAAAAAGCTATGTGGGGTACGCTTAGGGCCCATATGAATAACCATGTTGTTGGAGTAAATGAAGGTCATTTGGCCATTTTAAGGTTTGTGGGAACCGGGTACAGAGCACAATTAGCTAAAGAGGGAAAATATGTCGGAGTTAAAGTCGGTGCCTCTATACCACAGGGGTTAGATGTACCAGAGGGGATTAAAGTCACTTCACCAACTCCAACTACTTTAATTATTGAAGGCTGTAATAAACAACAAGTGTTTTTATTTGCTGCCAAATTAAGAGATTTCCATCCTCCAGAACCTTATAAAGGTAAAGGTATATATGTGAATGATGAAACCATTAAGATTAAGAACAAGAAAATTAAATGATCTTAATATTTTTCACTAAATTAGAAATACTTGTATTTAGGATACACCTGTAAATAAATAAAAGTAAGCAATATATATATATATATAAATACGATATCATTCATAAATTATATGTCACTCATTTCAGGTGTTGTTGTCTTTTAGCGTGTCTCTTCATCGTAAAAATAATCTGTTGGATCTGCACCGATCTCTTTGGACTGGATTAAAAAATCGCTTACAGTATTTGTAAATAGTGCCACATTATTGTAATTCTTCATCAATGCATTGAGAAAGTTTTCTATTTGTGTCACTGTCAAATTAAGAAATGCGCTGGTTAAAAGTTTTGTAATATATTCATTTAAGTATATTGTGTTAGAGTAATTTCCTGTAATGTCCCCAGTATTGGTTAATGGTATTGGGATTCGATCATCATACGTCAGCATTAATAAATTTCTAAATAATAAGGCCTGCTTAGCAAATGCTGGCTGATGGTCAGAATCAGTCAATGCATATAAAGTTTCATTCACTAGATTCAAATAATACTTTTGATAGAATTTAGTTTGGAATTCCGTATTGTCATTTAGTCGATCAACATTATTTAGCATATCAATGGCAATTTGTAACCCTGTTTCTTCTATTTCTCTATTATGATGTTTAAACGACCAACAAATAGTATCAAAAAATATCTTGAAGAAATCATTGATAGGAAACTCTATTAAGACAGAGAAACTTTTATAGGTGATCGTTCTTAACAATTGATAAAAATAAAGTCTATGCTCAGGAAAATTGTCTGTGTCATTCTTTATCATCTCTAAGCTGGATAAAAAGGTATTTTCGAGGATAATAATAACAATATCTGGATACCTTTGGCCACAATTTAAGACTACGTTATTGGCGTATAATAACGCTTCAGGTTCTTTAAAATTCGTAGGTCCAAATCTATAATCCTTCATACTCACCTCTAAGAATAACTTCAATAAAGGTGAGAGGTATTTATCAAATTCTACACCGTTTAAATCAGAAATGAAAAGCTTATATAGGAGTAATATTTTTCTCTTAATGGAACGGCATATCCTGATTTTTGAAGTATCGTTAACTTGCACATTTTTTATTTCGTTTTGAATACATTCTGACGCTACACCATACAGCCCAATCAAATCAATATTAATTTGTTCTAATTGGGGTGCATAATGACGACCAATAGATTCACATACGGCTATATTAACGTCTAATATTTTAATAAGCCCTTTGAATTTATCGTCTGTGTCTACTTCTAATTGTAAACTCAATATCGATTTCCAACCACCATTTGGAAAATTCATTAAATCTGAAAGTAGTTGATATCTTAACGTATAGTTTCGTTCTTCTCTGACAACTGCTGCACATGATCTATAAAAAGAGGAGAGTTGGGGCTGAGTCAAATCACTCGTGATATTCTTTATATTATCAATAATATTTTTGATCAACGGTACACTGGATGTATTGTCTTCTGGTTTATTGATAACAAATTGATATTTACATCTACTAACAATTTTTGCAAAGGTATCACAAGCCATGTCCCGAATACCCTCATTTATATCATGCATACATTGGAATAATTTGTTAATTATTTGAAGTAAAAATTGCCAATGGTTTTTCATAAATCTAGGATATTGCCCTACAATATACATTACATTGGAATCAAAGAGAGCTCTATCGTTGGAATTAGTTATATGATCATCTTTGATCATTGTTAATTTATCTAAAATACTTTTAATAAAGTTATTTTCGCTTTCTTCACTAATTGTAGATGGGATGGATCCAATTGACCAACATAGGCAATTTAGATTATCCCATGACCAACCATTTTGGTTTTCTTCTTCGCCATTAGTATATAGTATTAACATGTTTAATTGTCTTTCTAATTCTTCCATAATGATTCGTTCTGTATCATCAAAATCTAAATAAGTCAAATATACTAAAGTTTCCTTTTCAGAATAATATAAATCCAACATCTCACTATCATGTACAACTTCTCTGACCACCTCACCGGTATCGATATCTTTTACCACTATTATTTCTTCTGGTCGTACCATCTTTTCTGTGATTATTATTTTTCTTAATTGTGAACATATCTGTTCATATATGTGTTTCTTTAATGGTACTTGTTTTAAAATCTGAGGGCTCATTGCACCGGATTGTTTCATTTCAAACGATAGTTCCAGTGAAGGGAGAAGATCTGCTATCGGGTATTGCTGTATCTCTACAAATAATGCCGATGTTAATTCATGCCAATAATCCAAACACGTCTTGAAAATTTCTGTGTCATCAATCCTTGTTAATTGAACTAGATACCCATGTGCAGTTAAAAGTACAGTTCTTAATTCAGCGTTATCAACCTCTAACTTTTCTCTATAAACTTTTAGGAATTTTGTCAAATATGTTGTGAGATCTTGAAAGAACTGTTGTCTTGTAAAATTTGAGGATGCATATGTGAGTTTAAGGCCTGAACTTGCAGAAGGGAAATCAGTAGTTAAATTTTTTAACACATAAACGAACGATTCGACCATTTGGGTAATATTTTGGGGAAATTTCGGAACTGCAACAGATGTTATTGTAGTTAGGCATTTTATTGTTAGATTTCTCGTTTCTGATCTCTTAATGTAATTCGAACTTAAAAGTTGTAAAACATCACTTTGAAATATATATTCAGGGGATACCCATTCCAAATAATTAAGTAAGCATTCCAATGCAGACAGTTCTAAGGTGGCAGAATACTTTTCTAACTTTAATATATCTATAATATGTATGTATATCTGGAGGCAAACTTCAGACATCGACTTTTTCATTTTAGTAGTCTTGGCTTGAGTCATTTGACCTGAAGAGTAGTCAAATATTTCTTCATACAATAATTTTAGTATTACAAGATTATTTTCACAGATATTTATATCCATTGTTGAACTTTTAATCAACTCAGGGATAAAATCAGGCCATCCTTCTGGCCATTCTTGTTTTAAAATTTCAACCAAAGTTAAATCACATTTATGAATTAATTGATTTTCTTTTAGAGTCCCTCTCTTTGTTTCGTCCTTTACAAGAGATATGATCATTCCAACTACAAAATTTCTTATACCAACCCTCTGTTCTTGTGGTAATGATTTCCATCTTGTCCTGATTAATTTGTCTAGTACTGACAGTGCGATAAATCTTGTATTATTATTCTTCGAAAATTGTAAGATTTGATCCGCTTTTGTCCATGAGTTAGGATCATCTTGAAAACTTGTTAACTCTCTCTGTGCTTTTTGTTGTGCTTCACCTGTTCCATTGTAGAATATATCTACAATTTTATCAAGAAGGCTAATATCGAAATTTGTCCCTAACTGAGGTAATGTTGCCATCTTGAGGGGAAACCTTTCTGGATATGTTCACTGATATATGACCTATATCATATACAAAGTTGAAATTATTATGGAGGTTGTATAAAAACTTAGCTTAGGTTTTATCAACCGTTTTATCAAACGATGAGGATTGAATCTCGCTTATCAAAATTTGGGGTGTTTGATCTGTAATGTGCCCCTCATTTCCTAGCTCCGCTATATCGGTGTTATATTGTTAAAAACGGTAAAGCTTAAATTTGACATATGAAATAATGGCATTACAAAGAGAAGACAATATTTTTACAAGATTAGATAAGGATTCAAGAGACATTTGAAACTCCTAGAATGGGGCAAGGGACTTTACTCTCATGTTTTTTCAAAAGATTAGAAGGAAATAATGGTTTGCGGTTTTAGGAACGAGACATAAAGAAGTGTTCATTTGTGTAAATGAATCAATCTCAAAATGAAACGTTAACTGATTAAAAAGAATAAAAGTTAATTATAATTTGATTGTTCTCAAAACTTGATGTTGTTAATTGTTAATAAAGTTATAAAACCTGGCCTTAGTTCTTTAAAATCTGCGTAGTATATAAATATATCCATGTCATTAGGGAGTGATTAGATAATAAAGATAATAGATAAAATATTGGTCTGATTAAGAAGATAATTTATATATTGAATTGTCAGAAAATAAGAGTAGTACCCATCATCTTTTTGTACTGAAGCAGACATAATAGAGTTAGATCTTGATTCGTTCATATTATATAGTGGCAGGTAGAGAGATATAGATATTAGCTTGACAACATGTGTTAAGAAAGCAAAGTGTATATGTTATACTTTTCTTTTATTTGTAAGTGATTATTTATTATTATATAATTTATAGAACGAATAGAATCTAACTTAGAATGTAAGTTCAGAATTCTTTGTCTTTATATATATTTTTATTCTAATCTCAATTGAGGTTCGAATTATATTTTGGTTCATAATGCGATTAACTTTGTTTCATAATGTCACATATTTTGTTTCATATTTTAATACGTTTCGTAATACATTTGAGATATATTCTCGATTTCAAACTTACGTTTACACTTTTGGTGTCTTTATAATAGCTTCTCAATATCATTTAGATTACCTTTTTATTTGGTGTCGAAAATAAACTTTTAAAGGTGATGGGATAATTGAATATTAGACATCTTCTACTTAACTGGACCAATTTTATTATATTACAAAATCAACTTATAGTCGTCTGATTTTTTATATCTTATATAAAAATATATAAAGTAAATTATGGAAACAATTATATTTATAAGTGAAATATTGTTACCTTTATATATGTTGGATTTCTTGTTGTCATGATTATAAATTCACTCAACTGTGGCGTAAGTAATCTATTAGCAAGTTGTTGAGGGATTAACCCATTATCGGATCATTGTGGGATTAACCTTGGTCATTTTTATTCTTATAATATGTTTCCGACAAAAGGTGAATTATCTGATTCCAGCTATAGAAACAATACATTTTCAAATTTTTAAATTAGGATTTTTATTCCTACATAGCTTATAATTTACAACCACAACTTTATTAACGCGCAAGTGGTTTAGTGGTAAAATCCAACGTTGCCATCGTTGGGCCCCCGGTTCGATTCCGGGCTTGCGCATTTATTTTTGCAAGTTGTTTAAACCTCCAGAGTTAGCCGCTGTAGTTTTTTTGTTTTGTGACAAATTTAGTTTGGATAAATGTTGTAGAAGTTGGCACATTTTTCTAATATATGCAAATAAGAAGAGGTGTAGTCAATATCTCGCAACTTATTATAAATTGAGAATAATGAATCCAGAACAATTAATTTTCTCTAATATGATGGTAAATTGTACAAAAGATTAAGTTCTCGACAGTTAACTGAATGAACAGTTATTGTACTCAAGACAGAAATATAAATAGTATTATATTCTGTATAGGTGGATGGTTACTCTTTTCTAACGCGCCCATTACTCTGCATGAGCACGTCTTATACAGTGTTTATTCCCATATCCTACAGTCGATTATCTCAAATCCAGCGAGACAATTAGCAAGACTGTAATCTTATTTAAGCTGTTTTATAAAAGATTCTAAGCTATATTATAATTTATAGATGTTATTGTTGTTTTTTACACTATTTTTGTATTGAAAATACATATGATGATGATGATATTAATATACGAGAAAAGCAGATATACTTATATAGTTTATACGGGTTTTGATAAAATTAAGGAAATTAAAAATGTTTTGTTGAGAAGTAGTTTTTAAATCATTAAAATTACCATTCGGCAGCATCAGTGTTTTCCTCAGCCCATTCAGAAGCACCAGTAGCTTCTTCAGTAGCTTCTTCAGTTGGTTCGTCACCTTCGGCAACAGCTTCAGCTAGAGCTTCTTCAGTGTTTTGTAGTTCAACTTCTTCTGGGTTTCTGAAGAAGTATAAATCTGGCATGATAGACCATGGTTGAGTTCTGTCAACTAGAGCACCTCTTAGTCTTAGAACTTCTCTGGCCAATAGGTACCAGATTAAACCGATGGAGTGCTTACCTCTGTTGTTACATGGGATAGCAACATCAACGTATTCAGATGGGGAGTCCAAGTCAGTTAGAGCAATAACTGGGATGTTGACGTAGGAAGCTTCCTTGATAGCTTGAGAGTCAGATCTTGGGTCAGTAACAATAACTAGTCTTGGTTCCTTGAAAGAACGGGTGATGTAGTTAGTGAAAGAACCTGGAGTGAATCTACCAGCAATTGGAGTGGCACCAGTGTGGGCAGCGTACTTTAGGACAGCTCTTTGACCGTAAGTTCTGGAAGAGATGGCAACAACATCTTCTGGGTTTGGAATGGCAGCGATGATTCTAGCGGCTAGAACAATCTTTTCCCAGGTCTTACCGACGTTGATAACGTGGACACCGTCTGGTCTGGCTTCGAAAACGTATGGTTCTTGGTGGACCTAATTTAAAATATATATGAAATGAATATGTGATATTCAAAGCGTTATTATGGTTGTTAGTAAAATTTGAATTAAAGAAAATTAAACTTCTCATTGATCTTTTAAGAACTTGATCGAGTATGTTTTGTAATAAATTATAGATGTCTATCATCTGACCTTGTGTCCTTCATCGTATATTTTCAGTTATCTTATAGTATTACATTTTATCATCCAATCATCATAACCACATTATTATTACTTATCAACACATCTATATGTAAATTCTGATGCAGTGGTCATTTATACAACATATCTCAGTAACATTATTGTGATATTATTATTATTATTATTTCTCGTTTCTCTACTCATCTTTTTATTTATCTTTAAAAATACTATCATGGAAACATATAGGATTACCATTCTAGGCTCAATTTATCTCTCTAATACTTTAACATTATACTCTTATTTCTCGTGTTCTTATATCAACTATGATTATCGATGGTTTTAACATACTTGAACGTTTCTAGCACCTAAGTGGGCGTTGGCAGCCAATAGCAATTGGGCGTCTTCTGGGGTTAGATCAAAAGTAGCTGGTAAGGACATTTTGATATCTGATTTTATCTATGCTTTCTCTTGGTTTGCTTCAATGAGTAAAGTTCCTTGATGTTTAAATCACTATCACCTTATATTTGTTTTTAGTATATGGACTATGTTGATCCTGGGGGGTTCGTCCAGGGCCTAACATTAGGTGAAAAATTTCCCAGTAGGAGCACTCACCTAGTGAGCAGAATCTTCACTTTCTCTGAACAGACTAGGTGTCCTTCCTCCCCCGGACGGCAGTTGAGCCAAAAGAAAAAAAAGTTCAAATTTCTTTCCCACTCTACGGCAAATAGAATGAATGTTTGGCTCGTTGCAGGTTTAGAAGGAGCCAAAAAAACAAAAATTGGGCGAGGGACTTAGAATTTTAGGCGGACAGTACCCTCAGCTAATTGGAGTTTATCGAGAGAAAAGGGTGAAAATACGAAGAGAAAGACGACAATATGGACCCACCTAGCAGTCGGCAAACCAGTAATAGGTCCACTATAACAGTCCAACCTCACTCAGTATGTTTTAAATGTCTCTTCTACTGTGTTTACTTATGAAGTAGCCTGTCATGTTGACCTTTTTCTCCTAATAACTGAACATTTTTTAGTGAAATACTGCAGATGTACGGATGCACAATCCAGCATGTCTGGGTGTACCCCATTAAAAAACAAAAACGCAGTCACAGAAAATCTTATCAGTTTTCAATGGAAGAAACGGAGCTTCACGGACCAAAAGGAGAAAACTGATATTTCAAGGTGCACCAACCAACTTAATGCAACGGAAGTAGAAGAAGCTGACTAGATTTTTGGTTAGCGACACCCGATTTTCCGGCGGTTAATTTTTCTTAGAGATCGTTTATATAGTGTAAATATATAATAGAGAAAGAGATAAGTCGTATTTATTTTAACTGACAAGATGGGTGAAACCATTTCAGCTTGATATTTATTATATTAGTGGAGATCATTTGCACAGTATGATATAGGGGATCACGAAAGTTTGTTTGACACTCCATTCCAGAGTCTAATATATTACTACTCTTTATAAGCATTCTCGCATACATTTAAACTTTGCAAGGTACATAAGCGTATACTCCTTATCGTAACCGATAGTATATGTGTATTATTCATATCATAGGAAAAACTCAAACTTAAAACTAAAAAAAGGAAGTTAGCACTGAAGGAATGAGGGGTATAAGTGATATACTTTATTTTTGGTCGACCCCAAGAATGCCTTCCTTTGATAATGATGTGGATAAAGAAGTAAGGACGAAATTAGTCAATAAGTATGCTAAGGTCTGTTTTCTGTTTTCCATAATGTTAGTATGCGTTATAGTACCTTTATGGTATACATTATCAGTCACATTCACATTTTTCAAAATTGAACATAGATTCAAACATCACATATTTAAACGAAATACATGGTATCATCGTATACCTTTATACCATAATACTTCATTACGACATTGTCTGTTTTGGTGTACTGTCTGTACGGTAGCCGTTATGCATCATACCAGTTATGATTTATTGCAAATCACTAAAAGACTAGGAAGGGTTGCAGTCGCTTTGATGCCTCCTTTGCTATTTGTAACATTAAGACCCTCTCCACTACCACGTACGTTATATCTTCGTATTTTACCAATTCATAAATGGATCTCAAGAGTCGTTGTCCTGGCGTCCCTTTTGCATAGCATATTTTATGTGTGTTACATGGTCACAAAAGGTGTATTTTGGGTTAAAATTAAAAAATTACCTAATATATATGGTGTACTGGCAATGGTTCTGTTTTTTGTCATTGGTTTTACATCTATAAGGAAATTTAGGATATTGAACTTCCGCTTATTTTATTATATTCATTATATTTCAACATGGTTAACTGTGATACTTATCCATTTCCATGCAAGACCGGGTGTTCCATATTATACAGTAATGAACTGTCTCATATTGATGTATCAGATTGGATATAGATTATATCATACTAAGATGACAAAAATGATCGTAACGCCAATATCACCAACACTTTCGTTACTTGAATTTCCAATGAAGGACTTAGTTAACAAACCAATCTTACCATCAGGACATGTAAGAATTAGTCGATATGATCCAAACTTTGTTAAAAGGGTATTGTTCCAGTTGGTCCCATTCCAACATCCTTATACAATCGCTAGTTTGCCAGATGAAAATATGGTTAGACTTATTGTAAGAAAAGGGCATTTTAAATTAAAAAATGGTGGTTCTTATTATGTTACAGGAGCATTTGAACCGATTATTAATTTCTTGGGGAGACCGAAGAATGTTCAACAATTCCTTAACAATCAAAAAAAAAGAACTAACCCTTTCCAAGTTACATCCTTGGGATTAATTCATTCTCCACTGCATTATGTAGTTAATGCTAGGCGTGTATTGATTTGCGTTGGTGGTTCTGCGATAGCTTTTGGTTTACCTTTATTAAGAGTACTGAATTTCAATGGTATTATTGTGAGACTGATATGGGTTATTCGTGATTTCAGAGATTTGAAATTATTAGAGTTATTTAGAAATAATTTTGAAGGTATGGAAATATATATTAGTGGAGATTTTGGAAGTGAACAAGATATCCAACTTGATTATGATGACCGGATGAATGAGGTTGTCAACGAGCCATCTTTAATATCAGGAAACAATGAAAATTGTTCGTTACTCGCCTCATCTAACAATCAGGCGTACGGTTCAACAAGATCTGGACAAGTGAACGAAACTGAGGAACATCAGGAAGTTGATGAGATAGATTTCACAAATTCCTTTAGGATTAAAACTAATAGATCAAAATCTCAATTACGCTTGGATAACAAATTAACTGAGTCTCAACAAAAAAATGCAGCTGGTAGTGCATTTAGAAGAGATGTTTTATTAGGCCCAATCGCTTGTAATCATGGTGGGTGTGACCACGAAAGTGGTTGTAATGATGATCATGATAATGAGGATGAGGATGATGATGAAGAAACGTTGTCAAACGGTACAGGGGCTGACGAACAAATTAAGATTCCGCCTGGCGTGAAGATATATTGCGGTAGGCCTAATCTAGATGAACGTGATTATGCCTGGTGTCTAGAGCAAGAATGTGACACCTCCCTTGACGATGATGAGTGCTGTCAAAACAGATATGATGGGTCTCTTAATGCAAATGTAGAAAAACTATCACAAGTATGGGTTATTGCAGCAGGACCAGATGGGTTAGTAGAAAGCACGCGGCATTGGGCTACAGATGGTGGTCTACATTTTCATGCAGAAAGTTTTGCAGTATAGATAAAATAGCATACTGTTATAGCATTATTTGATTATATGCATATTTTCAAGAAGACATTGTAAATAATATTTATAAAAGAAAAAGATATGGGTGGGCAAGTATGCGTTCATTTTTTTTAATTATGTATTGTATGAATAAATTTGATATTATTTGTTAAATGTTCTAATAATATTATATGCTTATTTATTTTGTTCTGGATCTCATCCTTTCAATTCTTTCCTTTAACATTTTCGTAACTTCTGCAGCACGTTTCCAACTTTCTTCATTGTCGCTATTGATAATCTTTAAATTATTATGATCCTTATCCATTCCGAAGTTCAAGTTCAAGTTTGAAGATGTAGTAGATTCTATGCTAGAATTTAGTCGCAGAGAGCCAACACCTCTTCTCAGGTCATCACTTGAGCCTTTTTCGCTCAATGTTCTACCGTTACTAACTGGCGGTTGGATTTGGCTTTCTCTTAGGTTAATGATTTGTTGTTCTAACGTATTAATTTTTTCATTTAGAGCTTTCACTTCACTCAATTTCTCTTCCAAATTCGATTCTTTATCTACAATAGTTTTTTTCAAGAATATTTTTTCTTCTTTTAAATTTTTATTTTCATTCAATAATAATTCATTGTCTTTCTTTGATTGAGCTAATTGACTCGATAAATTTGTCCTTTCTCTATTTAATATCATGTTTTCCTTTTTCAATGTGTTTACAACAGCACTAGGAGTTGGTTGACTTGTATGCATTTCGTTGATAGTATTCTGTTGTCTTTCGAATGTTGTCTTTGATTCCACTTTTGGAGAGACATTGTTAATCTTAGTCAATTTTATATTTTTTAAAGAATGTTCATCGTTCCGTATCGAATTATTCGATCTTTTTGGTGATGTATTCTGTAAAGATGTGACTCTTTGAGGAGGACCTCTTTTGGATGGGATAATCTGTCTTTGATCATTATCTTTATCAAAATTTGGTAACGACGTCACCAAATCAGTAATTTTATTTCTCTTCATATTATCTAAATGTTCTAAACTATCATTAAAGTATCTTTCGCCAAATATTTTGATCAGGGTAGCCAAACATTCAAACCCTGCATTTCTAATTGTTGGTTGTGTATCATTTACAATCTTAATAACAATTGGTAGGATGGACTCAGGATCATTCTCTTGATTCAATCTTTTCAAAATACTTTTTTTATCTATTTGTTTCATGTTTTGAAGCAAATTAGTGAAGAGGATAGTACACTCCAGTCTAATTTGAGGAATTTTATGTTTCATTGCTACCAAAAGTTCGATCAAAAATTCATCATTTTCTGCAATTAACGGATTATAATGATTACATATCATTTTCAAACAATTACGAATTGGTTCAATTGTAGTAGCCTTCTTCTCTTTAGTTCTTGATAATAATGGACCAAACACCAGAATACAATAATTTTTATGTAGATCATTTTTTCCTAATTTAGTAAATATTTGATCAATTGATTCTGTTGATAATGTTACAGCTTGTAAATTTACATCCTTTGAAAGTATTGTTGCATAAATATCTAATAATGTAGTATAATTTGCCTTGGGATCGATTTTCTTAACTTTAGTTAAAGTATTGTTATTAAATTCTTCAAGAGCTTCCACCCTATCCTTCCATTTAGATGATTGAGCACGTTCATAAAACTGTTCAGGTAATTTATCTAAAATTGTCTCTACAGGTAGTAATGTGAAGGGATCGATCCTATTTGGTTCTTGGGCATCTATGGATATAGATAAATCAATCCCATTGTTGTTATTCCCATCAAGCATAATTGTATCGCCATCGCCATCGATATTTGTAATTTCATTTTTAATTTCATTTGTTCTTCTAATATTTTCGAAAGGTGCGAATTGATTTAAGTTATCGAATTGGGCAGTTTCAAACATTTTAGTTAATTCACGTTGTTGAATATTTTTCAAATTATCATTAATAAAGTCTTGTAAGAATTTATTGTAATCAGTGTCATTATGGATTATTATATATATTTGTAATACCACATTTAATGATTCTGCTCTCACGGTTTTATCTGCATGGCTAGCTAATTTAGGAATATATTCTAATACGTGATTGAAGAATATCAATAAATTTTTAATATTTACTATACCATATATTGATATTAATTTTGAAATGATATTAAGTGTTGCAGACAAAAGTCTAGGTAATTTTTTATCTAAAAATGGTATGGACAGTTCAATTGTGGTTTCAATAGAATTATCCAAGGAACATAATGACAGTATACAATTTGTTGATACGTCTCTTGTATGCTGTCTAGATGATCCCAAACCCTTTTCGATCAACGAAGGGATCCATGCGTTCAAAAATTTGTGGGACTTGTTTCCAAGATCATTTGTTAATGGTTTCATGAATGTAATCAATGCCTCCAAAGCAATAACAGCTTGTTCGTGGCTCACGACATTGCTATCCAACAGATACGATTCAAAATGTGATGGATCATTCCAGAATTTTTTAATTTGCAAGTTGTTACTATCCACGGCATTGTTGAACACTTTTATCAATTCCTGGTATCCTAACAACCTACCTTTCCAGTTTCTATGATTCAGTTTTTCCTCAAGGGACAGTTTATTGAAGTCAATATCATCGGCAGCACTACTGGTGCCTATATTGCTCGTACTCATGTTGAGATTTCTCGGGAATATTCTCGATGTTGTTTCCGTATTTGAAGCTTAGTTAGTATTATGTAACGTAATTGAGCAATTCCCGCCTTATAAACGAAAAATATGGTTCCCCTTGTTTAATTGTTGGTTTGTTTACTTCTGTTTATTTTATTTATTTATTTATTTGTGTTTCTGTTTTGTTATTCTGGGGGAACGGTTTTCGCGTTATAATTTATTTATTATTTTGACGGAGAGGGTAACACAAAATGTCAATAGTCAAGTTTTATACATTTGAATGATTGTACACTCATGTATATATATATAAGCGGGAATGAGTGTTGCTCTGTTGCTTTATCAGTTCCATTATGATGGGTTCAGTATTCTTATATATATTTGTTGTAGTTGTCTTTGGAAAGTTGCTTACAAAAATGACAGTGTCACTGTCCTGCACTTCACTTCACTTCACTGATTAAGCCTAACGACAAGTTTTCGGAGTATATCGCTACTTAAGTAATTATTCACTACTTGGGCAAATATACAAATGCATGTACAATCTCTTTCTGTATCTCTTAGACAATGGCATGTGTGATTAATGCGAGAACTGCAATATTTACTATCCTGATGGATCCACCCAACTGTCATTGCATTTTTCGTATCTTGGTAAACTAATTCTGTCTGACTTTTAATTATGTTTAATCCTGTTGCAGTGCAAGGCATGAATTGTGGGAAAGTGCGATTGTGACACTTCGATTACCCAAATCTGGCATTATGAAATTTCCCAATTTTTATTTTTTAGAAAAATTCGTTATATTCATTTGCGTCGAAGTGGCGTGACTCTGATTGTGAGGTGTGACACAGTTTTGTTTGTTTGCTGAAGTTGTTATCTTTGATTTTATTTTCTATCCTTTGAAGTGGTCAGGTTTGGGGGTGGACGTTGACTCGTTCTGGTTAAAGGGGCGGTATTCCCGGCGATTTATATATATTTATACATATAAAGCAGTTATATATTTCATGCTTATTCAAGTTACTTGTGTATATACATATTTTAATAAGTGCTTTTTTGTAAGACTCGTGTAATATAGAGAAAATAATCAATAGATACAATGGTCAATACTACTCCTATCAATATCGATAAATGGTTGGAAGAAAATCCAGAACTGTTATCTCCACCTGTGTCCAACTATTGCTTGCATATGGATGGATTCACCGTGATGTTAATCGGTGGTCCAAACGATAGAACTGATTTCCATATCAATCCAACACCAGAATGGTTCTATCAAAAGAAAGGAACGATGCATCTGAAGATTCGTGACCCTGACGACGAGCAATTCAAGACCGTGGTCATCAATGAAAACGACTCTTATCTGTTACCTGCAAACGTCCCTCACGCACCAATTAGGTTTAAGGATACCATAGGTATTGTAGTCGAGTTGGAAAATCGTGGTGGGGACCGTGAGGATTCAATGTTGTGGTATTGCAAGAATTGTAACGAAACTGTCTATAAGAAGTCCTTTATAATGAAGGATTTGGGCACTCAAGTTAAAGAACAAATCGAATTGTTTAGAAATGATCCAACTTTAAGAACTTGCGGTAAATGCGGTACCATTAACTAGATGATAAAAAAAATATTATATATTTATATATACATATATATAGTCAGCCTACAGATATTCTTCTGTAACATATAGATATAACTTGACGTTAGTGTGGTTACTGATAGTATATTCAGATATGTGTGATAATAATCATCATAATGAGTTAGTGATATCCGATGATCCAATGCATCCAGCAAATTTAATATGTTCATTATGTGCCAAATTCTACGAGAAGGATTGGTGTCTAGGAACAGGTGGAGGGATCTCGATCAAGGATCCACATACCAACCATTATTTTATTGCACCCTCAGGTGTGCAGAAGGAACTGATGAAACCTACTGATTTGTTTGTCGTTAAAGGTACTGCGAATAGTAACGAGTTAAATGTGGACGATGTAACATTTGTTAGAAGGCCTGTAGGGTTAAAACCAAGCGATTGCACACCGTTGTTCCTGACTTGTTTCAAAGAACTGGATGTCGGTGCTGTGATTCACACACACTCAACAAACGCTGTATTGGCGTCATTGTTATATGACGATTTCTTCGAAATATCACATATTGAACAAATCAAAGCAATGCCTAGCGATAAATGGGACGCCAATGCTAATAAATATGTTAATCTATTATTCCAGGATACTCTGCGCATCCCGATCATTGGTAACAAAAACTTTGAGTATGAACTAACGGACGATCTGTTAGAGGTTTGCAAGAAATACCCTCACAGTTGTGCTGTCCTCGTGAGACGTCATGGTATATTTGTATGGGGTCCATCCATTGCAAAGGCCAAGATATATAACGAATCCATTGACTATCTGTTAGGTTTAGCCATCCAAATGCGTCAAATGGGTCTTCCCACTGTCAAATCGACCCTGACACAGGGCCATAAATAAATAAAATAAAATAATAAATGTTCTTTGCAACTATATATATATATATAGGGATTCATCAGTCAGAGGATCGACCTATTTGACCAGTTTTCGTCTCTTTGTCATAGAATGTGCCTTATCCTCTGTTACTTTCATCCATATTAAATGTTCATCTTTAACTATATTCTTCGTATTGTGTATCGTTGGAGCCTTAACAATGTATCGGCTCTCCTGTTTTGTTTCCTCATCTGTTGGTTCATACAGCCCACAGGCCACTATCTCACTTCCTCGCATCAATTGTACATGGCTCAGGACATTAGACTCTAGACCACTGTCGTTATTGAATCGATGTGTCAAGTTAGATACTACCAAGTTCGTGCTTTTATCAAACCCTTCTAACGTCGCTATAAAACACTCCCCGCTGGTCGTCACCAGGATAACCTTCTTATTCAAATATTCTTTCAGTAATGGAGACATATTCTGCTACGTACCCTATTGCGCAATTGATATAGTCTTATCTCCTTTATGTAGACGTGTTTCCCTCCTTAACTTTGTAATATTAATCAGTTAAATAGAAATTTGTTTCGTTCAAATTTTCTTACTCTCAATTCAAAAACTATTTTAAATAAATATTACTACTCAATGAAGAAGAGGGGTGGAGCAAGCTGACTATGAAAAGTGAAACAAACAGACACGAGGAATCTTGTTTGTTATTATCACTAGTATTGACGAACTATTACTAAATGGTTGCACAGCATTTAAATGACCATGAGGATGATATCCCAACTGATGTATCCTCGTCTAGGGATACATCGGTAGATTACCCCACATCTACCCCCACGAAACAAATAAGAAACGAAGCAGATAAACAGATATTAGAATGGGCAGCTAAATTAGAACTTGAGTCAATGGAGTTACGTGAAAGATCCACTGCTTTGCTACAAAACTTGAATGAGAAATACATTAATTTGAATACAGCGGTTAATAAGTTTGACAACATCGAGAAAAGTTCGTTCGTTCACTATACAAACACCCTTTTTCCCTTCTTTTTGCTTTTAAACCACTAAGAATTTATTGTTTACTAACTGATCTAATAATAATTTCAACTTTTAGAATTAACTGATAATGTCACATCAATGTTAGAGACGTGTAGACAAGATATTACACGTCAAACTGATCATATGATCCATGACTTTGGGGAGAAACGAGCTGACCGTACTTATGAAATGCAGGTTATGAAAACACTCACAACCCAGTTGGAAGACGTCCAAATGTTGTTAGTCAATATTTCCAGAGATATGAACAAACTACAAGACAGACAAACCCAATTAGAGAAACAATTTATTAAGCAAGAGAAACAATTTATTAAGCAGGAGAAGCCACTGAACGTCACATCGGTTCTCTTGAGTGGAACCACGCTGTCAAACGATATCCCAATACATCATGGGTCGGGTCCTGTTACTAGATCGAAATCCAAACTGCTCAGGGACACGACGTTGGGCAATGCGACAATGACCAAGGTTCACAAGCCATCCTCCTTTGCCTCGAGAACCACAGCAAGAACCATCATTCCTTGGGACGAGCTCACCATGCCAGAAGCAGAGTGCACCACCACTTACCCATCAGAGTTGTAACAATCCAGATACTTATATATAAATATATGTGTATCTATAGTTGTTGTTGTTCGTTGTTCGTTGTAGCTCATCTCATCGGATCTAAATGCCATAAACTCCGCTCCTTCAAGATTTTTCATTGTTTCGTTTCTCCAATAAAAATAAAGCCAAATGACCATTCCATTGGATATATAAAGGAGGAGGAAAGAGCAGTTGGAAAGTAATGAGTTGTTGATCGTTGTCTGGAAAGTAATGAGTTGTTGATCGTTGTCTGGAACTACAATCCCCAAGTTCATATATATATATATATATATATATATTCATATATATTAGTGTGGAAGGAAAATTGCCTCTGTGTTCATTATGTCTGTGGTATCTAAATTAGAAAAATTGCTGGGTTTGAATAGATTGACACCAACAAAGTTCATCACTAGATATTTACCAGCTGCCCCCGTAGGATCCAAGAGTACATTTGGTGGTACATTGGTGGCGCAATCTCTTTTGGCTTCGATGAACACTGTACCACGTAATTTTATTCCAAGTTCTTTGCATTGTTATTTTATTAGTGGTGGTCATCCAGAACAAATGATTACTTATGACGTTGAAAGCTTAAGGGAAGGTAGAAACTTCATTCATAAGGAAGTGCGTGCATATCAGAACCAGAAGTTGATCTTCCAGTCGATGATTCTATTTGCTGCTGGGAGACATGACGAGCCGGATGGTTCGATGCTGACTCATTTAAAGAAGATTACTTTACCTGATAAGAACCAATATACTTATGCAGCAGATTTATTTAAAGAAGAAGTCGCAGGTGATGATTCTAAGACAAGAATGTTTCAAGAATTGCCGATTGTTCAAGGAAGTGGAGGAATGACGCATATTAACAAAGTATACAATTCGTTCAAGACACAGCCTATGGAGTACTATTTCCCTAAAAATTTCTTTCATTCAGAAAAGGAGATTCGTAACAACGATGTGAATTATTACGTGAGGATCAGGAAGGACTCTGTTGAGACTAGAACTTCAAGCGATTCGTATTATAATGAGAACGATCTGATTTCACCCCATAACGATGAACGCTACAACTATGCGGCATTTGCATATTTATCGGATTCTTATTTATTACTGGCTTTGCCATATTTTTCAAACATGCCTCTGTATTCACACAAGTTCAGCGTATCCCTGGATCACAGTGTGTATTTCCATCAGTTGCCACAGGTAAACGATTTAATCTATTTGAACATCAAGAATTCAAGATCAGCAGATCATAGACATCTGATGCAAGGTGAATATTTCGACTCACATACAGGAAAGATTCTAGCCTCAGTGTCCCAAGAAGGACTGGTCATCTACGAATCAATCAAGCAATTAAAGGCCAAACTTTAAGAACAGCAACAAAAAGTTACTACATCATCTAAACATCTGTATATTTTTCTACTTTATCATATCAATCATTTAAAATATTCATATTACCATTCTGTGACTTTCTTCAATTTTTTGCAGTTTTCGCTGTGTTTTGACAATTTCACACTCTTTATATAAGCATTGCACACATATAGATTATGTATATTTTAGGAAGGGATCCCCCTGAAGAGAAAGAAAGAAACATATATACATATATACATACACAACACACTCTCTGCCTCTGAGATATACTACAACGCAAAATGAGTGATACTGAAAAAAAGGACATTGGTACAGGATTACCAGAACCATGGACAGTTCGTTACAGTAAGTCCAAGAAACGTGAATATTTCTTTGAGCCAGAGACCAAGAAATCTCAATGGGAGGCACCAGGCGGGACAGATGAAGAGCAACTACAGAAATACTTGAAGGAATACCCCTTGCGTGTAAGATGTCTTCACATTCTAATCAAACATTCTGGTTCGAGAAGACCTGTGTCCAGTAGGATCAATGCTAAGATTACCATTGATAAAGAGGAAGCCATCAAGGAATTGAAGGAGATCCATGATAAATTGACGAGTCAAGATGACAGCAAAAAGGGCCAATTTGAGTTAATTGCAAAGGAGAGGTCTGATTGTTCCTCGTTCAAAAGAGGCGGTGACTTGGGCTGGTTCGGTAAAGGTGAAATGCAACCTGCTTTTGAGAATGCTGCTTTTGCACTTGCGATTGGCGAGATTAGTGATATTGTTGAGACGGACAGTGGTGTCCATATCATCAAAAGGGTTGCATAACTGCATTTCATTATTCTATATCTACATAATATCTCATTCTATAAAGATTTTTGTTTTCTTTTCAAAAGAAAAGAAAAAAAAACTATTCAAAGGCAGAGAATCATCATTAAATTCCCATCATTGTCATGATCGAGAGATTGGGGTACTTCCTCATCCCATCTCAGCGCAACCTTGTACCAATATTAGTAATGCAACGTTACGAAAGCCTTCCCTTCCCTTCTCTTTGCCCATTTCTATGAGAAAATTATATTTTGTACGACGCGCAAATCAAAATTGGCCGTCAAAGTTGTCGAAATTCTTTCTTTTAGAACAAACAACAACGAAACAGCAACGACGTTAGAGAGTCGATAGCACATGAACAGTGAGTTGTTGGCCTGTTTCAAGTGTGTTGGCTGTTACTAGAGATTAAAATAACAAGTTAAGAGTTTGCTGTTTCTTTCAATTGACTGGAGAGAGCGTGCCGTGTAACTAAATCTGTTTAACAGGTAGAAATAACGATCGGAAGTACCGCTTTTGACTTAGAAAGTAGAATTCAAGATTCTGAGGAAGTATCTCGATCTATATAGATCAAACGCATACCTATTATAAGTGATAAGACATTAGGATGAGTAACAAAGTCTCTAGGACAGATTCGTTGAAAAAGACTCTGTCTAGATCAAAGTCGTCATTGACTAATCTATTCAAGAAAAATAAGAGAAAGCATGCTAGAGATGATGATGACGAAGAAGAAGATGAAAATGGCTTTAATCGTAATAATAAAAGTCTTATTCATAAAGATGATAACGAAGACAACGAAAATGATGACGACGACAACGCAAGAAGTCACAAACGTCGTCACGTAGAAGATGCCGCAAAGGAGAAATTAAGACTTATTGCATTCCAAAAGAATGAAAAACTGTTAGATGCAAAATTACCAAAAGAACTTAGGAAATATAGACCTCAAGGTTATTCTTTGAATTTACCACCAAAGGATAGACCCATTAGAATTTATGCGGATGGTGTCTTTGATTTATTCCATCTGGGTCATATGAAACAATTGGAACAATGTAAGAAATCATTCCCAAATGTTACATTGATATGTGGTGTTCCAAGTGATAAAGTAACACATAATTTAAAGGGTTTGACTGTCCTATCAGATAAGCAACGTTGCGAAACTCTGACGCATTGCAGATGGGTGGACGAAGTCATTTCTAATGCTCCATGGTGTGTCACTCCCGCCTTCTTAAAAGAACATGAGATCGATTATGTGGCTCATGATGATCTTCCATATGTGAGTGCGGATTCTGATGATATTTATAAGCCAATTAAAGAAATGGGTAAATTTTTGACAACACAAAGAACTAATGGTATTTCCACTAGTGATATTATTACGAAGATTATTAGGGATTATGATAAATATTTGTTGAGAAATTTTGCAAGAGGTGCTACCAGACAAGAATTGAACGTCTCTTGGTTGAAGAAAAACGAATTGGAATTTAAGAAACACATAAAGGATTTTAGAGAATATTTCAAAAAGAATCAAGAAAGTTTAAATGTGAACTCTAAGGATTTATATTTTGAGGTTAGAGAAATATTGTTGAGAAAGACTCTGGGTAATAAGTTATACAAGAAATTGCTGGGTAACAATAAATTTAATCCAAAGGATATACATAATCGTGAGATTAAAAAATTACACGATAGATTAAGTGATTTAAGTGATAGTTCAAGCCAGAAGGATAATGACGATGACGATGAGGAAGAAGGTAGTTCTGAAATAGATGCTGAGGAACGTGATGCAATTATTAGATCAAAATCGCCTCCAAGTGAATTTGCAGATCAATATACTGGTGAAAAGAGGGTGAAATCAAAGGAAGCTAACCCACAATACCAAGAAGATGACGATGAGGATGAAAAGACATATAAGTTCATAGAACATGCTCATCAGGACATTGAAGATGAATGAGTATCTCATGTATATGTATATGTATATAAATAACTGTATATGCACCATGAAAAACAGAAAAAAAATAGAAAATATATTTTATAAATAAAATGTTGTCCTTCTTTTCTACTATGTTTGCTAATTGATTGATTTTGGATTGATTGATTGTATATATCTATATATATGTGCTAAATTATTTAGTTTCAGTGGTTGGCTTCTTCTTTTTCTTAGTATCAATTGTCTCCACCTTCACATTTTCCATGCCTTTCTCCTTTAATAAAGAGTGAATATAAGCTTCAACATCTTCAAGAACATCACCTTGGATAACAACTTCTTCTTTCTTTTCGATGTTTTTAGAGACAGAACAACCGGTAGCAAATTTAGATGCAAATGTCTTGGCCAACTTCTTCATATCTATCTCAAAGACTTCTAGACCAGAGATGGCGACAATAAACTTCCTTTTAGTTCTAGCTTCTCTCTTGATGATAACCTTTGATGATAATTTCTTAGCCAATTCTCTTTGTTCTCTATTTTCTTGTTTAGTTTGTAACTTCAACAGATCCTTCTCCAATTTGTTCTCTCTTTCTTCACCAATACTAGATTCACCCAGTTTCTTGCCGACAGCAGTAACATCATTATCTTCATCTGCATCTGCATCATCTGCACCGTATAATTGAGTGTAACGTTCTGGATGGTTCTCTTTTAACCAAACTTTACAACGTTTTAATTTACCAGTGAATTCACAGTATTCTGGTGGATAAGAACATACGCCGCAGTAAACAACCTCTCTAAGGGACATCTTGTAATAATAAATTGGTTGCCTTAGTTCGTTTTGTCTATAAAAATAATAGATGGCTGTAATTATTATTGTAATCTCACAAGTTCTTATAGTTATGCCCTCATCATCTGTTTCCTTTGTAGTTTACTAGTTGCTCTACTTCGTTTGATTTTTCTTCCCTCAAGAAATTGAAAAATTTAGCTGACAATAAAAATTCAGCCCATACAAAAAAATCAATTCGATGCCCTCGATACAAAGCATCAATATAATCATAAGAGAAAAGGATGATGTGCAAATTGGTAAATGATGTATATATATGTATAGGTATATATGTATATTTAGTAAATTAACGTTTGGAGGCATTTGTTATTCTCTTCTGAGCATGGTTTCTAAGAGACTCATCCATCAGGTCTCTAATTCTATGAGCACCGGCAATCCCAATAGCCAGAACAGTCTCCAATCTATCTAACGGTATTTTATCCTCAACTTGTAACAATGATAATTTCTCACTCTTCCCCATTACACCCAATGTCACGCAACTCATTGCTGCTTCTTCTAACGAATTGACATCCAATAATGGTGTAGTGTCATATAATCCAATGGAGATACCGCTAACGTAGTCGTACATGGCAATACCTGCATCAATACATGCCATTGTTATACCATTGATCAGGGATCCTAATACACCTCCGTCCTGTTGTAATACATGTATCTCTATATCGATGATGGTACGTGGGTATAGATTCAACATCAAATTCTTCTCAAATGTTCTCACTAGAGCAGTCTGTATCTCTAGGATTCTTCTTTCAGTTTTGTTACTCCCTGTAGTTTTACTTCTTTCGAATTTAGAAAATTTTGTTAAATTGACGCTGATTTGTAATGTAGCTTTTGTTTGATCCAATTGACTTCTTAAAGTAGGTTCTGTAGGGCCCTTCACCAATGTGATAATTTTGTTATTACCCTGTTCCAAGTATGAGGACCCATCTGCAGCATGAGAATGTGTATTTATCGATGTTTCAAACCTACGTAGTTCGTTCCATCGACGACCATCCATCCTCAGACCTTCTGGTGAATATACTTCAAATCTAGACATTGTTCAATAAATAAATGTATATGTTATGTATGGTGATGCCAATGTTTTCTCTTTCGCTCAGGGTCAAAAATAAATAAATAAAGAGATAAATAAAGAGTTGATAGTTTGTTATAGATATTGTGTACAATATAGTCTCCCTTTCTGTTTCATGCTCATCTTCTATTAATTAAATGAAATTTCAAAGTTTCTTTGATGAAATTTTCAATTTGAATAAAATTTGGATTTTTTTAGTGTAGTGCGAAATCACTGCGAACGAGCCTCATCGACATGATTAAAAAGGGTACTTACTTATAGTTTAGTTACATAATAACATCAAGAAGTAGTGTGTGGTTGTTGTTTGGATACTGCTTCACGATGCGACAAAGTCTTAGCCTTCTTGGAAGCATAATGTCTAGATCTCAAATCAGATATGAATTGGCCCAGGATCCATGAGTTTCCCAAGAAGAAAATGACATTCCCAATGAATAAACCTGGATAAAACACATTTTTGCCTAGAAACTCCAGTTTATAACCTTCATTTAACCATGCGGCCTGTGATCCGATCCATATTGCCAGCATTGTGCATAGTCTCAAAAGAGACAATTGTGATCCCTCGCAATAAAATGGTAAAAAGATTAGATACCAGATGAAGTATTGGGAAGTGCAAACTTTATTGAACGTAACGAATGCAAACGTTTGAATAAATAGGACATTGCATAGAACACGTAAATGTCTAGCGCGCTTTTTGGTGATAGTCTTGAAATCAGGTATCCATAGGTTGTAGAGACCTATCAAGATGACCATACCGATCTGAGGGATGAATGCATATTTTGATAAGGAGGATGATATGTTGTTGTTACTTGCGGTAGTCAATGCGGAATCTAAATATAATAGTTGATTCCAAATTGAGAAATTGTGTCTATGATCAAAGCGATATATGTGGTATAAGTATGTTTGGTCCAGGAATTCAAAGCCATACATGTGGAACATCAACACGTTAAGTATGATGATAGTCACTAATGTCATTAATCCATAATTGAATATGATAACATATTTATTTTCCTTCAAGGAATAGAAAAGATATATTGTGATTGGTAATGCATAAATGATGGGATAGATCTTGAAATGGATGCAGAGTCCAAATAATAAGGAACTAATCAAAAATTGTTTATTTTTCAAAGTTAAAATAGTTAACATAATCAAAAAACATAATATAGTTTCGGCATTTCCTCTAGTACTAATCGTGATGACCATAGGGTTCAATAACCATAATGATGCTAATTTTATTTTCTTTGTTGTTGGTAGTTTACTTGGTAATAAGTGCAGTATGACTACACCAGTCAATACATCGAACACGACAAAGATTAGTTTTGATAGATGGAAATTATTAAAATAATGATTAATTGTAAATAACCAACTTAATAGGGGTGTATAACGATAAGTTTCTCTTAAGTAAGGGGACATGCCATTAAAGACGTAATGGCCTGCATCATTGAACACATGGTAATCAATATCTGTATATTTCACTTTAAAATGAGAATCCTGATATATACCATAACTGAAAAATGCCAGACGTAATAGGCAGGACACTATTAAAAGGTAAGTGACATTTCTTTCCATCTTGCTAGAGAGAGAGAGAGAGAGAAAAGAAGAAGTGGCACCTGTTATATATAACGAACTTGGATCTAATGAGAGCAATTTGAACAACGTATCTGTATATTTGTATTCAAAGATATTATGTGTAAGAAATTAAGTATCTCTTTTAAATTCCATTCGGGTTAAATTTTCTATTGCTAAAATTCGGATACTAAAGAATATTATGGATCAAGGCAGGAAAGGGTATATATAATAAGATAACAACTACAAGAACAGAACAGATATATGTATATAAATATTAATCCTAGTTATTTGTGGCGTAGTAGTGCGGAACGATAACTACATAGTAATGAGTACAGAATTAACATATGATGAAATAGTAGAACATATTGTTCAAAATAAAGAAATCCCGAATTCTGTTCAAGTACCAAACATTATACTTGATGATTCACAACGTAGTGAATCCACCATGTCACCACGGTATAAACCGTGGGAAAGACGACATAATGGGGATATGACCGGAAACTCAGCGGTTGATACTACAACTTCCAAGCCTTCGAACTAAATTCCGAGCCAGAACCATCTAGTATAAGTATATATATTATGTATTGTATAGTATTTAGTATAATGATTATGATAATATTATTCTCTAAACAAGCTCATTCAAAAGGTCATCTCTCTCTATGCAGGGATAAATTTGCATACTTTAAGGATTAAAAGAGAGAGAAAATGAAAAATGGAAATGAGCAAACAAACAAACCCACACGAATAACATAGTGGAACCCAAGACAGCACAACGATGGTGAAAGAAATGCAAAAGGATGTAAATGTGTTATTATTAAAACAACAAATTCCATTCATGTTGAATGTGTCACATTATATGACAGACTTAGTGTATACCTTATACTACACAATAAAATTGCAAGACGACGATGATGATGATGCAGCAAAACAAAGACATATATTAGAATTAGAAGGACGAAAGACTTTATTAAGTGATGAGATATATAAGTTACGAGAGCAATTCCGTAATTTATTAAATCAATCGAGTGGGTCGATTTACGGAATGGTGGAAGAAGACAATCAAGTCATCGATGAGGACAATAATACATCACAGGATATATTACGATTGATACAACAATTTAAGGATTTAATAGATGAAGAATTATTGCAAACGGTTCGAGATACGAATATTTTATTAATTACAGAGCTTTCGAAGCAAATTCCTGAGCGGTCAACAGTTAATATTCATAAATTAAATATACAGTTGGATAATTGTCTCTATGGCTTTCTTAACTTAGTTACATTTATTCGAAAGATCCCGCTACGAGTTGATAACAAGGAGTCCATGGAATCTATTGTTAATGTAATTAAAGATGAATTATTATTGAGTTGGAAAATTGAATTAGATTTATTGAATTGCAAGATATTTAATTTAATTTCAAAGAATGAAAAAATTATCAAATTATTTCAGCAGTACCGGTCGTCGTTATCATCAGCAACAGAATCGGGCACCATGGGAGAACAATCCGATTCATCTATCCCGATCATCAAAGAAGACAGTAAAACGTTTATTGAATTAATTAGTTGGTTAAAGGATGAGCAAGTATTTGGTTCAATTGTATTATAAGCCAGCCTCGTACCACGCGATATCACGTCTCACCATTATCAACGTGTTTTTCTTCTGTTCGCCCTTAGAGAAATTACATATCAGCATTTGTTAAGTGATAAAACACAATTTATATAGATTTATATATATAAATATATAAATAAGAACATGTTATTACTAGAGAAATGTGTGAAAGGTAAAGAGGGCAAACAGGTAACGATGTCAGAAATCATTCAAGAAATAAGCAAGCATTTAGTGTTCCCAATAGACTATCCGTCTCAACAGAAATTAAATGGTAGAACTCATAAACTGCTGATAGTTGTTGGAATAATTTCATTTATTTATGGGTATCTAACACAATCAATTCAAAATTTATTAATTTCGTATGGTGTTGGTATAATAGTTACAAGCATAGTCGTAGTTCCAGCGTATCCATTTTACAATAAGCAAAAATTGACGTTTGTAGAGCCTAAGGTCGTTAATATTGATATAGCGAAATGAGGCTCTGTGTATAGCTATACAACTATATATACTAAATTAATTTAATACTAATAATAATAGAAGTAATGTTAGTTGAGGTTGTTCGTTAAGAATTCGTGCAATGTAGTGTAGTGTAGTGCAATAGCAATGGGTAACCAAATGCCATGTTATTTGGTGTCACGTGCCCAGGCGCATATCACGTGCACCTCACGTGCCCACGGCATCGTAAACACGGGACTTCTTCTTTTTAGCCGGCCTGAAGCGGCTGGTAACAGAGAAAGCGGGCAGCCTGTGTCCGTACACCACACACACGGCCGGCGAGACTCCAACGGCCAAAACCAAATATTGTTCGGCTGCCGCGCTGCCACCGGGATTCCACTAAAACAAGAACTTGCAGAAACCAGACACGCGTGCGCACAGTCGCCCACTCACTCACACCCACAGTCTGCTGGAACTTCCAATGTCTAAAAGAGAGGAATCTTGTCTCGCTCGCCTACTCGCTCGCCCTCTCGCAGGCTTCTTCTCTCTCTCTGCATTACACGTTGCTCACCCAACAACTCATATGATACTTCTCTCTCTCTTTCTGTCTCACTCGCTTACAGTAATCGTCGTTGCTGGCAATACCAAAATAGATGAGTTGAGTTGTATGACGATAATTATTTAATGCCTCGTTGTGCATTTCTGATGCTGAATTGATAGTATCTTTTCATAGCAAATTGAGAGTAAATTGATAGTTTTAGTGGATTCTTCTCATCTTGCAACAACCAGCTCTTGAGACTTTTTTCAGTTTCAATTTGCGGCTTTTTGGCGTGCACTTGGGCTTTTCAAACTCTCAAGAAACATATATAAAGGTTAATATTATTTCAAATTTAATAACTAATTTTATTTTCCTATTCTTCTTACATAATTTAATTCATTTGTTATTTGTATTTTTTTCTATTCTCATTTACAAAGAAACCATCCCCCCCAATTAAACAAACACAAATAAATAAATTAAAAATGGTTAGAGTTGCTATTAACGGTTTCGGTAGAATCGGTAGATTAGTTATGAGAATTGCCTTGTCCAGAAAGTCTGTCGAGGTTGTTGCCATCAACGATCCATTCATCACCAATGACTACGCTGCTTACATGTTCAAGTACGACTCTACTCACGGTAGATACGCTGGTGAAGTCTCTCACGATGACAAACACATCATCGTCGACGGTCAAAAGATCGCCGTCTACCAAGAAAGAGACCCAGCTAACCTACCATGGGGTGCTTCCAACATCGATATCGCTATCGACTCCACCGGTGTCTTCAAGGAATTAGACACTGCTCAAAAGCACATCGACGCTGGTGCCAAGAAGGTTGTCATCACCGCTCCATCCGGTACCGCCCCAATGTTCGTCATGGGTGTTAACGAAACCGAATACGCTGGTCAAAACATCGTTTCTAACGCTTCTTGTACCACCAACTGTTTGGCTCCATTAGCTAAGGTCATCAACGATGCTTTCGGTATCGAAGAAGGTCTAATGACTACTGTCCACTCCTTGACCGCCACTCAAAAGACTGTTGACGGTCCATCCCACAAGGACTGGAGAGGTGGTAGAACTGCTTCTGCTAACATCATCCCATCCTCTACTGGTGCCGCCAAGGCTGTCGGTAAGGTCCTACCAGCTCTAAACGGTAAGCTAACCGGTATGGCTTTCAGAGTCCCAACCGTCGATGTCTCCGTTGTTGACTTGACTGTCAAGCTAGCTAAGGAAACCACTTACGATGAAATCAAGAAGGTCGTCAAGGCTGCTGCTGAAAAGTCTAACGGTGTTCTAGGTTACACTGAAGACGCTGTTGTCTCCTCTGACTTCCTAGGTGACTCTCACTCTTCCATCTTCGATGCTTCCGCTGGTATCCAACTATCTCCAAAGTTCGTCAAGCTTGTCTCTTGGTACGATAACGAATACGGTTACTCCACCAGAGTTGTCGACCTTGTTGAACACGTTGCTGCTAACTAAATTTAATATTTCTCTCTACTAAGAATTAAATATTATCTTTTTTTATACATATATACGTACGATCTTTTATAGTTTAATGACAAATTTTAGAATTTTTTGTTAAAAAAAAAATATTTTTTTAAATTATTATTGTTTTGTTATACATCCTGCTGTGTAACTAACACTACTGTCAGTAATCTTTTTAGCATGACTACTTTGAGAATAATCTAACCAATGCCATTTCCATTCCTTTCTTGAGGTTTCCTTAATTTCTCGTTCAATCATTCCAATTACTAACTTCAATGGGTGTTGTCCACATATGGTATTACCTGTAGCTTCAAGATATAATTCCCATTGATCAACGTTCATTTTACCTAACATATTCATCGCATAATGATCTAATATACTAATCGATTCCCATATACTAACATCATGATGATCCAATTTACTTCTTGTAGTCAACGATTCAAGATCATCGCCTCCTTGTTCAGACATTAGTTCCTTGATATCCTCTTCACTCGACGCATACGCCGTATAACCAAATCGTTTCCCCCAATGACAGAAATCACTACTCACTATGATATAATTGTGAAAATGCGGATCTTTGAACGCATTTGCTAATAGTATGCCTAGTTGATCATTGATTTCAGCATTATTGTGAGATATCATCATTGGAACAACCTTAACGTTTGTGTCAATATCTGGAACTTCACGATATTTTAACGTAGCATATAGCATGGAGAATTGCATCTCTAATGAATGTTCAGCTTCATCGTCTTCAGAACTCAATATTTCAAACAACTCCCGTGTTTCCTTGCCTTTATACCATTGATGGCATAACGACTGATCGATTTTCAATGCACCCAATGGAGTGTTCACAGTATCAAATTGGGATAACATCACTGTGTCTCTGAAATAAAAATGATGAGAGGGACCAAGGATGAAAAATCGTAATGGCAAAGCATCCTCCCGCGAGATGTCTAACGATGCAAACGAATGACCCATAGTGGATCCACAATACGTGTACCCTGCATGTGGAGATACACAGATTTGTGCATTGGGGATGGGATACTTGTGTTTTCTAGACGCAACTTCCAGGTAACCTGTGAGTTCTGTGAGCAGTTGGCTGGGCGAGGACGAATACCAGGATCCTGCATGTGAAGCAATACGTGACATTCTTGTGTGTATGTGAGCTTCTTGTTTCTTGTTTTTACTTTCAAATATTTGAATTACTTTGCGTTTATGTCGTGTTCTTATATATATATACATATGTGTGTGTGTAGGTATGTGCGTATTTAGGGGGGGAGGGAGTAAGGAAATTAGGAAATATAAATTAAATTGAGAAACTCCGTCGTCGCTGGAGTGGTAAGAGAGAAAGAGCGGAAAGATAACTCATATTGTGAAAATATTTAATGGCAAGGCAAGACAATAATATAAGGTGTAACGGAGATTGCAAGCAATTAGACACTAAGTGTCAAGTACTTACACTCTGTATCGTTCGTTGTCATAGTGACTTTTTTGCTTTTTTTTTGCTTGATCTCTATGGTTCACAGGACTATTAGAAAGCAACTCTTGAGGTTTTCCCCTGCTTATTAAAAAATGACTAGTAACTGGTGTATAGATATTGAGAGTCTACTTTCAATTCATTTTCATAAGTTCCACCGTTTTCAAAATCAAAATTAAGCCCAAACTGGTATTGGTCTCCATTTGGGTATCGATCGATCGAGTGATCGGTCAGGCCAATTCCCCTTTACAGACAACACAAATTTGTGATTATTTCATTAACGCAAGTTTTCCCTTTTTGTATATTTTATGCAATTTAGCTTGATTTTTAGTAAAAAGAAAAAACGCCAATTGTTTTAGGTCATGCCTCTTTAAAAACAGTTTTCGCAATTTTGCGATTCGCAATTTCGCAATTTCGCGTATTACCTGCGCCGCTTTTTTTTCCTTATTACTTCGACGCACATTTTCTTGCACTGAAAAATGGTTCTAAATAAAAATAATATTGCTGGGTATTTTTAGCTTTCTGTCTTTTCGCACTTTTCAAAATTTTCAAAGAAACTAATATAGCACAAATTCGCGTTTGTTTTTTTGTAAAGCGACTTTTCCCCCCCCACTACGCAAAATCTCAAACAGTTTCCCGTTTATCTTTTTTCTTGCTGGTCAAAATTTGTTAACAAATAAGTTCACCATCCGCCATCACAACTTCAAGAACTATTAATAACTCGAAGAAGATGAACGTTTCATTACCGTATCAGGTCTGGTATATCCTAATGTGGTAATATTATTAGTTCTCGATACCAGCACTTAACTCAGACCCCATCAATTATATATTTTTCAGCTGAATTATTTATGTATATATATACATGTTGCAGAATGGGTCTGTATCTTGCAACTGCCGTGCTAAACGGTGGGTATCTCTTACTCTTTTTCTAATATTGGTATTTTTCACTAGTACACCAACAACAACAACACCACCAACACTAATATTAATATTATAGATGTCTGTTAGAAAAAATTTACTGCTATTAGCTAGTGCTACTGTGGCTACAGCTGCTTCCTGTAACCCATTAACCTCTACATCCTGTCCTGCTAATACGGCTTTGGCAGGTTCTTTCTCTGAGGATTTCACCTCTTCTTCTTCATACTTCACTGATGAAAAGATGCCAGGTTCTATTGAATACTCTTCGGATGGTCTTTCAATGACTTTAAACAAACAAGGTGATAATCCAACTTTAACTTCCAATTTCTATATCATGTACGGTAAAGTCGAAGTCGTAATGAAAGCTGCTCCAGGTCAAGGTATCGTCTCATCTTTCTTCTTACAAAGTGACGATTTAGACGAATTAGATATCGAATGGGTAGGTTCTGATGATACTCAATTCCAATCAAACTACTTCTCAAAGGGTGATACCACCACTTACGATAGAGGTCAATTCCATCCTGTCAGTGAACCAGAGACTACTTTCCACAATTATACAATGGAATGGGGTATGGATAAGACTACTTGGTACTTAGATGGTACTGCCGTTAGAGTCCTAGAAAATACCACTACCGAAGGTTATCCACAAACTCCAATGTATTTGAAGATGGGTATTTGGGCCGGTGGTGATCCATCTAATGCTGAAGGTACAATTGAATGGGCTGGTGGTTTGACCGATTACTCTCAAGCTCCTTTCACCATGTATATCTCTAAAGTTGTCGTCACTGATTATTCTACTGGTAGTGAATATTCTTATGGTGATCAATCTGGTTCTTGGGAATCTATTGAATGTAAGGATGGTGCTATCTATGGTAGATACCAACAAGCTTTGATGGATTTTGCTGAATTGACTAATGGTGGTAACATTACTGAAGCTACTGTTTCTAGTGCTTCTTCTACATCTGAAGTTGCTTCTTCCACCACCTCCTCCTCTTCTGATGTTGCTTCTTCTACCTCTGAAGTTGTTTCCTCTTCCTCTTCTTCTTCTTCTTCTTCTTCTTCTTCATCATCTTCATCTTCCTCTTCATCTTCCTCTTCCTCTTCTTCTGCTGCTGTCACTACCACTTCTACTAAGGCTACTACCAGCTCCACTACTTCTGCTAAGGCCACTACTACCTCTTCTTCAAAGGTTTCTTCAGTTGCTCCAACAACAGTTGAAAAGAGTTCATCTTCTGTAGAAGCTGTCGAAAATACTGCTTCTGTCTCCCATACTTCATCTTCTCAAGCCGTTAAGATTGCTTCTGATATGGCCAATGGGATCACAGCTAGCTTCGGTCTAGCTACTCTACCATTGCTACTATTATCTCTATTATAATTGTAGTCACTTCTACTCATTCATTCATTCATCATGCATCATCGTCACAATAAATTACCTATGTAAAATATATATAATATGACACTCACTAGTTATTTTCCCTATTCCATAAAATAAAATTTAATCATTTCAATACATTTAAATCCAAGTTTAACTAATATTCTATAATGATATTCTTATAATCACTAAGATATATGGTTTTTTATCTTGTTGGTAGAGTCATAGCAATTTTCAATTTTTTTCATCACTATTGTTTTTTTGTTTATTCAATCTATGATATTTGTGATATTTAAGATAAATGACAAAAACATAAATTTATATATATTCTCAATTTTTAACAAAATATAAAAATTGTATAAGGAACTGGGAATTCTTTGGCTAATAAAAATTTGATGATAGAGATAACAGTCCTACTTTATGATGACTATAACTGTTTCTCTACACTATTCGTTCATTCTCATAACTCTCGATAATTTTATCTACTTTTAGCTCAATGTTGTCAACTATATATTTAACTATAGGATTTAATTAATATATTCAATCAAACCATCTACCGATTGTGAAACTATGAGCATTTTTAAAGTGGTAGTCTAGAATTAAAAAGATCAGACGACTATAGGTTGATTTTTTTACTATAATAAATTTGTTCAGTTAAATTAAAGATGTTTAATATTGTTTTTCCCATCAAATATCGAATCTCAGAATAAAATAACAACTTATTCATCCTGTTAAAATCTAGTTGATTGAAGTTAAAGTTATGCACAATGAAAACAAAACTTTCGTGGAACATGTGTCGTCCAATACTAAGTGACACACTAACCTGACAACGGTAAAAAGAAACTAAAAAAGAAAGCCCTGTAGGGGGCTCGAACCCCTAACCTTGTGATTAAGAGTCACACGCGCTACCGATTGCGCCAACAAGGCTTATATTTGTTGAAAAAAAACTAAAATTTATATATATGATCTATTTAAAAATTGTGATTTTATATTTTTTCCTGTTGAAATGTAGCGGCAGCACTAAAATGGCTAACATTAGCTTGACCTATCTGAAGGAGAAGGTAGGTAATATAAGTAGAATTGAGAGTATGCCGTACTACCGTATATATAATAACATGTGATATATACTGCATAATGTAGTATTCGTTCCCCCTACATTGGGTTTATTGGAGCTACATTGTCCAACGTTACTATGCACAAAAGAGGAGCAGTTCAATAACAGTAACTCTGTTTAACAACTACTGCATGGTAGTATCGTGATTATACTGTCTTATTGTGTTCATTTAACCTTAAAACAATACCTTAAGTAGAATTGTGCCATGTTTTGAGTAATAATAATAGAATAATAATATCTTATTGTTTCAACCAACTGATTAAATTAATAAGATAAAGAAATATAGTAAATGAGTTGATGTGGCCGGACCAAAAATATGTAGGTGATAAATATATAGAGTTGTCTGAATTATTCCATAAAAAAGAGGCAGTTACAAAACAGCTCTATAATAGAGATGAGTAAAATAATTCAAAGAAATAGGTACGAATGCCGTGACGTTCTAATATTTACTGACTAGAAATACTGGCCCCTAATAAAAATCAACCCTTTAAGCTGTAAACTTGAAGCTCTTTTTTTTTTTAATTGAGTTCAATTAAATTTACAGCAGTAATCTCAAACTTTTACCGTTATTTACCAGCTTGTGAAAGAATGTCAATAAGTTATTTCATAGAGTTTATTAATGGTTTAACTGGTATTCTAGTAGTCTTAACAAAAATGGTGCACATAAGGACTAACTTCAAACAAATGAACACACGTAAACCTACCAGCTAAAATGAATCCTCCAGAAAACAAAGGCTAATAAATATAAGATACTACGAACACCCCCTAGGCACTACTTATTTTGCTAAAACCATTGAAAGTTACTTAAAATAACGTCCTGGTTCACGTGACCTGCTCAGAAAACCTCGTACAATACCGCCTTTTCTAACCGACAAACAAAAAAAACGTTCGATGAAAACAAATCGCGATGACTTTCAAAATCAAAAAATCCAAATATTCGAAAATTTTCAGTCTAAAAACATACAATTATCATGCTAACTTCAACTAAGTTGACGATATAACTACAAGCATAAAAACAAAGAAAAACGACTAGCGTTTTAGTTAATTTGTTAACATATTGAATTTGAGAACTTGCCTTTTTTTCCCCTTTAGATTAAAATACCTAACTGTCCCGAAATGAAAGTTCTAGAAAGGAGAGATGCATTTTTAAGTGATTATGAAGTATTACAGTTCTTAACCAAATTAGAGTATCAACATGGTTGGGATGACGATACACAAGCACAATTACAACAAAACAGAAGGAAGAAGATCAAGACGAAGAGACCCTACAATAATATTACATTGCAACGGATCGCAAGAGACACGATATCGTATTTACGTGTGAACAAAAGTTATGTACCACAAGAGGACGAGGATGAAACTACAAAGAATGAGAACATGATTTCTCCTATACATAAGCTTAACGATGCTCAATTTAGTGAGTTGATGGTTACATTAAACAAATTTGAGTTATTTAAGATTGAAAAATTACAAATAGTTAACCAGATGCCTCGTAATTTGGTACACTTATATTCTATTATAGAGGAATGTGATTCAAGATTCACAGAGGATCAAATCACCGAAATAATCGGAATCATCGAGGCTCATTCATGAGTAAATGATCGTTCCCCTTCCAAGAGCATCATCATACACACTTTGTAATATACATGTTTATATTTATATATGTAGAAGTAAAACAAGAAAGAAAAAATAGCATTTTAAACGACCTTTACCTCGAAAAATTTGGATAAACAATTACAATGTGATGTGATATATATATATACCTTTGTGACATTTACAGGTATTTTTCATTACATTCACAGCCACGTGCGTAATCAATAGTTTTTCACCATCACCTCTATATGTGCATCCTGTTGGTTGAAAACTAACAATGGAATTCCCTGTGAGTGTATCCTTTCATATATCAAACCATGCACACATCCCATCCACTAACACCCTCCCAATATACTCAAGATATACCAGGTGACATTCATTATCCTTAACGGTTGTCGTGCCATCTGTTATTGTTTGTTGTCACTGAACATTAAAAGATAAGTTGATTATTTTATCTTAAATTTGAGGGTCGCTTCTACGACTGTTTCTGAGTAAAATGTGAAAAATTCGAAAAAAAAGTACAACCAACCCAACTCTTTTTTTCTCTTCTCAAAGAAACAATACCAATCGAAAGAGTAACAGTGACAATTAGTTGACAGGGGAGAAAGAGAGAATAGCATTCTGGTTGTGATTCTTGAGTTCATGATCTTGAAGAAATGGGACAACCTCAACTGTAAGATATAATCCTCTTAATATTTGCAGATAGTATATATATATATAGAGAGGGAACTGTGGTTTGGTTGTATATATCTATATACACAAATATATTTTATTTAGTATCCCCTTTTTCTTTTGATAAGAATAGCTTAGGATTCAAACAAATCGCTTGCTATTGCTAGACACATAGAGCACAATCTCTTAGTTATGAAATTTGGAGAGGTACTAAGTAGGTCTTTGATTAGACAATACAGTTATTACTATATCTGCTACGATGAGCTGAAAAACGAATTAGAAGATAATCTACACAAGACCAACGGACAATGGTCTCAGGAATTAGAAACTACTTTTCTAGAGTCCCTAGAGATTGAATTGGATAAAGTGTACACTTTCTGTAAAGTGAAACACAGTGAAGTTCTAAGAAGAGTGAAAGAAGTTCAGGAACAAGTTCAACATACTGTTGCTCTATTGGACTCAAATACACCACCAAGTGAATTAGATTTTGAAATCTTGGAAGAAGAATTAAGTGACATCATTGCCGATGTTCACGATTTGGCTAAATTCTCTAGATTGAACTACACGGGGTTTCAAAAGATTATCAAGAAACATGATAAAAATACTCATTTTATATTGAAACCTATCTTTGCCGTTAGATTAGATGCAAAACCATTCTTTAAGGAAAATTATGATGGCTTAGTGGTAAAAATTTCTCAATTATACGATATTGTTAGAACTAGTGGGAGACCAATTAAAGGTGATTCTTCTGCAGGTGGTAAACAACAAAATTTCGTTAGACAAACGACAAAATATTGGGTTCATCCAGATAATATCACGGAATTGAAATTGATTATCTTGAAACATTTACCAGTGTTGGTGTTTAATACCAACAAGGAATTTGAGACAGAGGATTCGGCCATTTCTTCTATTTATTACGATAATGAGGATCTAGATCTGTACTATGGTCGTTTGAGAAAGGACGAAGGTGCTGAAGCTCATAGATTAAGATGGTACGGTGGTATGCAATCCAATACGATCTTTGTAGAGAGAAAGACGCACAGGGAGGACTGGACTGGTGAAAAGTCTGTGAAGGCAAGATTTTCATTGAAGGAACGTCATGTAAATGAATTTTTACATGGTAAATACACTGTTGAAGAAGCCTTTGCCAAGATGAGAAAGGAAGGTAAAAAATCAATTCAAGAGATTGAAAACTTAGAGGCTTTAGCTACGGAGATTCAATATACCATGTTAAAGAAACGTTTGAGACCCGTAGTGAGATCCTTCTATAACAGAACGGCTTTCCAATTGCCTGGTGATGCAAGAGTGCGTATCTCACTAGATACCGAATTGACCATGGTTAGAGAGGACAATTTTGATGGTAAGGATAGAACTCACAACAATTGGAGAAGAACAGATATCGGTATTAACTGGCCATTTGATAACATCAGTGACAAGGATGTCTGTAGATTTCCTTATGCAGTCCTTGAAGTTAAGTTACAAACACAATTGGGACAAGAACCACCTGAATGGGTGCGTGAATTGGTGGGATCTCATTTGGTAGAACCTGTACCTAAATTCTCCAAATTTATTCATGGTGTTGCTACTTTATTGAATAACAGAGTGACTTCAATTCCATTTTGGCTACCTCAAATGGATATCGATATAAGGAAACCAGCATTACCAACTCATATTGATATCACCAGACCAGAAAGAGACAGTAGTCCCGGTTCAGGAATCGGTTCTGAGAACGGTGACGAAGACGATGAGGATGATGCTGCTTTGGTGAATGCTATGACTAGTGCTCCCGGTAACAACCTAGATTTAGAAGAGGGACAAACAAGTTATGGCGCCATTTCACGCCAACCAGTACAATCCTCCGCTCTTGGTGAACCAAGAACATTACCTAGTGCCAACGCCGCATACTATCAACGTAAAATTAGACATGCAGGCAATCAATTGACCAAGAGATATTATACTACTGTTGCATTCTTCGACCATTACTTTAATGGTGATCAAATTGCTAAGATTCCAAAGGGCACCGTCTTCGATTCACAAGTCAGGGCACCAGCTGGTAAGACTATCTGTGTTCCAGTGCGTGTCGAACCAAAAGTATATTTTGCCACTGAGAGAACTTTCCTATCCTGGCTATCTATCTCCATCCTATTAGGTGGTATATCTACAACACTATTGACATACGGTACACAAACAACAATGTTAGCTTCCGTAGGGTTCTTCATTACGTCTATTGCGACTTTGATCCATACTGTTTTCGTGTACGCATCAAGAGTTGTCAATATCAGATTAAAGAGAGCCATCGACTATGAAGATAGACTTGGTCCTCCAATGATCTCTATTTTCTTGATCTTGTCTATTGCATTCTCTATTTTCTGCAACTGGGCATAATTTACCAAGTGGATAATATTTATCCATTTTTACCTTAACGTCTGCGAATTACATACTCCCTATTCTTTCCTTTCTCCCTAAAATTTATATACACATATATATACATTCAATTTCCGTTTATAATTAATTATTTACTTTGTATACTACTAAATATCATATATCCTTTACGTCATAAAACCAGTTATTCCTAACGCTGAGTGAGACTCTTAGTGCTTCAAGGAGTGATTATTTGTATACGCGAAAACGGCTACTGAAAAATTCTACTATGGTAAACAGATCATTTTCGTGTATGGTAAACAATATATCGATACATTTCGTATTATATATATATATATAGATTTGGGTAAAGTTAGAAGATTTATACTTTTCATTCAATAGATATATGAAACAAAGAGCTATCTATTTCATAGGCTACCATTCCTTTAGTTACATTCCCCCCAGGTCAAGCTAATCATAATGCTAAGAGGCCGCTTATCAAGTTCACAGGGCTCTAGACCAGCCAAGATAGAGAGCAAAAAAGCACCGCTACGCCAACAATCTATTGCATCATTCTTCAGTAAAAAGTCTATATCGTCATCATCATCGTCATCGGTAACATCGCATACCGTCGTAGCCGCATCTCAACCAAGTAAAAGTGTCTCTCAAAATAGATCACCTTCCATCACAAATAGAAAATTGGTCACATCTACGTCCAAAACGCTAAGAGAACCGACTCAAGAAATTATCAATATAGATGAAGAAAAAGAATCGAAACCTCCCATTCATAGAGCTAAATTGAACAGATCAAAAATCAATCCGTCCTTATCGTCATCCCTGTTCTCTTCACAAGGTTCCTTTGATGAATGTGATCCGGTTGCTGAGTTACATAGGTTGAAGACAGTTGAACATTTGAATAGTTACAAACCTACTTTGTCTCGAGCACCCAGTTTTAGAAGATCAAATAGTAAGACCGAGGTGGTAGAAGTAGAACTGGATACTAATGGAATCACTACATTCCAGGAAGTAACAAATATCTCTAGTGGATCTCGTCAATTGTCATTCACTAGTACACAATTAGACTTTCATAAACACGAATCTGATTCATTCTCCTCATCATTTCAAGGATCTCCTAGAAAGAGAGTCAATATGTCATCATTCCATTCCGATTTAAGATTAGCTTCATCAAAGAAATTAAAGCCTCTGAGTGGCCGTGGTGGTTCGTCATCTTCCAAGAAGCATAAGTCAACACCATTAAAACTTACAAAAGAACAAGATATGGTTATTGACTTAGTTGTGAACAAGAAGGCTAACATCTTCTACACAGGTTCTGCGGGTACAGGTAAGTCTGTTATCCTAAACAACATTGTGACTAAACTAGGTGCCATTTATGGCCGTGATGCAATTGCCGTGACTGCATCTACAGGTCTAGCAGCCTCCACTGTCGGAGGTGTTACGCTACATAAATGGGCCGGAGTTGGTATTGCTCAAGCACCTGTTCAGACTCTTGTCAATAGAGTCATGAAACGTAGAGATATTTTGAACATTTACAAGAATACAAAAGTCTTGATTATTGATGAAGTCTCCATGATTGATGGTACATTTTTAAATAAAATTGAATATATTGCTCGTTCCGTAAGGAAAAGTGATAGACCGTTTGGTGGGATCCAAGTTGTATTAACAGGAGATTTCTTTCAATTGCCTCCTGTTCAAAAACGAGACAACGCTAATGGCAACAATGAAAAGAGTATATTTTGTTTTGAGAGTGAGATGTGGCAACGTTGTATCCATAAGACAATCTTATTGACCAAAGTGTTTAGACAACAGGATGACGAATTGGTGAAAATATTGAACTGTGTTAGATTTGGTGATATTGAGCAACAGATGGCACGTACTTTACAAAATTTGTCAAGAAATATCGAGTATGACGATGGTATTTTCCCAACTGAGCTTTATTCAACAAGAAGAGAAGTTGAATTATCCAATTCAAGACAATTAGGGTCATTACCTGGAGACGAACATCGCTACGAAGCACAGGATATTGCCACCCCAGAGCAACGTAAATTATTAGACTCATCAGTCATGGCAGAACGTTTATTAGTATTAAAAGAAAATGCTCAAGTGATGATGCTAAAAAACAAACCAGAAGTTGATTTAGTGAATGGCACTCTTGGGAAAGTATTATTTTTTACAACTACGAAATTGATGCTAAAGATGAATCAAATGTACAGAGTAATCGATGATGATACTATCATCGATATGAGATTAGTTTCTGAAGTAATCGGTAAACCTATAAAACGTAACTCTGATGATTTTATCAGAGAGGTCCAAGCAAGACCAATGTCTCGTGCTAATAATCTAGGTGAATTACTTAACATTGCTATACAAGAGAGAGATCAAAAAAGTATATACCCATATATTAGATGGTCCATCGGAAAAAGTAAATTCTATAATGAGTTAGTCATTCCCGATAAATTCCCTGTAGATTTACCAGGTGACAAGACAGGGATCGAGAGAACACAATTACCGATCATGCTATGCTGGGCTTTATCTATCCATAAGGCGCAAGGACAGACCATACAAAGACTCAAAGTGGACTTGAAGAATATCTTTGAGGCTGGACAAGTGTATGTGGCGTTATCAAGAGCTGTATCAATGGATAACTTGCAAGTGCTAAACTTTAACGCTAAGAAGATTCGTTCAAACGAGAAAGTCAAGGAATTCTACACTACTTTGGAGACCATCAAGTAGACAAGAACGTGCAAAACATGCCTCTAAGAAAACTGTCTACTAATAATAGCCTATCCCATTATCCAACCTCTGAAGCCGTTTCCATGGAGTAAATAAGTAAATAGATTTAATGTTTGTTTTTAGTATATTCTCTCTATCTCTCTATATTGAAAATAACCATCAAAATGTGCAACGCCTCAAAAAAAGAAAAAGAAAAATTTCTGCGGTGGTTGGAAACGAGTTATTTTTAGTTTTTGAGATTTGGTAATCATAGAAGAGAAACAGTTTTCGTTATCTTGCAGAGGCTACTGATCGTCTGTCATCAAGCACTTCACAAGGTCAAGATTAGTTTCAGGTTTAAGTGATATTATATATTAGACGTTATTTTACTCATTTACATTTGATCGTTTGAGGCCCTTTTTTATTTATATACTTTAAAGTGGGATCAAACAAAGGCCAGAAATCGTATACTCATAAGCTAAAGGGAAACATAAATATATCTCGAGATATATATACATATATATATTCAAATTAAGCTCATTAGTTTAGAAATACCGTTGCTGTAAATACACATCCACATAATTAACATTTTTTTTTTGGCGCTTTCTTTTCAATACAAGATCAAATAATGAGTGAAAGCATTGAGAGACACACATTCAAGGTATTTAACCAGGATTTCACTGTAGATAAACGATTCCAACTGATAAAGGAGATCGGCCATGGTGCATATGGTATTGTTTGCTCTGCCAGGTTTGCAGAAGCAGCAGAAGAGACTACTGTAGCTATCAAAAAAGTTACAAACGTTTTCTCCAAAACTCTACTATGTAAGAGATCATTACGTGAATTGAAATTATTAAGACACTTCAGAGGTCACAAGAATATCACTTGTTTGTACGATATGGATATCGTCTTTTATCCAGATGGTACATTCAACGGACTTTACCTATATGAGGAACTAATGGAATGTGATATGCATCAAATCATTAAATCTAGTCAACCTCTAACTGATGCTCATTATCAGAGCTTCATATATCAAATTCTATGTGGGTTGAAATATATACATTCAGCAGATGTATTACATCGTGATTTGAAGCCAGGGAATTTGTTGGTCAATGCAGATTGTCAATTGAAGATTTGTGACTTTGGCCTAGCTAGAGGTTACTCTGAAAACCCAGTTGAAAACAACCAATTCTTGACTGAGTATGTTGCCACCAGATGGTACCGTGCCCCCGAGATTATGTTAAGTTACCAAGGTTACACAAAGGCTATCGATGTATGGTCTACAGGTTGTATCCTAGCCGAGTTCCTAGGTGGGAAACCGATCTTTAAAGGTAAAGATTACGTGGATCAATTGAACCAAATATTGCAAGTATTAGGGACCCCTTCAGAAGAGACGTTGAAAAGAATCGGATCAAAGAATGTCCAATCTTATATCCATCAACTAGGTTACATTCCAAAAGTTCCATTTGTAGAGTTATATCCAAATGCAAATCCTCAAGCGTTGGACTTATTGGAGAAGATGCTTGCATTTGATCCACAAAGGAGAATCACTGTAGATGAGGCTTTACAACATCCATATTTGTCTATTTGGCATGATCCAGCTGATGAGCCTATCTGTGCAGATAAATTTGACTTTAGTTTCGAAGTCGTGAATGATATGGATGAATTAACACAGATGGTAACTGACGAAGTACATGATTTCAGACAGTTTGTTAGACAACCATTATTGGAAGAACAGGAACTACATCATCATCAACAACAACAACAACAACAACAACAACAACAAGAGTTAGAACAGAAACAGAAGGAAAGCGATATGAGGAAACATACATCTACTAGTAGCATGCACTCAAGTCATCAAATCAGCCATTCTGAATATGCAACACCTATGCGTCAACCTGGAAGTTCTAACCAAGCTACACCTCTGCAGGATTTTGGTCTACATGCTCATGATTTACCATCACATGATACTGATCTACCACCAAGACCCCATGAAAACTTACTAGCTTCGCCTGTAGGTGTTAGTCAAACGATACCACCTCCTGATGCAGATGTTCAGAATGTGAATAATAACCAAACTGGACTATTTGATCTAGAAAAGGAGCTGGCATTCGGTCTAGACAGAAAGTACATATAGATAAGATGAAATCAACAAGAAACGTGTGTCTTGAAATTCTCAACGACGCACGCACTTATATATAGATATATATATATTGCAAATAAATAATTTTCACGACAATAACTTGTCAATGTACATAACACCATCCATTTATTGGTCGTTAAAAAGTTAGACTGTATCCATTGTTCAATGTGTGATTGCTCCAAAAGTGAAAAAAGGATTTGTTAGCGGCATTCGACGTTTAGGCTGCGATTCGTTTTCTTTCGGGTGAAGTGACTCACTCAATAATTAAAGAATAGATAATAATAGTACGAAAGTAAAGGGTCAGATAAATAGAGACAGATCTCTCTTCCTATATACATATATCACAGGAAGAAGATAGATATATACACCTTTCACTTAAATCAGTTCGTTCTTTGTCAATTGTTCCATTGTACAATACTCTTTTTCCTTTGTTACAACTCAAAAAATCAGAACAATAACACCACAAATAAAAATGCCTCGCATTCTCCCATTCAAACAAGTTGATGTATTCACTGGAGAACTATTTAAGGGTAATCCAGTGGCTGTAACCAATTGTATGGATATCGATGAATCAGAAGTCACTACTGAACAATTGCAAGCCATTGCTAGCTGGACAAATCTTTCAGAGACCACTTTTCTTTTCAAACCAACTGATGCTGGTTGTGATTACAAACTAAGAATCTTCACTCCTGGGAGTGAATTACCATTTGCAGGTCATCCAACAGTTGGATCTTGTAAAGCTTTCCTTGAATTCACCGGTGTAAAGAAGGAGAAAATTATTCAACAATGTGGATTAGGTCACATTGAGCTAACTGTCACAGATGACCAAAAGATCTCGTTCAAAGCTGGCCCAAATTCCATAGAGGAAATTAGTGACAGTGTCATCAAATCATACGAATCAACCATGAACATCAATTCGATCGAGAGACCAAAGCTACTAAGAGTTGGTCCAAACTGGGCTGTATTGTTGGTTAAGGATTCTGAAGAAGTTTTAAGAATTGAACCAGATTTGGTCGCAATGACTGCTTTGAACAGAGAAAATGTTCACACTGGTGTCATAGTGGGTGGTTTAAAGACCGGTTGCACTGCTGGAGATGCGTACGAAATCAGAGCTTTTGCTCCAAATGAAGGTGTTTCTGAAGATCCAGTCTGTGGTAGTGGTACTTTGGCCTTTTTGAGATACTTGCAAGAGATTAATCAATTCAAGGAATCCAAAACTTTCCACATTACTCAAGGTGCTAGGGTGGGTAGAAATGGTAATCTTTATTGTAAGATTGACATTTTACCAGATGGTAAGGTTGATTACTACGTTGGTGGTTACGCTATTGCTATCCTAAACGGTACCATCACTTTATAAGTATTGTCTGAACTCAAATATACATCTCTATGTAAATATAAATAAAATAATATATTATTTTATTTGTCAATTGTTGTTTCGATGTTGGATCCATATTTGGAGTTTAAATTTGTTTTCGTATATTAAGTTAATTATATATCCTAAACGGGTAAATTAAAAGGAAAATAATTCGCCTTAATTGGGAAAACGAAGTGGAAAAAGGAAAAAGGGAAAGAAGGAAATAAGGATATTTTTATAATTATATAATTTTCCTTTTTGGTTGCAACAATCAAACCTTTATTCCAATTGGGATTTGTAATAGTAGTTTTTGGTTATTTGAGACTATTTTAATTGTAATTAAATACCTACAAGACAAAATATTGCTAAATAATTTACTGGGTTATACTAGAAGAAAGATATATAAGCATATAGACTAAATATATTTGAAAATAAGTAGACCTACTTGTCTAACGAAGTAAAACTTTTTGAATCATGGTGGTTGCTCTAAACAACAGCAACGATAACAGTACTGACGAGAGAACTCCATTAGATGTACAAAACAATGAAGTAGAGGATATAGAGAGGATCCCTGAGGACCATTTCAAGAGCGAATCTAGACAACTAATAGATAGGTTAATAAAGTTAGGAGTGGTTGTCCTTTTACTTCTATGGGGTTCATTGCTCCTTATAAAAACTATAAAGAGTAATGACAAGGAATCTAGAGATTTTCCACAATATGTATTCCCAAATCCAAATGTGACGGTGGATGGGAAGCTTAAGGTAGCTTTTTCAAATGTTAGGAATGGCACATTTAAACCAGAGATGCATAATATCCAATGGTTAGAACACACAACTGGTGCAAAAGAGGATAAAGGATTATATGTAACTTGGAAGGATGATTCATATGTAATCAAATCTGTCTCAGACAAGCATTACGAAAACGTACTTTTAAAAGGTAAGACATTTATCGAAGATGGTCATAATATGACCATTGACAATATTGTGGCATCACCGGATCTGAAGAAATTATTGATAAAAACAAATACTGTTAAGAATTGGAGACATTCTACAATGGCATCATATTTTGTCTATGATAAGTCAAGTCTCACTTTCAGTCACATTGGTGATCATATCACATTAGCAGAATGGTCCCCTAACGCCATGGATATTGCATACATCCAAGATAATGATATATTTCTATATTCAACGGGAAAGAAACAAACTACAGAACAGGTGACTAGTGATGGAAGTTCTCAAATCTTTAATGGGAGACCCGATTGGGTTTACGAAGAAGAAGTATTTGAATCGGATAAGGCATTATGGTGGTCTCCAGATGGTAGTTATATTGCGTTCTTAAAGACTGATGAAACAGATGTCAATGAATTCACAATTCCTTATTATGTTCAAGAAGAAAGTAGCATATATCCAGAAATGCGTAGCATCAAATACCCAAAGAGTGGTCAATCGAACCCACTGGTGGATTTGTATGTCTATAGTATCAATGATAAAACTAGCTTCCCTGGTCATACTAGTAAGTATTTCCAAGACTCCGATAATCTGATTACAGAAGTTATTTGGGTAGGTAAAGATAGTGTCATTGCTAAAGTCAGTGATAGATCCCAAGACCTATTAAAGGTCCTTGAAATTGATGCTAACAAGAGGACCACGGAAGTGACAAGAATTGAATCGTCTCAAGGTGGTTGGTGGGAAGTAACACATGACACTTTTTATATTCCAAGAAATCAGAAGTACGATAGAGCTGAAAACGGTTATATAGATATTTTACCTATCAATGGCTTCAATCATTTAGTTTATTTTTCACCAATCAATTCTACTAAATCATTGATATTGACTAAAGGAAACTGGGAAGTTGTAAATGGAGTAGCCGCCTTTGATTACGACACAAATCGTGTCTACTTCATTAGTACAAAGAAATCTTCTACAGAAAGACATTTATATTATGTCAAATTAGATCGTCCCGGTGTTGTTCATAAAGTGACAGACACATCTGAAGATGGTGTTTTTAGTGCTACATTTTCTTCAAGTGCTAGATTCATGTTGTTAACATGCAGTGGTCCTAAGGTTCCATATCAAAAGATTGTTGATTTAGGGAGTTCACAGAAGGATAAACACATCGAGGGGAATGTCCTGGGAGAAACCCTGTACTACTTGAAAAAAAATGAAAAATTGATTGAAAGTACAGAACTATACAAAATACCTTCTAAAAAATTCAATGAATTAAACTTAGGAAAAGACGCAAATGGAGATGATATTATTGTCAACTCGTTTGAAATTTTACCTAACGATTTTGATAGAAATTTAAAGAATCATTACCCAGTATTCTTTTACGCATATGGTGGACCAAATTCACAACAAGTTATCAAGACATTTGGTGTGGGATTCAACGAAATTATCGCATCCCAATTAGGTGCAATAGTTGTTGTTGTCGACGGTCGTGGAACTGGATTTAAAGGTAGAGAATTTAGATCTTTAGTACGTGATAACCTAGGTGACTATGAAGCGCAAGATCAAATCGCAGCAGCTGCATACTATGGAAGTAAATCCTATGTTGACTCTGAAAAAATTTCTTTGTTCGGTTGGTCCTATGGTGGTTATCTAACTTTGAAAACATTGGAACGTGACGGTGGGAAACATTTCAAATATGGGATGTCCGTCGCACCGGTCACTGATTGGAGATTGTATGATTCAGTCTATACTGAACGTTACATGCACACTCCTCAAGAAAATGAAGAAGGTTACGACCGTTCTAAAGTAGATAATGTCACATCGATTGGACAAGCACAAAGGTTCTTGTTAATGCACGGTACAGGTGATGACAATGTCCATTTCCAAAATAGTTTAAAATTTTTGGACAAACTAAACTTGAATAATGTCGAGAACTATGATGTACACGTATTTCCAGATTCTGACCACAGTATCAGTTATCATAATGCTAACAAGATAGTGTACGATAAATTGTTCAACTGGATCAAGCATGCATATCTCGGAGTTTACCTTTTGTAGGCGACCCCAGTTCTTTCTAACAACAACAACTGACAATTTTTCGAAGTCAATTGATTTTATAAAATATATATACTTATCCATATTCAAACATTTATAACAAACAAATACTAAAGCATAAACAAATTTAAGAGGTTTCCATTTCCCATTTATTAGTATATTCCTTCAAATAGCCTCTATTCGAACCTTACCCGCGGCGTTTCTAACCTATTTTCTTTTGCTCGCCGCTAAAATTTCAGTTCGGTTTGAGTGGGAAGAAAGAAAGACAGACGGAAACTAAGACCTGAATAATGATGGGTGGCAAAAGAAGGTAACAAACATATTGAAATTTTGAGTGGTTGAAGAATACAGGGGAAGCAAGAATAAGATATATATAACACACATTTTGATTAATTGTGTAGTGGCAAAAGACAAGACTGATAAAAAGCTTATAAATACCACATTTTTTTGGTAATTCAAGTTGGTAAATAGTGTATTGCACAATATAATTATTTGAAAACAGGAAGAAATAAGGATCAATCAAAAATCCTATTGATACTCTTTTATTAATATTTTGAAGGTCTATACTTTATAAACTTACAATGGCTGAAGGATTAGAAAATAAAAAGAAACCTGAGGAAGTTCAAAACGATGAGACCATTCCTACTACAGAAAAGGTTCAACATAAGAATAAAAAGAAGGATGATGAAGAGGAGCAATTATCAGAAGAAGACACTAAATTAAAAGAAGATTTAGATCTTTTGGTTGAAAGATTGAAGGAAAATGATACTTCATTATATGAACCTTCTTTACAAAAATTGAAGGAATTTATTCAAAACTCCACAAGTTCCATGACTGCTGTCCCTAAACCATTGAAATTTCTACGTCCAGCTTACCCAAGTTTATGTAGTGTTCATGATAAATGGACAGATAAGAAATCCAAGTCAACCTTATCTGGTATTCTTTCTGTACTTTCTATGACTTATTCCGATAATGGTAAACATGATTCCCTAAGATTTAGATTGTTATCCGAAGAGACAGACCTGGAAAGTTGGGGTCACGAGTATATTCGCCATCTAGCACTTGAAATTGGTGAAATTTACAATGATCAATTGGAAAAGGAAGCTGATTTAAACTCTGATGGATCTGCAAATGCAACTCCAACACCAACAGATTTCGAATTTTCTAAAGACGATATCCTTCAATTATCTCTAGACATTGTTCCATATTTCTTAAAACACAACGGTGAAGAAGATGCTGTTGATTTATTATTAGAAATTGAATCAATTGAAAAATTACCTCAATTTATTGATGAAAATACATACCAGAGAGTTTGTAAATATATGATTGCATGTGTTCCATTATTGCCTCCCCCTGAAGATATATCATTCTTACAGACAGCATTCTCAATTTATTTATCGCAATCTCAGCTGACCGAAGCATTAGCCATTGCTATCAGATTAGGTAATGAAGAATTAATGAGATCGGTGTTTGATGCTACAAATGATAAAGTTATGCACCAACAATTAGCCTATATTTTGGCTGTTCAAAAAGTTTCGTTCGAATATGAGGGTGTTCAAGATATTATAGGCAATACTAAACTATCAGAACATTTCCTATATTTAGCTAAAGAATTAAATCTAACTGTACCAAAGATTCCTGAAGATATTTACAAGAGTCATTTGGATAATTCTAAATCTATCTTTTCTAATTCCGGTATGGATTCAGCTCAACAAAACTTAGCTGCATCATTCGTCAATGGATTTTTAAACTTGGGTTATAGTAATGACAAACTTATTGTCGATAACGATAGTTGGGTTTATAAGACAAAAGGTGACGGTATGACATCTGCTGTAGCCAGTATAGGTTCAATTTACCAATGGAATCTTGATGGTCTACAACAATTAGATAAATACTTATACGTTGAAGAACCTGAAGTTAAGGCTGGTGCATTATTAGGTATTGGTATTTCTGCAGCTGGTGTTCATGACGCTGATGTTGAACCAGCACTATTGTTATTACAAGATTATGTAACGAATACTAATCCAAAGATTAGCTCTGCTGCTATCCTGGGCCTTGGTATTTCCTTTGCTGGTAGTAGAAATGAAGAAGTTTTAGGCCTCTTATTACCTTTGGCTGCCGATACATCTCTACCATTAGAGACATCTACAATGGCTTGTTTGGCCTTATCTCATATATTTGTTGGTACATGTAACGGTGATATTACTACTTCAATTATGGATAATTTCTTAGAACGTACTACCACGGAATTGAAATCTGAATGGGTGAGATTCTTAGCTTTATCATTAGGTTTATTATATTTACAACAAGGTGAACAAGTAGATGATGTCATGGAAACCTTGAGCGCCATCGAACATCCAATGACTTCCGCAATCGAGGTATTAATCAATGCGTGTGCTTACACTGGTACTGGTGATGTTTTGTTAATTCAAGACTTATTGCATCGTTTGACTCCAAAAGCTGTTAACAAAGAAGATGAAGATGAAGAGAGTGATAATGAAGATCAGGCCAATAGTATAAGTGATTTCTTAGGTACTAAAGAAAATGAAGACGCCGGTGCTGCCGAAGATAATGAAACAACTCCAGCAGAGACCACTACAGGAGAAAGCAATGATGTCAATGCTGACAATGAAGATGATGCTATGGATGTTGACCAAGAGGATTCGAAACCTGAAAATGCGAAGACTGAAACTGTTGGTAAGGCAGTGGAAGAAGAAAAGGAATCAGGAATTACTGAGGAAGAAGAAAAAGAAGAAGAAAAAGAGGCCGGTTTAATTGAAGAATCCTGTTTTGCTGTTCTTGGTGTTGCGCTAATTGCTATAGGTGAAGATATCGGTAAAGAAATGTCCTTACGTCATTTCGGTCATCTAATGCATTATGGTAATGAATATATTCGTCGTATGGTTCCATTAGCGATGGGTTTAGTCTCTGTGGCTGACCCACAAATGAAGGTCTTTGATACATTAACCCGTTTCTCTCATGATCCAGATTTAGATGTCTCTATGAATTCTATCTTTGCAATGGGTCTTTGTGGTGTTGGTACAAATAATGCTAGATTAGCACAATTGCTGAGACAATTAGCCAGCTATTATTCCCGTGAACAAGACGCATTATTCATTACAAGATTATCACAAGGTTTAGTCCATCTGGGTAAAGGTACGATGACAATGGATATATACAATGACGCCAATGTTCTAAATAAGACCACACTGGCATCATTGTTGACTGTTTTAACTGGTCTTGTGTCCCCAAGTTTCATGTTGAAACATCACCAACTATTCTATATGATGAACAGTGGTATTAGACCAAAGTTCATTATAACACTAGATGAAGAAGGTGAACCATTAAAGGTAAATGTCCGTGTCGGTCAAGCCGTAGAGACAGTTGGTCAAGCCGGTAAGCCAAAGACCATTACAGGTTGGATTACACAATCTACTCCAGTATTATTGGGTCATGGAGAAAGAGCAGAGCTTGAGAATGATGAATATATCAGTTACACTAGTAATATTGAAGGTGTAGTGATCCTAAGAAAGAATCCAGACTTCGAAGCTGAAGAGTAATAAAAAACAAACAAACAACGAAAAGGAAAAAATGTACCATACAATATAAGTGAATACTTGCAAAAGTTTGTATAAACGTATAAAAGTAATTATAATAATCATTGAACTAAAGATTACACAATCTGTTTAAGGGCCACCAAGAAAGGCCAAGAAGTACATATGTATATATCTAAAAGAAGACAAGCATATGTATGTATAATAATGATATGAGTGCATTCATGCATGAGTATATATATATATAACTAAAGATATTGTATATAAAGAGATAGAAGGAGATAGAGACAAATAGTTAAATAGTGATGGGATGTCTATTAAATGATTATGCTATTATCTCATTGGAAATCGCTTGCTTTACCAGCCATCAATAAACCGACAATTAACCCTAACAGACCCAAGATAGATCCGAAAATTTCCACGACTAAGATCTTCACGAATAATGCAGAGTCTGCAGCATCGGAGATAGCAGCAGTAGCACCTGTGACACCAACAGCGATACCACAAATCAAATTACAAGCCCCAACGGTGATCCCAGCCCAAAATAATGAAAACCCTGTATATAGATTTGACTTAGAAAACATTGTGTCAGCTGATGCTACAGTCAATTTTGAAGAGAATACGATGGAGATAATTAAACCATAGATAGCGACAACTTCACAAAAAATAATAGAGATTAAATTCTTAGTAGTGATTCTTGGAGCAGCGACACCTGCACCAATGATAGAGGAACCAGTAATGAAAATACCCCATGCGGCACCAACAACACTCAGACCAATACACATGGCAATCCCCAGGTTGGCCCACATATAAGGAGAGGTCTTCAATAAGAACTTCCCGAAATCAATGTCTGTTCCATGTCCTGTAAACAATTTGTATAAAGCATAGACGGCGATGACTGTCAATATGAATGAGTATAATATACCATTGTAGGAGACTGTATAGCCCTTCCCTTTCTCGTTTGTAGTCTTGATCATTATCACTTTCAACTGGGTAGATGTAGATGTAGATATAGTAATCTACAAGATGGATATTAAATAATTCCAACTTTCACTCTTATATAATAATCGATGGTTGCATCAAACATCGTCAGTTTGAAAACCTTTAATTATTAGCCTTATTAGAGGGCTTTCTCTGCCTGCAATTTTTCCCGAATTTTTTTCTATGCAGCCGAAGCCGGGTAAAATCTATTACACATAAAAATATTTCTTTATATAAGTTGATTGATGATCTATACAAGAAGAAGATGCAGCTGATTATAGTCTTTCGACAGTGGCACCTCCTTGGGCGACATCTAGCAACTTCCATTGGCATTCCACATTGTTCTTGGTGAATCTGTTGATGATTTCTTGGGCAATATCGTCGAAGTTCTCGGTGGCCAATGCTAGGATGGTTGGACCGGCACCTGACAAACAGATACCCATCAACCCTTTATGAGTAGCTGGGGTGACGCTTTGTAGGATATCGGTCAGACCAGGAATTAAGATCTTTCTGTATGGCTGGTGCACTCTGTCTTGCATGGCTGGGTAGATCAATTTGGCATCTGGTGGATCCAAAGTTAGAGCATTGGTCAAGACAGCTAATCTTTGTAAATTGAATACTAAATCTTGAGTTGTGTAAGCCTTTGGTAGAACACTACGAGAATCGGCAGTGGATAGCTCGAACTGTGGAATAATGGCGATACATTTGATCTTTGGGTTCCAGTTATATTTGACATGTTGACCGATATCCACCGGTGGTAGAGGTGGAACCAAACCGGTGTCTTCACCACCACATGGCTCAGGTAAGACTTCGGCCAATGGGATCTCACGACGTTCCAGTTCTTGTGGGGTCAAGTCTCGTAGGAAAGAACCACAGAAACTACCCATCATTGCTGCTGTGATATTGTCTGGATGTCTTTCAATCATTAGACAGAAATCTAACATTCTTTGTTTGGATAGATTTAATTGTCCGACTTCATCACCTAGCATGACACCTGCAACAACAGCGGCACCAGAGGAACCTAGACCACGTCCCAATGGGATTGGATTCTTGATATGAACTGTGGTACCTGATGGGAAACGACGAACGTTACTACAACGTAACACATACAAGGCGGTACGTGTGATTAAGTTAGTGTCGGAAGCTAATGGAACAGAGTCGTAACCTTCGGAGTCCTCAGAGTAAGTGATACGGCAATTGTTTGGGTCACTAGTTGTCACGTTGTCGTTGGATGGGTCGATTGTAACTTCTAATTCAAGGTATAGTGATAGAGCAACACCAAGTACATCGTAACCTGGACCGATGTTGGCACTGGAAGCTGGCACTTTAATAACAAAACTCCGTGGCATGATGTATAGCAAAATGTCTGTGTGTGAGGAGATGGAGAGAACGTGGTTATATACAGATGTATAATGGAGTATATTAGGAACTATGTAACCTTGCAGACTCCTTTTATCAGGTGCAGGTTCAGGTTCTGGTCGATGGTTTCCAAAAAGCTGAAAATTTCGCCGGAAAATTAATTTTCGATGACTCAAACTGCAGCTCGTGCATAGTGACGTTGATGTGAGTTAAACTACTTCTCTATCTTTGACTATCCTCTATTACATAACAGTTGGCACAACTTGTTGAGGTACCGTTACCTTCATATATATATATATATATATATATCTATCTGTACAATTGTAGTCTAATGGAAGACAGCTTATGAAGTTGGAGAAGCTCTGAACCACCTATAAATATACGTATATACTCCATGTCTGCTCATGGTAATGCGAGTAATATTGATAAGGAAATGTGAAATGACAATTGCATAGATGTAGAAAATACATATTCAAACAATTTACTTCTCATATTTGGCCCTCGACCAATATCTCTACAACGAACAATGCTTCAGGGAAAACGTTCTCCCAAGCTACGGTCGAACAGTACCAAGTAATATGATAATTATGACATGGACATATAATCATATAATAATACCCTCGATATAGACATGTAACATGTGACTAGTGAATCCTATATAGTTCCATTATTTTAGCAGTTTCTTGATCTTGTCTGCTCTTATTGGGCTTCTTGCTATGCTCTTCGAATGGCAAACTGCGCGAAATCTTAAGAAGAAATAATATAAGAGGAAGACACACCCAAATATTCAACATATAATATAATTCAATATAATACAAGATACACAGCCAAACCCAACATAATACAATACTAGATATATATATACACACAAATATATATGAAAATGCTTAGAGGTCTATCTACAGTTGCAAAAGCAAAGGGATTCCAACTCTCTTCTTTATCGAATGGTCTTAGAGTGGCTACTTCCAGCGTTCCGGGCCATTTTAGTGCTTTAGGTCTATATATCAATGCAGGTTCAAGATATGAAAAGAGAAATTTAAAAGGATGCACACATATCCTAGACAGATTAGCCTTTAAATCGACCCAACATATCGATGGTCGTACAACAACCGAAACTTTAGAATTATTAGGTGGGAATTATCAATGTACTTCGTCAAGGGAAACAATGATGTACCAAGCATCTGTCTTTAATAACGATGTTGATCAAATGTTAAGGTTAATGGCAGAGACTGTGAGGTTTCCTAACATTTCTCAACAGGAGTTGGATGAACAGAAATTGGCTACACAATATGAAGTTGATGAAATTTGGCTAAAACCGGATTTAATCCTACCTGAATTATTACACACCACAGCATTTGCAGGTGAAACATTAGGTTCACCTTTATTATGTCCTAGAGAATTAATACCTTCAATTTCAAAATATTATTTAAATGATTATAGAAATAAATTTTATGTCCCAGAGAATACCGTTGCTTCATTTGTTGGTGTCGATCATGATGTTGCTTTAAAATATGCAGAGAAACATCTGGGTGATTGGGAATCCACCCATCCACCAATAGTTAAGGAGGCAGCTCATTATACTGGTGGTGAAACATCTATTCCACCTGCTCCTACGTTTGGTAATCTACCTGAATTATACCATATTCAAATTGGATTTGAGGGACTCCCCATCGATCATCCAGATATTTATATCTTGGCAACTTTGCAAACTTTGTTAGGTGGTGGTGGATCCTTTAGTGCTGGTGGCCCAGGTAAAGGTATGTACTCGAGATTGTATACACATGTGTTGAACCAATACTACTTCATCGAGAACTGTGTAGCGTTCAACCATTCATATTCAGATTCAGGAATCTTTGGAATCTCAATCTCTTGTATCCCTGAGGCTGCTGCTCAGGCTGTTGAAATCATTGCACTACAATTTAGTAACCTATTTGCAAATGAACAATTGAAATTGTCCAATGAAGAAGTCTCAAGAGCCAAGAATCAATTGAAATCCTCTTTGTTGATGAATCTAGAGTCTAAATTAGTAGAATTAGAAGACATGGGAAGGCAAATATTATTACACAATCGTAAAATCCCTGTAAGTGAGATGATCGAGAAGATAGAAGAAGTGACCCCCCAGGATATCGAAAGAGTCGCCAGAACTGTATTCACAGGTAATGTCAAGAATTTGGGACAAGGTACTGGTAAGCCTACCGTCGTCATGCAAGGTAATAGAGAAGCATTTGGTGATATCGAAGGTGTATTTAGACACTACGGTCTCGGAAAATAATAAGAATAAGAATAAAATTGATATTAATATTAATTAATGTTAATGCTTATCGTCCTCCTGTATATAAATAGTAATATATAACTATGTATTCCTTTATGACATGATTTCTTCTGTTCTTACGTCAGAATCTACTTGTTTACGACCAATGTTACTGACACCACCATCGCCTCGTTCTTTCCAGAATGTTAACTCTTTTTCCAATTCAAGAACTCTATCCTGATAGTACGAGTTATCTCTAACAGCTTTCTTCAAATTAACTTCCTGTTCAGAAATGAATTTTTCTAAGTTATTGATTTGGTCGTTATACTGTTGAACGTTGTTTTCAAATTGTTGTCTATCCTTATTAGCCACATTGATTACTTCAACTTGACTTTCATTACGCTCCGTCAAATCTTGAATTGCTCGGTCTAATGCTTTGTTTTTCTTCATCTCTTCATATTTTAAATCAGTCTCTGACGACACAAGAGTCTCTAACTCATGTATCTTAGCCAACCAAGAATCCTTATCTGTAGTATCAGATATCTGTTCTTCTAAACTTTGAACGGAAGCACTCAATTGTTGATTTTGTCTCGATAGAGTTTGATTCTCTTCATGAAGATCAATATTCTTTTGTTTCTCTTGGTCGAATTTCTCTTTGTAACCATCAACTTCACTTTGTAAACTTTTCACTAATTCAATATTTCTTTCATTTTGTTCTTTTTGTAATGCTAATGTCTCTTCTAAGTATTCTATATTGCCATTAATCTTATTTCTCTCTTGAACTGATTTACTAAAATCAACTCCAGTTTGATTCAGATTGGAATTTAATTGTTCAATTTGGTTCATTAGTTGCATCTTTTCGTCGCTCAGTAATTGAACCTTATTAGCCAAAGTATCCTTCAAATTGCTTAATTCTTTGTATTTTTCGTCAAGATCCATTCTTTCAGCATTGGCAGCATCTCTCTCAGTACTTAAGACTTCAACAAGATTTGTATAATGGTTATTTTGCTTGATCAAATCATTAATCTTAGCTTCAGCGTCATTCCCAAGACTTTCCAATTTATATTTCAAGGTAGAAATTTGTTTCTTTAATTCGGTTTCGTTTTTCATACCATGTTCAATTTGTTCATTTAGAGATTCTATCTTCGTAGAATAATGTGTGTTATCCTTCATAGCGATAACACGTTCCTTCATATGTTCGAGATCTGAGTTCAACATCTTATTTACATCCTGTTCTCTCTTCAATTGCAGAACTGTCTCTTGTAATTTCATATCAAGGTCATTTCTTTCTGACTCAGTATTCCAAAGTTGTTTCTCCTTCTGCTTGATTTGAGATTTCAAGTTCTCTAAAACGTTACCAAGATTCTTAACATCATCCTCAGCTTGTTTTAATGCATGCGTGTAATCCTTTATTTGAATTTCATTGGCATGTAGATCATCTAGACAGGCCTCATATTGCTGCTTTTGTTGTTTCATGGTACTAGATATCATCTCCTTTTGTTTTATAGTACTCGATAATTCTTGTTCCAATCTTTGGATTTGTTCATTTAATAAAGTTTCCTTTGATTTGAATTGTTTAATTCCGAAAGATAAACTATTAATCTGTTTTTCAGAATCGTTCAAATATTCTTGAATCTTATAATTCTCTAACTTTTGATAACGGAGCTCCTCTTCATACTTTGAAATACCTTTTCTATTTTTGAAAATATCGCCTGCAGCTAAATTAGTTCTATCATGCAAAACGTTTTCCTTTAGCTTATATTCCAAATTCTTAACATGTTCTTCACTTGCCTCGTATTTCAACTTATAAAGATCTGAAGATGAACCAGCACTTTGCATCTTACCAAATTTATTATGAAGCGCAGACGCAACATTCTCTGCATCACTATGTGCTTTCTTTTCAACTTCAAGTTGTCTTCTTAAGTATTGAACCTCAAGAACAAGTTTTTCAAAACTGATATCTACGTTAGAATTATCGTCTAATTCCTTCTCTAGATTAACGTCGATATTAGAGTCCTTAATAATCTGAATAAGGTTTTTAATTTGGCCCTTAGATCTTTGATAATCAAATGATGAAGAAGCCAATCTTGTTTCAGTTATTCTTAGGGTAGAAATTAATGTCTTCTTTTCTGTAATCTCTCCTTCTAACTTTCTTACAGTATCATCTAATTTTAATTTCATATCGTTATATGTATGGATTAACTCATTAGTTTTCATGTTGGTTCCTGAAAGGATATCATCAGTTGTAAAATTCTCATTGTTTACAGATAAACGTTTGGTCAGGTATTGATTCAGCGACCTTTCTTCAGATAGTTTACTTTCCAAATCTTGCACTCTTACGCTAGATGACTTAATTGAACTGTTACTATTGCTCATATGATGCTGTTTCCCTTTGAGTGATGTGTAATTGCTTTCAAGGGTTTGATAAGTAATTTTTAATTCGGATAATTTATCTCTAGCTTCCTTTAATTCAGATAATACCTTTTCATGTTCAAGCAAAGCATCATCTCTTTGTTTTGAAACTGAGGATATTTCGCTTTGGAATGAAGCCAATCTGTCTTTAAATCTATTTAATTCATTTTCTTTATTTTTGATTTGCTTGGAATTAGCAATTTGGTCTTTCTTGGCCGAACTTATTTGAGATCTTAAATCAATGTTTTCATTTACTAAAGTTTCTAGTCTACTCTTAGCAGTTTCACAACTCCTTTCGAGGGCACCCAATTTTATATCTAAATCTTCTTCTGAGTTTGAAATTTTGTTCTTCAAATTACTGATTTCTTTCTCATTATTCACTTTCAGTTCTTCTAGTTTTTCTATTTTTGTTAGCAAATCATCTTTTTCCTGATTTGTCAACGTAAATTCCTCTTCCTTTGATGAAACTTCCATTTTAAATGACTCAAATGTTTTAGATATTTCATCTGCATTCGATGTCAAAATTTCAATTTTCTTCTGTCTTTCTCCAATTAGATCATTCATTTTTTCAATTTCTGTTTTTGAGTTTTCATATTTCTCAAGAGCATTCTTCTTTTCAAGATTAATGTCATCGTTTAATTTATTGGCTTCCGTTAATTGAGTTTCTAAATTAGTTTTCGCATTGAGAATCTTTTCTAACTCTCTTTCTTTAGAATCTAATTTATTCTTTTCCTCATTCAATAGATTTCTGATATCTTCCAATTGTGTTTCAGCTTCTACCTTTGATGTTAATAGTTCGTTATTAATCTTCTCAGTTTCTCCTATTTTTGTTTCTAATTCTTTTATTTGAGTACTGAATTTTTTGGTCTTAGTAATATCCTGTGTTGAAGATAATAGTGGCTTGATAGTAACAAAAAGGTTAAACCATGGATCTTGCATTAATGTGTTATATGTTTCGAAAGTGTTACCAACAACTCTGGCAGAAGTGATCTTCCTCAGTTTATCTTTAGTCGACTGTCTATTCAATCTACCTCTTATCTGAGCATTGAATAATATGGATATTTTCCTCATTTTATCTTCTTTTTTGTTTTCCAATTTAGCTAGTACACCAGCTTTAAAGAATAATTTGGTATTACCTACTTTAAAGAGACTAGGGTCAAAATGTAAAGAAGATAGTAATATTTCACAATTTTTCTTAGGATCCTTCTTGTGATAGTCATCTTGATCAGATGATAAAAGATTATATCTATTATAAAATTCCTTGAAGAATATTCTATTTGGATAACCTTCACGAGCAATTCTAATACCTTCAAGGACACCATTACAACGAAGTTGATCCAAAATCAATTTCCTATCAAAATTCTTTGCCATTTTCTTGTTATTTGGGATAATACAACGTACGAAATGTGGATGTGTAGTGTTCAATTGTTGTAATAAGGATATTTGTTGTTCTCTATGACGAGCAGAAGCAGTTCTGAAGGATGTACCAGGAGATCGAGATCTAGAAGGTTTCACTGGGGATCCTGGGATGTCTAATTCATTTTCACTCTTGGAGAAGAAATTGGATATAAAACTATTATCAGCATTGGATAGAACAGTTGATAAATTTTCACTTAGAGGGTCCTTATTTTTAGATAACCAACCGTCGATGTTATATTCGACATCGCCTGCGTAATGTTTTAATACGAAACAGTTTGGAAGTTTGGAACGTTTGAATCTATCTGATTTTTGATCCCAATTTGTAATCAATTTTTCAAAAAATGTATCATCTGTAGATTTTGGTAAGATAGATTCTTCATCCAACAGAGGGAGAATCCCAGAGGGAATCTTCTTTTGTTCAATTAAGTCAATGGTAAATTGTAAATCTTTACCATAATCTATATAATTCCATTGGATATTTTCTTTGATATATTCACTTTGTTCCAACACAAACATGTGATGATTAAAAAATTGTTGCAATTTTTCATTTGTGTAATTAATACACAGTTGTTCGAACGAATTATGTTCAAAGATTTCAAAACCGGCAATATCAAGCAGACCGATATAGTTTACTGTCATAGATCCATGATCTAATGACAGGTTTATTCTATCGACGATATATGAGAACAGATGTTCATATAATGATCTTGCTAAGGAGTTCAAGATGAATTTTGCTTGGGTAGCATTCTTAGACTGCGAGACCCATTCTCTACCTGCTTTTGATTTTGGTCTTAAAATCGCAGTTTCAAAATCAGATTTTTCGACTCCTAATAACGTTATAAGATCTTCAATATCACTACTGAAGCTTGCTTGTTCGGCTTTTTCAGAAGTAAATTTTATATTACCGATATGTAAGATAATAGCAATCACTGTTAGAATATTTTCAATATTTTGTTCTTCGAAACCCACGGTTTGGAAAGCTGTAATCAATTCACTAAAATTAGCTTGATCATTCACACCTGCTATTGAATGGTTTGAATGAGCCAAGTATTCATAACTTGATATGGAGCTTGATGGTAATCTATACTTTCGATTTAAATCTGCCTCACTGGTACTATTTAAAAACTCGTAAAAAATATGATAATTTCGTTCATCTGGATGTTGATTTATGACTCTTGATTTTTCTAAAAGGTACCATTCGATATGAGCACCATTAATTTTCCCTCGTTCATCGAATTCGATCTTAATGAATTTACCAAATCTAGAAGAATTATTATTACGTACAGTCTGTGCATTACCAAACGATTCTAAGATTGGATTACTTTGTAATATTTTTCTTTCAAAACTTTCCAAGTTATTAGGAGAATCGTTTGATATCGTGTCCTTATCATCTGATGACGTGACGGACGCTAAATATTGTAAGATCTTCTTGGTGTTTTCTGTCTTTCCTGCACCTGACTCACCGGTGACCAGTATAGATTGATTTAAACGTTCTGTTAATAAGTTTTGATAAGCTTCTTCGGCCACGGCGAATATATGTGGTTTATTCTCTTCTTTGACCGAACCATGATAAAGGTTGATAAACTCCGGTGTATATAATTTGATATTGCAATAAGGGTTGATTGCGACTAAGAAAAGCCCAGAATATGTATATATCAAATCATCCTTGTATCTATTCTCCAAGTTGTACAGTACTGACGGTTCGTTTAAAAATGTCAATTCGGACATATTATCGCTCTTTTCGAAGCTGGTTGGGTTCACAGGTTGTATATCTTTCATGGAGATGGTTCTGATTTCGTTTGAGTTCAGCACTCGAACCTCTGTTGTTGCGCCTTTATTAATTTCGTCGATTGATCCATTATCGAGTATTTCACCTTGAACAAAGGTCTCTGTTTGGTCCGGTATCCAAACGATCCTGGTTTCAGTGTGTTCATTTTCCGGCATCTTGGTTTGAAACGTTATAAATATTGATAAAATGGTTACAGATCCAGTGCAATGGAATAGCCTTGTATTGGTTTCTGGAAGATATGGAGTCCTTTATAAATATTAATTGTTGTTGTATGGCTTAATTTTCCTAAGCAAGCCGCACTGAAGATATGTATTATGTGTTAAAGACTTGTTTACGTTAACAAACGTTTGTTAACGTTTGTTACTGATAAAAACAGGTTCTATGCAGTGGATGGGTTCTACTTTTCTTTATGCCTCCATCATCCGCTCTTTTCTCTATATACATAATTTTTCATTGTTTTTGTTTACAATTCCTACCCAACAATTACCGAATCAGTTAATGAAAATAAATAAATAGAAAATATTCAGAGAATTGAACGCAACTCGAGGCCGTTTTACCCAAAGGGGAAAAATAATTATATTTTTCTCTGAAGCCCTGAGTAGGGCATGACGCGAACCCTAGGGCTTGGAGATTGGACCCGTTGCTTTGAAACTGTAAAGGCGTATTAGTGCGATCTGACAATCTATCAGGCGGATTGCAAAGGAACGTTATTAACGGTGCATCATATTGTACCAAGAGGTTGCAAGCATGAGAGAGAGAACTCCTCCAATTACGGAAGTACAAGGCATCAATCCTGAGACAGTCGAGCGAACCGGAGGACAGCCGAACAGTGTATAAATATATTCGCGAAACAGAGTTGTTGTAGTATTGTCGGTTGAACTTGTGCAGTTCGGAAAGATATGTGTCGTGCGACCTTGTCGATAAGGACTGCAAGGCAAGAGTTGGATATTGGAAAGAGCAATCGAGAAGAGAGAGAGAAATTTGTCAAGATATACATATATCCATCACTTTCACATAACTATATTTGCTAACGGGTCTACTATAATAAATAAAATACCGGAAGTAGTGATTTTTTTACCGTTTCGCCGATCGACACACGAGAACGAGTATTCGCTAATGTATATGGATATGTAAACCTCTAACACCGACAACTAAACATGCAGTGTTCGTATACGCTCGGTTACCATATATAGCTTTGTATATAGTTGTAGCCAGGGGGTAAAAGAAAATAAGAGTAAAGATTGTGTGTGTGTTCATCCCGTGCCCTGTCACAGCATATTCTACTGTCTCACGTCGCAATGCAGGTTCCAAGACCCGATTAATTTTATTGGATATTTCAGAGGTGGAAGCAGACAGCCATCCACCCCAGCAAACCACAACAAGATAACGAGGGGGTGGGGAGCAGCGAGAGAGAGAACCACCGATACCAAAATGAACATAGACGGTCATTACGTATAACAACCAGACCCTCGCTTGTCACGCTTGTCTCGCTTGTGTGTACGACCCCCACCGCAGGAGCGGACGTCCGGTTTTATCTCCACTTTCTTGCTTGTTCATGGCGCGTCTCTATGTGGTGTGGGGGTGCATGCGGAGACTAATCTGTTGTTGTTACCCCACCCCGTGTCCTGTACGGCTGTTTGTGTGCCACGCACCCACACCCACACACAACACCCGTCTTTGCCATGGGGGTTGGCAACAGCTGCCCAGTGACCGCGGCAGCAGCAGCAACAACACGTTGTGCCTTGTGCGGACAGACAGAAACCACCAGCAACAGCTATTTTCACTCAAATTTGCTTGCTGTGCTTGCTGTGCTTGCTGTGCTTGTGGTTTCCCCATAAAAATTGTTTGCCGAACGAATTGAGGGTGGGGAAAGCAGGACTCAATTAATGCAAGGATTTCACAGTAATGTCACAGTAACATAGCTATTGGGCCCTCTTTCCTTTGAACAACTAAGAACAAGAAGGTACCTTTTCTCGAACAAGTGACAATAAAACTTTAAATTAAACTGAAATTAAACTGAAAATTTTACTGGGTTTCCCTCCAGGAACTTTTTCTCCAGATAATTTTCACTTTCATTTTCATTTTCATTATCTTGGACATATATAAACTCTCACTCTTTTATTTATTTAAACGGCCACTGCAATTCAAATTTATTAACGTTCCACTTGGTGTTCCACTTGCTAACTCGAAGTGGATTGCCGATATATATATATACACACACACGCACACAATCTTTACTATTATGTCCGGGTTGCTGATATACGATACTCAACCAAATCAAATCCCTCGATGTTTCGATACAGACTCCGTGCGAATCATGGTAATGGGAGATAATTGCTCAGGCAAAACCTCCTTCATATTACGATGCTTGAACGGCACTTACAGAGACATCGAGGCCGGCATGTATATGGAAGACATATACAGAAGACCACTGAATCTTCTATCGTTGCTCACAGACTCAAAAGTGTCGAACGATCACGACATCCACGAGTTTATCAACAGTAAGACTTACAATAAAAAATTCCTGCCAAAGGAAGTCCAATTCTTGGATGCGTCGCCTTTTGAAATCGCAGACTTCTCAGAATTAAGAAACCAACATATCATTCAATCCGATGCGTTCATCCTGTGTTTCGACCCGACGAGCATGGAATCGTTGCTGAACTTAAGAACGTATCAGAGAAGAATAGAACGGGTCAGAGGTATAGACGATACCGTGCCGGTCATGGTCGTCGCTACGAAGTCCGACTTGATGTCAGAGAGGAAAGTCTCCAGTGACGATATCCTCGAGATGATGAATAGATTCGAACTGTCGTACACAAGTAATTTTATGGAGATTTCTTCAAAACATGATATTAACGTTAAGAAATTGTTCGTCAAGACGTTAATTAAAGCTGAACAGTATAAATACCAACAACGGGCTGTGTTGATACAGAAACAGAATGAAGTCCAAATGTTCCCAGAATCTATATCGGACGTGACGGAATTGTCTTCGGTGTCTGATATGGATTTGGTAGGGCCAACAAATCATGAACATGTTAGTCCTAACAGTAATCAGACTGTTACTAATGCAGGGAGTAAAGACCTGATTGCACCAACTTCAAACACTAATAATAGTGAGGATATCATCGGATCTGTAAATAGTAAAGTTAGATTGATTGAAATAAAGTCCCAGAATGGAAGAAACGATAGTAACAATATGCAAGGTATGAATGGATTGAATAAAAGTAGAACAAACTCGTCAAGATCTATCGTCATTAGAGAGAAGACCGCTGATTTGAGTTATAATAAGTCTGGTACTGCTAATACTCAATCGGTAAAGAAGAGACATAATAATGAATCTTGTTGTGTCTTATGTTAAACCTTTCATAAACATAAAAAAAACTATATTCCAGTCATTCATTCTTTCACTCATCAACTCATCGGCATTGCATTCTATAATATATATAATTATAATTATAATTATAATCATTACGCCAATACTCGTCTCTTAATAATAATTCATACTTATATTTTATTTCAGGTGTGTGACTGGCATCTACACACCCAGACACCGTGTGTGTACATCCCTACACCGCGTTTTCTCCGTTTATTTTCTCGAAAATTTATCGTTATTTCGGTCGTTTTCAGTGATTTTACTGCAAAATATCATACTAATAATTATTATAGTCCCTTCCCTTCTCCTTGGTGTCTTTTATCGCCATCACACATTATTAATTGCAATTTCAAACAATTTCACAAATTTCATTCAATGAAACTGAAATTTCTTTGGGCTGATTGAATCAATGAATTGGTGGAATTTGTATGGGACGGAGAGACACACCAAATATTGCAATTCTCACATTGATCATAGTAGTACTAACTTCTTACTGCTACTGTTACTGCTACTACTACTACCTCCAGATGTGGTAACAATCTAGAGATGGAAAACTTATTACCTTTAAATATATTGATTAAGTCGTTTATCAGTTAATAGTACTTGCTATATATATTTTACATTCTTGATATTTTCATATTAAGATCCTCGATACATAATACAGATAAAAAGAAACATAAGATGGTATGTTAGATTATCGATATATACATAGGCATGCTCAACTCAACAAAGATATTGAAAGAATCAGGATGAAACGTCAAAGATATGGCTATTAACAATTATCCCCATGTGATATGATAGAAAGCAACAGATACATTAGAATGAATAAAAAACTACATTCTACTTAACACCAATAGATCCCGACTATTTCAATGAGTATAAGATTGTCAGCATGTTGAAATTCCTTAAAACCATATACTAACAAGCTGAAATTAAATTAATTTTTATTCTATTTCATTTCATTTTTTTTAATACAGGTTTTAGTTCAAGATTTATTGCACCCAACTGCCGCTTCTGAAGCTAGAAAGCACAAGTTAAAGACTCTGGTCCAATCTCCAAGATCTTACTTCCTAGATGTCAAATGTCCAGGTTGTCTAAACATCACCACTGTCTTCTCCCATGCTCAAACCGCTGTCACTTGTGAATCCTGCGCTACTGTTCTATGTACCCCAACCGGTGGTAAGGCTAAGCTATCTGAAGGTACTTCTTTCAGAAGAAAGTAAATGATATTATAAAATTATAAAGAACAAGGAAATTTATTTTTTATTTTTTAACCAATTTCATCACTCATTAACCCCTGCCATACACAAAATGATTGATCATTTGTGGTAATAAAGAAGGTTTAAAATTGTTTTACCATTTGTATTTTGCTTTTTTATATCAAAATTTGGAATGGATAACTTGGATTTTCATTTTCATTTTGTTTCACATATGGAAATGAGAAATCAATAACTTTTATAAACTAAAAATTTACAATTCTGCATCATCCATTCATAATAAAATAATTTATTCTTTTCAATGACTCTCAAATAATCATCTATAGGGTGGGGGGTTTGGTTAATTTTGCTGACTCTTTTATATATATATATATTTACATATACCTCTTCTATTATGTCATTATCTACAATTGTATAACTTACTTTATCATTTAAAAATTATTACGGATTAATTATATTTCTTCTCTTTTCGTATCGTTTCATTATATATACACATATATATTAAAGGATATGCAGCTGTATCTTTTATTCATTTTATATTTGTATACGATGGACTTATCTATATATACATGTGGGGCTGAAATTATATTTTTATCCATAATTGTTTGATATTATGCATGGAATAAATGGTATTGTTTATGGTATGCTATTTTCTATAATAGGATAAAATTGTTTTATGGCGCTAATTTATTTTGATTCATTGTATCCAAATCTTCAGGTACATCTCGAAGTAACAATAATCCAACAAATGTCCCAACTATAGTAAACCCAATCAATAGCAATACAATAGGGATATAAATAGCATATATGCTAGGTAGTGGGAATAATTTCCACTGTCCTTCTAGATCAAATATTGGTAATAGTAACCATATCGCATAATAGATGAATAATACTATATGGATAGCAAACCTATTCATGGGTAGAATTCTAATAAAGGAATGATCTCCAGATAGAGTTTCTTTTGAGGACACGTAGTATTGCTACGATTATTAACCTGGTTCAGATGACTTTGTACCTTTGCCAGCTTCTATAGTTATTATATCTGTATTCTTATCTTCACCGAACATTTTTCAATTTTTATTATATAGGCTGGGAAGGGTTAATACAAATGCAGGACGATCAGCGGGTAAAATAGAATTCAGCAATCTTGCTTATTAAAGGAATATCTAGATAAAGTGAAATGGTTTCATATCATTTTGATAGTTTCTTCTCATTGGTACAATGAGTGTTTTTTTTTTGAAGTATTAGACAAAACCAATTATTTTCTGTTTTGAGCCTTATGCACCATTAAAGTTGTTGGGTACATGTGATAATAGAATTGAATTATATTACAATTTGTAACCTCGAAACGGTTTCATATTTGGAATTATATTATGTGTAACAGTGGCAAATGATTGGTATGATAGTTGTTGTGGTATATTTATCGTGAAAGATAGATATGTTCGATCGAAGTATGGTGACAACTGCAATTAGTTATTCAAAATGGTCAAACTGAGTCATTGGGTTAATCGTACTGAAATTTGGCGGAGAATGTACTTCACAATATTAGTACATATAATTCTAGTCAATAAGCTTACTAGTCTTAACTGATAACTAGTGCAGATGCTTGTATAGTAGAGTTAGATCTGAATTCGTTCATTGTTTCTTGTTAATGTAATAGGCTTAGTAGCAGCTTAAGTGTAAATAGTTACAATAAAGCAAATATTATTTGTCAATCCTTTCTATTATTTTTACGTGAGTTTTTATTATTATATAAAGTTTGTAGAACGAATGGATTCTAACTTAGAATGAAAGTTCGGAATTCTCTGTCTTTCTATATTATTTATTTTCTTAAAATTCTGTTTCTTTTATTACCTATTCATTCCCAAATAAAATATTACCTAATATTATCTATTATTTCTTTTCCTTACATAATGTTGAGCTCTTATTAGAACATTTAGAATATCTTGCTCCAACATAATTTCTATAAGAACTATCACTGTGTTTGTAATCACTTCTATGCAGTAAATTGGCAGAATGTATACTGCGAGGAAGGTTATTTTAATCGGAACTAAGCGTAGTTCGTTTGTTTTTTTACACCTCCATATCCCATTATAATAACATGAAGTGGATATATGTGAAATAAGTAATGGTACAGGTGTGTTTGTCAATGGCTCGTGTATCGGTTGGTTAAGCACAACATTTATCCGTATATACACCTTATCTATTGTACCACTCAGATGTAAAGGATCTCAGGATGAGCCTATAAATACTTGTAGTACCATAGTTATATGATTTAGATAGCTATAATATTCTTTGAACATAATTGATTTAGGATTAGTTGGGTTATTGGCAAGAAACCAATATCCAAAACTAATTAAATACAATGCATTTTATTCTACCTAATTTATTTTTTTCTCTATTATGTCTCTAAGAAATTATAAAAGTATTTACCTATTATTGTTTAACGTTTAATGCATTTTAATTGAATATTCATACAAAATTCAAATTTTTATGTGAACATAGATAAATTTTAATCCAATTCTTTTTAAGAAATTTAGCTCGCATGGCGTAATGGCAACGCGTCTGACTTCTAATCAGAAGATTCTGGGTTCGACCCCCAGTGTGAGTGCTAACTTTCTTTTTTTAAAAATATTTTTGAAGGTGCGGGTAACGCCAATTTTGTTAGGTGTTTTTGGGCGAAACTTCTTCGCTCTCGATGTTTTTAACTATTAAATTTTTATTAAGATGGGATAATCAATATATCAAAAGGAATTGATTAACTTCTTCAAAGCTTACCCCGGTATTTAAACAGTTTCATCTCTTTCTATTGTTGTTATCTTTTTCATTAAATTATAGTATACGTGTAGGACTTACAAATAAAACAAACATCAATCTATGAGTATTACAATGAATTGGAGTGCCTTACCATTTGAATCATTATATAATTCCATTGAGAGTGGGAAGATAGATGAAGAATTATTGGATACAATACTTCCTGATCTAGAAAGTTTAAACCTTAATGGTGAGAAGGTAAAAAATGCCACAAGTCGATCCAAACTTGAAGGTGATGAGATCCTATTACCAGATGGTAATGTATACAATCTAAGTAAAAACTTTATTTATGCGGCAATTCAACTATCAGATGCTATGAACCTCGACGAATTAATTTGCTGTCAATTGATAGTCTCAAGCTTACCAGATTTAGATGCTCTTAATAGTATAAGCAATAACATCGTATCTTTAGTTAGAAACGGTAAAGTCCAATATTTTATTAGAAGACAATATATTTTGCAAATCGTTGCCTATATAGTAAACTGTGCTCATTCAAACAACAAAGCATATCAAAAGTTAATGAAGAGTAATGCATTGATAAAAAATATATTACCATCTTTTAATGCAATTCATACTCAACTATCCGAGATTAAACAAACAATTAACAAAGCTCAAATATTGGAAACCTACGATGTCCTATTTCAACAGGATGTCAAATTTAAACGTGATTTTTTGTTAAAAGAATATGATACTTTGAGTCAAATATTATATGGCCTAGTTGAAAGAGGCCATTTTAATAAGAAAGATAATATTCTCCAAATTATACAACACACTGCAGAACTTGATTCAAATGATTTCTTTGTTGTTTATTATTTGTCTTCGATTTTCCATGCATTCAGAAATCTAGATAGATTCCCTGACAGTGATGTATTTGAACTTCACAAACATTTTTTATCTGAACTCAAGACAGATTCCATCTATAAAAAGCCTATAAAAGTTTCAATCGCATTCGTTTTCCTTTCATTCTTTATTATATGGTGCAAAGAAGTTCCAGAAACTAGGACAAAATCTATTGATTTCAAAACTGATATAGATGAACCAATGACATCAGCAGTAGAGTTAGGTGCAATTGAGCAATTATTAATATTTTCTGCAGATACTTCTATTATAGAGAGGAGTAAAAGCATTGATCTGTATTATAACATAAGATTATTATTAGAGAGACATATCCCAAGGTTAATTCCAAAACAGCTTATCGATAATGAATCAGCTTATATTGATAACACATCCATAGGTAACATTATGACGAAACCTATTATAAGAAATGGTAATATCAATACTAATAGTCTCACAGGAACAAGCAACGATAATCTAATATCAAAGACAAAATATCAATTCCACGAAATACAGATGTCACAGACTACTAATGACATTTTTGCGTCCACATTCCATTCGGTTCTGCAAACAGTTATAAATGATTGTGCGTTCTTGCTAACAAAGATAAAAGATGCGGAAGAGGATTCTCTAATGTCTGGTGAAGATCTAAACTTGGATGATATATGTGCCAAGGCTGATTTAGAGAGATTTTTTTTAACAATCCATTATTTTTACGCTGCAAGACCAGAATATTCTGAGGAATTTTGGAGTGACAAGGAATCTAATACATACGGTTTCATTGAATGGGCTTCTAAAAGCAAAGATATATTAATAAGGTCATGTTTCTATCTGATGATTGCTAGTTTATCATTTGGATCTAAGAACGTTCTTGATGTTTTCCATTATTTTGGAGAAAACAATAGTGTTTCTTGGACACTAATTGCGAACTGTATTAAAGACTACGTCATCAAAATTGGTGGTTTAGGAAACGTCATACAGGAGAAACAACGACTACAGGATACATCAGAAATAAATAACACGGAGGTTGCATTGGAAGAGGGTTTAAACGAAGAAACAATTGTTTTCCTGTCGTCACTATTTACTCTTATAGGCTCAGTAGCATCCGAAGTGAATGAAGACGTTAAATTAACTTTATCAAATTTGTTTACAGACATCCTATTTGAAATTTCAAAGCTTGAAACACCATTAGTTGGGGCTTGTTTTAAGACTCTGAGTTATTTGGTTCCAAAAGATACATCAGCCAGATCAAAGTTCTGGTTCTCATTGGATTCTTTAATCTTTAAATCCTACAGTTTAACAAACTCAAGTGAGTCATATAGAGCTGCATTGGGGTCTTTCTTAACTAACTTTACAGAAGTACAAGGCTTTTTATATCTGTTTGATAAAATGATGCTAATAGAAGGTGGTAATCAGAATTCGGAATTTTTGAAATTCGGAACACTGCAATATCCAAGCAAGTTAGGACAAGCTTACAGAAAGGCGGGTATTTGGCCGTATTTTGATTATATCTTAAATGATGTATTCTGCCCATCCACACGTATTGACAACGATAATAAGAGAAGAACCATTTACAAGCCTATTCTGAATATTGTAAGAAGTGCTCTTTTCTCCTTTAATTATTCAGTCATTTTGAATTCCAATCCTGCAGGTGCTGACTTGGATAAATTGGTCGTATCTGATAATTTTTATACTTATGTTCATGAATCATCTGCCCCAGCTATGTTCAACTACTTATTCACAGATAAGGTGTATAAGCCTATCCTAAATATTATCGCATTTGGTATAGATCAACTTTCGATTGATTTGGAAGGTGGTGATGAACAGTTGCATCTTATTGAGTTAGCGGTCACAATTCTGGATACGATTCTCGATTACCAAAGCACATACATTGAGGAATTTGTTCCAATTTTCAAGAAACAAAGGAAGGACATTTTTTTCATAGCGAAAGATGTAGGTCTTCATGGACTCCGTAATTTTTATGACGCTCTGTTTTTTAATTTAACTATCATTGCACATCTGGGTTTATATGTTGGTGTTGACCATCACAAATTGGCAGTCAAATCTCTATCTGTATTGGATAAGCTTACAAAATCTTCAGATTATACATTACCTGAATACTCTATTAATGATAAAGTTTTAACGATTCTTGATTCTGTCGATGAATCTTCAAGAATAAAAGATGCTTTTATGACCCAAATTGATGCATCAATCAGTTCTGAATATAATTTGGAATTGAAGATAAAGATTTTAAAGTTTCTTTCGTCGAGACTATCTTATTCCAGTGATAAAGTTAATATAAGTCACTTATTATTAGGCTTCCAAGTTTCGAATGTTATTTCGGCCGGACCTGATCTGTCTACATTCATAAGTTCAGGCGCTTCTCTACTAGATTCGGTTACCACTTTACTGGTTAGTTCATTGAACTTATTGACAAGGAGAACAGTTGATTATGCCCCGATGAGACTTGCTTGCTTGAGTATAGAGGTACTGCTTAAGTTATGTAGAAATCCATTGACTTCTGACATCGTATTCGACCATCTGGAGAAAATGGAACTGTTTGCCTTCTTAATAAAACTAGACCCTGATGTAACAAAGTATACTTTATTCAATGGACGTGTCTTTGATGATAAATCAGGTGTAAATGGCGAGACGTTCTTAAACAGTGGATCTATGGGGTCCTTATTGTCATTCCTATGTTACAAAACCTATGTGATACAACTTTTAAGTCAGTTTATTCATAGAGTATCATTTACCGGAACAGAATCTCAAGTAACTACATATGTGTCCAAATTGATTTCTAACACCATTTATTCTGCTAAAATATTTTCATTTTTCGACACTCTGAACTATCCAAGGATTTCTTTAGGAGTAGAATCTTCTGGCTCAATTAAGGCATTTTCTGATTTAACAATTAATTTGGCCACCATATCTTTCAAGGATAATTGTGAGGATGAAGTTTTTGATTTTTCTTCAGTGGAGTCACTAGCAAAGCTATTTAGTGAATCGAGAATTCCACTCCAGTCGACAAGCCTAGTTCTAAGTCAAAATGCAGGTGACACAAGAAAGAAATTTTTAGAGGATTGTGAGAAAGAACTCCTTCTAGTAAAGAAAAATGTCACAGGGTTATTGTATAACAAGTTGTCAGAAGAGTACCAATTATCCATTTTACATTCGTGGGTTCAGTTAGTTCAAATAATAGTTACTGATGGAAAATTAGATTCTGTATCAAGATCGAAATTTATTTTAGAGGTCTTCACATCCGTTGTCCCAAAACTTAATGATTACGTCGAGTTTGATACTTCGTTCGCAGAAGAACTTGTCTCTCTCGTTGTTTTCTTATACGAAATTTATGATAAAGATAGATTAATTAATGGTCAACATGAGGAATTGGATTTCCGTTTATCAGATATTTTCAAGTTGTGTATTCATGGTATTCTATCCCCAATGACATCTGTCCCATTAAGATCGGATTTTTACACTTTGACAAATCAATATTTAGTTCGTGTATTGAAGGACAAATCAGTAGCAAAGGATGTTTTACAGTCACTACGCATGAGTTGTGAACAATTTATACAGATTGTTTGCAATGATGCTATATATGGACAAGATACCAACAGGATTACAAGTATTTTATTACTAGATTCGTTAGTTCAAATAGGCAGTCTAACCCCGGAGAATTTTATTCTAGAGTCCCTGACAAAGAGTGCGCAGCTGCACTTAATCATCCGCTCATTAAAGAACACCGATAACATGCTGGATTCTGCCCCTTACCAAATTAGTATTGAGGATTTGCTGTATGAACTAACTGCCTTCAAGACGACAGTATTCTTTCTAATTAGAATTGCTGAAACTAGAGGGGGGGCAAAAGCATTAGTTGAGAATAAATTATTCCAAGTGATTGAAAGTTGCTCTTTTCTAAGAATCGATCCCGACCTTGGAATGAATTTGGTGTTTGATGAGGTACAAATGAATAATTCAAGCTTTACAAAAATCAACATTAGTCTGGACAACCATTTAGTCGTCGAAGATACCTCGAATTGTGTATCTCTATTTGAATTAATTTCTCCATTATTCCAATTATTGTGTTGTGTTCTAGTAAGTTCAGGTGACCAAAATAAAAGCGTTATATGTAGCACCAGAAAATTGTTGATAGCGTTCAGAAAATTATTGATTGGTATATTCAAACGAGATGCACTAAATGATGTTGATACACATGACGACAAAGACTGTTCATCAGATTCTCTTAAACTACTAGTGAAGTTGTCGGTTATACTATGCACACTGACAGGTTATCGTGGAGAAGACAATAATATAGCCTTATAAATTCCCCTAGGTAACTAGCTGTATTTTTCTTGTATTATCTAACTACATATATTGTTATACTTACACTTTCGTTAATAAACATCTTCGCATTAATCAAATTTTCTGTCTTTCTATATAATATAGGTTTACGTGTGTATATTTCAATTGTTCTATTTGTATATAAAACCCTATAAAATGAAACTTATTGATACAGAATTGTTTTGTCAGAACTGTTAAGGTGTATTTCAAGAATTTCACTTAAGCGTTATAAAGGAGAAAGGAGATATAAACTGCTGAAAGAGTGAAACTTTTGTGACTACTAATATAATGGTGTCTTACGTACCAAAGCAAGTGTTTAAAAGTGTTGTTGCTCCAACACTAAAGAGATTTGGTGAGTTGTCCCATCTGGTATAAAAAATAGTAGATTGTACCTGTTTAGAAACAAAATATATATATGTATATATAACCGTCCTCCTTATAGAATATTTGTGTTATTTCAAACTGTTTTTTGAGATATGTAAACAAATCTCAATCACGATTATCTATGTTTTGAGACATTCGCGACATTGAAAAAAATGTATGAAGTAGACTATTAAATTGTTCTTAATTCACCAAACAGAGTAATATCGACTGGGTGGGTTTATTTAAAATCGAGGTAAGCATTATAGGTAGAATCCTAACAGTGTTGAACCGAACAATATACTAAGTTTCTATAGCATGGTGACATTGGACAGCCTTGACTATAACCCTACAGAGGACATAACAACTATACTCGCGTCTCAGGGTTCTCTCGATGATATAGATAAATTACTTCTACGAACTAGAAGTACGAAACTGCAATTGCAGAAAGAGATTGAAGAGAGCATTCAAAAGTCAACAACGGAACCAAATAATACTGCAGAAGGGACTTCAGTTGTGGATGATGTGTTTCAAGACTTCCAAGAAACCCAAAATACAGCTTCAAAAATTTACTCGACCATATCAGAACTAACTGATGGAATTTCACATTTAGACAATGCTAAAAAAAACATTACGCAATCATTAACTATATTTCAGAACCTTAAGATATTGGTAGATAGTTATTCCCAATGTGTATTATTAGCTGAGTCTAATTCGTTTGTTGAGATGGTGTCCCCCTATAAAATTATGTGTTCCTTATCTGAATCGACTTTTTCGTCCTATAAATCTGTCACAGAAATAAACATGCTTTTATCATCTATTTCACGGTTGAAGTCAGATATATTGAATAAGATCAAACAAATTTTCAACGAATTACTAAGCGGTAAAGTGCCAGGAAATGAAAAGCTTGAGGTCCAACTTAGGGATGGGGCTTGTGAGCTATTGGATTCAAATAACAGCGCTAAACTACAAATAATAGACTGGTGTCTTAACAAACTTCTTTACGAGATAAAAGAAATCTTTCAACTTGATGATGAGGCTGGATCCCTGGAGAACCTCTCCCGTAGATACATGTTTTTTAAAAAGATATTGAACAACTTCAATTCTAAATATGCGGCCTATTTTCCTCCTTCATGGGGTATACCACTTGCTCTGGCTTCTCAATTTTATGAAATTACTAAAAAAGATTTGGATGTTCTTCTGAGAAGAGAACTTCAGGGCAAGACACCCTCGATTGATTTGTTCATGGGATCATTACAAGTAACTTTAGATTTTGAAAAATACATTGACGTACGATTTTCTAATAAGTGTAAAGCAGAAAAGTTAAGTGCAGCATTTGAACCTTATTTGTCTCTATGGGTGTCTCATCAGGATGGGATGATGGAGAAAAAATTCCTCACTTATATGAGTGAAAGCAAAGTTCCTGAAAATATACAGGACTCATTAGTAGTTCCATCAAGCGCTGATCTTTTTAGAACATACAGATCTGTTTTGAGTCAAACGTTAGAACTTATAGGTGATGGTAGTAGTGATGGTATCCTAACATCCTTAGCAAACTTTTTTTCAAAATGGTTAATAGAGTATGCTAGTAGAATTCTACGCCCATTATTATTACCTGATAATCTTGATATAGAAGATAAACATGAGACTACTAAATACACTGTGTTGCTAGTGAATACATGTGATTATTGTTCTACTACAATATCGCAATTGGAGGAAAAATTAGCTCAATTAAGTTCCAATCCGTCAAATGTCTCTAAAATATTTTTAAAAACAAAGGACATATATGATGAACTTCTTGCCAAAGGGAACAACCTGCTGTTGAAAAGGGTTATTCCATTGGATCTAGCATTTGTATGGAAAGAATTTGATAGTACTGACTGGGCCCACATTGCAGTTGAGGATTACAGCAGGTACATTATTACCTTAAAGAAAGTGCTGACTTTCTCATCGTTCTCTAATAAAGATAGCAAGGCTCGATCTAAGTCTTCCTTGGAGGAGATCATGCTACTCCTGAGTCGAGATGTATTCAAGTGGAACTTTTTTGATAAAGTGATAGATTTAGTAACATCAAATTATGTTGACTGTATAACTCGTTTATTGCAACCTTTACCTCCTTTCGCAACAACAAGTAGTCGTAGAATACTAAAACCAAAAAAAGTTATAGAAATTGGGGAGCAACTACTCTTAGACATACAACTGCTAAAAGAGATATTGAATTCGATCCTAGAAAGTGTTAGAACAGGGTCTGTAACTTCCCAGAGTACTCCTTTCAAGAGACTGAGTAGACACGTTGAAACAAATGTTGATTTGTTACTACATTTTGCAAAGCTACTCGTACTTCCTCTAGATAATGCTGAGGCCTACCAGGAGTCTTATAGCCGATTGACAGATGATAATAGGGATATAACCGTATGGGCATTTATTATGACGTTAAAGGGTATAACATGGGACCTGGAACAATGGAAAGGCTTATGGGTATTTTATAAAACAAGCGTTAAGGATAATAACGAGTCTCAGCTTGAAAGAAATCTCTTTGTGTTCAAGTGGGATAATAGACACATACTTCGCTTCGAGAATAATTTGGCAAGAATTCAAGACCCTGCCTGGGCAGCTTTTGTAAAAGAGGAGCTTTGTATTATGCCTATCAAGCTAAGTAATGCTACCAAATAGAAAGTTTTTGATATGCTCCGTGTTGGTGCGCCTATTTTACCTTTTTTTTATTTATTAATGCAATTATGTTACTATGTAAAAATATATCTATAATTTTCTAACATGGTCATTTGTTTATACTAATTAACTAGATCTGTCATACCTACTGGATTAATCTAGCTGTTAACGATTCTAAGTCTTCTAATGTCTCTGGAGCATCGATTTCTGTAACACCATATTCGTTAGCGTCAGACTCATCTTCACCATCAGAGGAGTTATTGAATCTAGTCCTTTTAACTTGACGGTCTTCTGCATCTGAATCAACATCCTCCATATCATCACTTAGATTACCAGTTCCTAGATATACTTGCGCTTCAGCATTGTCTTCATTGTCAGAGTATTCTTCCATCTCCTCCCTTCTCATAGCTTCTAATCTCTTTCTCTTCTTCTCTTGTTTTTTTACCTTTGCAACTTGTTTATCTGTAGAATCAGCAGTAGCCATAACTTCAGATTCCTTTTTCAAATATTCATCCTTTTGTGTCTTGGCATCACCCTTCTTGACAAAGTCTTCTTCCCCTTCTAGTTCGTACACAGGATGTGCAACACCATCATCGTCGAATATCGTCTTACTGGCATTACCTTTAGTTGAAAGAGAGGCCTTCTTGGATAGCGCCTTTTTCTGAGCTCTGTTTGATGATGGGAGAGATAATTCCGGTAGCTCATTTTCATTAAGAATATGATCTTTTCTTTTAATTGTCATAAAGTTATCTTCATCTTCGTCATTCTCAGCACCTTGGACGCCAGTGACATTCATATAATGTTCACTCAGAACAGTTTGATTTTTTCTTCCAAACATCTTGTCGTACTTTGTCTTTACCTCCTTGGTTTTGTCTCTAATTTCCCCGTCATCGTCAGCCTTGGATAAAGCCTTTAACTTTCTGGAGGAGTTTTTCAATTCTTTAGCTCTCTCAAATGACTTGGTACCCTTAAACTTGATATTTGGAGCACCAGGAAGACCTAAAGAAATAGCAAAATCATCTGTTGGCAAAGTTTCGAATTTGAACACTTCTTTATCCTTTTGAATGTAAATAGATTTAACATAAGAAATAAATGCCTTTTGAGCTAAGTATTTTAATTCTGGGTCCTTAAATAGTAATGACTGTAATTGTGGTTTTATTGATTTCTTTTTCGATTGCTTAATTGTTAGTTTCTCTGGTTCAATTTTCTTAGCTTTCAATCTTTGTAAAAATACTTCTTCTTGTGGTGTTAATATTATTAAAGATCTCCCCTTCTTACCATACCGGGCAGAACGTCCAACTCTATGAATATATGTGTCAACATCCTCTGGACAATCAAGTTGTAGAACCCAATCGACGGCTGGGAAATCAATACCTCTAGCAACAACATCCGTAGCAAACAGACAAACCTGTTGTGCTCTGCTAAATTTGTCTAAAGTTTCTGTTCTAGCTTTTTGCTTTTGTCTCCCGTGTAAATGTAATAAAGAGATACCAGGTTGCATCTTTCTAAACGTCTCGTAGGCAAAATGAACTTGCTTGGAACTTGACATAAATACAATAATCTTTGCTTTTAAATGTGACTTGATGAAACTAAATAGGACATCAAGTTTATCAGCTAACTCAGAAATAATATAGGATTGTTGTAAAGTCTTTGGAGTAGCAGGTTCATTATCATCCTTGTTATTGATATCTTTGGTCCCTACGCTCTTATAGTTTGTCAAAGATAATCTGGCCAAATCAGATAGGGAATTCGATTGTGTGGCCGAAAATAACAAGGTTTGTCTAGATGGCGGTAGGTTACCGATAATAGCATCTAGAGTCTTTTTAAACCCCATATCTAGGCATCTATCAGCTTCATCCAAAACTAACATTTGCAGATTGGTTGTATTTAAACCTACTGCTTGATCTAAATGTTGCAAAATTCTACCTGGGGTACCAATAAGAATATTTATTCTTGATATTCTTTCTAATTCAAACTTAACATCTTTCCCACCAATGACTAACCCTGCAGATAATGATGTGTGTGTTCCAATTTTTGTTAATACTTCGTATATTTGCATTGCTAGCTCTCTTGTGGGAGATATCACCAGAGCTCCTAAACCATCATATTCGGTCCATCTCTCACGGTAAAGCTTTTCCAAAATTGGTATTAAGAAGGCAAGAGTCTTACCAGAACCAGTTTTGGCAGCACCTAGGACGTCGTAACCCTTCAATGAAACTGGGATGGATTCCCTTTGAATATCGGTTAATTTGACAAAGGCTGCTTCACTCAAACCCTTTAGTGTGTGTGAACTAATTGGTAAGTCCTTGAAAAACTTCGAGTTGGCAGTCTTTGGATCATATTCTTGAATCTTAGTTTCAAGGTTTTTCAAGTAATCGTCCTCTCTCTTACGAGCCTCCTTCCGCATTGCGGTATTCATTTTAACTTTCTTTGCCATTACAGAGTATTCCTTATTGGTGTTTATCGAGTTGTCTCTAGTCCAGAATTGCTATGTAATAAATGATATCTAAGTATATTTATAATGGGTATCATATATAAGAACATCATAAAATTTTGCGATGAGCTTCTTCGATTAAAAAAATTTTTTATTTTCTTCGACATTTGTGAGGGAATGAAAATTTTCAATTGAAAGCGAGAAAGAGATAGAAAATCCTTTGAGCTGAAAATCGTGCTTTCAAGCTGATTCTGCTAGCTCCATGTAGATGATGATATAAGGTTGTAAACAACAATAATGCATCTACAATACTTTCAAACGTACAAATCGTATTTATATTGGGAGAATTTTATTTTTATACTTCTTAAAGCTAGAATTTATAATTTTACATATATCCATGGTGCATATTAACATAGGAATCTATACATATATCTATGTAAGCTTAAAAAAATATTAAACTGTGACAGTAACATCTTATAAGTTGTCGTCATCAATGAAGTCCAGAGTTAATTATGCAATGAAGCTCATTATGCAAGTTCACACAGTCAGAAGAAGATCAAAAAGAAAATAACGTAGCTATGATATTTTTTTTTTTATTATATTTTATTTTTTTATAATTCTTCTTTTTGCAATGTGTGTCGTGGAAGGATGGGGGTTAGTGGGAATTTGAATATTAAAGTGAATTTTCTTACAATTCATCGTGTTCGAAGAAGTCACCATCATCGTCCTCATCGTCTAGATCATCTTCAGCATAGGCACCATCGGCACCTTCGGCACCAGCACCATATAGCTTAGAAGTAATTGGGTAAGCAACCTTGGACAAAGCGTCGAACTTTTCGTCAAAGTCCTCAGCCATGGCATTTTCAAAGTTATCATCTAGCCATTCTAGAGTATCATTGGCAGCATCTAGTAAAGCTTCCTTATCTTCTTCTTCTAGTTTATCACTTAGTTCACCATTAACTTGGTTCTTCAAGGAATGAGCGTAATTTTCAAGCTTGTTTCTAGATTCGATCTTAGTCTTGACAGCAGCATCCTCAGAAGCGTATTGTTCGGCTTCTTCGACCATTCTTTCAATTTCCTCTTGTGATAATCTACCCTTGTCGTTTGTAATAGTGATAGATTCAGACTTACCAGTACCCTTATCAGTGGCGGAAACCTTTAGGATACCATTAGCATCTAGAGCGAAAGTAACTTCGATTTGTGGGACACCTCTTGGGGCAGGTGGAATACCGGTCAATTCAAACTTACCCAATAAGTTATTGTCCTTGGACATGGCTCTTTCACCTTCGTAAACCTTAATCATAACAGTTGGTTGGTTGTCAACGGCAGTGGAGAAGATTTGAGACTTCTTAGTTGGAATAGCAGTGTTTCTCTTAATCAAAGAAGTCATGACACCACCAGCAGTTTCAATACCAAGAGTTAAAGCGTTAACATCTAACAAAACAATGTCTTCGACACCTTCTTCACCGGATAGAACACCGGCCTGGACAGCAGCACCATAAGCAACAGCTTCATCTGGGTTAATACCCTTGGAGGCCTTCTTACCATTGAAGTATGATTCTAGTAATTGTTGAACCTTTGGAATTCTAGTAGAACCACCGACAAGGACAATATCATCGATATCCTTCTTTTCTAGACCAGAATCAGCAAGGACCTTTTCGACAGGCTTCAAAGTCTTCTTGAATAAGTCCAAGTTTAATTCTTCGAACTTGGCTCTGGTTAGGGTTTCACTTAGATCAATACCATCGACGAAAGAATCGATTTCAATACGGGTAGACATTTGACTGGACAAAGCACGCTTAGCCTTTTCAGCTTCTCTCTTTAACTTAGCTAGAGCCTTCTTGTTGTCAGAGACATCGATACCATGCTTCTTCTTGAAAGTTTTAATCAATTGACGAACAATCTTATAATCGAAATCTTCACCACCCAAATGAGTATCACCAGATGTGGCTTGAACTTCAAAGACACCGTTTTCAATAGATAGTAAAGAGACATCGAAAGTACCACCACCTAAATCGTAAACGATGATTTGGTGTTCCTTCTCAGATTTGTCTAGACCGTAAGCAATGGCGGCAGCAGTTGGTTCATTAACGATTCTTAGAACGTTTAGACCAGCAATAGTACCGGCATCCTTTGTGGCTTGTCTTTGGGCATCATTGAAATAAGCTGGGACAGTAACAACAGCGTGAGTGACTTTATTACCTAAGTAATCTTCAGCAATTTGTTTCATCTTACCTAGAATCATACCAGAGATTTCTTCTGGGCTGAATTGTTTCTCTTCACCTTTAACGGTCACTTGAACAACTGGTTTACCACTTTTGTTAACAACATCGAATGGTAAGTGTTTGATGTCCTTTTGAACAGATCTGTCGTTGAATTTTAGACCGATCAATCTCTTGATGTCGAAGATAGTGTTTTCAGGGTTAGCAGCAACTTGGTTCTTAGCAGCATCACCAATCAATCTTTCATCATCAGTGAATGCAACGTAGGATGGAGTAATTCTGTTACCTTGTTCATTAGCCAAAATTTCAGTCTTACCGTTCTTCATAACGGCAACACAGGAGTAAGTAGTACCTAAATCGATACCAATGACAGTACCGTAGTTTTCAGCATCGTCACTTCTAGCTAGAACATGAGATGATCTAGAACCATTTTGGAATGGTAGAACCACTAGAAATAGAGTGTATAGCAGCACTGAAAGTGGGACCAACCACTTACCAGGACCTGATTTGTTAAACATCTTGTTGTATTTGTATTTCTTTGAATGTTTAGTTGTTTGTCTATTAAAAGAGAAATAAAAAGAATTAAATATAGAACGAATTTTCAGTTAAACAAAAATAAAAACCAATGAAAGTCAAGAATAACGAAATAAAGACTATATATATATATATATTTATATATATGCATAATCGTAAACGTATGTTGGATTTATAATTTAAAATCGATCTGTTGTCCAGTTGTGTTGTAATTGTTATTGAAAGGGTACCAGTTGAGAACAGAGTGTACAAACTGTAAGTCACACTCTGTGTAAAGATGGTTTATGGTTCGTTCAACGCAGCAATTCCAAGATGCCAGGTGTCAACTTGTCCCTCATGAAAATTTATTATATAATAGGTATTATTATAATATTTACAGAGAAAACAACGTACAAATGGAGAAAATTAACAATAAGGACAACGCGTTATAGCTGAAAAATATTATATAATATTTTCAGCATTCTGAGTCTCTCTCTCTCATAAGCTGAAAAGACACGAAAAACACGAAAAAATGATGAAAATTTTTAATCGATGGGTTGGCTTTCTAGATGAAAATATCGAAACGAATCGATTGCAGCTTTAGTGATTTAATTTCCACACTAGTTAGAAATTACGAGCTTGTAATTATCATAAGCGTAGAATTTAGATAATCTCGTCTTTCCGATGACGATTTTGGATAATTTTAAAAAAACGATTTGTCACTTTACGTAACTTAGTCAGTGACGAAGTTATCAGGTAAGGCTAATAAATATTAGCCAAAAAAAGGGGAAGTGGTACTATATACTCTTCTTAACTTATTATATTGTACAGCCTTGCAGTTATGTATGCGTGGTTAAAATAAGGCTGACTAGTTTATTTTTAAATACTTTCCTTCGTCGTTCGTTGTTTGTCTTTAACCTTTTTTAGCATCTAATTGCAACATAATCAATGAGATCGACTCATTTAGACCATATGAGACTGGCTGTGAAGCTAGCTAAATACGCCCTGGATCATAATGAAACACCGGTCGCCTGTGTTTTTGTATATGAACCCACCAATGAAATCATAGCGTATGGTATGAACGATACAAATAAATCACATACAGGTATTGCCCATGCAGAATTTATGGGTATAGATCAAATCCAGCAGAGATTTGGTGCAGAGAATCTGGTAGAGATATTGAAGGACACAGTTCTATATGTCACAGTCGAACCCTGCATTATGTGTGCGTCAGCTTTAAAACAATTGGGAATCAAGAGAGTATGTTTTGGATGTGGTAATGAACGTTTCGGTGGTAATGGTACTGTTCTTTCTATTAATAAAGATCGCTCGACTATATCATTAAATGAGAATATAACTTATGACGCTATTCCTGGGATTTATCGCAAGGAGGCAATAATGTTATTAAGATATTTTTATGTGAGAGAGAATGATCATGCACCTAAACCAAGAGCCAAAAAGGAAAGAATCTTAGATAAAGAAAGTTTTCCTCCAATGATTTGGTCTATATATATTGATAGAGCCGTTTTTGCTCAGGAGTTTGGTCTAGAAAATTTGATACATTATGATGAGAATACCGATCTTACAGATGTTACTAACCATGGGGTAGCTTGGGAATTAATAGATGGTAATTGTGATGATATATTAGACAGTTTGGAAACTCTTAGACAAAACTCTCAAATTAACAGTCATAAACGTGTTAAAAGTACGAAATAAACCCCCACAATATAATAACTTGCATATGCATAATAAATAAATTTAAAAACTCATATAAAGTATACTAGTACAAATATGATCAGATATATGAATTTATTAAATCATGAGTAGTTCAAAATGTACTTTCTTTTATTTAATTAATTATTTATTTTTTTCATTTAAAACTAACTATTCTAGAATGCAATGTTTACGATATAAGAGAGAGTATATAATAAACAAGGAATAATTGATATTTTCATGATATTTTCGTACCCTCTGTTTGTTATTATCACTATCTCTATTATTATTTTTAATCCTTTAGTCATACCAAACTTTCGTCGACTTTAGTCCACGTTTGCAACATCTTCTCGTAAAACTTTATATTCTCGTCGGCCAATTCATCTAATGTATCCTTCAGTTCTTTTGCCTTGACACTTTCGAATTGGGCAATCTCCTTCAAAGTTTCTTGCTCAAATCCATCTGCAATTTTCTTAGCATTTTCTAGCTCTCCATCTAAGGATGTAATCCTTTCCTCTAGTTTTGTTATCTTATCACGACGTGAAGCTTCTTGGCTTATACCAGCAAATTCTTCGAGCTTATTAGTGAAAAAATTGCTGCCACCATACCCAGCTATCAAATCGTCCTTCTCCTTTATGGATTTAGTCAAATACTCGTTCAGTTGCTCATAATCAATTTGTTTCTGGTCCTTTAATTTAATTAATTGCCTCATACTCTCGATGTAATGTTCTATATCTTTTAAATCTACCAAATAATCGTAGTCAAGATATTTGTTAAGATCATTAATTAAGTAAGATAATTGAACAATACCTTCTTGAAATGTCTTTAGATTCTTCGCTAATTCATCATTCTCACCTGTAACTAATTCACTTAATTCTTCTAGAGCTGTTCCTAATTTAACATAATCTTCTGATATTGAATCGTTCTTCTTTACTACTTTATGAAATATTTTATCTAGCTTAGTAATAGTATGATCAAGCTTATCACTTCTCTCCTTGATTTCAATAAACTCATCACTTTGGATATTAACAGATTTGAAAGCATTCATAAATGCATCTGTAACTTCCTCCTTATTCGAAGGTAAGTTGTCGATTATACTTCTTCTATATGTGTCCCAATCATTACTAGTTAAAAACATCTTTAGAATACTGGATTGCGACAATGTAGGATGTAGACTAATCCTCCTGAGGAAATTTTGTAAACTATGGCTTCTCTTTTGAGTAAATTTTTGGCTAAATCGATCTCCTGAAATGTATTGAAACACTTTTTTGTCTGGTAAGGGAGGAATTATGCATGTAGGATAATCATTAGCTAAAACATCATGTAACAACAGTAGGTCACTGTATCTTCTGTGAACGACGATAATATTGTTCATATTCGGTTTCCCATCATGATATGCTGGATCTTCTGTCTTGGTGGATATTTGGTAACTTACATATGATGTGGATGTACCGCCTTCTCCAGTACGTTTTTGAGGATCTGTGACAGTGATTTCCAAGTTGAAATGATTCCGTTGATCATCTGTCATGCTGTCCCCTTCTAATTGTTCCATACTGTGTTGGTTATAAAATAGTTTAGAGTTGTGGGCTGTTGTATTAATAAGGGCGTGTGCGTGGCTGTGACTCCTCCTTATATTCTTTTTAGTGGTAGAAAATAAGTGTAATTTATATCCAATAGAAGCTGATAACTTATTGGTCCTATTAATTAACTACTTTGTTTCTTGTTGATATATCTCTCTTAATAATTTAATCAATAATTAGTTATCGTATCCTGAAAACGAATATATGTTTATCTATTTGATATCCAATACCCTTTCTTTTGTCCTTCTTAATTAACTTTATCTTTATTTTAATATTTTTTTTTGTTCTCATTAATCGGACGGCCTAACAAAAAATCATTTAACTTGTTTAAACATCAGATTTGTCGCTAACATAACAAAACATTAAATAAAGAACAAAACGCCAAAACGATATGGAAAACCTACATATATATTTTCTTGATAAACATTAGAAAACTAGATATACATAAACGTCTCTCTACCTTATATCAGATATATTGGACAATCAATCGTAAGGTGTCAGAAGAATGACTAGCATTCTTGAAGAAACGCTCAAACATTATTTACCACAAGATCATAAATTTGAGATCTTACATTTGCAAAACAGGCCTACACAAGTGCGTTCAATTGTAACATCATCGAAGAAAGATCGTAATATAGGGTCAAACAGTGTGACTATAAAGACCCCTCATTTTTTTGCATTAGCTAACAATAACAAAATCATTTATGGTATTGAAATTCATGTATACGTTATATTAAAGAACAATAATAGCAGTGAAACTGGTGCTAACTTGTCGTACAATGACGCTGAGAGGTTAATATTTATATCAAAAGCAGATACTAATGGTTATAGTGATGTAAAATTTAGTGCGAAACAAATTACAAAGGGGATTATCCATTATTTATTTTCGATTGATCCAAATCATTATTTAGAACACGTTATACCACTGGAAAGGAAATATAAACAATCCTTTTCAAAAATAATTATTACAAGGGAAACTAGTTTAGAGAACGCATTACAGATTTTATCAGATCGGGCACAACAGAAAGAAATATCACAAGAAATAAGATCGAATTTGTTACGATCTCATCAACATTATCTCTCTTTTAAGCTTCCCAATAAGATAAGAACTAAGCTTTGCCTATTCACAAGGCCTGCAGATCAATATCTATTTGCAGAATCCTCCAAGAACCCAAATAAGCACACTTTAAGTGGAATGGGTCTGTTGAAATGGTGGCTCTCAATCGTTGACGAATTATTATGTGAAGATTTCTCTGCAGAGAGTGAAGGGAAGTTAAGAATACCTGGTGAAGAATCGGTCATCGTAAGAAGGTACCTTAGAACTAATAAATTTGCTAACTGGGGTGTGGGTGACATTTTCGGAGGTGAACCAAATTCTTTAGCTATCTTCAGTGTGCCACTTTTCTCAGATGACCCTAAATCGAGATTTTTACATGAACTTGTAGAAGAAGCCCGAGTTTTGAAGACAAACTTAGAAACATTTTGGATGGAACTACAGGAGAGGCAAGAGTTTAAATTAAGTGAAACAGTATCAGTTATAGGTATTTCTGGGTACACTACTATTTCAACCGAAGTTCTTCCAACTGAAAGGGAAACTATCATTACGAACTCTAAGAAACAATATCGATACATTAAAAATTATATTACTGGTGAGGAATACCATACAGAGGAAGGTGCACTGGAGTCATACACAAATATCGTAGATTATTTGAACTATAAATATAAAAAATTACTTACACCCGTTGTAGGTACAATGCCTAAGAAATTAAAGGTGAAGGAACCAGTGAATACTCCAAAAATTAGTATTTTAAAACCACGGAAGAAAATTAAAATATGATATGATATTAATACAAACACACATATATATGGATATAGTATAATTGTAATAGATCTTGATATAATAAAAAGTCACAACCATTGATTGATGTACAATTATATTTTGGTGATACTTAATATACCTTGATCCGCCCTGAGTTGGAGACTCTTCAACATCTTGTTTCAGCAAGAGTCCTATATAAATTAAGGAAAATTAATATTTCTAACCTTATTAAGGAATACGGAATTAAACAAAATCCATTACGTAATATACATGTATTACAGTGCATACTAAACCCTGTTTGCCTACCAACTACGTCTATTTTCATTGGGTTTCAGCCAATACTGTTATTTCAGAAGGAGTAGGATATCTTCGACTTACTTGCAGTAGACTATTAAACAATCAACATACATTTAAGAGGTTGTGTTATTTAGTATTTACGATTAAGAAACATCCCCTCTTAGTACACTATTACGCCATCTGACAGTTTGATCAGATGAAAACTTTTCTCTACTGCCGTACCTTTCACGTCACAAAGAAAATCTCCATCAATATGTGACGAACTATTACGAAAATAAAAATTAAATATCAATATATCTTTACTTCAGCTTAAGTTATTGAACCGTTACTTCTCTAACACGATACATCTATAATACAATTTCCAATTATATCCTAGCTTAACTTTAAAATTAACATAAAAATAGTAATTGAGAAAAGTCACTGACTGTTCCACGTTTTGATAATTCTGAAAACCATTGAACTTAAATATAAATCTCGAAATTATCTTGAGTAACGCATCTTATTCACACAAGTAAAACATTGATTCCTATATAAATTCTTTCATGGGTATTTAGACATTAAAGCAGTTCAATGTACCGCTGTAGTTCTAATATCAATCACTTTAACATTATTTAACTTAATAATTTTATTAATACTTCCAAAACCTCAAAGGGGACGAAAATTTACTTTAATAGTTTTTAGTAATAAAATGGATTGCTTATTTAACGTATTTGTTATCCAAAAGGACTACATTTATGGTGCAATAGATGAAATATATATATTGATTTTAAATGCTTTTACAATATATATCACCAATATAACATTATTTTAGAGCGCGCAAATTATAGCAAATCAACCAACACAATACTCTGTATACTAAATCACATGACTCTTATTAAAATATTTAAATTAGTTTTTCTTTAATTAATATATATAATGTGTACGCTAACCGAAGTAACGAAATTACGATTAAATATAAAAAATGGAAATATTTTTTTTCGCGGAGGATTTTTAAAAGCAGTTCTCGATTATTATTGTTTTTTTTTAGCTACATAATACCGAAAAGGGAGTGATAGTCAAAAATTATCATAACCAACAGAAGAGCGCTGGTCATTATTCTTTTACATATATTATTCAAACTATGAATGAAACATAGATATGTATTCCAAATGGAGCCATTATTTAATAGAAATAAATTGTTCGTCAACGATATTCCTTTATTGATAACAAGAATCTGAAGTCGCCTATGGAGGCGCAGATGCTCATTTGTGAAACTTGTCATTGAATAGTTGTGTTAAATAAAGATGATTCTTTAAGATTTATTACTTTTGAAAATTAAATAATAAAAGTTTTTCACTTTTGTCTTGATGTAGAAGTCGTTACAGAAAAATAATGAACAAGTAATTATAATAAAATGTGATTGACGACAGCAAGTGTCTCGGAAAAAGATCAGAGGTTGAGCATTAGTGAGTTGAAATATTCTGTTTCAATACTCTAACCCTCTGACAACATATACAACTACTCAACATTTTGACTTTCCACCTTTGGTAAATTAATAACCTTTAAGATGTAATAACTTTGGCCTAGAAGCTCATTTTGTTGACTAAAAAAGGCCGCCAGTTTATAAATTCAATGGGGAATAGGGTCGAACTGATAAAATTTGTAAGGAGATTGTATTTTGTCAGTAGCAAAGTATTACTTTATATGATGTACTTAATAAAAATAAATATATATATCTGAAGAAAATAGAGACCTAAAACTCCAATTACTATATAAAAATTACTCAAGTATATTTATGTAAATTTGAAAATGTTATTCATATCCTTTAATTTTTTTATAAATTAGGAAGTTCTGTGTTTAAGTCATTCTTCGTACCCATAAATAAGGGGTTTGGTATTAACTGGCAACTGTGATTTGCCCATTAACTAAAAATAATTAAATACCGAATAGTTTGGTATTTAATGCAACACGACATCACTATCTTGGAAAATTTACAAAGAGTTGTTCTTTCAGAAATTGGAAAACTGGTTGGAAGTTTAGAACAGAAAAAGAAAAAGAAATGGCAAAACTTTTTACATGAACGATTTAATAACGAATTGATTAAATATATAAGAGTCAGGATTTCTGGCAGTATGTAAATGCGTATTGTGTAAATCTCCAAACAGTTTTATAGGTTTCGAACTTTATGTTTCTTATTGGCGGTTATATGCTGTGCCATTTTCGGTATAAAAAGTGAGCCCTGTGACAGCAATCATAAAATTAGGGAAAACTATAAAATATTAATCTTTTTCACTGAAAAATAATACATTCTCATAATAACCAACAAAAGTATTATAGTATTCTATGATAGTTTATTGAAATTGTTAACTTATGTCATTCGAAGAACAGTGAATTCTGACATTTAATTAAATAAATAACTATTACAAAAAGAGGGATACATATTCTTCTCTTAGTTATCTTTAGAACCTAAAATGTATATCAGATAAATTCTAGAGTAAGTTATTTTTCCATTATGGGTTCTTAGACGGTATAATTATGTCGGCATTATATAATGTTAATATTGTGCTAAGGATACTACTTCCTGATCAAAAATAGTTATGGAATATATAAAATCTTTAAATATTACCATATTCATATATTTAGAACAATGGAGATGAGTCCGTAATAAATTAGGTGGAATTAGAGGATATGTTGGAACAAAAACTCTGCTTTTCTAAAATATTTTTTTTGGTTATATAGATAGTCTGTAAGAATTAACAATAAGGTCAGCTTCTTTAATTTTCGAGAAATATTAAAATAAAACCAAGAGGAATAATGATTAAAGAAAATATCACATAATTTAAATTTGGCTCTTAATTAATACACTATTGAAATATATCAAATTATTTTTAATTTATTATATACTTTGTCAAGGAATTTGGATACTTCGCTCACCTTTTATTAAATTACCATACTATGATTTCTTGTCATTGCCATAATATATTGAGAACTGCTTCGGCCGAGGTAACTGAGAGCCTTCCGAAGAATTGAAATTAAAACTACAAAGGAACCCAAATGAGAACAACTATATATTAATCGACCTTTAAAAGCTTTGAAACAAAATAAATTACAAAAACTGTTAGGTACATCTACATTTGAATAACAGCTAATACAACCAAATATGACTAAATTGCGAATTGCTGTCCAGGGTTGCTGTCATGGTGAGTTAAACAACGTTTATAGAACAGTATCTCGAATGAACTCAAACAAAAAAATTGATTTACTGCTCATCTTGGGGGATTTTCAAAGTCTCAGATCGCCAGCTGATTTCGATTCTATTAGTATTCCACCTAAGTTCAGAAAGTTAGGAGATTTTCATAAATATTACAACAATGAAATGAGTGCACCTGTTCCTACAATTTTTATTGGCGGTAATCATGAATCAATGAGGCATCTCATGTTGTTACCGTACGGGGGTTATGCAGCCAAAAATATATACTATTTGGGATATTCTAATGTAATATGGTTTAAAGGTGTAAGAATTGGTTCTTTAAGTGGAATTTGGAAGGAATGGGATGTCGATAAACCTAGATTTGAATGGGATGTATTAGAATCGCAACATTGGCAAAGAGGTATCAAGTCCCTATACCATGTCAGACAAAGAGAACTTCTACCATTATATATGTTGGATGACTCTAGACAAAGAATGGATATCATGTTAAGTCATGATTGGCCTAATGAAGTAGTTTATTATGGAGACGTTGAACGACTTTTGAAAACAAAGCCATTCTTTAAGAAGGACATCAACAATAAAGAACTAGGAAGCCCCATCAACAGTGAATTACTTAATAGGATGAGTCCCAAATGGTGGCTCAGTGCTCATTTACATGTGAAATTTACTGCGGAAGTTAATAATGACTCCAACGACGAAAATGGGCAAAAACCCAAGTCGGACAGCAAGAACATGGATGAAATCAATTTGGACCTGGACTTGGATTTAGATTCAGATTCAGATCCAGATCCAGATTCAGTGGCAGAAAAGAAAGTTTCAAGGACTACATCATTTTTAGCCTTAGATAAATGTATGCCAAGAAGACAATGGTTAGAAATAATTGAGGTAGAAGCTGATACAACTCATGCATCTTATATCAATGATGCAATGTATTATGATCCTGAGTTTATTGGTAACGTACAATTTATAGAAAAACACAAGGATATACTCTATACAAAGAAATTACAAGATTTTAATTGGGCCCAGCTGAGAAAAGAGAAGAATGATGAATCAAATGGTAGCGATGACATAGAGAACTATAGAATTGAAAATTATGAGAAACCCATCCAAAAAAAAGAAGTCTTGCAGACAGATTCATTTAGGAAGAGGTTTCTTCAAACTAAATAAGATGTATTATATTTGATAGAATATATTAATAAAAGTTATTTACTGGTAATATATACAAAACGTTTCTTTTTTGCTTGCATTTTTATCATATAAGAAGGAATAGAGATGAGAAGTTTTAAGTAATAGATAGAAGAGAAAAAAAACAAATCCACTGAGTAATTTTAAAACTTGAAGACTTGTTCTTTGTTAAAACCTAGATCCTTCAACGAACCTACCAATTCACCTTGATCTGTTGGTCCAGCCTTTTCACCTGAATTAACCTTCATGAATGGAGGAGGACCACATACAAATACTTGAGTCTTTTCTGATGGCTTACTGATATGAGATTCTAAGTAATCCTTGGTAATAAACCCAGTTTCACCTTTAAAGTCACCTTCAGCTTTATCAACAAAATAGATAACTTCGAATTTTTGAGGATATTTAGTCTGTAAATCATCTAATTCTTTCTTTAATAAGATATCCTTTGGAGTCTTATTACCATATAATAATTTGACTTTAGTCTTATCATTTGAATTTTGAGCAATATGATGAGCCAATTGATATAATGGAGTAATACCAGTACCAGCACCTAATAGAGTGATAGAATCAAATGAATTTGGAACCCATTGCCACTTCTTAATTGGACCTTTAAAGGATACAGTATCCTTTGGTTTCAAAGAGAAAAGATGAGGAGTCATCTTACCATTATCGTAATGTTTAATAACAAATTCAATGAAACCTTTTTCACTTAGATCAGAGACAGGAGTATAAGGTCTAATGACATTAGAACCCTTTGGAGTAACAAACTTAGCAAGAACAGCAGATGCTAAAGTTAAACCACTAACAGAGTCCTCAGTTGGTAATTTAAAGATAAATTTCTTTGTATCATGAGATTCATCAATAATTTTTTCGATAGATAAATCAATCCATTGATTATCACCAACAAACACTTTTTTAGAGTCATTTTTGATAATAGTGTTATTTCTATTCAAATAGAATGCCGTAGCAGCAACAGCAGCTGCACCTAATGCAATAGGAACAAATTTTGATTGTGGTCTAGTAAGTCTTGCGAACATTTTTTCTTTTAATTTTAATATATTAGTATAGTAACTGTAGAATTTTGATATTGTTTAATAAAAGCAATCAACTCTGGTTAATTATTTAAAGTAATCAAAAATATGTCTAAAAGTTTCTGAAAGTTATTCTCGCTATCTATCTATCTATATATATATATATTTTATTCTTTGTAATTTATCATAATTACGTAACTATCGAATTAGAAAAGAGAACAGGGGGGTGGGTGGGTGCTACCGACAGTATGAATAATAATATCTCGACTGTTCCATCCAACGATGATAAACGATGATGAAATTAAAACTGTGTGAGATTGATAGAGCCACCCGCTCAACTCAACTCAAGTTAAGTCAAACAGACAGAAAGACAGACAGACAGAAAGACAGACAGACAGACTCCTCTCCCCTCTCCATCTTCCCCTCTCTCAACTAACCTAAAGACGGCAGTAATCCATATTCTACCACTCACACAATCTTGGCGTAATTAATTATTAGAGAGAAAGAGAGAGAGAAACTTCAAAAAATAGGGGAGCGATGCGTGCTCGCTTTCTATTTCCGTTAAAATATTTCGTTATTGCTGTCTCCCTCACATCTGTGCGCGATCTTTTAAGGACAATTAACAAGGTTATGAATATTATTATTGCGATATCCGTAAATGTGATTGGTCAGGAGAAGGTAATACAAATTGGAATCACGAAGCCTTGTCCCATTGAAACGTTACTCAATAAAGGAAATGATTATAATTACAACAATTTTTTATACCAGCCGTTGTGTCACACAGGTAACATACCGATAGGTAAGGGGTGTCTTATTACTAAATTATTACTAAATTTAATACTCAAATGGTGATTTCATTTATATGAACGGAACTGGAAGATTTTAAATGTCTCTCTCTACTATTGAGATATGTAATACTTGCTGAAGTTCAATTATCTAGAGAACGGTAGCATACAATTTAGGAGTCAAGGCAATATTTGTGGTGGATTACATAGCAACTTCTACTAAAAACTAGAGTGATTTCAAATATTTTTGGAACGCTTCATGTTTAACATGCATATTCTACCATTTATTACTGTCACTTTATTTTTTTTTTGTGAAAGAGAAATTTTAAAAACATAATTTATTAGATTACTTTAACCTAAATTTTTACCGCTCCTCTCTCTCTATATACAATTGTTCCATATACCATAATTAATTGAACTAATTAAATAGAGTTGAATTATAAAGTGACCTTAAATACGAACTCATTAATAAAAAAACGCTATTTCTCTCGTTTATATTTGTAGTATAACTTTCTTTGTCAGTCTAACAATTATTTGGTAAAAAGATAGTATTGTTACTTCCATCTTTTTCTCTTATTTAATGACATGTATATTGAATCCTTTGTCTTGACATTATTCAACCGTAAAATCAATAATGAAGAAGAATATATGATAAAGTACCATTCTAATTGACAATATCTTGAATTTTGATAGGTATATCACATAAACATAGAGAAATGGTGAAAATGTGAAGCCATACTAGGTCTACTTGTAAACTTTTGATAGTAATCCAATCTTATTAGAAGGTACAGAGATTTAACTGCTATTACATGAGATACAAACATGTTTTCTATTATTAATATAACAACTGTCACAATTTCCTTGTGACAATAAAACGTTCCCCATGTATTTGTACATATCTGTCAAGAATTCTTCCCCCTTTTTAATTAATTTTCTAACAATTAATGAATAATTGAAATAACAAAACGATTAACACAATTAGGGATTCGCTCCATTCTAGATAGTTTACGAAAATATTTATAATTTAATAAATGCAACTGTAAGAGACCGGTGTATTTATAATAATACTACCACTTTTTCTTTTTAATTATCCATTATTAGTTCATTTACTTGTCAGTTTATAGTTTCATTTCTCTCTCTCTCTTTCGCGTTTGTTAACATTAATTATCATCAAATTTTAAGATAGCGCGCGTCTCTTCTCTTGAACAATTTTTTTTAAGGGATGGATGGTCTTGACAGATATAAATGATTTTTTCTATAGTGATATTTTTAAACCTTCAACAATTACTAATCAATTTTTTAAATTCAAACATGTTATACTGGTAATAACTTCAAAAAACAAATCAAAAGTTTTTGTTTAGTTGCAATTGAATATATATCTACCAAAGAAAAAAAAAAGAGAAATGCTGCTTTCACGTCTATCACATAAAGAACTAATACAACTTGCAAAGAAAAGATGTATACCACCATTATTACCAACTTTCTATAAAGGTCAAAGTGGTGGTCGTGTCTGTATCATTGGTGGCTGTGAAGATTATACAGGTGCTCCATATTTTAGTGCCAATGCCACTGCCTTAATGGGTTGCGATTTAACACATGTTATCTGTGAGAAAAGTGCGGCTACAGTGATAAAATCTTACACTCCAAATTTAATGGTACATCCATATCTAAGAGACAATGGAGAAAGAAGTGAAATGGATAAAATTAAAGGATTACTTGAGAGAATCCATGCTATTGTCATTGGTCCAGGTCTTGGTCGGGATAGCTCTATGTTACAATCGGTGAAAGATATTATTGAATATATTTTAGTAGATAAGAAAGGTGAAGTACCTATTGTGATTGATGCTGATGGTTTATTTTTAATTAGTCAAGATAAAGAAGTTCGTGAATTATTAAAGAAATTTCCAAAGGGTAGAATCATATTAACACCAAATATTATTGAATTTAAGAGAATAAGTGATGCAATTGCTAAAGATTTAAAATTTGATAGTACTACATTAACAGATAATATTCAAATGGGTCATTTTATTTCTAATGAACTAAACTGTATACTTGTTCAAAAGGGTAGAGAAGATCGAATTTATTCTCCTCAAAATGATTTTATCTTAGTTAATTCACAAGAAGGAAGTAATAAGAGAGTTGGTGGGCAAGGTGATACTTTAACAGGTACTATAGGATGTATGTTATCCTTTAGTCGTTCCATGCATGATTTTCATGTTATTCCACTATCATCATCCAATAATGATGATAATAAAGAGGGAACATTAGCATGGGTTGATTGTGCATTATTAAGTTGTTATGTGGGTAGTACAATAACTCGAGAATGTTCGAGACTTGCCTTTCAAGAGAAAAAACGTGCAATGCAAACTTCGGACTTGAATGATCGTGTGGGTTTAGTATATTCCAAGACGTTTGATTAAGGTTCTTAAAGAGAAGACTTCTATAATATTTAGCAGAAGTAAATATAAATTAATATTATCATTTTTTATACTGTCTACTATATGAAAGATCACTTAATTTTACTCTTATAAATATTACATTATAGCTTTATTGTATATTTTTATTATTATTATTTATTTACAGAAGGAGGCTATATAGTTATTAATGACTAGTTCTGTCACGTGCTTCAGCGACATATCTCAATCATGTTATACGGGTAACGCCCTTCTCTCCTCTTCTTTTGGTAAACACACAGAAAAAGGGGCCGGCTTCCACACCCAGACATTCCAATATGAGCTTCTCTGTGCGTAGGTATAACTATGTAATTTAATAGAGTCCCCCCGAAGAGGCAAGGAGGAAACGAATAGAGGCGAGACACAAAAAAACAGAGGAAGCCCCCTAGCAAGTGTGCCCCCCACCCAAGACGGATTCCTTCTTAATTACGCTTTTCCCAATAAAAAGTCTGAGCCGGTCTCACCAGCAAGTCCAGTTACACACATTTTTGGGGTCAAACTGGAGAAAATTTGTCTCTCTCTCTCTTTGGTTAAGATAATAATAATAATAATAATAATAATAATATTATATAATCATTTTCACCAGCCTATATGTCTTATGACAGTGAGAGATTCTTGTAAATTTAATATTATTTAATATATGAATTTTTCGTTTCTATGTAGACATACGTAGCTAGTAGCTATAGAATATAGAGCAATACAAAAATGCTACCAATTTTACTAAATTGTCTCAAAGGTTGCTTTGTTTTACTATGTAAATTGATGTTCATATATTTACTTCAATACTTGTCGTCACACAATGTCTGTAAATTTCTCAATTATTTTTCAATTGAAATTTTATATATATTATTTTCGATCTGAGTTGAAAGTATATAAACAACTTCAATCATATTTATTTTTTTAGTAACGAAGTAATTGTTAACATTTTATTTTTTCCACTATTAGTTATTATTACTTTTTCTACTTAGTTCTTGTTTTCTTCTTATTTTTCTTATTTTTTTCTTCTTTGCCTAGATCAGTACATCCAATACAAATCATAATATATTGCAATGCCAAAGTTAATTCTAGTTAGACACGGTCAATCCGAATGGAACGAAAAGAACCTATTTACCGGTTGGGTTGATGTTAGATTATCCGCCGTCGGTGAAAAGGAAGCTAAGAGAGCTGGTCAACTTCTAAAGGAAAGTAACACTCTACCAGATGTTCTTTACACTTCCAAGCTATCCAGAGCTATTCAAACTGCCAACATCGCTCTATCTGAAGCTGACAGATTATGGATTCCAGTCACCAGATCTTGGAGACTAAACGAAAGACATTACGGTGCTCTACAAGGTAAGGACAAGGCTGCTACTCTAGCTGAATACGGTGAAGAAAAATTCACCACCTGGAGAAGATCCTTCGCTGTCCCACCACCAACCATCTCTGATGACTCTGAATTCTCTCAAAAGGGTGATGCCAGATACAAGGACATGGATCCAAAGGTTATTCCAGCTACCGAATCCCTATCTCTAGTCATTGACAGATTACTACCATACTGGGAAGATGTCATTGCTAAGGATCTATTGGACGGTAAGACCGTTATGATCGCTGCTCACGGTAACTCTCTAAGAGGTCTAGTCAAGCACCTAGAAGGTATCTCTGACGATGACATTGCCAAGCTAAACATCCCAACTGGTATCCCATTGGTTTTCGAACTAGATGACAACTTGGTCCCATCCAAGCCATCTTACTACTTGGACCCAGAAGCTGCTGCTGCCGGTGCCGCTGCTGTTGCTAACCAAGGTAAGAAATAGATTAAATTATAATTATAATTTAATTTTATCAACCCTTATTAGTTTTACAACATCAACCATTTTATATACATATATAAACGAATTTATATATTAGTCAATAATGTTTATTTGACTAACTTTTAATGAATTTATTTAGATGGTATTCTTTTTTTGTATTCTTTTAATTGTCTTCAAGTTAGTAAGTAGTATTTTAATCTTAAAACTCATTTATTGGAATTGAGAAGATTTATCGTACTAATGGCAATGGTATTTTGATGTGGTGAAAATTTACAATTTTATTCAATAAAATAAATAAAAAATCAAAAAAAAAATCTCCGCGACGGGGAATTGAACCCCGATCTGGCACGCGACAAGCGCCCATTCTGACCATTAAACTATCACGGATTTTGAAAGAAGAAGAAAGATAGCACTCACACTGGGGGTCGAACCCAGAATCTTCTGATTAGAAGTCAGACGCGTTGCCATTACGCCATGCGAGCTATGTTTCTTGAAGTTTTTTCAAGATATTTGCTTACAAAACATAAACACAAGTGTCACTTAAAAATTCATAAAATTGATAATTTAAGTAAAATATTTTTGTTAATTGGGACTATATGTTAAAATGTAGCGGCAGCACTAAAAAGGCTAACATTAGCTTAACCTAACTGAAGGTGAAGGTAGCTAATATAAGTAGAATTTAGAGTGTGCTGCACTGTCGTATATATAATAACACATGATATATACTGCATAATGTAGTATTCGTTCCCCCTACATTGGGTTTATTGGAGCTACATAGTCCAACGTTACTATGCACAAAAGATGAGCAGTTTAACAACAGCAACTCTGTTTAACATTGTTAAGTCCTCAATTTGATAAATATCCATCTTCTTAAACCTAACAAGGTTCAATCTTATTCATTTACAAAAAAAATTTAAAAAATTACGGCTATTCATTCATCATATTAAACTCACTTATTAATGCCTGAAAATTTTATTCATTATTATTACGAACGAGATATACATATCTATTTAAACTATGCAGATACTTTCCCATCCAACCATTCTTCCCAGTTAGAAATATCTTTTTTGGATACACTACCCTTCAGAGCCTCTACTTCACCCTCTAACATCGAAAAGGTAAATTTATTATTTCCGTTCACATTTTCAAGGAAGCCAGCATTTTCATCATCACTGTCATCACCACCAGTGTTGAAGTCTGCCCTCTTTCTAACTTCTCCTAACGACTTGTTGTGTCTTTCGATTGTTAGACCAACTTCCTTTTCTAAGGCCTCAATTATCTTTGCAGGCGGTCTAGCCGTGAACGATTCAGATTTGTTACAAGCAATCAATATATCGATTGGTTCCTTGGAGACTTCAGTTATACTCAGTATATCTAATAAGAACTCGGCAGTTTCACTTAACTTCTTAGGGTCCGTGGTGGCATCTACAACAAATAATATACCCTTAATATGTTCTGTTTCTCTCAAAGCATCCATAAGTTTATAATGCAATTTAACATGACCTGGGAAGTCGATTAGATTAACACGGGATTCATAGTTCTTCTTAAGATTTATGTCCTGAGATGTAACAGTATTTCTTACTTCACCAGTGGTTAGCTATTTTGACAAGTTGTACAATAAAATCAAATCAAAAAAAAATTATAATAATTTCGTACTTTTATAGTTAGTAAATGAAAAATTGATCAAACTGACGAATATATGATAACGAGAGGTTCGCGCATATAAATTATTAAACATACCAATGTGAATAAAGCTGTCTTACCACTTTTTGATGGTCCTGTAATAAACACAGCAGGTTCTTTTGTCTTAGTTGTGGTGGCACTCTTCTTTGCGGTAAACACGAAGTATACTACCGTGGTCAATAGGATTAGAAAGCATGCTAATGCAATAGAGACTGTGTTGGTATCAATCACCATATTAAAATGTAAATAAATAATCCCTGGGTTTGATTGCTGATTTATGATCTAAATTGAGACTATTTCCCTGTTGTTACCCAGTTGAAGTCTTTATATTAAAATATCATTGTTTTAATGAATTTCAACTTTAATTTGGAAGAATGAAAAGGAAAAAAACACAGCATAACAATTCAAAAAAATAAGAAGCGTAAAGCTCGAAATTCAAACGAATAAAGGACTGAAAGCACTACGTTCTTAAAAATAACAAAAATACGGCAGTATCTTCATAAAAGAGTGCTTATCTTCAAATTTTAAGTGTGGAACCTAATTATTACCTACCTGTAAATATTACAACCACCAAGGAAGTTCCAATTTCATAATGCTTTCACGGAAAATGATACTTAGGTTTAGAACTGGATCTGCCGTTGACATTTGCAGAAGATACAGTTTGAGGTCTTTATCAACTACGTTCGATGCGAATGATAGCAGTACTCCCAGAACACTCAGTTCAAGGGAAGAAAGATTGCAACCTGAAACATTAAAGGGAAGAACATACAGGCCGATGCTATCATTAAACCCTGAAGTTGCTAAAGCTATCAACAATAATATAACGGCCTTACATCTTCCAAATAATTTGAGAAGAGTAGCAAAGAACCAGTTTTTAAAGTTACAAGAAAATAGACTTCATCAAGTACCCAGAACTGAATTAGAGATAGACTCACATATTGCATCATTCTTTTTACATGATTATGGCTCCATATATCAAGTTCTCACAGATTTAAAAAATAATCACGAAGAAAATTTTAAACCTCAGAATGTATTAGATGTAAGTATGGGACCAGCGACTGGTATTGTTGCGTTTAATGATGTTATGGGTCCTAATTATAGATGTAATAAGGACTCTGTGATCGAAGGTGGGTCTGAAATGCAAAAGAGAGCCAAGATCATTTTAAGTAGACAATATAATGAGATACCCGATGATGTATTAGAAGAACAAATAAAAAGAACATCAAATGTAGAGACAGAAATAGAAACAGATGATGTGGCAGATAATATAACAGAAGGTGAAGACCTTGTAGGTGAAGTAATGACAAAGAAAATCAAAATACAAACAAAATTAAAAAATTTTGTACCTATGGGGAAGCAATATGATCTAATTATACTATCTCATCAACTTTTGCAACATGATGGGAAGTTCCCAATTGAGGTCGATCATAACATTGAGAAATATCTTAAATTGCTATCACCTGGAGGTTACATAGTAGTCATTGAGCGTGGTACACCATTAGGATTTGAAACAGTTACCAGAGCTAGACAAATTATGATTCGTCCTGAAAGGTATCTGGATGAATATGGCAAAATACCAAGACCTTGGATTGCTGGTAATTCCATTAAGGAACCCACCATACTGGAAGAACAAATAGATGAATCGCAGAGTAATCCAACGAAAGAAGATAACTCTGATTATCATTTGACAATACTGGCTCCTTGTCCACATCATAGAGCATGTCCTTTACAAACCAATAATCCAAATTACTACGAGTTAAAAGAAGGTAAGAAATTAAAATTTTGTTCTTTCGAAAAAGCTATAAAGAGGCCAAAGTTTAGTTTAGAATTGAAAAAGGGTAAACTGTTAGCCAATAAATGGGATGAAGAAGATCCTGAAATAGCTAATAAAAGACAAAACATGAAATTGGCAGGATCAGGAAGAAGAAACGGTAATGATTATGAACTTATCCATTACTCATATTTGGTTGCAAAAAGATCATTTAATGATAAAGAGACAATACGTAAGATAAACGAAATGAGAACTAAAGATCGAACAGCAGAAAACAAGAATTATCAAGTTGGATCTCTGGGAGATAATACACCAAATACTTGGCCTAGAATTATCAATCATCCTGCTAAGAAGAAGGGTCACATTATCCTTGATGTCTGTGGTAATTCCGGTAAGATCGAAAAATGGATCATTCCAAAATCATTCTCAAAGGAAATATATCATGATGCTAAAAAGGCTTACAAAGGTGATCTGTGGGGTCTAGATGCTAAGACAAAATTACCAAGTTTAGCTAAGATTAATATTGAATTGTTCAAAAAACTTGAGAAGAAGAGACTTAAGAAAGTAAAGCAAGAAAGAAAGGAAAAGGAAAGAGAGATGTCTATAAAATTCAATCAACTGACAGATCAAGAAAACATGGAGGCAATGACGCAGGAGAATATAAAAGAGATGTCCGAGGTATATGCTCATTATTATAATGCCAAATTTAATACACCTAAAGATTAAGTATAAGGATATTTTAATACAGGAATTCTCTGATCATTCTACACAGTAATCTATTACAACCTTTTTCCTCTCAAAAAATAAAAACAAAACTGCATTCCTGTACATAACATCTGCATATATATAAAAGAAGATGCATACTATCAGTTGGATCATACAAGTAATAGAATAATGCATGTATATATAACTGTATGTATATCTATACTGATAATCTCGGAGTTTTTTTATTACAATTAACTAATAAGGTATAATTAAATCAACATGAAATAAATAATGAGCGACTTTTTGTTTTGTAATTTATTATTTTTATTACTATAATATATAAATGAGTAACATATACAGTTTATTTTAATATTTTTTTATATTTAAATGAATCAAAAAAATATATATAGATGATTTTCATATAAATATGATTTACTTTCTTCTGAAAGAAGTACCTTCAGATAGCTTAGCCTTACCACCGGTTGGAGTACATAGAACGGTAGCACAGGATTCACAAGTGACAGCAGTTTGTGCGTGGGAGAAAACAGTGGTAATGTTTAGACAACCTGGGCACTTAACGTCTAGGAAGTAAGATCTTGGGGATTGAACCAAAGTCTTTAACTTGTGCTTTCTGGCTTCAGAGGCGGCAGTTGGGTGCAATAAATCTTGAACTAGAACCTGTATTAAAAATGAAATAAAATAAAAATTAATTTAATTTCGACTTGTTAGTAAATCATGAAATTCGACAGTTAAATGGAAACGTTATTCTCATTGTGGATAGAAACAAATTAGAACATATATATATGTGTCTGAGTGTTGAAACTAGTTTGTCTTATTTGTGTGAACACAATTCTCATGATAATGATGCATGTGCGAATATATACTAGTAGAAGATAATTGCAATGAAAAATATCCTACACGTATTATTGCTTGCAACATTATTCATTACCAAAGAATAATAATAATAATAATAATAATAATAATAATAATAGTAATAATCACAACGATGTTATTATCTCTATAAGTTTGCTCATCATCAATCTAGTAATGATACATTATCAATCCCTGCAGTATCTATGATATCGTTGACAAGAGTGTTTCCTCAAAATAGTCACTATATACCAAATATGTATATACACATATTGATACAATCACTCTATCTGGCAGTAATAAATCGTATCTAATAACAATATCCTCTTTATTCAATCAAATAATTCTCTTAATTAACATCACACTTTTTTATTTTCAACAAATTTGCAACATAGCATATCTATCTATTTATTCATAATATCACTCTTATTCTATTCAAATCTTATCCATAACGTATACTATCAGTAATTCAACATACCATCTTTGTATAACTATGCTCTTTTTTAGGTGGTATATTAATAAAAAGATTTAATCATCAAAAAAATAATGAAAAGTCTTCTTATGTATGTTTTTAATTGATAGTTCATTCAATATATTTTTCTTCTTCTTCTTCCTTAGGCTTGAAACATTGCGTGCGGTACTGATACAGACGGTGAGAGACCCAATTGGAGGTTACTTCTCTCTTCGCTTCGCTGCCTCTCGCTGACCTTCGCGCCACCCATCGCTTTTTGCTGCGGAAAGACAGGGCAGCAGCGACAACAAAATGTTTCAAAAAAACAAAAACAAAAATTTTCAGTTTCCCAAAGTGGGTGCAAGGATGTTTCTGGGTGTACAGATGTTTGCAGTCACAAAAATATTGATCGATTAATGGAATCAAGCTATGTAGTCGATAGCTGGCATTAGCGACACAGTAGACAGGCTCATACATTTTTACACTTTATTTTATTATATTAGTAATTAAATTAAACTCGTTATATATATATATATATGTTGAAAAGAATCATTTCATGAATGAAAAAAAATTGGTAGATATTATATAGACGACTCCCTTTTGATATTTTTTTCATTTACAGAGTCCTTCAATATGTACCTAACAATATATCTGAACTCATTTACTCGTTCTTCGACCAATTGTTTCAAAGTTTCTGTATGATTATATTTTTCAAATTCAAAACTAACTTTCTCCATACAGATTGGTTCATCATTAGGGTCATGCCATATTTGTAAATATGAATGATTTAGTGCTTGTTGCACTGTTATTCGTGTCTCGGGGCTATATCGTAACATTTGAGTAAGTAGATTAATGGCTGAATCTGTTGCTGATGGAAATAATGTGTTGAAAGGTAAGCCTCTTGTGGTCCCCAGTTGTTGAATGTATGCTCTAACATTCCTTGATCGTATTTGGTTCAAAGTCTGTTCAGAAGGTGTCCCAAGGACTTGTAATATTCTATTTAACTGATTCACATAATCATTTCCTTGAAACAATGGAACCCGTCCTAACAATTCTGCAAATATGCATCCAACGGACCAAATATCAATTGCTTTCGTATAACCATGATAATTCAACATTAGTTCGGGAGCTCTGTACCATCTTGCTGCTACAAACTCTGTCAAGAAATGATTATTTTCTGTCCAATCATCAGAATAACCTCTTGATAGACCGAAATCACTTATTTTCAAATGACAGTCAGCATTCACCAATATATTGTTTGGTTTCAAGTCTCTATGTAATACTCCAGCTGAATGAATATATTTGAGTCCACAAAGGATTTGATATACAAAATTCTGACAATGTGCATCTGTTAATTGTTGACCGGACTTTATAATTTGATCAAGATCAGAATCCATTAGTTCTTCATAAATATATAAACCATTGACTTGACCGTTGGGGCTATAGACAAGATCCAAGTCGTATAAGCTCACAATATTAGGATGACCTCTTAGATGACTAAGTAGCACAATCTCTCGAAGTACTCTTTTAGTCATCAATGTCGACGCAAATACTTTTGGAACCTTCTTAATAGCAACTGTAGCAATCCCAGATGGATTAAAATATTCAGCAGAACACACGACCCCATAGGATCCATTACCAATCAACTTTTTCGGTCGGAACCCTGTCTCCACAATAAAATCTTGATTTAATACTCTATACACTGTCCTTCCAACATTTTTGGAAATGTTGTTGTGCGAAGAAGATGGACTCATCGAGACAAATAGAGATGCAAATCGATTATAATAAGAGATTTATCAAAGTGAGTTATTCTTGTTCTTGTTCCTGTTTTCAAAAGTTACAGTTCTTTCGACTAACTAGGAATGATTGTTAAAGAAAGAATGTAAGGCTTTGGCAGCCCTTCTCTTTAGTAAAAAGAGTAATAAGAATAATAACAAGAAGATACAGCACCATTGGCAGTTGGCAAAAGATATTCTTCAAGTATGACAAGAAACTCGACCCAATTGACCATTTTCTTAAATAAGAATTCAGAAATACCTAGTTTCTTCTAAATAGACTTAATTTTTGTTAAAACGTCATTAACCATCTAAACTTACCAAAAGAGATGTAAACACAAAACCATAAATCCGTTTTTAATTATAGCAATAATCGTTAGGCTGGTTCTTTTTTCCTATTAAGTGAAATTAATCTTCAATTTAGTAGTAAATGGAGTTCCGTCCAAAGTATTGCTTAATTAATATCTTCTGGAGATCTATTTTTAGCGCAACCCAATAAAATGAAAAATAAGAGGGAACCATCGGACAACTGACAAAGAAATAGCCGTAGCGGTCAACCCGAAAAAAATGAATGAAATAATCAAAAAAACGGTATGAACTGTGGAAGACTGAAAGTAACAGAAAGAGAAATCACTGGAGATACGTTTATATGTCAAAACAGTATGTTGAAGGAAGAAAGGAGGACTGTCAGAGAAGTTTTCTTGACAAAAACAACTTTAATCGTTGTAATTGATAGGCTGAGAAGAAGAGAATACTTCTTTGGAATGACATTTCGCCTCTTCTTGAGAATAAGTTTGCCAAGTAGATTTCATTTATGTAAACATTGACCCGCCTGGAATGGGCTCAATTACGTTTCCTATTTTGTGCATAAAGTATACAGAATATACCGAAACAATCTGTTGTCCATGGGGATTATGTTTATCTTGGGTTAATAATAGATTTTAATGTACGTTTTAATAATACTTTCTTGTATATTATTCTATCGTTAGTAGGAGATTAAGAATATTGTGTTTTAGATAATAAAAGAAAAAAAGGCATCGATGCAGAAATCGAACGTTCACTCATTAGTAATTACTAACTGTACCCCCCTCTTATTGCATAATATCTAACGTAGTTCTGTATTAGAAATGTGATTGAATGGCAGATCATCATACTATCTGAGTATGTGTGTGCGAATGAGTGTATGTCTTGAGTAAAATGACTGTCGTAATAAATAAATAAATAAGAGAGAAAAACGAAGAACGGTAGGGTTAAGATGTATTATAAGGAATAACCAGCAAACTTAATCTAATTTAATTTACGTTTATTATTTTTATGATGTAATACAACAATCAATTTTAGAACACTCTGAAATCCATAACAATTTCACTCTTGAAACAACAAAAAAAGATTTAGGCTGAAGTCGTGTCAATTATTCTCATTGGTAAAATTTATTATCCTTCCTCTATTGGAGTTCTTGCAACTTACCTTTTCTCACAGGAATTATATTTCTTATGTTATCTAACATCTTTGTATTTAATTTCAAGCCATGGAAGAAAATATTTTATTAAGTAACGAAAAAAAACAACATGAAACTGTTTCCAGCTGAATAATGATCTTAATTAAAAGAATTCAGACATCCCAGAAAAATATTAAAAGTTAAAACATAATGCTAACTTATTGATGGCTGTTGTGGTCTATCGTCAAAATTATCTCGAAGAATTTTGTCGCTATTCATAATATTTCGTCATGTTGTTTTCTTTTTCATATATTTATTGTTTCCAAAATTGTTAATTGTTTAAAACCTCGAACATTATCAACATATGGTTACTGCAATCCAGTCAAAGCATTCGAACAAATGAACAACAATCCACTTATGAGGACTACCAATGCTAGTAAAAAAAACATGCCCTTAAGTTTAGGTAGTAACTATTCTCGAAAAATACATCCATAAACAAAGGTTGGCATATTCCAAATACGACGAGAAGCTAGCATTTGCAAATTTAATTCGACCATCAATTACCCAACTAGAATAAACTTCAATAACCAATATTTTATTCTTAAGGAAGACTATGCATGTAATAACTTAGAATGTATTAAGTGGCAATTAACATTACTAAAATTAACCATTAATTTCGAGCATTATTTTGTAATATGTCATACGATCTCAGAGTTACCAAGGATATCATAGCAGATCATATTATTATTTGAAAGACACGTACCCACTCCTTAAGGTCCTCGAACAACTTAAACAAACGATGATGTATTGATGGTAAACCAAATAGCTTCGTGAGATTATTCCAAATGCATTTTAAGGGGTATCTAACGGTAGAAGAAATATATCATAAAAAGGAAGAAACACAGATATACCAACATCAAAATCATAAAACTATGCTTGGGATAAAATACCGACTTTATATCTCCATCGATAATTATTATCGTATGAACCACATTCTATGAGTTTCGTCTCAAAATGGGTTAAGTGAATGCCATTGGACCTCAAAAGAGACACGTTTTTAGTCAATAACCACATTTTCTACCAGCTAATCACATTCAGTACGATTTCATATAGCAAATAAACCCATATTATTATCATAAGTTCTCCAACCCAACAAAACAGAACCAAAAAAAGGACATTTATACTAAAAACGCTAATCTATTAATAACTAAGGGAAAAATACCAGTCTGTTAGAATAACCAGAACTCCTTCGACCCACCTTGATAAACACTTGGAGCAATTGTACGTAAGGTAAGAGTATCAACTACATTAATAGATATAACCCATATATGAAACAGCATCTTTTGGAAGAGAAGATTGAATGTATCAGTTCAAATATACAGAATGGAAGGTACCGACAAATTTCCTTATAGTAACCCAACCCAAAGATAACATTTGCAATGAATCTAAATGAAAAATGTTAACCATTCCTTCAGCAGCACCAAGTCTTTGAAGACATGAAAAGACTAGAAAAATATTATTATGGTTTCTTGTGTTGTCTTTATCTGGTTTAGTCCATTAAGGGCTTTTTTAAATTAAATTTCGACTTCAAAAAAAATAAACACACATATAAAATTCAGTGCATCCAACCTTACCACCTTTCATCTTTGGAACAGATCACTTCACAATGTATGTTAAATGGTTAGTATAAAGTTCCGCGATCTCAACGAGGGAGTTGTTACCTCTGTTTTGATAATAATAAGTGCATCAGAATTTCCTATATTAAAAAAAAGAATAATTGATGAGATCGATATGATCTTTAAATGATTTTCGCGAACTCACTAAAGAATATAAGTTCTATATAACCAATTATAGAGGAAAGAATACTATTTACAAAGATGATATAAGAATAATTTTGTCCTTTTAGTTCTTTTTTTCACATTATCAAATCTCTAGAAGAACAATGTAAAAAGTGCGAGTTGTTTCTATGCTATATCTATATATTTATATAATATGATTATTTATAACTATCATTCGTCATCAATATCTGTTAAAAGATCTTCGTCATCATCAAATATAGATTTTGGTGGCATCGAAGTAGGTATTAATTTACTTTCAACGTTCGGATCATCGTAGTTTTTGCAGGTATTAACAACAATCTTACCAGTATTGCAATCTAATAACGTTATCTCTCTAGGCTGTTGATTATTAAGGTCCTTACCATCATCATTGATAACATCATATAAATGTGGTTGTTCGGTTAAGTGAGTCTTTGATACGGACTCTGTATTAGGCACTTCCTCACATCTCGAATAATCAAACCCAGGAGGAGGTGACGTTGGAGGAGATATCAGGAACAACCTTTCCCCTTTAGGTAGCTCCAGATATTGTTTTTCGAGACTATTAGAAGTATCAGTTAACGAATAACTGAATTTGAATTTCGAAACGATCAGATCTCTACTTACATCCATGATACTTTTAGATATTTCATGAGTTGGCGATATTAATAGTATTCTCTTGAAATTTTTCAGTATGATCAGTTGTAAAGCGTTATCGTTTGTAATCGTATATTGTTGTAATACCGTAAGAGCTAACCATTCATTCAACAATTTCACTTGTTCGGAGTCTGTTACATTAAGCTGAGATACTGACGTCACAATAATAGTATTAGTAACATGGTCTTCCCTTGGTTTTGCTTCAAAAGTCATTGTTCTGAGATGTTATTACAAACCTTTCCAAGCTGAAGCACATAAATACACACTAACGGTTTTTGAACGAATCATCATAAACTATTTCTCATTTCGTTTTTAAAAAAAAGGTTCATTTCAGTTTTATTAATTGTGAAAGTGTTGAAAAATGTTAAAAATTCACCGAGAAGCCGATTTAACGTTAATATTGTACAACTTCTTCTACAACAGAGGCAAGAGTATAAGAATCCATAACGAAACATTTCCAGACTGTTTGCACTTTAATCTCACTTGTACATAGTTTAGTGACTAACCTGCAATAAGCTTCCAAAATTGTTCATAAAGATGTTCCTTTTGAGATCGGTACCCTCTAGTGCAAGAATAGCTACTGGAAGGACATCACTAATTGCATATTTAATTAAGCGTCCTTCAACGTTCCAACTACAATATTCAATAAGAGAACTATCAAATGTTTCTAAGAATAATATTATAACTAAAAGAACTACTTCCGCATTTAAGAATAAATTGTTTAATGTTGCGTTAAGAAGATCTCTCTTTACGGAAACGACACATTCATGTTCTAAATGTGAGAAAGTCGCGAAGCACCTAATTGAAAAGTATGTATCACTATTATTGAGACTACCAAAAAGTTGATAAATAAAGACACAGACAATATACACAAACAGGATATCCACTGGTATAGATTCAAACAGCAAACATGAAACTTGCTTCTTTATTAGCGGTACCCTTTTTATCTGGCGTATTGTATGTTATTCTTTTTTGTTTTTACTTATAAAGCCCATCAAATGATAATTTTATTTCCTGAACTTGATATCTAAAGAGAGGCAACAAGACAATTCCAATGATATGAGAGAATACTCTCCTGATGTAAGGCACCATTTGGAAACAGTCTGTTATACTATTGCCACCCTTTCCCTTTCATTTGTGTTGTATATTATCAAATATTATAATATAATAGTATGAGGGAAGCCAAAGATAGCGAAAAAAAGGAGAAAATGGATAAGGGGAGTTTTGTGTAATAATATTTTTTTTATTGATAAGATAAAGACAATTGCAACTACAATAATGCACACGTGTTAAAACGACCAGTAACAGTTTATCACTATCCAAGGAAATAAATTTGTAGACATACATATACTTGAGGAATTATAGCCCTTTTCTGTTCTGTTTAACTCTCTATTTTGGAAAATTAAGTTGAAAGGTACATTACATTTTTAACTCTCAGTTTACTAACAATTAATTCTTGTGTTTTCTACATATTATGTCCAGTACCACTATAAACCGTGAAATATTACCAACTAATGTCTCTCCACTCCATTACCATCTTCAAATTGAACCAAATTTCGACACTTTCAAATTCAAAGGTATTGTTAAGATTGATTTAAAAGTTAATGAGAAAAATGTCGATACTGTCAAGTTAAATAGTTTAGATATCGATATTCATTCTGCAAATGTTGATGGTATCGATGCTACTTCTTTTAACACTAACACCGATATTCAGACCACTGAATTTGGGTTCCCTAAAGGAACTTTCGCCACAAAGGAGAAAGCAACATTAGAGATTAAATTTACTGGTATTTTGAATGATAACATGGCTGGGTTCTATAGAGCTAAATATGAAGATAAATTGACTGGTGAAACCAAATATATGGCAACCACCCAAATGGAACCTACCGATGCAAGAAGAGCATTCCCATGTTTTGATGAACCAAATTTAAAGGCAACTTTCGACATAACCTTAGTATCTGAATCTCATTTGACTCATCTATCTAATATGGATGTTAAAGATGAAATGATTACTGATGGTAAGAAAATTACTCATTTTAATACTAGTCCAAAGATGTCAACTTATCTAGTTGCTTTTATTGTGGCCGAATTAAAATACGTTGAAAATAATGATTTCCGTATCCCAATTAGAGTTTATGCTACACCAGGTAACGAAAAGGATGGCCAATTTGCTGCTGACTTAACTGCAAAGACCTTGGCATTTTTTGAAACTTCTTTCGGTATTAAATATCCTTTACCAAAAATGGATAACGTTGCCATTCATGAATTCTCTGCTGGTGCAATGGAAAATTGGGGTTTAGTTACCTATAGAGTGGTTGATCTATTATTAGACAAGGATCATTCCACATTAGGTAGAGTTCAACGTGTTGCTGAAGTAGTTCAACACGAGTTAGCTCATCAATGGTTTGGTAACTTAGTGACCATGGATTGGTGGGAAGGTTTATGGTTGAATGAAGGGTTTGCCACTTGGATGTCATGGTATTCTTGTAATGAATTTCAACCAGAATGGAAGGTTTGGGAACAATATGTAACTGATACATTGCAAGGTGCTTTAGCTTTAGACTCCCTGAGATCATCTCACCCAATTGAAATCCCTGTCAAGAGAGCTGATGAAATTAATCAAATCTTTGATGCGATTTCTTATTCTAAGGGGTCTTCATTGTTAAGGATGATTTCTAAATGGTTAGGTGAGGATGTCTTCATTAAGGGTGTTTCTCAATATTTACAAAAATTTAAATACGGTAATGCAAAGACTGAAGATTTGTGGAACTCTTTGTCCGAAGCCTCAGGTAAAGATGTTAGTTCAGTAATGAATGTTTGGACTAAACAAGTTGGTTTCCCAATCATTTCAGTAGAAGAAAATGGTAATAAGATTACTTTTAAACAAAACCGTTATTTATCAACTGGTGACGTTGAACCAATTGAAGACGAAACTTTATATCCAGTATTCTTAGCTTTGAAGACTGCCAATGGGGTTGACAACGACATTGTATTGAACGAAAGATCTAAGACAATTGAACTTAAGGATAATGATTTCTTGAAAGTTAATGGTGATCAATCTGGTATCTACATTACGTCATACAGTGACGAAAGATGGATAAAGTTAGGTAAACAAGCCAATTTATTATCCGTTGAAGATCGTACAGGTCTTGTTGCTGATTCTAAAGCCCTGGCTGCTTCTGGTTATTCTTCAACAACCAATTTTTTCAACTTGATATCCAATTGGAAAAATGAATCCTCTTTTGTCGTTTGGGAACAAATTTTGAATAGTATTTCTTCATTGAAATCTACGTGGATCTTTGAACCAAAAGAAGTTCAAGCTGCCTTGAACAATTTTACCAATGATCTTGTAAAAAATAAATTAAAGGAATTGGGATGGAAAATTGAACCCACAGATTCCTTTGCTACCCAAAGTTTGAAAGTTTCACTTTTTGGTGCTGCATGTGCCGCTAGAGAACCACAAATGGAGAAAATTGCCATCGATATGTTTAATAAATATGTGGAAGGTGATAAATCTGCAATCCCTGCACTAATCAAACCAATTGTATTTAATACTGCAGCAAGAATTGGTGGCAAGGACAATTATGAAAAGATATATCAATTGTATTTGAATCCTGTGTCTTCTGATGAAAAATTAGCTGCATTAAGAACTTTAGGTAGATTTGAAGATATTGAATTAATCAATAGAACATTAAGTTATTTAATGGATGATAAAGGAACTATATTGAATCAAGATATTCATATTCCTATGCACGGCTTAAGAGGTGACGTCAATGGTATTAGTGCCTTATGGGGATGGACTCAAGATAATTGGGAAAAATTGAGTACCAAGTTACCACCTGGTCTGTCAATGTTAGGATCTATTGTCTCAATTTCTACTTCAGGTTTCACTTCATTTGATAAGATTGAAGAAATTAAACAATTCTATGAAAACAAATCAACTAAAGGGTTCGATCAAGGGTTAGCACAATCATTGGATACCATTAAAGCCAAGGCTCAATGGGTAGAAAGAGATCGTAATGTAGTCTTACAATATTTGAAAGAACATGGATATTATAAATAGTTCCTTGTCCTCTAATTTTGATGGTAATACACATGAATAAATAATATAAATAAAATTGCTATTATAGTTATATAATCATTTTTAATGTAAATATGTCAAAAAATTGAAATTTTATCCTAAAAAGTGTAGAAGAAATAAGTAAGACGCGTTTTTAAATCTTGCACGATGATGAATAAGAAATGGAACGCCAAACATATAGAATATAGAGAGATAAACACGGTGATTCCTTGATATTATATCCTATCGATATAGCTACCATTTAAAAGGATCAGAAATTACATCAATATATACCACACAATGAGTAATAATCCAGAGGATTATCAGCAAATATTACTATTACCCGAGGATTTCAATGCGGCAACATCCACGATCACGACGCCGCCTGTGAAGACCAGAACACTATCATTGTACCATCCATCGTTGACCTCAGGAAAACCATCTCTTCAATTGTTAATAAATAATGACAAAGTATACTATTTTGATCAATATACATTCCGTAGCAAATATCTAGTGGATGCAAGCCGTTCGGGCCCACGTCGTCTTGTTACCTCTAAGGACACATCGCCACAAGAGGTGACTTCTGCAAGATCTGTGTTTGTCTTCAATTCAGAATCTCGTCAGGATGGGTTGGTTCTATCTCAGGATACGCTAAAATTGCTACTAACGTACGATATCACATACAGTCTAATTTCAGCGTATTGCAAAGCACAAAGGGATTCCATGACATCAAATGAGAAAGATTACCTGACCAATACAACACCATCTTCAATACAAAGCAAAAATACCGGTGAGAGTGATAGATTTCTGACTATTAGAGATTATCAAGATATGTTGATAGAACAAGACAGTCCCGAATGGAACGAGATACCGACGTCAATTATAGAGAGTAAGTTATGTTCAATAAGTGAACAAATCACTGAGTGTGATGAATCGTATTATAAAGTTACTTTATTATCTATCTTAAAACATTTAATCAACCAAAAAATTTGTAAAATGTATTCATCATTTCCCAAATCAATTCCAATACCAAGTCAGTGGCCTGGCGATCTCCAAAATTGCATGAAAATCATTAGATGTTGTCAGTTATTAATATCTTTATTACCTCAAAGAATATATCACGCATTGACACAAGAAGATACTATCACTGTAATAACTGTTAGTGATGAATCAGAGGTTCTAACCATCAAAAAATGTTTCACCAAGATAGAAAAATATAAAGAGTCAACCGCAGTCAGTGAACAAGAACGTAAATTGTTGGCACAGAGCGCTATGCAAGTAGGATTATCCAATGGTTCAACTGTCAATGATGCTGGTAATAACAAGATTAAGAAACCTCCAATCACTAAGAAAAACGTTACCAAGAAAAAAGTTACAGTTGGTAAAGGTGCCATCGATGGATTTTTCAAGAAACGTTAAGCCCCGTTGTATGTAAAATAAACAAAATAAATAAATGAAAAAGTTTAAATCTATCATCAACAACATACACATACCTACGTACAACATCTAGTGCGAGCCGCCCCTATATAGATGTATATAACTATTTTCTATCTCTCTATTTAACTTCCTATGTGTATATATGCAAGTATCCAAATACAGTTATTTCCGTAACTTAGTAGGCGCAGAGCGTACTAAATATAGAAGAAAAGTCCTCATTATTTAAACAGGCCATCACGATCATCATCACCATCACCGTGTTCTTCCGCTACTATATCGGTCGTTTTGAGAATACAATAGATATTGTGTGGTCTATTATTACATAACCCCCCAATGCACAGAGAAGACCAAGAAGAGAAGGCAGTTTGTTGGCTGACTGTCTACCTCTCTGGGTTGTTGGCACTCTCTGAGTGAGTGCCAAACAATGAAAATTACTGAAAAATCTTGAAAAATCTTGAAAAAATGGCGCTGGCGCTCTCACTTTCCCCGGCAGAGCAGAGCCCTCACCGCGAGTCGTTTTGTGATTCTTCAAAGGGGAAACAGACCAAATCGAGTAGAGACACAAGACACACTTTTATTGAGCAAGCCACACGTGCATACCTAGGGGAATATAAACATCGACGGCTAGAATGTTTATTGTACTCATCTACAATTATCTTTCTAAATATATATATATATATATATATATAAGGTTATGGACACGAACATCTGGATTTTTTTAACTGACGGTGGTATTTTGTTTGCCTTACGTACCCATTTGCAAACGTCTATAAAAGCAGTCGTTTTCTCTATGTCCACAGTATAGAAAACAAATAAGCAAGCAAACAGGCTAGCAAAAACGCAAAAACCATAATACAAAATCAGAATATATGTCTGACACAGAAGATGAGTTTATCGACCTCGAAAAGGCAGAATGGGATACCACAGAAAATAACAAGTCGGAATCATCGTGGCGACAATCAGTTTTGGGATTCGTCAACGATCTGCCCTATCTGTTTCTCATTGTGTTACTACTATACATACTATCGATGTTAACTTTACTATATATTCGAACTATGGTTCATCTATTACTATGACAATACACATACAACATATATATAGATATATACATATATATACATACATTCTAGCATCAAAATATATCTATTATTTTATTATTATTATTATTTTATTTTATTTTATTTTTATTTTTATTTTTATTTTTATTTTTCATTACCATATATCTTCCTGGTACTTACCTGCAACCTTCATAGCCTTAACGATTTCTTGAGCTTCTGGTTCAGTAAGACCTTTACTCTCTGATAAGATATTGACAATGGCATGTTGAACATCCTTAGCCATACGCTTAGCATCACCACAGACATATACATATGCACCATTTTGTAACAATTTACTTACCTCCTCTTGACGTTCAGCTAGACGATGTTGAACATATACTTTTTGTTCTTGTACTCTGGACAATGCAACATCGATTTCAAACTTGGCATCTAATGTGGCTGCATATTCAACCCATTCGTTACGGTACAAATAGTCATCATCATCACGAGACCCGTAGAATAATACCATCTTACCCATCTTTTCTAAACATTCTTCACCGTCACGTTTCACTTCAGCACATCTTTCTCTGACGAACCCACGGAATGGAGCAACACCAGTACCTGGACCAATCATGATCACTGGAGCACTAATGTCCTTTGGCAAACGGAATGTAGAATGACGCACATGGATAGGTAATTGGCCATTGGCGAAAAGACCACGAGGACCCTCTAGATCGTAATGGACAGGTAAAGATGCAGCATCGTCGTGATTCTTAATAACTTGAATGTTTCTTAACAAATTGGTAGTGACACCTGTTATGTTTGTACCAGTGATATCGTTTGGTGTGTTTTCAACAATAGACGTGGCATGGATAGTGTTAGGTTCAGATAAACTTGAAGAAGAGATGGAATAATAACGTGGAGATAATTTTGGTAACATTTCAATCAATAGTAACCAAGGAACACCGGTCCAAGTTTCACCATGGTTCAATGATAATAGAGCATCTGCTAAATTAAACTTGGAAGCTAGAATTTCAGTGGCAAACAACGATTTATCTTTGGACAATGTAACAATATGTTCTTTAATCGATTCTGGAGCATATGAAACCAAAAGACCCAATGTTTGTCTTGATATTGGACCTGTAATCTCTAGATAATGACGTACAACGGCACCAATGGTGGTTGGACATAAGAATGGTAATTTCATAGTGGAGTCCTTAGCCTTCAAATCAAAGATAGTCTCGGAATCAAGTTCAAATACACGTAAGAATTGGGAAACAGCTTCATCGGAGTTAGATGGCCAGATAGCCAAATGATCACCGGTTTGGTAAGTCACTTCAGAACGACTAATATCAAATTCAGTATGGATACAATTTCTATCCTTAGATTGGAACAATTCTTTCGTTTCAGTGATCGGAGCAACATATGGTTGTGACAAATCAAATGGACCACTTTGTTCACCTTCAGCATTGTATTGTAAAGTTGCATTTGGTAGATATTGTTTAGAAGGTTCACCTAATGAAGTACTGTTACCAATTGTAATCAAAGCAGTATATTCAAATGAGGATTCAAATTGTTTATCTTCATCCTCATGTAAGTCTAATTCATTTTGTAATAATTCAATGGTCTCTTCTTTCCAAGTCAAATAGTCCTCATCTGTGGTCCCAGCACCATCATCACCTTCACCGAGAGTACCAATTAAACGTGCACCTGCATCTTGAAGTTTATCCAAGGCTTTACGTGCAGCACCGTTGAAAAATTCGTAAGTGGTATTACCTAGACCAAAGATAGAGAAACGAAGATTGTCTAACATGTCGGGATCTAATTCGTTCAAATATTGTTCGAAATTGACAGATCCATCAGGGAAATCACCTTCACCATAAGTAGAAATCACGAAACTTACAGGCATATTATCAGGTAATTCATTCAAACTATGGAAATCGTAGTTTTCTAGATCAGCAACCATGACACGAAGTTGGAATCTCGCAGTCAATTCTTTACCAAACTTCTTGGCATAGTCCTCTGCTGTACCAGTTTGAGAACCATATAGGACCAAGTAGTTCTTATCGTTGTCCTTAAGAACTTCTGCTAAATCACGAGTACCATTGGAGTTGACTCCAAGCGAAGGATCATCGCCATATAATTGATCATTGATAAATTCTTTAATAGAGTCAAGGTTGCGGTATAACCAGAACAGAGCACCGAGTACCACTACAGCAATCAAATCTGTAGAGTTCATTTCTTGTTGTTGTTGTCGAGTACTTTGTTTACAACGAAATATACAAGAGAGGAAACCGGAAGTTTTTTTTTACAAATATAGCATTTAAATATTCATCTATCAAATACATTGGTCTATATATAATAATATTAATACAATCCTGGTACCAGAGAGAAACTACGTTAGCTAATAGGGATGGATCGGTCCATTCAAAGTCCACTACGTAGAGACGTAAGGGGACTTCTTCGGCAGTGAACAATCCCAGTTGTAGAATATACGAGCCCAGCAACCCACAGGCAGGTATACAGACCGACAAGCTCGTTTGTTATTTTGGTTTCCCATGCAAAGAGTCGATTCTGATTTCTGATTACATAAAATTTTTCACTTTTTCTTTTTTTTTCGTTTCTCGAGGAGTGAGTTGACAAAGAAAAGTCCGTAGTAAGCATTGTGAAAGGACAACGATATGCATAACTCATTCATATATCAACAGTGTCTCTTCTCACTTACCACTTCGTTGATTGCAATGTGCATTTTTTATACGATGGACAATTGGGATGGAAACGAATCTATTTCAGAGGAAAGGATTGATTTGAAATGATCAAGTAGCATAATTCCGTTAAAAAGACCTCTATCTTCATCAGTTTTAAAATGCACACTGGTGAGTCCAGAGGTGGTGACGATCGGATTATTCGGTGATCCCTATATACATAAGGACAATGTTCGTCAGTATTTCAAAGTGATTCATCTGTGGGGTTTAATCATAAGCATCAGCAACACTCTTTTTGATGTCTTCTAACAATGTACTGTCTACTGTAATCCCCATCATTTGTTCTAACATCTGGACCAACGACGATACATCGAACTCATATTTGGTACGTCTCCCGATCCTGTACAATGTGATACCAACAGTATTACTAGCGGCGTCATTACCTGTAGGTTTCTCCTCTAGTCTAACTATATATTCCTTCTTTTCGATGTGTTTGATAAAATCGTCTAATGACATTCCAATAATGGGGATCTCTGTACCATCTACAGGTATACCGAACTTGTTCAGATACACGATGATTTCCTGGTGCAAGATATTATTATTTGAGAACAGGATAATACATATGAATAAACACGTAATCCCTTGTAATGCCATCTCTTGGTCCACACCAAGCCTACTCTCCAAAGTGTTCACATTACCTCGACTCATATCGTCACCTACATATTCATCTTGATCAATCGTATCATTATACAACGCTATGGTTTGGTCTAATTTGAAGTTCTCAAAATGAGACATATAGAGTAATTTATTCAGCAGAATAAAATGTGTGGCTTTAGCGCCCAGTGAGGCAGATGCTGTGTCAGTGACGCTAGTCATAGCTGATTCTCCACCGACCTGAGTCCCAGAACCATTATTATCGTGCGCTTTCACCTTGTTAGTCTTAGACTTTGCTTCAATGCCACGAAATTCATATCCATAAGTGTCTGATAGCATCTGGTTCACTTGTTCAAATATAGTAGCAAACCCAACAGGCCTGCAATTTTCTTCCTTGTATAATTCACGTAACGTTTTCAACAATTTATCCCTACTTATAATTGTATTTTGAGACACGCTATGTGCAAGGATAAAACGTGTTAGTCTGATTGTAACAATGGATAGTTTGACGTCGATCGCAGTTGGCCCGTTTGAGGATTCTCCAGAATCTGAATAGACTGCCTCTTCGTTCATCTTTCTATTCTTTTCTCCTTTTTTCGTCTTGAATAAATTACCTGAAATAGGTACAAAGAGCTCACTGATAGTGAATATAAATGTCCAATTCTATTTCTTAGTTTGCACTAATGTTATTGTAAAGTCGTGGTGGTTTCTTTTATATATCTCCCTCCCTCATCGCCAAAAACTAAAATATTGGAAACACGAAATTTTTCAGTCAGGTGAAAATTTCAAAATTTGTTAATAAAAGCAGTAGGAACAGCAATATTATTTAAGTATATATGTATACAAGATAGAAGGTCGATACAATACACACATACACATACATTTTTATGTTACATTCCTAATTCTTAATACTTTAGGTCACCTGTGGTTTGGTTCCAGAAATCTTGAGCGAACTGTTTCTGTTCATCCTTGGAACAGCCACCCCTGATGGCAAAATAGACCCTTCTATCAATACCAATATCCCAGTCACCCTTATTACCACCAATCATAGTACCTCCACATTCCTCCAGGATACACCACCCTGCACAGACATCCCATGCCCAGCAGCCACCTTCCCAATAAGCATCAAATATACCAAGGGCAGTGTAGCAGACGTTCATCGCAGCACTTCCTAAACTTCTGAAGCCATGGATGAATCCACCTTTATCACTCAGTAGATTCTTGTAAGTAGCCATCTTGATATCGAAGTTACTCCCAGGTGAATCGGCTCTGTCGGCACCACCTTCTAAACCAACAACAGATTTTTGTAAAGTTAGAGGTCTCTTTGCTACATCAATCTTTTGATCGTTGACATATGCACCATTACCCTTAGAGGCATGGAACAATTGATCCAAATGTGGATTGAAGATAGCTCCCATCACTGATTTCCCACCGACAGCTAGACCAATCGAGCAACAACTATAAGGAAATCCGTGAATGAAGTTTGTAGTACCATCAATTGGGTCGACGATAAAAGTTGGTTCATCGGAGATCTCGGTTTCACCGGGCACATATTCTTCTTCACCAATAAACAAGAAATCTGGGTATAATTCTTTCAATTTTCCCTTAATAATGAATTCAATACTCTTGTCAGATTTAGTCACTAAATCCACTTGATTAGCTTTATCGTCATATACCGTTAAGTACTTCCCTGATTGTTCCTTAATGATAGGACCAACATGTTCTCTTAATAATTGAACAATATTGTTCTCGATGGATTTCAATTGTTCTTGTGATAATGCCATTTTAAGTATTCTTTTCTTTTCTGTTTTATATTATATTTTATTTTATTTCAGTATCTGTTTTGGTTAAGTCTACTGATTATTTGTTTCTTCTTCTTTTATTAATGAATTTCAATAAATATTTTCACATGCAAAAAACCCCCTCTAAAAACAATAAACTCGATATAAACTGCAAGACCTCTACTTATATAAGATACAAAAGGTTCCTAGAAATATGTCATTCCACAACTACATCGGTGTAATGGTAATGAATAGCCGGTCCACATTATAAATGTCATATAAACCAGAGGTAGTGATACTCCCTAATTTATGTCGCGATTGCTTGCTCCTGTCCTATGGCCGACAGTACTCCGAACGTCGTGCTCTTAGCGTTATAAATATTGGTTAAAGTGAATGATTGGTTAAAATGTGTGAAGCTGCTGATTATATCGACATATTCATAGAGAAAAAAGACGTGAACTTAATAACAATGTCGGTATTGAGACTTAGAATACAGTCTGTATACCGTTCTCTCCACATCAGCCGGAGAGTTTGTAATTATACCAACGTCAAGCTAACCCTATTTTCTAAACCTCAATGCGGTCTATGCGAGGAAGCTCATGAGGTTATTAATGATACACTAGAGTCCCCCGAGTTTGTGAAGGAACCACTAATCCAGAATATGGAAATAATCAATATTAACAAGGATGCCAAATGGTGGAAGGAATATTGCTTTGATATTCCTGTCTTACATATAGAGAAACAAGGTGACCCATCTTCTTTGGTAAAAATAATGCATCATTTTAGGGAGGACGAGTTGACCACCGCTTTAAAGAAGTTTAAGTAAGTCGAAAATACTTTTTTAATAAAACTAGCATACTATTCTGTACATACGAAGATACTTTTTGTACATATCAATTGATAATTCTTTCTCATTTTAATTCTTTCTCTTCTTTCGTTTGGGTATCACATTATTACTCATTACTTCAAAATCCGTGCTTCCTTGAGGATCTACTAACAATAATTTTTTCTTGGTAACAGATACGGATGGGTCTGGTTGATATCCCCTCTTTGATTTGGTTCTTACTGGCTTTAAATGGATCGGTGATGGCTCAGTCATTTCAAAATCATCATTTAGTGACGAAGGAAGATCAAATTCATCTTCTGTGGATTTCTTTACCTTTATACCATTAACAACATCCGTCCTGGCCTTGCTGATTCTCTTCTTCTTTTTATTCTCTTGCTGCTTATTGGGACACTTGATAGGAGTATCAATTATTTGTTCAACTAAATCATCTGTTATCAATTGTTGCTGGGGTTCCTTAGTCATTTTTCTTTCAAGTTGTTTTGTCAATTCTTTAATTGTTTTATCATATTTACCGTTTTTATTTCCCAACGACACAATATTTCTCTCCATTTCTTCTAATTTATCTTGCAAATCAAGTCGTTCTGATAATAATTCTTGTTTGTCATTGTCAATATCACTTATACGTCTCTTCAAGCTATTAACTTCATTCAACGATTCTTCGTATCCCACGGTATCGTCCATTATTTTATTGTTCAAATTTTTATTATCCTCGAGAAGTTCCAATTCACGAGCCTTTAGTTGAATCATCTCTACATTCATCTTTTGAAATTGTTCATTTAATTTCTGGAATTTATCCATTCTTGATGTTTGTTCAGTTTCATAAGATTTCCTCATTCCTTCCAACTCTCGAATCCTTGATTTTAAAGAGTCATTCTCGGATTTAATCGCACTGGATATTCCTTCTTGAGCGGCTATCTTGTTCTGAAAATTTCCTTTCTCGGTAATCAATATTTCATTCAGCTTCTTACACTCAATTTTTAACTTCCCAGATTCACCTTCTAACATCTCAAACTTTCTTGTTAACTCAGAGTCAGCAGATCTCGTATTGGAAAGTTCAATGGATTGGGATTCCAATTGAACCCTAAGGTCTTCCAATTCAGCATTTCGGGTACCAAGATTTACCAAATTCTCTGTTTTTTGTTGCTCCAAAGAAGAAATTTGTTTTTCAAGTTCTCTGATATTATTTTCATATATATTAGCTTTGGTTAATTCTTTTTGATAGCCCTCTAATTTTTCATGTATTACCAGCAATTCAGTGTTGGTCTCATTAATGATATTTTGACATTTCTCTTTAAGAAGAACAGTAATATTATTCAATGTTTCATCATTTTTGATCTCGGAACCAACTAATTGATCAATGATTTTAGTCTGGAAAGAATTTAATTCATTCTCGAAATTAGTATAATTTATAAGTAAAGATTTATCAATTTTTTCAAACCAATTAGAAAATTGTAATAATTCTTCATCTAATACTTTTTTCAAATCCTCATCAAATCTATTTCGTTATTACATTTTGGTTAGTAAAAATAAAAAATAAAAAATAAATAAATGTAATTCATTTGTAAGGGTGTTTAAATATGATAAAATACTTTTTATCCAAGGAATCTGTTGTTATTTTAGAATATTTGGTATAAAATTCCTCTTGTTGTTCAACAAATTTGGAATGTTGATTTATAAAATTTTCGTTAATTGTTACCTCTGTACTAGTTGTTAAATTTTTCGTTTCTAGTAGCAATTGTTCAAATTTTTTCTCAAAGGACTCTAAAGTCATATTCCTGGTTAATACAATTTCTTCTAATAACGACGAATTTTTCAATTTTTCTTCAGTGAGCTGTCCAGAACAATCATCCAACTCTTGTCTTACATATTCCAAGTCTTTATCCTTTTTCATTAGTTCTCCCTCTAACGAATGTTTAAGTTTTTGTAATTCAGTCATTTGGGATTTCAATTGAACTACTTCCTCTTTATAAATATTTATTCTTCGTTGTAATTCTTCTTGAAATTTTTTTAATTCCGAAAGGTTATTATTATCTAAATTCCTTTTCTTAAATAATTCCGTTGTTTTATCTTGTAATCCATTAAGGATCATTTTATATTTTGTAACTTTATCTTGCATGTCCTTTGATTCTCTTTCAAAATTATTCAACTTAGACTTTAATTTAGTATTTTCTGAATGTTGTTTCTGTAACTCAATCTTTAAATTACTACAAATCCTTTGGGTATTAGTGAATGCCTCTAGTAGAACATCATTGGAAGAAGTGTCGACATTATCAGACTTTGTTACCTTAGGATGTTTCCCCTCCAAAATATCAGATTCAACTTTAGTAGAACTTGGAGACAAAGTCTGATCAATATTTCTAACCTCCGTAATCTCAAAATCTTCTTCCTCCTGGCCCTCTTCATCTTCTTCATTGTCTGTTCTCTGAATCCCTTTATTTCCTGACCCTAAGTTCTTCGATATCTTCGAAGTACGAGGAGTGCTAGTTGATACTTTCTTAACATTATCAGAAATATAACTGTTTGGTTCAGACACTTTAGTTTGATTGATTGTTTGAATCGAATCATCTCCATCGGAGAACATATAATTCATCATCGAAGAATCTCCATCATTTTCAGTAGATTTTGCGTTATTATTATTATCATCAACATCATCATCGTCATGAACTTTCTCGTCATGCTCTTTTGTTCTTAGTTTATTGAAAATATTTGATCTTGGTCTAAAGCCCAATGTAGAATCTCTAAAGAAGTTAGGCATTATTTTTATGGGGATACTAACTTTTTTAATGTGTTTGATCTGAATTAGCCGCCCAAACAAAAAACACGAATAGATACTTTCTCAATCAACCAATTAAGATCAAAAGAAAGCAATCTTTTGCAAAAACAGAATAATTACTCAAACGTTTGATTCAACCTTGATGGATATTCTGAAATAAAACGTTTAATAACCGTGTTTCTTTATACTCAGTTGTGATAAATCAAAGGAATAAAGAAGTGGGAGTTCCTTAAAAATCGTTTCGCATGGTATTCTTTTTTTGCCGCCGTCGCCACTCTCAAAATCTGTTTTATATATAGATGAAAGTATTAAAGGGTGGGTGCAATATATATATGTGGGATATTATATATTTGAGTCTTTGGTTTATTAAATGAGTTCCATTTCGAGATATATGATTACAGAATGAACAGTTACTATCACTACGAAGAGAAAGAGATTTGAACTGGTTTTGTGCCGCTTCTTCCAGTGAGAATAGAGCAAAAATACCATTTGATGCCGCCCATCTAAAATGGATTAACTAGCTTATATGATCAATCCCAAAACATATACCCATATATATACATACATACGTATAGATGTATAACCTCAAGGTTTCAAGAGTCCACGCTCAACTCAACTAAACCAACAGTTTTACTTAATCAAAACAAAAAATAAAGTGAAAGCATTCTCGCCTGATAATTTAAAAACAGAGAAAATCGAAAATTAATAAATAAAAGAATACAAGACAACAAACAGTTCAACTCAGGACACTTCCCATAAATATCTGACAGTAAGAAAACTTTCTCAGAATATACTACTTATATCGTATAGTTCATCTATAACAAATTAACTGAATATTTGTCTTCTACAGGAGAAACAAAGAGAAAGAGACAAGATTCCGAAACGTTCAATATATTTTTCTCATAACAACAATTATGGCAGTCGATAGATTTTCTTTGGGTGGTAGTCAGAGAAGTTTTGCTTACAGAGTACCCAAATGGAGAATTCCAGATGTTATTTTATTGATCGTTGTAGTCATTCTAAGTTATCCAGTATACTATCAAGAACCTTTCCAAAGACAATTTTATTTGAATGATTTAACAATATCACACCCTTACGCTGTACATCAGAGAGTCGATGACTCAATGTTATTCGTTTACAGTTTCTTGGTTCCAGTTATTGTTATTCTAATCGTATGGGCCTTACTAGCCGATAAGAGACACAGATGGTACCTATTATACATCTCATTATTAGGTCTATTACTTTCATGGTTCACTACATGTTTGTTTACGAATTATATTAAAAACTGGATTGGGAGATTACGTCCAGATTTCTTAGATCGTTGCCAACCTAAACCAAACTTACCAGTGGATATACTTCTTACAGCATCTGAAGTGTGTACTGCAGACAACAAGAGTATTCTTTTGGATGGGTTTAGAACAACGCCATCTGGTCACTCTAGTGAAAGTTTTGCAGGGCTAGGTTATTTATACTTGTGGTTATGTGGTCAGTTACTCACTGAACATATTCAAGTTGGTATTTGGAGGAAATACCTTGCAATGTTACCATTGATAGGTGCATCCTTGGTGGCATTATCTAGAACACAAGATTATAGACATCATTTCGTAGATGTATTATTAGGCTCTGCGTTGGGCTATATCATTGCACATTCCACATACAGGGTCTACTTCCCAGCCATTGATAGCCCTGTTCCATTCAAGCCTTTACTCGACGACTCTGCAGTTACCTTTGATATTGCATTTGATGCTATCCCACAACAGGAACCTGCTCACGATGAAGAAGATCAAACTGTCTCCACTGGTGTATAAGAAACTAAAAAGTTAATAAAAACATGCATATAACGTAAAAACAAGATAATTATTTTAAACTGTTACATAAATCGATATATTTTGACGTCTTCTTCAATAGCTTTACTTAGTTAATGAATGATAAAGACAGTTACTGTGGTTACAACAACTGCTGTATTATTATTCTATTTTAAATAAATATTTATGTTATTTTGCCGTACAAACACCGGAATATCTATTTAAGAATAACAAAACAAAAAAATTTAGAGAATCTTTAGTCTTCTTACAAGTAATAACACAACAAAGTAAAATCATTTCCATAGAATAAAGGAAATATAAGTTCACTATACCCTATTCAATCAATTTTACATTGTCAACCATACTACATCACCACCAATTTATAATTATATTTTTATTCGCATTTTTTTTACAGTCATTTTACATTAGCATCCATTTTTTTTTTATAAGCACAAAAAGTAATAACAAAATTGTACTAGTTTATCAATAGTAAATAGTATAAATTAAATCAATTATTTCCCCCATTAAATGTCACTTAGTCACCTCACTCTCAATGAGTACTATGAGATACAATGTAATGAGCTAGAGGCTCTCAAATCCATTTATATGGATGATTTTACAGATCTAACCAAAAAAAAATCCAGTTGGGATAAACAACCCCAAATTATATTTGAAATATCATTAAAATCGGTCGAGACAGAACCTGCTCAATCATCCTTAACTTTACATTTTGAACTTACTCCCATGTATCCCCATACAAAACCTGATATAATATTTAAAAATGTAAATAATATTATGGATAGCCAGTTGCAATCTTTGAAAAGGGAATATTCTCAAATACATAAGGATTCAAGAGGTCAGGAGTTCATTTTTGATATCGCCTCTTTAACCCAAGAGAAACTTGATGTGTTTCAAGGTATGGTAAATAATCAGTCACTGGAAGAAGACCGATTACAAAGAATACAAGAATCAAATGCCCAGATGGAGAAAGACGAGAAAGAACGTGAAGAACAAGTAGAAAAATTGAAAGTAAGAGAACAAGAAAGGATCGATAAGATCGTTCAAAAAGAATTAGAGAAAAGACAAGATGATGATGATCAGTTATTCAATCCAACTAATCAAATGAATTTATTACCACCGTCAGAATGGGTATCATCGGGAGAAGCAATAATATTTCCAAAGGTTATAAAGGCCAAGTTACCAAATAACTCCTTACTCAAATTTAGAGCTGTTGTTAACCCTCAACCAACGAAGTTATTATCGGATCCATTGAATTTTGCCAATCAATTTTTGGTAAAACCGTATATAGCCCCTGATTCCCCATTAGCAAACTCCTTAATGTCTTCAGAAATGATGGAGAATTTCTATTTTTTACTTACTGAAGTTCAATTAGATAATCCATACTTTAATACGAGTAATGGTAAGAAAGAAATATCTACCCTCGAGAAGACTCTAGAACTACTTTTGAAAGTGAAACATGACAACATACAACGGTTATATTCTTACTCCGTAGAAAGGTTAGGCCGAAATAATGCCTCTTTTGTTTGGAAAATTAGACTACTAACGGAACATTCTGTATCTTACCCAATTGGAGATGTTATTCAATCGGTTGATTTTGTTAACATAGCTACAGCTCGTGTTTGGATGATTCGTATCTTGGAAGGTATTGAAGCGCTACATAAAGTTGGGACGTTTCACGGATATATTACGCCACAAACTGTCTTGCTAGCCAAGGATTCTGATTTTGGCACTACAATACCTAAACTAGTGTACCCTCATTATGCATACGATCTTATCAACATGATCTCTAAATATCCAAACAAACATGGGTCACCTGTAGATGAACCATTTTTCACTTGGGATCCTCCAGAATTAACAAAAGCAAAAAATTCAAAACCTCAAAGGATGACGGATATCTGGTTAACTGGGGTACTTTTCATACAAATGATAAATGGTATTGATACAGTAATAGATTACTCATCGCCGAAGGAATTCTTGGGTGAGAATAATATTGACACATCTTTATACGATTTGTTTGAAAAGATGTTAGAAAATGAACCGAAAAGAAGATTAGATATCCTAGAATTACTTCCAATGAAGTTTCTTAGGACAAATATTGACCCTGATGTTAAAAAATTCAATCTCTTGAAAGAGAATCCAACTGAAATTTCGATATCACAATCTTCGGAAGATCAATTATTTGAATCACGGAGACTGTCGCATTCCAATGTGAGAAGAAGATCTTTTAATGTTGGATCACGATTTTCTTCCGCCTACGCTCATACCAAATCAAGATATGCCACGGACTTTGAGGAAATTGCAGTTTTGGGTAAAGGTGCATTTGGTCAAGTTGTCAAGGCCCGGAATACTCTTGATAGTCGATATTATGCTGTTAAGAAAGTAAGACACACAGAGGAAAAACTTTCGACAATTCTGAGTGAAGTTATGCTTCTAGCAAGTTTGAACCACCAATATGTTGTTAGATATTACGCAGCATGGTTGGAAGAAGATTCACCAAACAATAGTGCAGTAGCATCTAGTGATGAAGATGACGAAGATGATGATAGTTTTTCTGAAGAAGGTACAGACATCTCCGAATTAGAGACTGATGATCTTTTTAACCAATCGAATATTATGAGAAACCGCATAGAGAATATTGATGAAGATAATAGTAATTGGGATTTTATATCTAACTCCGGATACCCAGATATTGTATTTTCCAATAGTTCAAGTGAACAAAATAATACAACGGCGAATCAAACAGATGATAGAGACAGTACACGCGACTCCGAGAGTGAAAGTGAAAGTGAGAGCGAGAGTGATGACGATGAATATTCTATGAATATACACTTTGACATGGCGCATGAGCCGATAAAGCATGAGATTAGTACTACAAAGAAGAAAAAGAAGAAGAAGAAAAGTACACTGTTTATCCAAATGGAATATTGCGAAAACCGTACATTATATGATTTAATCCATTCGGATAATTTATCTAAACAACGGGATGAGTATTGGAGATTATTCCGTCAAATACTGGAGGCATTGAGTTATATTCATTCCCAAGGTATTATTCATAGAGATTTAAAACCCATGAATATTTTCATCGATGAATCGAGAAATGTTAAGATTGGTGATTTTGGGTTGGCTAAAAATGTGCATAAGTCAGCTGATCTGTTGAAAATGGATTCTGCAAACGTTGCTGGTAGTACCGATAATCTAACATCTGCCATTGGTACAGCTTTGTATGTGGCTACAGAAGTGTTAACTGGTAAAGGTAATTATAATGAAAAAATCGATATGTATTCTCTGGGTATTATTTTCTTTGAAATGGTGTATTCTTTCAGTACAGGAATGGAAAGGGTAAATATTTTGAAAGATCTAAGACTTCCTGAAATAAAATTCCCAAGCGAGTTTGATGGAAATAAAATGAAAATAGAAGAGAAAATAATCAAATTGTTACTGGACCATGATCCAAATAAGAGACCAGGAGCAAGAAAATTACTAAATAGTGGTTGGTTGCCGGTCAAACATCAAGATGAGGCCTTGAAAGAAGCTTTGAAAAGTTTAGCAGACCCATCATCTCCATGGCAACAGGATGTACGTGAAAGTTTATTTAATCAACCTTACAGTTTAACCAATGATATTTTGTTCGATAGTGTTGAAAACTCTCAGACACCATTTTCTCAAATTTTGAGATCTCAAATGACAGAAGAAGTAGTGAAAATTTTCAGAAAACACGGTGGTATTGAAAATAACTCACCATCAAGAATATTTCCCAAGGGACCAACATATATCGCTCAAAATGTTTACGAATTATTAGACCATGGTGGGAGCGTTCTGCAATTACAGTACGATCTAACATACCCCATGGCAAGATATCTCTCGAAGGTACCGAATTGTGTCACAAAACAATTTCGTTTGCAATATGTCTATAGACCTCCTGCCCAATCAAAGTCTAGTTTGGAACCAAGAAAATTTGGGGAAATTGACTTCGATATTATCTCAAGTTCTAGTACCAATTCATCATTTTATGATGCTGAAAGTATCAAAATCGTGGATGAAATTTTAACCGCATTTCCTGTATTTGAGAAGACTAACACAGTATTTGTCTTGAATCATTTTGATATTTTGGATTCTGTGTTTGATTACTGTAATATAGATAAAGCACAGAGAGCATTGGTATCTCGTATGTTATCCCAAGTTGGATTTGCTAAGTCCTTCAAAGAAGTGAAGAGTGAACTGAAAGCACAATTGAATATTTCATCTACTTCGCTGAACGATCTTGAACTTTTTGACTTCAAGTTGGATTTTGAAGCTACTAAAAGAAGACTGGCTAAAATTATGGTTGATAGTCCCTTTTTAAAGAAAATTGATGATTCATTATCACACATTTTGAAGACACTTAACTTTTTAAAACCATTAGAGGTTTACCGAAACATTGTAATATCACCGCTAAGTAGCTACAATAATTCTTTTTACAGAGGTGGCATTATGTTCCAGGCAATATATGATGATGGTTCCATCAGGAACTTAATAGCAGCGGGTGGTCGTTATGATAATCTGATTTCCTTTTTTGCTAGGCCATCAGGAGCGAAAACATCGAATGTGAAAAAAGCTGTTGGCTTTAATCTAGCATGGGAGACTATATTTGGTATTGCACAAAGCTATTTTAAAATTGCACCTGGTAATAAGCATAAGAAGAGAAATAAGTTTTTGAAAGATACAGCTGTTGAATGGAAGCCAAGTAGATGTGAGGTTATCATCTCAAGTTTCTCTAATTCATTGCTTGATACTATCGGTGTTCCTATTCTTAACATGTTGTGGAAGCAAGGTATTAAAACTGATTTCCTACGTAACTGTTATACCGTTGACGATGTAATATCTGGCGCACAACAAGATGGTGCCGATTGGATAATTTTAATTAAGCAACAATCATACACTAATTCCAGCCACAAAAGAAAATATAAACCTCTCAAGATACGGAAGTTGAATAGTAAGTTAGATATTGATGTTGACATTGAAGAATTTTTGCAACTGTATAATCAAGAAAATGCAGATAAGGATTTAACAAATGATTCAGTACCGATTGGTGATAAATTTGAAGAACAAAATCAATGGGATGATGGAAGTAGTGCAAGTGGTAGTCAAGAGGGTGATTATGATGACAAAAAGAACGGATCTGTTGTATCGAATAAAAAAATCGTATATGTTCCGAATATGGCTAATAGATCAAAAAAGGCTAGCAAGAGGGAAAAGTGGGTTTATGAAGATAGTGCTAGGAATGCATCGCAAACTATTATTAATAACTTATCTATGGCACCCGTCATTGCTATTGATGCTCTACGTGATGAGACAATAGAGATGATATCTATAACTTCATTAAATCAAAAGGAAGAATGGTTGAGAAGGGTGTTTGGTTCTGCTAATAATTCTGCCCCAAGAAGTTTCGCAACAAGTCTATATAATGCCTTATCAAAGGAGGCCTCTAAAGGTAGTAAATGGGCTATTCTTCACTGTCACAAGACAGGACAATCAAGTGTAATAGATTTACAAAGATAGAAGATGGTACGTACCTATATAAAATTATTTAACTGTTTTTCTAAATAACGTAATGATAATGATTGACTGCTGTTGTTTTGACGAGGTACATATGAGTAACATAATTTACAAGAAGTGTACGTAATCATATCGATTAACATTATACAAATTCGACTTAAATCGTATATATTACTGCTTTCGTTTGATAATAGAGAATGCTCGTTTTTATTTTAATTTGCCAGTTTACTTAACAAATCCTGTATACTGGAGGTGACATTATTACTATCGGTAGCATTCTCTTCTTCGTTAGAATCATGACTGGCAGGCTCGTATTCTTCTCCTCCATAAACATCATCTTCTTTTGCTCTTTTAGCGTCGTTTTTATCTTCCCCATTATTGCTATTATCGTCACGCTCTACTTCATCAATGCTTCGCTTTGATTTATTCTCTTGGGCTAATGCATTCATTTGTTCAAGTGCATTTGCTGTATCTAATGAAATATCATTTGAGGTGGTTTGTTTGTTTACATTGTCTACGTTTCCGTTTTCACTGTCACTATCACTGTCACTGTCACTGTCACTGTCATAGTTATCATCCCCAGCAGTTTCATATGTAGGTAGCATATCTTCGTCAGTTTTGTCCTTATTATTGATGTTTGCAGGATCTTTCGCCGTGAGAACAAAATCAATTTCACTAGCCATAGTTTGCTCCTCAACTATCAATTTATTTTGCTCCTCTATCATTGTACTCAATAAGTTTATTAAACCGTTTCTTTCATTGATTGAGCTCGCAATTGTATCCTTCGCTAAATTAGAAATTTTGGTAATCGTCTTAAAATTTTCATCATACACTACACTAGAAACATCCAGCTCATTAACAGAATTATCAAATCTTGTCTTCATTGCATGTAGATTTACCTGGGTCCTCTCTATCTTCTTAATTGTTTCCACAATAGGCTTTATCTTAGGTGGTAATTTCACATTATCAGAGTCGTTAGTATTCTTATTCTTTTCAAAACTAACCAAGATTTTATTTAAAGTTGGTCTAGAAAAGATACCTCTACTCTTCCAAATACTAACTACCCTGGCTATCTTCTTCTTTATGTCACTCGAGAACTCGGGGAAAGTTGTTGTCAATACTTCCTCTATAACTTTATTAAAGTCCTCTTGGAAATGTCCTATCTTTTGTCCTGCAGCCTGTTGTACAACGTGGTTCACCACATAAATACCTAATAATTTTCTCCTTGAATTAATATCGTTCCTAAGCATGTATGTTTTCCAACATTCTGCAATCTTTGGGGCATCTCTATGTTGGGATAACAGCCATTTAGATGCACTGGCAATTGATTCCTGAGAATCCTCCAGTTTGGTCAATTTGCTAACAAATTGTTCGGAAGAGAAGGACATGCTGATATTCACAGTTTTAATAATGAGTTTTTATTTTAACTGAGGTCCACTGCAGAGTGCAATTGACAAAGTATATACAATAAAATAAGGGATCTTATCTTCTTTTATTTATCTTCTTCTTTTCTCTTAAACATGTCAAAGTTGTTAAACTAAACGAAGTATTTGTTTTTAAAAGGGTGGTGAAAAATTTAAGAAAATGACAAAATTATTAAAGGAAGCGATTTGTATGAACTATACGGAGTTTCATGAAAGTAATCGACAGATAAGTTACGTAGAACAGAACTATCATCTATTATTCCCTTCATTTAGATTCTAGTTTTGAATTAATTTTTGCACATACTACACATATTTAGATTCAGTTGGGTTGCGTTTTTTTTACGCTGGTACCCTTTATCCATTAGGAAATCAATTTGAAATATAATCAGTTGATCGTCATCATCATAGAGATTTAAAACGTGATGTCAGGTGATAAAATCGTATATAAGAAACAGAGAATCGATGAAAATGATTCTAATGGTATAACAAACTTTGATGACCTTCGGGCATTATTCTTCAGACTAAATACAATTTACACTTTCCTGATGTGTAGAAAACATGTCGTGCCAACTTTTAGCACAATCACAAAACCAATCTCGAAAGCCCTGAATCGTGATATTACTGAGTTTGATTTAGCTCTGATAGTAGCCATTCTTCCCAGAGATTGTATCTTTAAGTATATCGATGAGAACCAATTACATACAGAGACGAAAGTGTATGATTTTAAAGACGGTGGATATCAACAGAAGGATACGGACATATTTGAGTTGAAGGATGTCAATTCACAATATGGGGAACAAAAATCGACCCAGGTACTCGTGTTTGAATTTGTTGACGGTAATATGAAAAGGTCATGGATATCATCAGAGACTGTCTCACAGGTGAAATTACCGACGTTTACCACTGAAGAAATGAAAAAAATGATAACCAAGAGAAGTGAAAGGTTTGAGACATGTTTAGAGAAATTTATTGAAAGCAATTCTGAGGATGAAAGTGTAGATCCCTTCGAGGAGCTAATAAAAGTAGCAAAGCAATATATTCCTGAGAGAAAGGACTATAATGATCCTATTCAGTCAATGATGGATGCCAGGGTATTGAAGGGAGAACAAGTAATAATTGATCAGGAAACTGGTGCATATCGACCAACAATAAATGCAGTAATAAATCTATTACAAAAATCAGATACATATTGTGACCAGATAAAGGAAAATTTTACAGTACCAGCTAGAACTGCGCAATATGAAGAATTAAATTTTGAATTATCACCAAATATATATCCAGCCTTAGAACATGAAAGGTTTTACTCTCATCAGGCAGATGCACTAAATGCTGTCCATATAAAGGCGAATGTTATTATTACAACGTCAACATCTTCCGGTAAGTCATTGATTTACCAATTATCTGCAATAGATATATTATTAAATGATCCTGAGGCGACATTTATGTATATTTTTCCTACAAAGGCATTAGCACAGGATCAAAAGAGAGCCTTTGAAAGTATTGTATCGAAAATTCCAGAATTGGCGGACTTACACGTCGATACTTATGATGGCGATACAGAAAGAACCGCAAGGAGAACTGTTAGACAACATGCACAAGTTATTTTTACCAATCCAGATATGATCCATGCCAGTATATTACCTAACCATACAAATTGGAAACATTTTCTTTATAATCTAAAAATTGTAGTGGTTGATGAGTTACATGTTTACAAGGGTTTGTTTGGGTCTAATGTATCCCTTGTTATGAGAAGGTTACTGCGCATATGTCAAGAATATTACAAAAACAATAATTTGAGATTCATCTCTTGTTCGGCAACATTAAAGAATCCTGTCCAACATATGAAAGATATTTTTGGTATCGAACAAGTCAGACTCATTAATGAAGACGGTTCGCCTAGAGGTTCTAAAAACTTGGTTATATGGAATCCACCAAAATTATCACAGCACATGCGAAAAAGAGAAAACTTTATCAAGGAAAGTGCAGAAATCTTAGTACAGTTAATTCTTCAAAATGTGCGAACAATAGCATTCTGTTACGTGAGACGTGTTTGTGAACTTTTAATGAAAGAAGTAAGAAATATTTTTGAAAATATGAATAGACTTGATTTAGTGAATGATGTTATGGCCTATAGAGGTGGGTACTCCCCAGCTGATAGACGTAAAATCGAAAGAGAAATGTTCCATGGTAACTTAAAATCTGTGATATCGACTAATGCATTAGAATTAGGTATCGATATTGGTGGTCTTGATGCTGTGTTAATGTGCGGGTTTCCAATGTCCATGGCTAATTTTCACCAACAGAGTGGTAGAGCTGGGAGAAGAAACAATGATTCTTTGACAGTTGTTGTCGCTAGTGACTCGCCAGTGGACCAACATTATGTGGCTCATCCTGAGGCTCTCTTAGATGTAGATGATCCAGATTCATACCAAGAATTGGTTTTAGATTTTGAGAATGAGCTTATCTTGGAGGGTCATATACAATGTGCGGCATTCGAGTTACCTATAGACGTTGAAAGAGACTCGGAGTATTTCAATAGAAAATACTTAACGAAGATGTGTGAAGGTCATCTATATCATAATGAAGAGGGTTATCATACTAATAATAAGTTTTTGCCATGGCCATCGAAACATGTATCATTACGTGGTGTAGAAGAAGAAAAATTTGCTGTTGTCGATATAACTAATGGGAGAAATTTAGTTATTGAAGAAGTAGAGACCTCCAGAACGAGTTTCACTTTGTATGATGGGGCAATCTTTATTCATCAAGGTTATCCTTATTTAGTTAAAGAAATGAATCCTGACGAAAAATATGCGTCTGTATTAAGAGTTGATGTAGACTGGGTGACATCTCAAAGAGATTTTACAGATGTCGATCCACAACTAATTGAATCTGTAAGATCGTTGAAAAATAGTGATACGCCTATCTATTTTGGTAATATCAGAACTAAAATTCTGGTATTTGGTTATTTTAAAGTCGATAAATTCAAGAGAATTATCGATGCCGTGGAGACTCATAATGATCCAATCATAATTAATTCAAAAGGTCTATGGATTGATATTCCAAAGGTAGCTTTAGAATTATGTGTTGCAAAGGAATTGAGCATTGCTGGTGCTATTCATGCCGCTGAACACGGCATCATGGGTGTGTTCTCAAGATTTATAGTTGCCGGTGCAGACGAAATAAGAACAGAATGTAAGGCACCGGAGAAAGAGTTTGCAGAGAGACAAACTAAGAGACTGAGGCCCGCAAGATTGGTGTTTTATGATTCTAAAGGTGGGAAATATGGATCAGGATTATCTACTAAAATATTCGAGCATATAGATGAAATATTGGCTGCAACACTTCATAGAATAGAGGAGTGTCCATGTGATATTGGATGTCCTGAGTGTGTGGCAGCAGCGTATTGTACAGAAAATTGTTTGGTCTTATCTAAGCAAGGTGCGCTTATTTTACTCCATACTATATTGGGTCATGATCCTGTTGAATTTTTGGATAAAATAAAAGACGGGCCTGAAGAAAATATGCCTGAGATTGCGGTAGAGACTGTGGTACCGGTAACTGAACATGTCAAATTTGCACCATCCTTTAAAGTTATAGACACTGTCGGTAATGTGAATGTAGTCGGCTAGACTTCAAAATAAATAGATGCATATATATATATTCTTATAATAGATATTATTACATTAATAAATTAAATGACTACTTTATTTAAACATTTGAATATTTTGAGTGCATTTTTTGTATATATCTGAAGCCTTTGTGATGTAGCAATTAGGGTCTGTCTATTTATGCCATTAGGGTATTGACAGCCCAGCTAACACTTAATGTTCTCAGGTCCGTATATGTTTGCCCAACACCAACGAATAATATAGGTATGCCAGTCGCGTAAACCATATTCACCATGGCACCCAACATATCACCAACAGTATCACATTTTGATATAATAAAGAAATCTAAATCTCTAGCTCGTCCAAATGCGTCATTAAAGTTCTTGGCTTGTTGGACAGAATCAGTGCCAACCAATGCTTCACCAACCATGATAATTTTATCAGGTTTGGCTTGTTCAGCAAACGACTTCAATGGAGACATCAAGGTCGCATCGTTATGTCTTCTACCGGCAGTATCCATTAAAACGATATCGAAGTCCTGGTCACCAGCATATTTGATAGCCTGCTTAGCTATCTTTGTAACTAAATCAGAACCACCATAACCTGCTTCAAATAATTCTACGTAATCATTCCCAGTCTTTCCTCTCTTATTTTTGGAACCCCTGATATGTGATTCATCCATCAATTGTGCAAGATTCTCAACATGGACTCTTAGCTGCTCAACAGCACCAGATCTAAAGGTATCACATGCAACAATTAAGACTTTAAAATTATTTTGTAACAACCAAAATGCTAATTTTGACAAATTTGTAGATTTACCGACACCGTTAACACCGACAACAGAAAAAACATATGGATTTTTTTTACCATCAGTTGTTCTGACACCAGTTTTATTTTGAATTTCGTGTAATAAATCTACAGAAACACCTGGAGTTAATACTTGAGTAAGAGCCTTGGTTAGTGAACTACGTGCAGCATCTTCGACAGTAGTCCAACTTTCCGTCTTTGAACCCACTAGATCCTTTTTTACAAGATCAGTCAAATAATCAGCAGCCTCTGGAGCAACATTCTTGCTAATAAGTTTCTTTTTTAGACTTTCTAAAGCAGGTTTCAAATCCTTATTTGAAATAGTTTTGTTACCTAAGAAGTTTTTTTGTAAAAATCCAAATGCAGAATCTAAATAACTTGATGTACCATCCGCCACATGTTGTTCTTTCTTATTTTCCACATTCGATGACAAAAGATCATCAATTTCTTTAATTAAGAAATCACCTTTGTCTGTTCTATTACCAAAGTCATCCTTATCGATTGGTATCTCTAAATTATTGTTACTACTATTATTTGTTTCGGAATCCTTTACTGATTCTGAAAAATCTAATGCGGATGAATCAATATTGCTAGTATCTTCAATCATAGCATCACGACCCCATTTTCTACCTCCTTTATTGTTGTTATTCTTAATGGAATTTTTGTTAGATTTCTTGTTGTTCTGTTCTGGGGTGATATCCTTAGTAACGGGTTCGTCGTTGTCCTTAGTTACACTCTTCGCTATAAATTTAATTGACTCTTCATATTTAGCCTTTAAATATTCGTCAAATTTACTTAAATCCTCACCCAAATCAACCAAGACATCATTATTAGCTTTAATATTATCTGTCACTTGCACGTCTATCTCTAAAGAATCCCAAAGTGCCAAAGCTAGATCTAATGTAGCCTCTGCTTCTTTATTCAATTCAAGCGATTGTTCAGGGAATGTAATAACAAAATATAACTCAGGTTGTCTAGAAAGATAAAACATAGAATAAAAAGAACGTGTAGCGTGTTTCTCTGTTGCTGTCACGTTAACAACACTATATTTACCGTTAACATTATCCTTCTTGGTAACTGGGGATATAATCAATTGATTAATGAATGCACCTATCTGTGATTCTGCAAATTTTCTACCATTACAATTGTATTGATATAGCACTTGGCCTGCACCTGTAAATATGGCTAATTGGTCAAACATGATGATGTTTTATATTCGAATATTCAGCTTGCGGTAAATGTAAAACTCGGGATCTCTGTAACAAACAATACTAAATTAGTTCTATTGGGATAAAAATGTCTAATAACAGAACCCCTCTTCTGGCTTTGAAACGTTTTAGCTTCCCTTGTCTAAACTGTGAATGTCATCTTCAACATAAAGTTGGTTGTTTCGCTTCTTCGATTTTGCCGTCACCAAATTTTCGTTTAAAGTCTTCACGTGTCATGAAGAATTTTCTTATTTCTTGCTATATAAATATATGGATATATATATATGAACCGTTTGGATACTTCTGAAGATGTTAGAAGGCAGCTGATGGGTCGTAGTCGTCGCTGTCCTCGTTCTTCATCGAGCTATCCTCTGCTGGTTGCAGTGTTGAAGCAACAACGGGCGTTTGACCGACATTCTTTGCTGAATTCTCCTCTGGCAGATCATTCTCTGATCCGTCATCGGAATCATTTTTATTTGTAGTAACCCGATTCGACGTTGCTTCTGTCGTAGTTGGAGCAACAGTGTTGTATCTAGATTTCATTATTCCACGTTCTTCATCAGTCTTTGTAGTTTCATCGATGACGGTAAGTCCCTTCGGTAAGTCATTAATATCTCTAGCAATGTATATCGTTGGAAACTCAATCACTGTTCTGTTTCTTAGTATCTCGCCAATACATTCCCCCATTGGTGCTATTTCTATTAGTTCTTTGGAATCCAAACATTCAGTAGTATTGTAAGGGAACCATTTGACGTAAAATTTGAGACGATTATCTATCAATAATTGAGGTCTTTTACGTTTATCCTTCTTTTTATCTTGTGGCACTGTATCTGACCCTTCATCTACAGATCTATGGACCTCTGCACCTATGGCTGTATCTGTTTCTATCCCAAATAACTCACAACACTTCTCATATATAGAATTACTCATGGCTTCGACGACAGAATCAGTTTCCTTTATCCTATGACTAATATGCTTGTATGTATCTATCGGAGGTATCTCTTTCCTCCTTTCCGTAGGTGGAAAGATTACCCATTCCAGAGACCATACATACATATCGATAGACTTTTCCCATTTGCTTCTATTTATGGACGATCTGCTCATCCCTCTAGGTAACAGCAAACAATTCACACCCCTACGATACATATGCCTTCCAGAATTGCTATCTTGATCATTTGGTAGTTGATAATGAGGTTTCCTATTGTACGGATTGTTAAAGTTATTGGATTTCAATACTTTCTTGTTTTTACTGAACGCATCACCTTTTTGAACTTCAAGTTCACGTTTGAGACCAGTTAAAAAATGGAAATCTCGTTGGATTAAAGGATTACTCTCGCGTTTCTCATCATCTGCCCCTTTGATATCCTCCTTTGAAACATATTTATTGGGATCGTAAGCTTGCCCTGTGCAATTTAACTCAATCTTGTGTCTTTTAGAACATGCTAAAGAACATGTTCGTTTTAAACAACCTGGACACTTATATTTGAATGTGTTTTCGTGACATACTTCACACAAGGGAACATCGTTCATCTTTAACGTGGTATCTAGTGAGTTACTAAACGTTGATTGTTAGACAGGCTCATCCTCCTTGTAAAATGAAAGTATCTATTTACCTCGAATTTTGTTTTATATTCAAATAATTTCTGCTGATTTCGAAATGAAAAATTTATGCGATGAGCTTCCCCTCGGGGACAGAAAGTTGACATTTAAGCATAGGGAAACGCTATGAAGTTTGAAGATTATAAACACAATAAAGGTGAATATATATACAGAGATCTATTTGACAACAAACATTTTTAGGAACTAAATCGTTATATTTTTATTTATATTTCTTTTATATAATGTAGATAAAATATTATGCTTGTGGGAATGTTTAATAATGTACATGATGAGTGGTAATCCCGCGGCACTCTATTCAATGAGATGTAATAATGTGATTATATTAACGTAACGTCTTTTGAACGTGGGGAGACTGATAAAGTTAACTTACTCACCCCTCTTTAGAAAAGGATTCAATGCACGAACGGATAGACATGGTAACGCCATACCTACCTCGGCTCTTAATAATACAGGAACTTGTTGTAACTCGTGAATCTCCTGAATACAATTTTCTTTTTCTTTTCTTATTGTAGTGGTATCAATAAAGTATTCTAATGCATCCTTCTTTGTTTGATTGTGTTTAGCAAGCTTCAAATGAGGCACTTCTAAATGTAACTTGGCCAGTTCCTTACCTAAATCATCACTAATCATGTTATTTCCATTTTTAGTTTGCTCGTATTCTATGTTTGCAATTTCGGCTGTAGTAGACTTATACTTGTTTCTAATAGAATTTCTATAGGACTTCGGATTTTTTTCGTCAGCTGGAACAAAAGTAGCACTGTCAACACCTGGTTGCCAATTCAATTCCAAAATTTTATTAGTACCATCAAACTCGGCCTTAAACAAAGGTAATTGATCACCGTGAACTCTTTTCTCGATACCGAACTCTGGAATCAACACATCAAATGAGGATTCATACACTTGTAATACGGTAGCCATAGTTAATAGTTGACCAGTTGAATTGCCCATATCGTTGATCGTCTTACATAATAGCAAGTGAACTGACTGTTCCTGAGCTTGGAATGCACAATCCTTCTTGAAATTACAATATTCAGAGGTGATCTTTAATGCTTCGATATCTTCTTCGTATGGAATATTATTGATAATGGCCTTCAATTGTCTATGTGCCATATGGTCAGCATATCTTCTTAATGGGTTAGTGAAATGTGTATAAATTGGTAAGTTTAAAGCGTAATGGCCAAATTGATCTGGGTCAACTTTACCTGCAACAAAATATTTGGCTCTAGAAAAGGTCTTGAAAAGTAACACTTCTACACCTTGTCTAACATTTGGATCTTTGATGTCTAAGATAGAATTAATCACTGTATCGGATGAGGTCACATCTATGGTATGACCGAACTTGTTAACTTTATTTTTAAACGATAAGAGTTTTGTTGCGATTGGCTGTGTTTGTCTTCTTAAAAATGCATTATCACCCAATTTTGAATAAAGTTTTTCGGCAACAGAACTATTCACTTTACGTTGGATTTCGTTTATAATTAAGAAACCTAAACTTCTTTGTAATATGTTTAAATCAACATTAACCTTTTCATCATCTAGGTATTCGAATAGTGACAAGGATGGTTCTAGAGTAGCCGTTGTTGAATTAATTCTTGTACGGTAAAAATGAGTAGCAATATTACGTAACAAGTTAATCTCTGGTGAAGAATCTACTTCATCTTCAACTTCTTTGATGGTCTTGATGTCAGAAGGAACCACGATCGATTCACCAAACCAAGTTGATTTCACAGCTAATGTCTCTGCATCCAAAGCAAATACGATTGAGATTGTTGGGCTTTCTTTATTTGGTGCTAATGTTAGAGCTTCATTTACAGCCACAGGTAATAAATTGACAGTCTTTTGAGGCATGAAGACACTTGTTGATCTTTTTCTTGCACGTTTGTCGAGTGATGAATTAGCTTCTATTTGTTCAGTAGCGTCTGTAATATGACACCCTAATTCGATAATATTATGGGTTCTATCGTGTTTAACATGGACAGCAAACTCAGCATATTGATTATTGAATGTAGTGGCAATGACATTATAATCATTAGCTAAATCAAATCTTACACGTTTGGCCAAATTCTCTGGAGCTACCGAGCTTGCTTGGAAGATACTTCTTTCCCTGGTCGGATCCTTGGAATCTAGGTATTCATTTGATAAGAAGTTATTATCTCTTAGGATGGCATCGATATCGGTGTTTGGATCATTAATCTCACCAAGCTCAGATACAAGGATACCAAATGGATGTAAAGATGTGATTGGCCAACGTTTAATGGAGGCGACGAATTGTTTATCAGCGTAAGCACTTGCGTTTTCAACAAAGTCCTTTGGAGCCAACTCGGTTGGAATTGCAATCAATGGAACTTTTTTGTCTGTTGGTTTAAACCAAGCAATCTTTGGTGCTTGAATTGGTCTGTTATCTGTCTCTCTATCCTTATCCTTGTCATCATCATTATTGTTGTTTTTATTGTTATTACGTTTTTGAGCTTGCTGAGAAGGTCTCAATAGACCTAATGTACCACTAAACAATTGACCTGGAATTCTATCAAGGACCGCAACAACATGGCCAGCGTATAAAGGTTTGAATCTGTCATTGATTTCTTCTTCTTCCACCAGTAGCAAAGATTGACCTTCGACCTCTACATCGTCATTCTTCTTTTGAGTAGGACGTTGTTTCAATGAACCTCTTCTTTTAATTGAAGTAGCATGACCATCGGAATCACCGGATCCCCTGGATAACGAATTCATTCCACTTGTAGAGATGATATGGTCATCGCTGTTGATGCTGCTGTTATTGTTATTACTACCATGTGATGTAGAAGGAGAAGAAGTGTTGTTATCATTGGCATTTGATGAAAGTTCAGTGGCATTAGCTGCATTAGCGGAAGCATCGTTATGATAATCATCATTTCCGCTTAATGGGATAATATCTTGTTGAATGGATGCATCTTTTCTTCTTTTCTTCTCTTCTTTTTCCTTCTTAGAGTCCCAAACTTCATCTACTACCAAAAGTTCAACGGCCACCAAGTCACCTTCTAGAGCTCTATTACGATCCTTTGAACCACATATATAAATATCTGCATCTAATGAACCATCAGTGGATACCCAAGCATCAGATCTGTTTTTCTTATTGACTCTTATGATACCTGCTACCAATTTTCCTTCTTCGATCAGTTGTGGGATATTAGCTTGAGGTAGATATGGAGCAAAAAGAGATTTACGACCATTTTGGTTCCCATTATTTGAAGAGAAACTATTGAATGCCGAGGAATTTGATGAACGATGTTTGTGACCTTGGAAAAATGGTGGTGGTTCCAAAGCACCAAATGAATTATAATCTCTTGAAGATGATTTGTTATGGCGGTATGGAGATTGCTGCTGCTGCTGTTGTTGTTGTTGTTGTTGTTGTTGTTGGTTGAAATGTCCGAAATTTCCGGACTGTTGATGTTGATGTTGTGGTGGTCCCTGAGATTGGTTTCTCCAATTGGAATTAATACCTGGTGATAAATCACTATTTCTAGTACGTGAACGACGATGAGTGCTTGAAGTTGGAATAAAATCATCATCGTTATTTGTTGAAGGTGCTGCAGTAGTGGAAGTAGTAGTAGCATTTTGCTGAGGTGGGGGGAACTTAAAGGCATTTGGAGGAGCCAAGTTGCTACTAGTATTAGTTATAGTAGTAGCATTAGTAGTTTGCTGAGGTGGTGGAAATTTAAATGCAGATTGTTCAGTAGATGATGGAGATGATACTGAAGAGCCCTCGATACTTTCTTTACCTGTATCTTCTATTCTAATATCCACATTAACACCTACTCTCTTTGCTTGTTCTTCCGCAGCTGCTTTCTTAGCCTCATTCAATCCTAACGAATGTCTTCTAGAGTGACCATAGACACCCGATGATGAAGAGCCTGTTCTTCTATGAGTATCGTTATTGTTATTCGCATTGGTATTGCTACTAATAGAGTCATTATTGTTGTTAGCTAGAACATCATAAGTATTTTGGTAATACCCCGAATTATTTCTTGAATGGGTCCTACTTCTATTACCTTGTTGCTGTTGCAATTGAGGTTGTTGATAGGATGGATAATTTTGAGGAGGTATAAACCCATGGTTTGCTGCATTTGAATTTGAGTTCGAGTAATAATGGCCTGAGCTCGCAGCTGCCTGTTGCTGAGCTTGTTGTTGTTGTTTTGCAAGATGCTGCTGTTGTGCTAACAACTGTTGCTGTTGTTGTTGAACCATCTCCAATTGTTTCTGTAATGTGAATTGTTCGATCATCAGATTGGTAAGTTCACTCTGCGACCGTCTATGAGCCACATGGATCTGTTTTGGAGCGTTCCTGCCACCACCTGAAGTAGTAACATACACATTACTATCCTGCTGTTGTTGCTGTTGGTGTTGGTTTCTATTATTCCCGTACGACATCGTCAAAAAGGGAGAAACAGAGAACGAGAAAAGATAGTCGCGATTCAAAATCAGAATAACAAATATACTTTATTTCAAAAATAAGAAAATTGAAAATGTTCTAAAAATAGATTTTTTTCACTGGAAATAAAAAAATAAAAAATTAAGGAAGGAATGCTTGATTAATATTAAAAGGAATGTGTAGAGCGGATAGTTCTTAGCTTATGTGATGTGTACTCTACTAGAAAAAGTTCAATTCTAATTCACTGAGTATAGCAATCTCTTTCTCTTATCTCAATAAAACCAAAATAAAAGGAAAAAAATGGACCATGGGGTGTCCCTATATCTATTCCATTCCTATTATATAAATGTTTATATATTTATACTATCGAAGCGAGAAGTGTTAAAACTTTTCTTTGAGGGAATCCCGCGCCCCTTGCTTAGCTATGAGGCGACACCAAAATTAGGGTTTCCGGGAGGGTAACGCCTATTGGCATTTGAAACTCATTTAATTCGTTTATTACATTTGTTATTTAGATATAGATATGGATATGGATGGGTGGTGTTGGTTATTAAGTGGCAGTGTTGCTGCTATTGCTGCTAATTCCTGGGGCCAGTTTGTATAGGGTGTCCAGGAAGGCGACGATTAGTTGGTCGGCGACACCTGCGGTCTTGACACTACCGGCGACACCATACAAGGCACTTGTACCATCAGCAGAAGGTTTGACGTTGGGATCGTTTAACATGTCTTTAACTGTGCTACTTAGTAACTGGCACAGAGAGTCGATTGCCGGGACAGAGGGTCTGGTGACTGCCAGGTGTAGTGCTGGTGGGTTCTGAAGTGTGTTTAAGTGCCAGCCCGATTTGGTCAGTCTATCACTTAGTTCGTAGACGTCGATTTGTTTCGAAGTGAAAGCGATCACTGAGAATTGTGGGTCCCCGATGATTTGTAACGCAGGAATCTCTTCTTCGATGTATCTTCTTAGTTTTCTAGCAGCCTCTATGATGGAACGACATGATTCAATGTATCCATTCTCACCGAATTTCACCATAGTGGCCCAACAACCAACAACTAGAGCACCAGGTCTGGAACCTGCTAATGTTGGTGACCCGTAGAGACCACCGACCCAGTTTGGTTCGATGAAGTATTGATGCATTCTTAAATCCTCGTTACGGTACATGATGATGGAGGAACCTTTTGGAGCAAAACCGTACTTGTGAGTATCACAAGAGATTGAAGTGACACCGGGGACTCTGAAATCAAACACTGGGACATTTTGGAAACCAGCTTTTTCCATAAATGCAACAACAAAGGAGCCTAGACAACAATCGATATGTAATCTTAGATTATACTTTTCGGCAAGTTTTCCTAACCCTTCGACATCGTCATTGATACCATGAGGAAAGTTTGGTACAGATCCAACTAACAAAACTGTGTTGCTGTTGATATATCTTTCCATCTTACACACATCTACTCTATAAGTCTTGGGATCCACTGGAATATGGTGCATCTTGATACCGAAATAATATGCAGCTTTATTAAAGCCTGCATGAGCGGTCACTGGAACAATCATTTCAGGTTCAGTGATTCCATGATGTTTCAATCCATACATCTTAGCACTCAAACATGCTAATAATAGGGACTCTGTACCACCTGAAGTAGTGGTGCCACAAGCCCCATTCTCCATTGGTGCATTGAACATGTTTAAAGTCATCGAGACAACTTCGGCTTCCATCTTACGTACAGCTGGGAACACATCTGGATGTAATTGATTAGCCACTGAATATTTTTCAAATGCAATACTTTGTAAACGGATAAGATCTTCACCTCCATGGTATACAGCACCAGATACTTTCCCATCTTCCCAATCGGTATGGGGTAGTACATCCTGGAGGATGTCTAGTTCCTCAATGATATGATCTTCACGCAGACCTATCTCTGGTAATGTAGGGAAATCCAGTAGACAGTCGTTGTTCAGGATCAAATCGTGTTCAATGGATGCTCTTGCTTTACCGACTTCTTTCTCGACAGTACTGCGCATTAATCTGCTCGATAGCAGCCATCTGACGGTGGCCCTTGAAGTTTGTCTCCAGATATGTCTTGGATAACCAATGACACCATATGCTCTAACATTATACAGACTCGATTTCAAAAATTTGTGTAAGAAAACTACCAGCAGGTAATCCTTAAGGATATTGTACCATGGCGTAACGGTCAGATATGTGATTACATGCAAATAAATAGTTTGTGCGTCTAGGGTTCTGATAGAAGTTTCAGTGCTAACCACGAATTGTTGCCATAAGGCACGCACTTCGGAACAATCCAGATGTGATTCTAATAATTTATCCATCCTTCAATACAACGTGATTTATTACAGTATCTCTGTATCAATGATATTAATACTTGAAATTCCTGCTTTAATTTTGAGAAATAACCAAATTGTTTATATATATATAGGTAATGTTTATTAGATAACAAAACTCTATGAAAGCAATCAACGAGCAAATAATAGAAATATTCGTAAAAGTCAATAAGTCACCTTCATACCCTGACGAAGGGCCCCCCCCCACAATAAATACATAAATAAAGAGAAACAAGCTAGTCTGCATGCATGAACGTAAACCTACGCTAAACAAGTCAGAATGTCAAACGTCCGGCACCTCTTGGAACCTTTTCTTTGGAATTAAAATTCACTCGCACTGCGCGATTTATTTGAATCGTTGTTGAAACGTCAACAAACGAACAACTGACCAATACTGGAGGAGAGGAAGAAGGTGTGCGTATAAGGTAGGAAGGAAGAGACCACAACACGTAATAAAATACAACATGGTGGTCTGTTGGTTGCGGTGGTTGTTATTTTTGTTTTGCTGGTTCTGTTTATGTATTGAGATAGGGTTGCAACGAAACTCTGTCCGATTTGAGCTCCTGTTCAAACAAATTTATTTTGTTTTATTTTTATTTTATTTTATGTAAATTGAGTCTATGTAGAATGGGTATTCTTGAACTGGTTGCGATGTCGAGCTCAGGTGTATGAAGGAGCAGCTGATCTGGTAGATCTGTGTCTAGAGTACTCGTCTGTCCCGTTTGGTGTATTGCTCTTTGTTGACGTAGCACTATCGTGGTTGGTGTTGCTGCTACCGTTACCTCCTTTGACGGTTTCATTCATCGGAGTAGACACCTTGTTGTCATTGTTATGCAGATGTAACTTGTAATCCTTTGTCATCTTGGTAATGTATCGTTCGAGGAACTCATTACGACGTCTGGCAAGGTCCAATTCTCCGATTAGATGTGTCTCCATTCGTTCTGCACCTAGCAGGTTCATCGAGAGCCCGACTGTTCCTTCTTGTTCTTTCTTCAGGGTATCCACTGTCTTCTTTAACGTTGCCAGCTCTGTAGATTGAGCAGCAGCGCGAGAGGAGTCTCTTTGGTATGTGGCCCTATGTTCGTCGTTCTCCAAAGCTTGCTTCTCGTTTGTTTCAACCAATGTTTTGAGAGTTGCCTGATGCGTAGAAATAACATGGCTTAATTGATTTAATGTTTCCTGTAGAGAGGTGCTATCGCCTTGTTTCGTTAGGCTTTCTAACTCGTCTTGATATTTCTGTATATTACTCATTTTCTCGTTAAGTTTTATGGATTCGTTATTTGTACGCTCAAATCGTTTCTCACTATCTAATTTAACTTTTTCCAAGTCTTGTTTACTCTTAAATATGGTACCAATTTCTGCCTTCAAAGAATCGATAAGTCCCTGCCTTTCTGTCTCCTTCAATCTCAAATCATTGATATGTAATTCGTTTTCATTTAATCTGCCATTGATGGCATCAAGACGTGCAATTGTCTTTTGCATTAAAGTTGTTTGATAGGACTTTATACTGAAGGGATCCTCACAACATGTTATTTCACTGTTTGGATACACCGAATTAACAAATTTTGGTATAAAACTCTTGGCAGAGTCCTCAGTCGTAGTTAGTTGACTCAATGGTATCACATCGTTGTTCGTATTATTACTACGATTTTCTTTTGAGTCCATAGAGGCAGACAATATATTTTGTAAGAATTCTGTATAATATGCATTGTCCTTGGTTGTTGTATCATTAATTCCATCCTGTTGTGATCTTCTGCATTGAAGAAAATGGTACATTGCATTCTTAATATTATCATATTCTTTAGCGGCATCATGTTCCAGGTTCAAATTGTTCTGTAAAAGGTAATGATCTGGTGAATCTCGTACTAATAATTTCACAATAGGTACTTTATATTTATTCTTCATCCTTTGAGTAACTTTAGTTGTACTGTATTGGAAGTGTGATTTATTGATATTTTTGATAGCAAGTAAAGTCGGGTCCAATAATGGGTCGAAACTAATTATTAAATCAAGACTATATTCATCAAGTAATGTTTGTTCATGAGCTAAATGAGTCGATGTGGTTAGAAACAACCAATTACGATTGTCAACTTTTTGACGTTTACGATTATGTTTAATTGAATAATCATAATCATCCTTTGGATACCCAGTATAACTGGTTCCGATGGGTCCCGAACTAGAAGATCCGCTGGAACTTGCGTTAGACCCACCATTCGTTGTTGACGTCGAGGCCCACCCGCTACTGACAGTATTAGCATGTGTATTGTTTGAAGTTGTTGTTACAGGTGTAGAACCCCTTGAGCCATGTTCTTCTGCAGACTCTACCGGTGAAATATTTGCAGACGAAGTCGACGGTGATGTTGACCGTACTGCCATCGACTTGGCCTCCCCACTATTTGACACATTTTTCATTGAGGACATTTCCCTACCATGTAATTGCATGTCTCTTTTAAAATCGGTACCTTCTGCATACAATGCTGTACCAGACAGTCTTTTCAATTTGAATTGTTTCCCCAAGACTATACTCTCTAATAAGTCCAATTCCTTGATACTATGAGAGATAATGGCAATTTTCAATAATTCTCCATTCTCCGGGTTACATAATGTGCTCAAGCAATGTAATAATGTTTGTAAGATTCTAAATTTATCACTTGAATTGATCAGTCTCTCTGTAGGTTCCATTCTTAAAAATTGACGAGGCATATAGTGATCTACTAATAGGCATGGATGGTTGGCCACTGCACGGACATGTGTATTGAACATGTAGGTGAGTTGACGTGAGGATAATGATGGGTAACCGTTGTCGGACATGGTTGGTTCATGTTTAACGCCGTTAAGTTCGTTGCGGAAACTGATTGCATGTATCGATACCAAAATTTCGATGAGATCTTTCTGGAAATTTGTCAGCCCAACTGGCAAGTAATTCACATTCATTTTTCCAAATTACTCGACTAGTGACTCTGGTTATATGCTGATTACCTTCCATCAGCAAATTGCAACTGTTCTTGTTCTTGTTGTTCTCTTGGTTTTTATTTCAAATTTAAATTGTCAAATTGTCAAATTGACGGTTTGTGCGCCGTGCAGTGTGATTTTTGTTGCAGTTCCCAAATTTGAAAATTGGCTTTAAATTTAAAAAGGAAGAAACCAATTTGATTAGTTATCTCTAAAGGGTCAAAGTGGAACCGCAAGAGAAGGAAGTGTAACTAGAGGTACCAAGCGAATCAGTATTACATTGTATTGTATTGTATTTGAGGGGAAATGTCCAGTAAGTCGTTGGTTAACAAAGGTGTGTCCCGTTTCCGTCCGGCACAATGGTTACAAGAGAAAGGGTTAGCTCCTCATGTCTATTTGTTTCGTAATTTGGAGAAAGGTCAAGTGGTTTATTCTCAAATGCCATTAGTATCGCAAAGACAGATTGATACGTTGTTCGTGAGACCGAACTGGGATAACAAGAAGCCTTCCACGAGGAGAGATTTATGGAAATGTATGGCAGTGGTACGCGTACCGTCACACTCTACAGCTGTCCAGTTATTTCAAAATTTAAGTAGATTAAGGTATATGAGAGATGTGTTGTATGCTCGAGAGAACGACAAGTTGAGGAAGAAGAATGAGATGGGTAGGGTGTGGTACAGTGGTCATTTCAGGCCTGGTTTTGCGCAGGAGGCAGTTGCTGATTTGAAGGAATCATTATTGAAGTTGGATGATAAACCAGGAGAAGCCACTATCTTTTGGGAAGATCCCTGGAGAATGGGGGATTTGGAGAAATATTGGACTCCAGAGCTTCCTAATGTGAAACATGAGAAGATTGATCGTAATTGTAATGTCTCTAGAGAAGAGAGTCAGATTTTAAAAGAATTAGCACAGCAAACTTTAGAATCTATGAATACGAAGAATCAAGAAGTATAGAAGGCATTAAATAATATATCTCGTCGGTAACTGTATATAATACGATTCATGTAAATACGAATTGAATAATATTAATAATAGTAATAATATTTATTTAATTATTTAATTATTTTCATTATGAAATAATAATAAAGATATATATGTATTTGCTAGAGAATATATATAAAGAGAGGAGATCGGAGTAGTAGTGCGTGTGATAATAAGTACGAATATGAGAATTGTTTTTGCGTTGTGGTTGTTTTTTGATAGTTATTTTATTTTGAACGTTTATACAGTTTCTTCCAAAATCTTATTCAATTTCTGGATTCTTGCTGCAATACTCAAATCAACAGTTCTATCAGCGATTTCGACTACCAGACCACCTTGAATTTGTGGGTCAATGTTATTAGTCAACTTCAAAGTTCTTTCGGATCCTACAAGAGCCGAAGCAGCCAAAGCCCTTTCGATTCTCTTGAATGATTTATTATCCAAAGGTTGCACAGTAGTGATCGATGCGTTAACGACACCGTTATAATGATCATCCAACTTGGCAAAATCGGCTGCAATCTTCTCCAATAAGGAAAGTCTGTTGTTTTCAGCCAAAACATTTAAGAAATTGGCCACAGCAGGTTCGATCTTAATTGGACCATTCTGCACTACGGTTTGAGCAACGGTCTTTCTATCCTGTAGGGACAATGCAGGGTTTTGGAAAATATGAGCTAATTTGGCATCAGTACGTAGCATGCTATTAACAGCTGTCAAAGAGGCTGCCACTTGACTCACACGAGATTCAGCAACAGCTACATCGAACAAAGCCGTGGCGTATGTTCCGTCCACACCGTATATTCTTAAAGTCTGAGGCTTCTTAGCGGCACTGCTGGCCAGACGAACGAATTGTCTACTAAACATTTTATCTAACGGTAATAATATTGAATGGTTCTTGCGTATATCCTAACTGATACATATATATATCTTAGTTGTTGTTGTTGTTCCATATCGAATGCTCTTCTTCTTCTTCTTCTTCTTTTTATCCCTTTAAAGAAATCTTCGAATGATTTTGGATTTCTTTGTCGGGGAAAGGAGATCGCGTCGTGTGTGGTGATGTATGCAGGATCCGCTGTGATTGGCCGGGAGTCACGTGGTGTTGGGTGTCTAAGTCACTGGTAGTAATTAACGTCCCCTGGGATACATGAATGTAGATTTGTGAAGTGAGAGGTACAGTCGCCAAATAGAATAGCTGTCTGGTTAGGGTGCCAGTTCACTATTTCCTGTTTAGGCCATCTCTGTATCCCCGATCCGGTAATAGTTTCCTGATTGGGACGCCATTCCTCTAAAATCAACTTTTTTGCTTTGCTGAAAAATTTTTTGCGATGCGATGAGCTTCTCATTGAAGAAATATTTTAGGAACTGCAACTATAAGATATGAATATATATATATATATATATATATATTTCAGATTGGGATTAGGATATAGAAAAGACGTTGAGAGAAAGTAATTAGCAGTGAACACTATGGCTAAGACGTTGTCGGAACAGATTTCTGAGATTGCTAACAGACCCGTGAATCCGGACGTGGATATCGAGGACGGTGAGCGTGCTGTGTTTGAACATCATGACAGCAGTGATGACAATGACAGTGATGATGGACAGGAAAGTCAGGCTCAGGCTCACTACGTCTCCGTTGGGAAGTCGAAGTTGAGGGAGTCTGTGGAAGGTGCTGAGTTGCAGGACTCCGAGAAGTATCAAGGTGCTGTTGGGTCGAGAGATGCATTGTTTGGGAATGATGCTAGTCATCATGTTCCTGATCAGGATATTGAAAGTGAATCCGAGGAAGAGGAGGAAGAGGAGACTGTTGGTAGTGATAACGAATCTAGTGCAAGCGAGGAAGTGGAAGAGGAGGAGTCCGATGGAGATGAGATCGCTAGTAAGAGGGAACAGCTGGCAAGACTTGTAGAAGAAGAACGAAGCTCAGCAATTCAAAGATTATCGCGTAATGCTCAAAGAGACGCAGCCAAGGGTTATTCTATCCTTCAACAGACTCGTACTTTCGACAGTATCATTGATGTAAGGATTAAATTGCAAAAAGTCTTGAATGCAGCTAATGCAATGCCCTTGACAACTGAATCCTGGGATGAAGAATTTAAAGAAAATTCTAAGAATAAAAAATTGTTGAAACAAAACAAAAAACTGTTGAGGGAAGTCATGGATAAACTGATCGATTTTAGAAACATTTTCCAAACTAAGGATCATATTTTACCTGTTAGTGAACAATCTGAATCACCATCACGTAAACGTTCATGTCAGGAATTAGATGATGAGTTGAGAAAATATAGAACCGCAGTGTTAAAGAAATGGTCCTCAAAGATTGAAGCTGCCTCAGGGAATGCATTGTTGGGGTCAACTAAGTTTAAAGCGATCAATCAATCCGCAGATGTACAAGTAGAAAACCAATTGGCTGATATGACACGTCTTGTTAAAAGAACAAGACTTAATAGAAGAAATATTGTCCCATTAAGGTTCATGACGGATTTGAAATCCAACAGATTAAATCAACTGGGTGAATCCAATGACAATATGACACATGTAGAAGCTGCCGATGATGAAGATGATAACGTGGATATTCCAAAGAATTATGATCCAAGAAGAAAGGATAATAATGCCATTGATACTTCTGAAAACCCTTACATTTTTGATGATGAAGATTTTTACCGTGTCTTACTAAATGATTTGATAGATAAAAAGATTGCTGATAACAATAACAATAATGGTACCAGTAATAACATTATAACAATATCCTCAAGATCGAACAACAAATTAAAGAAAAATATTGATACAAAGGCATCAAAAGGTCGTAAATTAAACTTCACAGTACAAGAACCAATTGCAAATTTTGAAGCACCTGTGAATAATGGTTACAAATGGTCTGATGAACAAATCGATGAATTTTTTGCAGGTCTCCTTGGTCAAAGAATCAATTTCGATGAAGATGAAACTGCTGGATTTGAATCTGAAGATATTTCTGATGACGAAAAACAAGCTGAAGTAAATGCCATTAAGAACGACGATATTCAAATATTTGGTTAATACACAACATACATACATATATACATCATGTACCCCACCCCCCACTTTTGCATTTTTTTAACCATTTTGTATTCTAGATAAGTTTTTTTGTTTATACTCTCGGCTGTGGATAACTGTTAATACTCAACTATTATCATTATCATTATAGAATTGTTCTGTTTATCTTTATATATAGATATGTATATATGTGTATCTGTATCGATATATCTATGTAGATACGAAAATATAGGGATTTTAGAACTAATTCCATTTGTTGATTATACTTGTACTCATTACAACAAATGGTGTTCATCAAGGAAATCTGAAATAAAGAAAAAACTCATACTCTAAAGACTCTATCATTAACAACACTGTCCATCGTTTTCTTTTATTGTTTAGGCTTCTTTTTGAAATTACGTTCCCTTTAATCGGTTTGATTTGGTGGGAATGCTAAGTTTTCTCGTTGAGCAATGTACTCACCTTCACTATATCCTAATACTTTTTCAATTTCTTGACTTTGTAAACCTTTAATACGAGATATTTCACTACTGGTATAATTACATCTCGCTCTACCGACATTTTCTAATGGGACATTTGTATCCAGATCCCCATTTGGTAATCTTTGACCAACTTTAATCTCAACACATTCAAGTTCATGGAAAGAATCCTCGACATCAATGATACCTGCTGGTAATAAACCAGCTTTATTCTTTCGGGTTAAAGCATTGTAAGCACCTCTATCAATAATAATTGCACCTTGAGTCACAAGACCATGAAGGATCCAGAATTCTCTATTCTTCAAATGATGTTTGTTATCATTGGAAATGAAAGTGGTATGTAAAGGAACTTCTTGTTTAGTTAATCTCTCCAGTTCGGAACGTTGCAATTCTTGGGAGTCAATGTTTGCATATTTCTTCTTGTTAAGATCGCTATCCAGATCTAATCTTTGTAAATCATCTACGACTTTATTAATATTAGATGGAACGTCACTTTTCATAACAATGGTATGCACGCCTGCATTTGTTGCTAGATCTGCAGCCACCAATTTTGTTGCCATACCTCCAGTACCGACATCTGAACCACCACTAGAAGTGTTTACACCTGGTAGACCTTCACTCAAATCAGGAACCATTAAGATTGGAGTGGCCTCTGGGTTAGTTCTTGGATTATCAGTATATAGACAGTCAACATCAGTCAACAAAAACAAATAATCAGCACCAACTAAAGCAGCAGTAATAGCAGATAAAGTGTCATTATCACCGAATTTAATTTCTCTGATAGAAAGTGTGTCGTTCTCGTTAACAATAGGAACCACACCCATATCTAATAATTCATTAATGGTATTTTGTGCATTAGTGAATTGATTCCAATTTAGAATATCAGTTCTAGTCAACAAAATTTGTGCAATTCTTTGACCTAGTTGAGAAAATAGTAAATCCCATCTTCCGATCAATCTACCTTGGCCAACTGCAGCAATAGCCTGAACTGCAGCAAGTTTCTTAGGTCTCTTACCCAGATGAAGAGTACCCAAACCAATAGCGATACCACCACTCGAGACGATGATAACTCTGTGGCCTTGTCTCCTTAATTTTACTACAGTCTCTACCATAAGAGACATGATAGATAATTTAGGCTCCATGGTCTTGTCATCAACTAGCGATGACGAACCCAGTTTAATCACGATGGTATACGTCTTCAGTTCACTCATATTTATCTTTTTGTGTATTCCTCTTAAATCTTACTCCTTTGCAAATCTTCTACATGGATATAATACCACCACGTCTCATCAAATACTGGTAACCCTGGGACTCTAGAGCTTGAAATATGGCCAACTTTATTCCATGGAAGTCATCCATCGATCGAGGTCCAAATGGTTCAAAAGTTGTTTCCTCGAGGAAAAAAATTTTCAGAAATTGGCTGGGGTCACGTGCCGGATTAATTGTTTTGGGCTTCTCTCGAATTTTTGGATTGAAATTGAAAGGAACTCACTCTTCCAACCTGTGAAGGTTTGCTGTAAAACGAAGGCTTCCAGTCTATATCGAGTTAGGTAGTTGTTGACCTAGTCGAATTGAGTATCTGAAAAGAGTTGTTGACTCGTGGTAAGTTTAACAACCAGTGATAACAGCACGATGAATGTTTATGATGATATATTAGACGCTACAGTGGTATCCCGAAGTGTAAAAGGGCACTTCACTACATGTGAATATACAGAGCTTATAACTGTGAGGACAAGTATCATAAGTGTTTACAAAGTTGAAGATGATGGTAGGCACCTTCTACTGACTAATGAATTTGATTTTAGAGGGAAAATTAAGGATATTGCATTAATTCCATCTAAGGAAAGCAATGAAGAAGGTAGTGATGGTAATAGGGAAAGTAGTTTACACCCAATGCTCGATTATATGCTTATATCTTCAGGGGTTGCCAAATTGTCTATTGTACGATTTGATGTCGAGAGTAATAATTTAGAGACAGTAAGTCTTCATTACTATGAGGATAAATTGAAAGAAACATCGTTAGTGGAATTGGCCACTGACTCACAATTGAGAACAGATCCCAATGGTAAATGTTCGTTGTTGTTTAATAATGATAGTATAGCTATCCTACCCTTCGGAGAAGATGAAAAATTAGAAGATGATGAAGATGTATATATGGGTGATGTGGGTGAAGAAGAACCAGACAAAAAACGTAGAAAGACTCAATCTCAGAATACAACCACTTTTACAGAACCTAGTATAGTGATCTCGTTGAAAAAATTGAATAAAGAGATACAGAATGTAGCAGATATTCAATTTTTGAAGAATTATACAAAGCCCACCATTGCAATTTTATATCAACCTCGGTTGACTTGGGCAGGTAGTTTAAAGATTTCAAAGACACCTACTTGTGTGATGATTCTAACATTGGAATTGCGTAGTGTGAACACTAAGACAGAAGTGGAACCTATTATGATTGCAAAATTGCAAAATTTACCTTGGAGTTGGAATCAGATTGTGCCGACTGAAAAAGGTAGTGTTATTATTGGGGTTAACGAAATTGCATATATTGATAATACTGGTGTTTTACAGAGTGTTATTTCTTTAAACTCTTATTCAGATAAGTCCATAATTAAGAGTAAAATAATAGATAATTCCAAATTAGAATTGATATTAAACCGAAACTCTGTAGTGACCTACTGGTCATCTACTACGTCGAATAACAATGATGGGAATAATCAGAATGTTGATAATAATAATGATCTCTTAGTGTTAATGACAGAACAGTCTAATCTATATTACATACAACTTGAGTTTGAAGGGAAACTACTAACTACTTTTGACATCATAGAATTACCAATTGCAAACAATATTTTCATAAATAATTTAGGACCCACTTGTATTTCAGGTATCAATAATAATTCAAGCTCCATTTCTGCTTTTGATATGTTTATTGGGTTTCAATCTGGTAATTCATTGCTAGTACGTCTGAATAATATGAAATCTACGATTGCATCGAGATCATCACATACTCACACAGTTGATGACGACGATAATATATTTAGTGAGGGAGACGATAATGATGAGGATGATGAGGATGAAGATTTATATGCTGATGATATACTTTATAATAAAAATAAAGAAAAGTCAAGGGAGGAAATTGTTGAAACAGTAGAACCGTTTGATATTGAATTGTTATCGTCCTTAACAAATATAGGACCGTTAACCTCAGTAACAATTGGTAATGATTCATCTATTGAACCGCGGATTAAAGGTTTACCCAACCCGAGTAATGGTGAAATGTCTATAGTAGCTACATCAGGAAATGGTGTTGGTTCACATTTGGTTTCAATTCAACCGAGTGTGCATCCCGAGATTCAGTTAGCTCTAAAATTCATTAGTATTACACAAATTTGGACATTAAAATTTAAAAATAAGGATAAATTCCTGATTACAACCGATTCTTTCAAATCCAAGAGTGATATATATGAGATTGAAAATAATTTCGCACAATATAAAGAAGGTAGATTAAGAAGAGACGCTACAACTGTCCATATCTCTATGTTTGGAAATGATACTAGAATTGTTCAAGTCACCACCAATCATTTATATCTATACGATTTGGATTTCCGTAGATTGACCACTATAAAGTTTGATTATGAAGTAGTTCATGTATCGGTAATGGATAATTATATCCTGATAACAGTATCAAGAGGTGATATTAAAGTTTATGAATTAGAGACAAGGCAAAAGAAAAAACTTTTCAAAGTTAATTTGCCAGAGATTTTAAAAGAAATGGTTATCACGTCTGGTCTAATCTTAAAAAGTGATATGTGTAATGAATTTCTAAATTTAAAGGATATGGAAGAAGAACAGTTATTATTCACTTTTGTTACAGCTGATAATCAAATTATTTTTTTCACTAAAGATCATAACGATCGTATCTTCCAATTAACTGGTGTGGACGATTTAAAAGATTGTTTATTTGTGAGCACTTATCAACTTCCTGAAGAAGTTGTACCTGATCCATCGATCAAACAAGCTATGTTAAACACCCTTGGTAATAAAAACAAAGAGATTTTTTTGACTATTTTAACTTTTGGTGGTGAGGTCTATCAATATAAGAAATCAAACAGGAGAGCAAGTAGATTTTATAAGAATGCTTGTGGGAATAAATTACCGATTGTTGGTGCACCAAATAACGCATATGCAAAAGGTGTTACAGGTATTGAAAGAATAATGCATTATATACCTAATTACAAGGGGTATTCATGTATTTTCATTACTGGTAACGTACCTTATATCATCCTGAAAGAGGATACTTCAGTACCAAGATTATTCAAATTTGCCAATATACCCTTGGTGTCCTTGACACCTTGGGGTAAGAAGTCTGTAATGTGTGTCGATCATATCAAGAATGCTAGGGTGTATACTTTAGATGATACCAATATTTACTATGGTAATAAATTACCCTTGAAGTCAATTACAATCAACAACGTTCTCCAGAATTTTATGACATTCAATAATATTGCGTATCATGAAAAATCTCAAATGTTTGTAGTCTCTTATACAAAGGAGATAGAATATGTTCCAAAGAGTGAAAATGATGAAATAATTGTTGGCTCCATGGACAATATGCCACATGCAAAAGGTTTTCAGAGCGGGGTATTATTGATCAATCCTAAAACATGGGGTGTCATTGATCAAATAACTTTAGGCGCTAACTCTCTTGTCAACGATTTAAGATCGATGATTATTCAAGTTGACTCAAAAACAAAAAGAAATAGAGAATATATAGTCTTTGGTGTAGGACAAGTTGGTTCCGAGGATCTTCCCGCATCGGGGTCATTCCACATGTATGACATTCTATCTATAGGATCAGAACCTGGTCAGCCAGATGCTACTAGTAAATTTGAAAAGTTTTTCTCCGAAGATGTTAGAGGTTCAGTAACGACCGTTTGTGAATTAAGTGGAAGATTTTCTATAAGTCAAAGTCAGAAGATTTTGGTAAGAGATGCTCAGGAAGATAATAATTCCGTCGTTCCAGTAGCATTTTTTGATACACCTGTTTATGTAACGGATTCAAAAAGTTTTGGTAATTTCTTTATTGTAGGTGACTCCATGCAAGGATTCCAATTTATCGGATTTGATGCTGAACCCTATAGAATGTTATCCCTAGGAAGAAGTATGTCTAAACTAGAAACTGTGGCTGTCGATTTTCTGGTCAATAATGGAGATCTATACTTTGCTGTTACTGATAGAAATAATATTTTCCATGTTCTGAAGTATGCTCCAGACGAACCGAACTCGCTGTCAGGTCAGCGTTTAGTCCATTGCTCAAGTTTTAACTTATATTCTACCAATACATGCTTAAAACTTCTTCCTAAGAATGAAGAATTTATTGAATCAGATCATAGCACCGTGTCATATCAAGTTATTGGCGCCCAAGTAGATGGATCCATGTTCAAAGTGATACCACTCGGAGAAGATACTTATAGAAGATTGTACGTTATTCAACAACAACTAGGTGAAAAAGAAATTCAATTAGGTGGGTTGAACCCCAATATGGAAAGATTAGCCAATGATTTCTATGATATTAGTAATGTTATGAGACCTGTACTTGATTACAATGTAATCAAGAAGTTTGCATCTTTACCAATTGAGAAAAGAAATAATTTAGGCAAAAAGACTGGTAGAAGGTCAGATGTGAATCTCTGGAGAGATTTAATTGACATAGAGTTTTCTCTCAGGACTCTCTCAAAATAACTACATATTATTCTGCACTGTTATATACATATACGTATTAATTAACGAACTCAAAAGTATGACGATAATAATTGATCTATTTGGCAGGCTACTTTTTTGAAGTTCATCTTAATCTTCTTCATAAAAATTTTAAAAGTGGCACCAATCGATGTAAACATGTAAATATGTAAATATGTAAATATTAGTACAAAACGATAAAAAATATCAATAGTCTTCTCATTAATTCATGTATAATGAATGACTAAAAATTAAAAAACTTACTCCGATACGGGGAGTCGAACCCCGGTCTCCACGGTGAAAGCGTGATGTGATAGCCGTTACACTATATCGGACAGTTAAGTACAAAAAAAGTTAAATATTTCTAACTATTACAAACAAATATTTTAAGAATTACCTGGAAAATCAATTACATTATAGATTTTGGTGTTGCCACGCATATCAAATTCGACATACACTTATATCCAATTATTTATAAACACATATCTAATGTTATACAGAGAGTATAGCGTTATAGCTAGTAATTGTAGGGGAATAACAGTAATTTCCACCTGTATTGATTAGCTTGTTAATAGACTCTATATGAAACACTCAAATTACGATTTTCCTTGTTAAACAGAGTTGCTGTTGATAAACTGCTCATCTTTTGTGCATAGTAACGTTGGACTATGTAGCTCCAATAAACCCAATGTAGGGGGAACGAATACTACATTATGCAGTATATA